AGGCTGCTGTATAGGTCATAAACCCCGCCTCCTTCAGCAATCCCTATGGAGTTGTGGACAAACTTGAAAAATTTATTACACAGAATATACATTTTTCTCCCCTCGCTTGCGATGTTGGCATGTAGTTACTGTAAGACTGATTTGTGCTCAAGTCCTCTTTTTTCTGTGCAGCTGCATTTTTAAAAGTTGTGAGGGGGTTCATGTTTTCTGTGATTGACACTTGATGCAGCCTATGGGCGTACAAAGATTGCACAGCTCACCCGGTGGATTCGCTGTTTGAGCCGAGCGTCATCACAGCAAGTCTCGGGCGACTCCTCCACCAAATGCGTACAATGCTACTGCGCAAGTAGTGGTTCCAGGAAGTGGAGAAAATCGCGGAAATACTGAGAGCAATTCGGCTTCAACTTCGTGTTATGACGTTATGTCTTTCATTGATGTTGAGACAATAAAGTTTTCTCAGCTTGTCTTTTTTTGCACAGTTTATTACATTTAACTGCACATACAAGAGCTTTCTGGAGAGTATTGGGCCTCTATTAAATTGGACAACAAAGCAGAGACAAGAGGAGTGGGGAGCAGCAATTGGAGGACAACATGCCATGAGCTGAGTGTCAAACTCGGAACAGCTGCAAAGAGATCTATAGCCGCTGTACACTGTCCTTGCCTCAGTTCAGTGGGCTGTCTTCAGTGTGTCAATGCAAAAGGAGAATACAGGCAAGAGATTACAATTAAGATTACAATACACATCTGAGCAGGAAAGGGAAGGGTGGTCTGCTGAAAGACGCTGCTGATCAATAAGTAACCCTCCAAGGATTAAGTCACCATACGCTGATGCAAGCATGGAGTAATGACAACACTGATCGAAGGAAAACTGCCTCTTGAGCCCAGTGAGATAACCCACACTTTGACACAACATCAGGAAACATAGACACATCCACAAAGAGACAGACAGACACAGGAAGTCCGATAAGAGCCATTTTAAGATGGAAATAGTTGATGTAGAACAGTTTAAATGGGGATTTTCCTAAGTATGACAGGCCTTGTTTTTCTGTGAACAAAATATAAAATGGACTGATGTGGATGAAGTTGCATTGACCTCAGGGTCAGGAAAGCTCAGAGGTTAAAAGTTTGCTGAAATAATCGACTTGTGTACAACATTTTAAAACCTTAGCTGAGGCTGACATGTAGATATACCTTTAATACTCTATTTTATGTTAAATGCAATGTTTCACAACAACTTCTTCATACATAACAGATGATTCATTCCCTTATACCCTGAAAAAATCGTATTGTCTGTTTGAGGCAGATTTTTGCTGAATCACAGATGCGCACAGCTCTTTATCTTCAGCTGAGAATTCTATTATAGCATTTAGTCCATAACAGATGTCATTTTCTGATAAAACAGCACACAGTTATGACCTCTGTTTTTCTGAGAGTGGACTCACAACATCACTGCCATACTTGACACACGAATGTAAATTCCCCATCTGTCTCTGAAAACAGACTCTTCACAGCACTGCGGGGAAAATAGCACACATATAGCATGAATAATCCAGTTTAGGGCTCGTGATTTGACGAAATAGAAAAAATCTCTGTCCTGAAATCAACTTATGTTCAATTATGATCTATTTTTACGGTGCTGTGATGTAATTTTCTCTAACTCTCGCTGTTTTATTAACCTGTCAAGCTTGAGAAAAGTGTCGAAAAAAGAGTGATATTTAACAGATTTGTCCCTGTTAGACAGCTAAATGTCAGTGCAAATAAGAGAAAGCCATTACTTTTTTTTTTTTTATTCAAAGGACCTGACACTGGTGGCATTTTATGAGGCAGAGAGATTAACTAATTTTCAGTGTCTGGAACTGCCTGAACACAAGGTCACATTGGCTGACAGGAATGAGACAAATTAATAGCCAGACAAAGAAAAATGAATATACAACTCTTGCAGCTGATTATTTATCGCAAAATGCTCTATGTTTTTGCCACAATTTCAGTTAATACAACAGATTTTGTCCAAACTTTCCAGCTACATCTTTATCTGTGACTTCTACTTTCGAAAACCACAATCTACTGCACCAACTCACTGCTCTGTCAAATCTATCATAATAGCTGTGATATGTGCACACATGTACAGCCATGATATTGACTCCCACAGAGTGAAACCCATTTAACCTGGTTAACATGTAATTGCCAATCTGCATCGTCCATAAAGACCCATTATTGCCCTCATCTTGCTTCATCTTTTAGCATCCCTCCGAGCATTCACTGAAATTACACACATCTTACACAACAATCACATGCCTGTTTAATTCAGAGCTGAATTATTTGTGTAATATATTTAGAGTATGATTTATTGGTATCTGTCAGCGCTGAGTGAATCTAATTGAAGTTAAATGGAGGACTCATCCCTCTTTGCGCCTCATGCTGTGCATTTTTGTTGTTTGTCTTACAAATTCATACAGTAGGTGTTGCATCCTTGTGGTTCCTGTGATGCTGCCATCATACTGTGGATGGCATCATTACCATCAACGTTTTTCTGACCATGTTTTCCTCATGAGTTCAATCCCTGCACTGCCATAGGCACTGGTGCATGAGCATTACTCTTTATGATGTTAATAGTAATTTCATTGTCTTAAGAGAAGCTAAAATCAATATTTTCTTATTACACTGAAATCTGAAAACACAGGTACAATAAGAAAGAAGCAACCCTTTATAGAGAATCTGAGTCTGCCGCTTTACTCTATTTCACTTACTTCACTTTGTTTAGCCGGCTGACTTTAGCTTCATTCCTACTCCGCTCATTACTCTGTTTTATCTCTTAAACTTCACTCTACACTGCACACACTGAACTCGACAGCAGAAGACAAAATATGCAACTATGACAGCAAATGAAGAGAGATTTTAGCACCAAATAAGTAAAATATGTATTTCATCAGTTATTTGACACCAAACTGAATAAAAAAGAGTGAATACAATAACAAAACACCTCATGTAAGAGATGTAATAACATTAATAAGTAGGATCTGCACAGATATAAAAACAACACCTTGTGTCACAGACCGCATGTTGCACTTTAATTCACTAATGTGGTAAAATGTCAGACTATAGCAGCACCAGATGTCAGTGATTGTGCAATTTAGACATTAAGTCTGAGATGGGCTGCATAAAAAGATTATTTGGAATTACAAATTAGCAAACAGTTCTGTTTGCGACAACAGTGAATAGCAAGTACCACATAAACAAGCCTAGACACTGTGATTGTGCCAGTCATCACATCTTACAAGACTCTGCAAAACAGTTGGCATATAATGGAGATCATTATTTAGCAAAAAATAGCTCTGGATTTTATCTTTAAAGGCCACCCACACAAACTATCCTGACCTCTCGCTGCTTTATGTCCTCAAGAATAATGATAAAATCATGATGATGTCTCAAAACACAAACTCTGGCCGCTTTGATCCACTAGAAACAAAAGAGGAGGACCTTTTAGCTAGGCAGAAACAGTCATGAGATGAATACCTATCCAATTCCTTGGGTGCATGGTTGCTATCTTTATTATATCAGCCAACATTCTTGCCTCGCCTTTATTCCCATGCGAACTTTCATTTTTAGGTTCCCTTTTGTCAGAGAACAAAGAATAAAATGAGGATGAGTGGAGGGTTTGTCAGGGTCTACAGTCTAAGTTATGGGGTTATGAGAGAAGGTTCAGTAAGCACTGATTTGGCTCTGCTGTGTGAATAGCCTAGAGCAGACGGGATTTTAACAAGGCCCTCTAGAGCATCAACATACAGTACAATATGTGTGGTTGTTAGACATAGATAGAGGAGACTGGGATTTAGGCGCAAAGTCACTGAGCTGCATCAGAAAATCGTGCATGGGGGTTGACTCTGATGCTGAAAGAAGACCCATAACCACAGGAGTATGTTTCCTCCTTTTGATTTGATTCACTGACTGTTCCACCAAAACTTCTAGGTAAGTTCAGTCTGGAGGAATAGATCCTGCATGTTAGACGTGATGAATGTTCCTCATGTTAAAGGGAAATTCCAGCATAAAATTAATTTAGGGTCAAACACACTGTAACACCGAGTTAGACACACCCTCGAAAGATGAATGTTGCAGACCGCTTGTTTCTCTAGTAATACCAACTATAGTAACGACCCCAGGATAGCAATACACAGTAGTCTGAGGAGCCATCAACAAATCTGAACCAAAACGCCACTCTTTAGCCACAAATAATGCTCAGAACAGCACCTAACTTCATTAACAGTAGCCTACATATAGGGTCCTAGCCACAGCACTAGCCACCAAACAAAATTATAGCTTTGCCTAATTTCTTTAGCAAAGAGACTAAACACAACTCACCCTCACACTTCCAGCAGCCGCTTGTTTGTGGTGAGACCTCAGGCCAGTCCATTACGGACTGCTGAGGGGTGACACAGCTCAAGGAAGAACATTTATGAGTATTTCTTCATCATTTCCTTGAAGTAATAATCACCATATTAATCATTTTGTACTGCAGACGCAGTAGTTCTTCTGCCTTAGCGTCTCGGTCTGATTGCATTTCCATTAAGAAATGATCATAAATGTTCTTCCTTGAGCTGCGTCACCCCGCTGCAGTCCCTAGGGTAATTCCGTCAGTCCGTCATTCCCGCGTGATGGCGCGTGTCTCTCCCTCGGGGCCTGAGAGTGCCGGTGCCGGAAGTGCGCGTGGAGCGCACTCGTTCCTCGCCAAACTGTTTGAACTGTTTCCCCGCACCTGTATCCCGCAGTCCTACTCTTCAACTAACCGTTTGAACTGTTTCCCCGCACCTGTATCCCGCAGTCCTACTCTTCAACTAACCGTTTCCCTTTCATTCCTGGACTCGTTTCTCCCCGCGGTCGGCACTGAGGGTGCACACGCGACAACTACACGCCACACACACACATACACCCTCCTACCTGCTGCCATCTTACAAGTCAAACCGGGGCACTTCCTGATCTGCCGGTAAATAACACAAGGTGGCGCGCTTTGGGGGGGTCATGTGACCGCCGGACCATACCAGTGTCTTTCATTTTGTTATTTTGTCTGATTTACTGTATTTTCAAGGGATAAGGTAAGGTCATAGCTGTATGGAGGGCGATTAATGCCTTTTTGTCTGTGGTGAAATGTCTGATTTATTGATGAGTTTGTGATGTACTTTACATATGGTATTTTAAAACCCTATGGTATTTTACATTTGTGTATGGATGTGCCCAGAGTAGGGGCTGGGGGGGTTGAAAAAGGTTGCCTAGGCCTCACGAGCCAGCGATAAATAAATTTCACCATCAATGTATTTTTTGACTGCGTCTGTCTTTTCCACTGGTTTTTAATTGCTTGAGAGAGAACCCCCACGACAGCTGGTCTATCCCTTTTTTTTTTCTCAGTTGGTTATCACCTGTCATCTTACCCCTGTCTTATGAACTTTTCTCAGTGGTACCTTTAGGTGTGCCCCTCCACCACACGTTCAGCACAGTATGATAAGATTTGTCAGCTTTATCATCTTACTCTCCTCAGGAAAGGTCACCACCAGGGTTTGACATTTTATGGAGTAGATGTGTTGCTGCTGTGTAGGGTACAAGGGTGAGTAAATGAAAATGAGCAACAAGTTAATTAATAGTCACTAATATTAAAAATACTTTAATTGCTTATGATAGAAGCCAGTTACATGGGAAAACAACTTTAGCATTACCTCTAGTCCCTCGAGTATTTCGCTAATTAGGTCTCTGAAAGGAGCAGACTCATGAAAAGCACGTCTTAACCAGTATACCACCATGCTGTAGTCAGTTTTGTCTCAGGAGCTGGCAGTGATTTAAAATCAAGCCAGTGCCTCCTCCAAGGCCTGCAAGGCTAATGTGAGTGGGTCACAGGTGTTTCTAGCACTGGGCTTCCTGGAAACGAGCTGGGTAGAGATATGTTGTTTGGCTAGGTGCTTCATGAATTAGAATTAGCAGTACTGGGAATGGATAGTTTTCCTTCCAGCACACAGACTGCAGCTCACCACAATATTCCTGTCCTTTAGCTCAGGGAGGACAGAACAAAACCGGTATTTCCTGGACAAAAAGCTCACACCTGAATGATCATGAGCTGTTGTTTTTACTGTTCAAATATTCCTTCTCCTCGATGCTACTAGGCTGACATGGATGATCATCGTATGTACCTGTTGGCTACATGACAACCAATTGTAGTAGCTTTGTTGAATCCGAAAGTAACCAGATACACTAGAAGTTACAGAAAACGGTCATGGAGTTCAACACTATCGATTATAATATTCTCTTTCCCTGTTACCCTTTCTGATTCATGTGGTCAGTGTAGAGAATTTAGCGAGATACAGAATCCTTATGTGGTAGGGTGACCATATTTTGTCTTCCCAAAAAGAGGACATGGCTACTCAGGGGCGGAGTCACAGAGTCGCACTAAGTTCATTTTGAGAGTTTTTGGGGTCGGATCAAGTGTCTTTTACGCACTTCTAACTCAATAAGTCCACATGACACAAACTCAAAACTTATGTACAAAACCGCAGACATTTGAAGGATTTTATAAACTTCCCGTACAAAACCAGACAAACCCGGATAGCCCCCCAAAAAGAGAACTTGTCTGGGTAAAAGAGGACATATGGTCACCCTATTATGTGGTATTTTTATCATGCTAGTACAGTTGCTTAAGTGATTTGCTAGTCTAACACTTAGGTCCAGACTGTGACGTGAATTTGTGTTCATCTCTGGCCCTCAGAGAGTAGTGAGGAAAAATTGTGATCTTTACAACATTTGTTTTCCTTCCAGTAGCTATAAACAGAAAACATTTCTTTTCCTGTGCCTTCATGAAGTCAAAGTCACCATATTTTACAATACTTTTGTATTATCTGACGACAAATTTATCAACCTCAGCCAAACTTCCCATCATATAAACAACTTCATTGTGAGCACATTCACATCCTCACTCTTTGTCTCGTCTTGTAAAGCGTGAACGTAAATACCCACGTTATGGAAAAACCCATATAGGATGCCACTAATGAGGGGGTGTTTTTTTTTGTTTTCTAACACAATGACCAAGTTGATTCATCAACTGAATGTGAAAATTGAAATGGGTGTGTATGTGTGAGTGTGAAAGAGAGTGAGTGTGTGTGTAAGGGAAGACTGTAAATGGAGTGTATGCAGGAGAAGCAACATGGACAACAACACGTAATACACGACTGTTGCAACTTGCTCGATGGTTCGAAAATTTCCCAGTCGTTTTAACTCATCCAAAAATCACAACTACTGTCCCTCTGTGAAACTGTAATTTCCTTCACAGCGTGTGTCTGGATCCTGAATCTAGATGACTCATCGATTGACGTGATTCAATAGACTCACTTTGATCAAGCTTTCTGCACACACCGGGGACCAAGGACACTCAGAAAGCTGCTCATGACTTGGAGCACTGCATCAATTAAAGATGCTAGGATAATATCTGAGTGGCGATGTATCTTATAAAACACACAGTCCCCTATTTTTAATGCACTGCATATGTGACAGTGTAGCTTGCCAAGGTGCTTCTCACAAAAGCATCTTCGTTTCATCATTGTGGATGGATTTTTCTCAGCTTGACTTCCTTCTTTAAAGCCTACTTGTATGTAGGTGTGTACATATTTGCATGTATGTGCTGTGTGGTAAATTCATAGAGCGACTGGGGAATTGAAAGCAAGTGAGAAACAACATCAGAGGAAGTAGCTGGAAGCATTTCAAAGGTGCGTTCTGCTCCCTTGAGGGAAGGAGGAGACAGCTAATTACAAGCAAGATTTCCCATTCTCCATCTCTTATTAGCCATTTCCTTATTACACACAGGCGGAAGACAACCAGCCAATGAGAGCACAACTAATCTATCCTCCGTCTTTCCTGTTTTTACTGTGCCCTCGGCTAGATCTCATAACCCTGAGCAGAGGCAGTGTTAGGGAAGCCCAGTTGTGTTTAAAGGCATTAAAGGTAATCCGATAACACGGAGTGAATGGGGTGATTCTACTCAACAACAGCTCCTGCTCCCTGGGTGCAAGCCCGTTGTTGATTTTATTGCCAGTGAATGTTAAGCGGTTGTGAGCGTTCTTTAATTGTGGCCATAAATCAGAGGGTTGGAGGAGAGAGAGCCAAAGAGAGAGGTCTGATGAAAACACACAGAGAGCTCACCTGAGGCTCACAGCCCTGCTGGACCTTCACTGGCCTTGGGAAGGAGGGCAGCACTCGCCATCAAAGCTTCCTCTCTTTTTCGCTGTAATGTGCTGATGGCCCCTTCCCAGAGCCCCCTCAGCACATCCTGCATCTTTGTCCCTGAATCTGACAAAAAATGAAGGTCTACGTCTCCCCACAAGTAGGTGTCACCATGGAAACAACCGTTATTCAGCGCACTCAACAATAGCTGCTAAATGAAAGGAGCTGTCTGATGGAATTAAAGAGTAGGTTCAGTCCCTCTTTTTATCCGATGAGTACTCGCCGCGTCCACAGCCAGAGACACACGGGCCATATCTGTTCAAGATAGCGCAACCTACATTTCCTTAATCTCCCGTACAGAGGAGCGGAGAGAAGATGTTTAGTCAGGTGACAACTGACATATAAAGGGCTCAGGATTAGAGGAAGCTGGATGGCGAAAGCAGACAAATGTATCTTAATTTTTGACATGTTTATTTTAGCGGATGTGGTAACAAATCACAGAGGCAGTTTCCATTAAATGTCGAGATTTATTTACCTCACTGCAAGACAGAGAGCGTCAACTACAAGAACATAAGTTTGTGCAAATGCAGGCTTGCATATTAGCATATCATAAGACCCAAAGGAATAACTGCACAGCACAGCTTAACAATAAAAGTAAGCATGCAATAAATCCCTTCCTTCCTTTCAAAGAAATCAAATATATACTAATGATGCGTTGGTTTGTTTCTCACCCACATGGCCTGAAGTTGCACTAGTTGCATATTAAGGGTTATGGGCTGTAAACCTTGTTCTGATTCAAAGAAAAAGAGGGAGAGCGTATGGAAAAATTTTCATCACAATTGTACAGTATAAAAGTTTTGACCTGATGATTCTGTCGGACAACACTGTGATCATAAATGAAGAAAATAAGGAGTTCAGTGAATTTTGTCTAGGTTTTTTTTTTTTTTCCCCTAGCTTTTTTATCTGCACCAGACGGCTGCATGAACTCTTGTCTTCTGACCTCCAGTGTTTTAGCCTGTTGTTGTTTGCACCAGTTTTTACACGATTAATGGTTTCCCATTTAGACATTGATGCAGTTTTCTTTTTTGTTAGCTGTTAAAAGTGATGACAAATGGCCTTAAGGATGCGCTCTTAGGTTCAGCCGACTCTTGCACACACGCACAAACACACACACAATGACATTCTTTGAATACTTGTGCATTTTACACATGAATGAGTGCGATGAAACTTGTCACTGAATGAAAAAGCATATGAGATCAATTTCAAAGGAGAAGAGTTATGGCTTGGGGAGAGTCTAAGGGGGCATTAAAAACCCATGCATCACTGTTAAACAAGTCTGCAGCTCAGGTCAAGCCACAGGGAAATTAAACAGACATGTTTTACTGTTACAACAACCAAAAAAACTATTTTTTAGATGATATTCTTCGCTTGCATGAGAATAAAAACATATGAGAAACACTAATACATTGAATCTGTGTGTAATTGTATCACATCCTATCATGTAAATGCACAAATTGTGGGGTAATGAACCATTTGAGCTTATGAAATCATAACCTGAGGCCAAGTAGCAATAAGGAGATGCAGGTAATAGGGGACAAAGAGTTAATTGCCATGTAAGGCACGACTCACAGGAGTGCTGATACCTTTAAGATATTAATGCGTGAGCTGGTTTGCCCTTAAGGAAAAAAACGACGGTTTGATTGGTTTGCACCTCCTGCTTTGTTTAACTGCTACAAAAGCTTGTAGGCGAGCGAAAAAACAGGTTTTATGGATCAGCTTTCATAAGCGCTCAGCTTTCTTGTGATGGAAACCATAATGTGAGACATTTCTGGTGACACTTCTTAACATTGAATCTTCCTTTTCTTTAGAGGATGTTCGGCACTTTACAGAACAAAAGGATGTGAAATGTATGAAAAAAATCATTGTAAGAGAAAGGCGATGCTATCATGAAAACTTCATTATTCCTCTTTGTTTTGCAGCGATCCCCACCCTGGTATGAACTAGTCAGTCAAAGCTGTGCCTCAGATATGAAAGCAAAAACCTGCCAGGATAATTTACATTCAACAAAATGAGTATGGCTGCAAATCCAGGCCCGCTGAATCGATAGACCTCATCCTGTGATCCACAGCGACTGAAGGATCCTCAATACTTTTGCTCTTCAAAGGAGTTCAGGGAGCAGCCAACAGCAGAGCCTGCTGCGTTTAGATGCATTCATGAGGAGTCAATAGTCTCCATCTAGGAAGTCAGCTTAAACTCTAGGGGACAAATCAAAGTCAGATTAATATTTGCACTCGGGGGTGGATATGTGTATGTTGGAGCTGTTGTAAAGTCTACATATTTCTCCTGTGCGTATAATGGCAGGAACAGCTTGGTGTATGGCCGAGTGAATTAGTCACTATTCAAAGTCAGAAAGCAAATACTTAACGGAGGTAAAGGAAACTCAAAGGACAGTCATGAGTAAAACAGCCAATAAGGACCAGTGAGGCTGAAATGATGAATAATAGAGGGAATAAACATTGTTGTCTACATATACTGTATTATTAATGATGTATGCTTTTCTGTTACACTGCCAGAGTGCATAACCACTGTTGAGCTTTGAGGTCCTTTCACACTGGGAGCGTTTTTTCATGCGATTATTTTGGACGTCAATATTTTTTTTCGAACCCGTATCCTGTCAGTACAAGCGTTCTCCTCAGCGACGTTTTCCCATCCTGCGATATTGCGGCATTTATTTTTTCGTTTCACTGTCGATTTTTCTAAAGTTTCGCATACTGTGTGTCCACCTCTGACCAATCACATTGCGTGTTGTTGTAACGTCTGATTCACCGTTATATCCAACATGGTTGACCGGCTGATTGTTTACGTGTCAGAGAACAGAGTACTTTTTGATAAAAAACACAAATATTACAAAGATAATGACCTGAAGGACAACTTGTGGAGAGTCATAGTGTCAGATTTCTCACATGACGATGGTTTGTGTGCTTTAACAGTTTGCTAAACGTCTTTGTTTTAACTTCCATCTGTGCTAAGTAACTTTAGCTCGTAAGCAAACCTGTTTAGATACAACATACCATATGTATTCTCACTGTCTCAAACTCAATCACAGCGTTAGACCATTAGGTCTCGGTTGTTACATTACGTTTATGGATTATAGTTTAATGTGCTTATCTGGTACTGGACAGACAGCCATCTCAACACTAGTGTCTAATCAGAACTGAAAAACAGTCAGTCTGCTGTTGTGTCAGTCTTCTCGCTTCCATCCGGGGCGCTTCTTTTTCTCCCCCCGAAAGTCGCAAAGTTGCATTGCGCTTGATGAGTATAGTCAGGCGCGTTAAAATTCACCTCTGAATATTTCATAATTTCATGTCGTATATTTGCATGGTTCCCGGTGTGTAAGGACTTTTATCCGTAAATTGCTTCAGAAGTACAAGACATTACTGAATCTCAAAAGATCTTTGACACAGAGGAAAACTTGTTTGAAAAGGAATAAAAAGCCCATGAAAACAATGATTTGTACTAAAGAATCTGTTTAGTGAAACTGTGTGGGTTTTATATTTAATAAAAATAAAAAAATCATCCCTAAATTAATGCACTTCATGGTTTAGTCATCTATTTTTTTTGTGGTTGAGTAACTTGAGGATCTTTTTTTAATGAAGAGGGATGGGATGTAAAAATAAAAAAAACATATAAATGCAGTGAAGATGCTATTAGGAAGAGTGGAGAAAAATATACTTGAACTTTTTTTTTTTTTACCTCTGTACATGTAATTACACCTGGGTTTAAACACATCACTTATTTCTTCTTGCTAGCATGTACATAATAAATCATTGCTCCTTAGCCTCAGCAGCAGAAACGCGTTTCTTCTGACAAAAAATGATATAAAAAACATGACAAAAACACTGCTCTTTCTAAATTGTAAAAGCTTCTTTGGACACGATGAACATCTCAAAGCTCAGTGAAACAAATGAAAGATTAAATGCAGACAAGCAAAAAGTTATTTTTAAGGCAAGAAATGGATAAAGAGCATAACTTTAATCTACTGATTTGATGTTTTAAGTTTTATTTCATGGTAACTGAGGAGATTTGGTAATAATGGCAGTGAGATTTGGTTGTCGTTTTAAGTATCCTGATGTAACATGTGAAAAAGCTGGTTTAAGGAGGAGTGATGACTGTGATCTTCTTTGTGCTTTCATTTGATTTGGACAGTGTGCTTACCAGTTAAATTAAAAGGTAAAGAACACATGATTCATGATATAAAAAGCAGCAGAAAGTTGAGGAAAATAATGAGACACACAGCTGAAACTTGACGAATGCTACCTGTCTGACGACTGGCTCAGAGATGACGACAACAACAACAAAAAATTCAAAGGGAAAATGTTCACCTGACATGCAGCATGATTTCACAGCTTGTACTGCAATCATTTTACAAAGGGCAAAAAATTTAGATGCAGTCATTCAGAACTCTAAAAGAAAAAAAATGTTATTCTGAGCTTTTTCATGGCCAACCTTTAGAAACGGCTGAATTCTGAAAAAGAAAAGCAGCCAAGAAATATCTCCCTCTTAAACCTGCCAGCTGATGACCAGGCTGCTATTTTGTATTTGTCTTGTTGCATGACCTGTTGCTTCTGCGTCTTAACAGAAAAAAAAGCACATTAAGACATAAAGCTCAAGCAAATGTCTCTTGCAGTTTTCACAGATATGCAAAGCAGACAGGTCGAAGATTGGTGACGTATCAGAACTCAACACGGATATCTCCATTGCTTCTTTTCTTGTTTTTAAAATACGTCTTGTTATTCAAGATTTAGCTGACTGTTGTTATTAGCTCATTATTACATCACATATTACACTAACTGGGCAACCTGCACCTGCCAAACACTCTCAGCATTGCCTGCTTTTTATATTTGCTGGATGGGGGTGGTTTCAGTTGTAGTTACTGCTGCCGCAAATATGTCATTATTATCTTTTCAATTGGCTGGTGCACTGTGGAGCTGAGCTTTTCATAAAAACACAAAGGAATAATAGATAGTTTATGTTTTACTATCAATATTTAGCTTGTCTCATGGCCTGTGTTGTTTACAATCCAATAAAAGGCCTAGTTCAGCTAGACAGATACACATGAGGAAAGTTTAACGCAGCTCAAGGTCTGGTGCTCCATCTCATCGTTTAAAGTTTGGAATAATTATTTTAAGTGTGTTCAAGTTGAGCAAACTAATTTCGATTGCAACGTACCTATACTGTACACTGCATGTTTACAATTATCCAAAGATTCCACTTTAGGTTTACAGTTATATAGTTGACAAATCAAAGTGCTGTAAGTCACGGGCTGAGAGAAATGTTATCTCTGTAACCCACTGACTGATCAGCACTGAGGGGTTGGCCGGCATGCATAAAAATTAGGGGAGAAAAGAAAGTCTTCCAGGACCCATGATGCTCATTTTGCACAGCCAAGTAGAAGTTCTGGGTCCACATTGAGAAGAGAAATTTCAAAGGAGAAAAAAAAAACAGTCTCTGTCTTCATGTAAACACTTGGTCGGCCGTGGAAAATGAAATAAATAACACCACATTTACAAAGGTATTCTTTCCGTTCCCTGTCAAAAATGGCGAGGCATGCGTCCTGTCTCCCTCTGAGTTCTCCAGACTGGTGCTGTAGTCAAAGCTTGGTCCCAGGATCAGGGCGGGTGATTATTCTGTTGGGGTGGTGGCGAGTGGGCTAAGGATGGGGGTTGGTAAGTCCCGCTGAGGACACATAGGGGAGATGGCCTTGTGGCTGTAGTACTCCACTACTTGCTTTGGCACCTCAGCTAGAACACACTTGGCCAGGGCTGCAGGTGAAGCCTGAAACAGAGACAGAAGAGCTGATAAACCCGAATATACTGTTTTAATTTGACCCTTAAATTTACTACAGAAGGGTAGTAAAAGGGCTCTCTTTCTTTTAGGCAATAGTGAGAAGTCTGTTTTTTGTATGAACTCAGGGATCTAAAGGTGGGGTAGGTAGGAATCTGTTAAAGAAGCACATTTTTTTGTGGTGTATATACAAAAAAGCTTTTAAAATCAGTCGATAGCTATTAGTTATCAATGACATTTGGTAATATAATGATATCGCTGTGTTCTGTTATGTCTGTGTAGTCAACATTTTAAAATTGTTGAGTGGCCAACTCTTTCGGACTGTAAACAAAGCCGCTCTCCGCATTATATCTGAATTTAATTGAAACGATATGAGTGAGCAGGAGCGTCTGTTTGTGGGCGGGGCTTGCTGGAGCAGAGAGGAAGGGGTAGTGTTTACGTTCAAGATTTCTCCCAAAAACTGGCACTTCCTCAGATCCTGACTACCCCACCTTCAAATCGGTTTTGTTGTCTATAGATTCAGAAAAACTTAAGGTTGGGTGATGTTGGGTGTAGGGTCAATGTGAAGCTTTCAGAACAGCTTCATGCTTCTTGCAGAGATTCTTACTGGATAAACACCATTTTATAAAAATAAATTACTGTGGTGATTTAGAGACCATTACATCATATGAATGTTCACCCTTTACTTTTCCTTGTTTCCTCTTCGGATGCTCCTATCAGATTTCTACATTAAAAATCAACATTCAAGTTTCTCCATATATTTGGCAAAATGATTCTGACATTTTCGAAGAACATCACCATGTGTCTGTATGAGTTTCACAAGCACGCCAATCAAAACAGAGTGGGAGTCCAGAGAAAAAAACAACTTGGAGTTAGAGAATTAGCATCAGCAGAAGGAGAAGAAGACAGACTGACCGTTTTGAAGTCTCTGAACGGCACAAACTGCACAATGTCCCTCAGGACCGGCTCGCCCTTTGGTGAGCGTAAGACTCCGTCATCTCCATCCAAAATCTGCATGTCTGTGAAGTCTGCATTGCCCACACCAACGATTATTATGGAAAGAGGCTGGTAGGAGGCTCGAACAATGGCTTCACGTGTGTCTGCCATGTCTGTAACTACACCATCGGTGAGGATGAGCAGGATGTGGTACCGCTGGAGAAAAAGATGAGAGCTCTTAGTGTAAATCTATCCATGTGAACATTAACTCGTTTTTACAGCAACCTGTTGTTTTGAGTAAGGACGCCCCTCAGAGTGTGTCCTGGTTTGAAGTAGACATTTCATGCCATCTTGGTAAATTTTACACCCTCTGCTCAGTGGATAAGTATACATGTGTAAATGTAACACAGGAAACAGCTCCAGAAGAGAGGAGGAAACACAAAGATATTACAACATAAACTTCAGCAGAGACAAATTTTGAGAGTGCACGCATGTCTGTGTGAAATTGGTTTCATGTGTCTACTGAACAGTAAAATAAGAGCGGTACAGTGGAAGAATATTAACAAGACACAATACATTTCAATCAATTTGATAGTTAACAACAGGGGAGTAAAGCCTTTCTTTTGATGGTTGTCTGACTGCTGTTGTTTTACAGCACATCCTCAACCACTAAATTTCTAATGTCTGCCTGAAAGTTGTTTACCACGACTCATTTACTGATCAAAAACAGAATAATGCTGAGGGGTGAATAATAAAATGAAGGTCAGCACAGAAACAGCAGTTGAATAGTTAAGAAGACAGTGTCCATACAGCCAAGGGTAATTAAAGAGAGAAAACAGATAATCGGTTAACTCCCAAAGGGATATTAAGGAAAGATAATAAGCACAGTAACTCTATGAGGCACTTTTGTTAAGTCACACTTGAAGTGCAGTTTATGAGGGAATTACTAAGACAAAAACGGTCAATGAACTGAGTTAAGGTCCAAAAATATGCACCAACAACTAAAGACTTTTTGACATAAATTCATAATAAGAATAATACTGATTTGTTCTGCGATCGTTCCTCTCTGCTTTTGTGCTGTGGGGCATCATGGCTATAAACACTAAGGTGAACCAGAGGCTATTCACTCTGGGAACCTAGTGGGAGGAAAAACAACAAAGCTTACATTACAGCTATATATATATATTTTATAAAGTATGAAGGGACACTCACTGAAGCATCTTTTATGTTGCCATCGCCCGCTGCCAGCTTAGCTATCCTGTTAATGATGGGAGAAACATTTGTTGGGCCGTACAGTTGGATCTTAGGAAGGCAGTTCTGGTACGCTTCAACCACTCCTTGGATCTCTGATCAAACAGAGCAGGGAAAGAAATAAAGGAAACATCAATACAGTTATCAGCACAGATCAGTAAACAAGCCAAGTATATGAGCAGGTGTATGAATCATTCACAGTGCCCAGCAAAGTAACGAGAATAGCCTGAAAATGTTCTCGAGGATAAAGATCCTGATCAAGGTTTATTTATATGTATGTCAACAAGTTATCGACAGTGGTAGGGTGACCATACGCCCTCTTTTACCCGGACATGTCCTCTTTTGGGGGGCTGTCTGGCCTGTCCAGGGGGAGTTTATAAAATCTTTCAATGTCCAGGGTTTGTATGGAAGCCCGTTTCCGCCAGCAGAAAAAAAAGATGAAAAACGCCGAATGTGTACTCATGCATTATAAAACAATGCATCACATCAATGCTCTGTGCTGCTCTGCCCCTCCACTCGGTTCTACGCAAACCCACCGACACGACACTCGCATGCACTGTCTTTGAGAATTCAGAATATCTATTAAACTTAGTTAGAAGTGCATAAAAAACACTTGACCCAATCCTAAAAACCCATACAATTTTGGGCGTGTGCGTCCTCTTTTTTGGGATTCACAATATGGCCACCCTAGCCTAGACAATGGTGTTCTATGACATGGTAACATATGACTTTTAACAGCAGATTTTGCCATAATAAATCATTTTGCAATGATACACAATGACAGAAATTAGTATTTTTTGTAAGCAGTATTGTGAGATTACCGATGTTTGTTTGAATATCATCAGCATAGAGAAATACTCTTTGGGGTGTAGCTGGTGTAAAAAGACCTCGCTTACCTTCACATTCATCATCCTCTGGGTTAAAATTAATGGCAAAGTCGTGAGACACCTGTAGATGGAGAAAGACAACTGTGAAAAATTAATGAGGTAAAAAGAATAATGCAGATTATTCTGTCACCTAACCTTTTTTTCTGTACAAGAGTCACAGATTCAGATGACACACCATCTCAATATAATGTATTGTCAGTCGACAAATGCTGTTTAATAATACCAGGCAGAACTGAGCAGAACCACGGGACCACAGCAGACAAAACTGAAAGGGATTAATGAGGTTCACTGCTCACATATAATAATACTTGAACACAATACTTTTAGAAAGATTACAGCAGGTAAGAGAGATTCGGAGTGTGTCAAAGGTAAAAAGATCAAATTAACAAAGACATTTTAATTGTTCTGGAGTTTGGAAGGTTGACGAGATTAATGAGTGAAAATTAAATTTGATAATTGTTTTCAGAAGTCAATTTCATCCACAGGATAAGAGTGATTCATTTTTATTCTCAGGTCTGATGCACTGCTGTCTACACTCTGAATGCCCTGCTGTTATCTTATATCCTAACTCTGTGCATTTCTTAAAAGCCAGCTTCTGAAGAAAAAAGAAAATGTAAATCTCCTTTCCATTTTCCTGAAACAAAGCCTAAAAACACACATCAGGTTAATGTCCATTTCAAGGCAAACTGAAGACCCTTTTTTTGAAAACTTTGCTCACATGGAAGTTTCTCCTTCCATTCGTCAGTCAGATCACACAGTGGCCTTGTTTACATGGGCAAAAGTTCTTGATCCGATTAAAAATATGAGGGATCAGATAATCTGAATCCACTGTTTATATGGGTGCAAAATCAAATAATCCGATCATGACGTGTGTATACATGCATTAAACTTAATTCAGATTAGAGGCATTTGGACGTGCACCAAGTTGTCTGATTTCGCAGAGTTGTATTTATGCCTGTGCTGTCAACAAACCGACAAACGCAGTCGTGGCTCACTTCATCCAATTCAGGATTTTTTACCTCAGTTAAACTTTGTCACTAGAAGGTGCCCTTGTGTACTTGTTTCACTATTCTGTCAAAGGTTGCACTGTCCGTTACGCTGTACGTACACCTTGTTATGATATCGGAGGAGCAGACACGGCTCCTGCGGTTGTGTTTTGTTTTGTTAATAATGAAACCTCCTGAACTGACCTCTATAAATAAGCCAAAGGCTAAAGAGTGAAGATCGAGTCAGGTTAGAGAGTCACGATCGGAATAAGTGTTTACATGGACGCATTTTGGAATAATGATCGGCATAAACCGCCCCTCTCATTTGGAATACAATTTCTTTCCGATTGAGCTGAATTGGATAAGAATCTTCCGATCGACATGTTAACATGACACTTTATTTTGATCTTTTGTGCCCATGTAAACGCAGCTACTTACTCCTCTCCTCTCCTCTCTGGCTTCTTTTCTTAAAGTCATTTCTCTTTTAACTAACAGTCTGAATTTAATGACTGTATTGATAGATATGAGGAGAAAATAATCATTGAGACCACAGATCTGGCCACCATGAAAAGAGAGGCTTTGCTTTGTCACTAATCTAACAGGCTTGTTTCATGGCGGACCTTTTGACATGATCCTAGAGGAAGCACTCAGGTGTAACTAATAACATTTATTATGGCTGTCTTCTGTCCAGTTGTAAGGCTTGGGTATTGTGCGGGCTGGATATCTTGCATGGCTGATAGTGGCACTGAAGCATCATCAGGCATCTGTAATGTTATTAGTCACAGCTGTGCTTTTTCTGCCACTGCACCACAGTGTGTCTTTCAGTCTTTTTATTGTGATATTTCAGTTTTGTCTGAATCTGGAGTTTGGTGAGGAAACATGAAAGAAAACTCTTTACATGGTGCATTTTTGAGACCATTAAAAAATGTTCAAACACAAATTTCTTCTTTTCTAAATCAGAGGTAATGTTTGCATATTTCAAAATGAGACGTTGATCATAGTGGTCGTGATGCATCTGATGTTTCCTCAGGTTTCTTGTATGCTGTTTTATGTTCCACAAGGAAATACCTTATTTGGAGCATTATTAGTTTTTTCTTACCGATCATGTTATGAGAAATTAGTCAAGAACAGATGAAAAGAGGCATTTAATGAGTAACTATATAAAGGATTTCAGTGGGATGACTGTCACATACTTTTTGATGGACTGAAAGAACTGCCAGAGTTCACTCAGTCTGTACAGCGCGATGTAAATTTAACTGGGCTCCAGATTAATCAGACAAACTGTTTGCTTATAATGCGTCCGTGCATATTGGTTACCTTGGTGATCAAAGGATTTGCATTGAAACAAACACCATTTCTGAACATTTTGCGATCAACAAATGTATTTCATAGCACTTTTGCTTTTATGTGCACTGTAAAATTCTTTGGTTTGTCCGTACACTTTGACTCTATGAGCAAATCACTGCAAGAAACTGCTCGGTAGAAGAGAGAGAGAGAGATTTGATGGACAGTTTTCAAAGCAGCAACAAAAAGAACCTGTAAACTCTATAAAATCTGAGGATGTTCTTTCCAAACTTAAGAGATGACTGATGCAATTCATCATCAGGATTTTAAAATCATAACAAAGTGATTAAAAAAAAACACAACAATGAGATTTAGCCTTTCAGTTCACAAAACATAACAGGCCTTGTTTATTGCAGAGAAATATTACGTTCTTTTGTTTTTGCTCTGCTAAATATCTGTTGCCCCTTTGGCTGGCTTATTATTAAACCATGACTCAGAGTCATCATTATCTGTCTCATGCTAAATCCAGAAATTAATAGTTTTTATTAAGAGAGCAACAAAAATTTCTGCACGACTGAAATAATAATGATGTGTGTTTCATTTTAGCACAAAGTGATATCTTACTTCAAACACAGGCAGCTCTTGTTTGATTAATGCGTGAGCGTACGTGAGCGTGTGCATGTGCGTGTGTTTGTGTGTGCGCGTGCACTCAGTCTTCACATGTCAGACATCCCTCAGGGGCTCTATTCAGAAACACTTAAGGCTTTTGGTTCTGCAAGTCCAATTAGCTTAAACAAATGCTCTGAACTCATGAATTCTTATGCAAATGAAGCCTCTGCACTGTGGGGCTTTTATGTCATGAGAACGTGTTATTTTCTCAAGACAAGTTGATATTTTAGGGAAAAAAGGGGCTTATGAATAAAAATAAACTCAGTAATTACTGTGAAATGTGAAATTTAGACGGACTGACAAATTGTGTCATAAAACAGGTAATGGAAATCAGCTTTCTGAGTATGTGAACCCAGGGTGTTGGGAAATACCAGGATTTGATAAGAGCATATGAATATACATCATACACATTAAAAACAGGACGAAAAGAGATGTAAAGCTTGATACTCACCTCGTAATTTGGAGGGATTCTGGCACCAAATCCCAGAGCTGAAAATCTTTTGTCGCTGAAAACGATAAAGCAAATAAATCAGTCAAACATGAAGTGTAACTGCAGTTTCATCTGGGATAGCATTTGACCGTGATCTGAACAACATCGATGGTCTATCTATCTATTCATGTTTCCAAGGGCAAACCCTCTGCTTGTTTGCATTTCATAAATGTTAAAAGCTTGAATTACAAATTGAAATCCATCTTACAGTCCCTGCAGCCAGTGTTTGCACCTGTTCAAAGAGCATCTAACAGTCCTCATCCTCTCCATTTTTCATCCTGCCATTTATATCAGGGAATAATTCTCTAAGAGGCTCTGCAAAGATGGATCGAACAGTTTCTGTCACAGTATGATACTGTACCAACTCTCTGCCTCTTTAAAATTGATCAACAATAGAGCATCCAAAATTCACACAATGGATCTGACTCCCAGCTGGACCTCCTGACACGGATGGCAACTCAAAATTTAGAGAATGAGATTGAGAAAGAAAGTAACTTATTCAATATTTTTTACTCCAAAGAGAAGCTTCAGGCTGTTTTTTTTTAGAAATCCAAGCCACTATCAGACGGCTCCTCCAACAGATGTGACATTTGAAGACTGCAAACACAATGCGGGATGATGTATCAGAGAGAAAAGGGCAGTTTTAGGGGCTCACTAGAAAATATGGGAACATTTGCAGCAGTGAAGTTGTAGAGTCCAGTGTGGTTTCTCTTTAGAGATAGTTTTCCTGAACGCAATAATGTAGGAACTGATCCTCACTTGATTCTTCAGTGATAAACAGCGGCTGCCTGGAAAGTTTCTGATGATGAGATGCTGAAACTGAACTGGAAACTCTCATCCCTTATCTGATAGAAAATTGTACATTTCAGCAAAGATACTGTGGCTGTAGCACCTGATGTAACTTGAACTAAAACAGGTGAACCACTGATGCTAAAGCTAGCTCTGCTTATTATAACATTGTAAGGGGTGGAGTAGGGCTGGGCGATATAACGATAACGATATATATCAAAATGAATTTCCCTCAATATTAATATAAGAGATGGTCAATATGCTCTTCAATAGTCGGCATTCTGCCATGTTTTGGTAGACCATACAAACAGCCAATGAAAAGGGGAGTTGCTGCAGGTCCGCTTCGCGCTGATCCAATCATGTGCTGAATTAGAACCAAGTAGCAACAGTAACAGGCCTCAGCTACACGCAACCATAGCACTTTAACACATGAAGCCGACAACACTGTTTGTGAGAAAAAAAAGTAAATGAGTGCTACCCCCGGCAGAAATGCAGATGAAGGCTCAACAGATGACGACATCGTCAACAACACTGGCACGAAAACGTCTGTGGTGTGGCGGTATTTTGTTTTTTTTTAGGTCAGACATGAAACAGAGTAATGTGCACTGCAAACTATGCCGAGTACATGTTCTCACAAAGTCGGGGGATACCTCAAATCTTTTTCACCACCTGAAGCAGTGACACGCAGCAGAGCAAGCGCATGCTAAAGGTTACAAACCCCGAGTGGAGTAAGGAGCCCATGGCGCCTGTGCAGCCAAAACAGCCAACCATTCAGTCCGCTTTTTGTAGCGCAACGCCTTACGACAAAAGATTGAAGAGACACAAAGACCTCACAGATGCAGTAGCTAACTGTATAGCAAAAGACATGCGACCAATAAGCACTTTTTTTATATCATGATATATATCGATATCGACTGATGTGAAAAAAATATTTTGTGATAAACTCTTTCCCATATCGCCCAGCCCTAGGGTGGAGCTATTTTAAGGAGGCTCAAGCATTATTGGGTATCCTTTTGAACCCTGCCCAAAAAAATCCTGACCATGAAAACGGTGAGAACCACTTCAAAATTCATGAGTGGAGTGGTCACATACTTTTTTTTTTTATGTTTAAATAATCAATTTCCAAAAAAACAATCCTGAGACCATCCTTAAAACAGGTCTTTAAAAAATAGCATTTAATGAATTTCTCTTTTGGAATAAATAAAGTCCTTCTTTTTATTGTATTTAAGAAAATTTAAAAAGAAGAGTAAACTGATATTTGATAAAAGTTGAGCCCCTTGTGTTAAGGAGATCCTGTGATGGAGACCCCAGAGTCCTTTTGTAATAAGTCCACAAAGTTCAATGACACGTTGCTCAGACAGATAACACTTTGTGTGTATTTTAGCTCACTGGACTTAGTGGTTTTCAGGCTAAAGGCTTCCACAGCTTGTTTTCAGATGCATCAGTGATTGTTTGCTGACTCTAATGGCTGCTTCCCTTATCAGAACATTTACTCTAGCCTACATGCCTTTATCACAAAAAAAAAAAAACAAACACAAATTCTCTAGCCCAGAGCTCTGCAAACACCCCCAGCTCCACAGATTTTTTTTTTTTCTTTTGTATTAGGACTCCAGCAGTTGAAACGATGTCCAAGTCTTTTACTGTGGACAGAGAGCGGGTGCACCAAGGGTTTAACAGCAGTATTTTCAGCGCAATAAGTGTTGATCTATTTGGCGTGTTGACAAGTGGAGACTGGGGAGTTATTTATCCACCGGTGAAGCTAATATGGCTTTGAGGCAGCCTTTCAGAGCCATCAGAAGTGTTTAATTAACTTTGATGGGTGTGGACTTGTATAAATGCTGACAGAGTGATGATTTCTTCTCTCTGAGTATGCAATAAACTTTATCAAACTTCACTTTGAAAAAGAATTTGTTGTCCTACTCTAATAATTACAAATGTTACAGCAGCAGTGGTAATATACAAACATCAAGACAGAGGGGGAATTCTTCTTTAATCAGCGATATTATTTCTCTCCTCCTCCTCCTCCTCACGGAGGAGGGAAATGATTTCATGTATCTGTTTCCATAACCTTGCAGTATTATATTTACGGCGGCTGCAAATGGCAACAAAAACAGCCTGTAGGCTCTGGAGAATTTGAGCTCCTATTTAGTTACCATCATTATCCTCTGTTCCAAGGGAAAAAAGATAAACACTTAAACGGGTCCAACTCTTATTCGCTGTAATGCAGCCTCTCCACATGTCCTGGATAATGTGCTGTTTGGTGTCCAGATAGAGAATCACTGCGGTAACAATGTTCCAGACAAATTAAAAGCATTCAGAAAGCAGCATGTTCCTGCACCTGATCTAACAGCATAAAAGATGTCTTTGCCTCCAACTCCCCCTAACAGTTGGATGTTTTCAGCTTAATATTCGTATTCAATTTTCATCAAAATAACTCCCATCCAGTGAATGTAAGCCTAACTCCCACAATCATGACCTTTCCAACACACTGAAGCCTGTTAAATGATAAGGGAATATAATCAGAAAAACAAACTGTGCTTTTGGCATTGAATTAGCTTTGCCAGATTACCTCTGTGCGGAGAAACTTTCAAAGTATTTTTGGGGCTGTGTTTGGGCTTTAGTGAGAGGGCAGGACAGTGGATACAGGGTGAGTGGGAGATGGCGCCCAGCAAAGGTCTGCAGGTAGGAATCAAAACCACGTCTGCTACTTCAAAGACTGCACCCTCTGTATGTGGGGTGTGTGATTAATCCACAGAGCTGAACTTGTGCCCTTGAAAACACATTTTCAACAAAATTTTGAATGTGGAAGGACTTATTCTTGCTTTCAAAGTACTGTGTTCCAGTTAAAATATTAAGTTGAGTTATTGGACTTCATTTTCATACTAAAGAAATTCATCCTTGGAGCTTTCATGTCCCCTCGTTTTTACTACTCAAAATGTTCTCAGTGGTCTTTAAATTATGATTATGAAGTTTCAGGGCTGCCAAATTTCAGAAAATGACAAGAGTGAGACTGGAAAAGAAATTTGGCCCCTTTTTTACCATGGATTTATACCTTAAGACTGACGTCCTTACCTCCATGCCAGCTGCTCTCCCTGCACTGTGGCCTCCTAATGCTCGTCTTAATTAACCAAAAAGTAGAAATTAGAAAGTGCGTTTTAAATGTTGGCGCTGTTGTGTTTGAAAAATAGCTCACACACGCCAAGACCCGCCTTACGTTGCTTCTGATTGGTTTGTATTGCGTGGTGCCTTCCGTGGTTGGTTGGATTTAGGCACATCGGACTGATGTCAAGTGTGGCGTGTGGTGTGAAAGTGGGTCAAATTGCTCGACTGTCACACTCAAAGTGTGATGCTGGGCAGCGCCGAAGTTTTTAGCTAAAATAACGTTACCCGTGTCATTTGCAAGGGCTTTTCGTCTGCAGATCTCCAGTAGCTCATTAGCAATTAACCTCTGTCTCGCGGGCGGGGACAGTGCTGCTCTGCACACTCCTCTTCAAGCTAGCTTGCAGCCTGACATTGCTGGTGTAGTGGAAGAAACAGGTAACAAAGAAGCTATTCAGCTCTCGGCCACTAATGTCTTTAGGGGCATGGTAAAAGTAAATATCATAATTAGCTTTCTTACAAGCATTTCAATCTTCTAACGCACGCTTGTTCCACGATCGTCCTCTCTATTTCTACGAGCCTGCCCTGCTCCGGGGGCGGAGCTTGGATTTGTGACATAGGAAATCTCACTGTATCTGATCCTGCCGTTTGGGTCTGTCAGAGATTCACAGCGATTTGAATGCAGAAATATTTAGAAATGCAATTTCACGCTTCTTTTTCTCATGATTTGTCCTCTAGTAATAGAAAAATGCCATATGAACATGTAGACAGAAGAAAAACATGATTTTCTTTGAAATAAGTCTTTAACGAAAAATGTCCACAAGCACAACATCTTAAGACGACACAGAGACCCAGTAACTTTAGCTGAGACAAGAGGATCGACATCATAATTCACTCTTGCTGTAAAGTGTATGTTAGTCCTAGTTTCCCTCTATTTGTCTGCCCGTGTGAGGAGCCGAAGGGAAATGTGCATGCCCGCTGTAATGGCCCTCTCAGCAGAGTAAACGAGCCTCTGCCCACACAGACAAAAGCTCGTCACTCCAGCTCCATAATGCACTCCTCTGCAAGGACTCTAAAATCCCACATCACCTATATTCACTAAAGGCTAAAAGGCTCGCTTGCCCACATGTTACACCTCACTAATGACTCCAACTTAAGAGGGAAAGGCTGCCCACACTCAGGAGCATGTTTCCATGTATGATGCTATCTATGCTATCTAGTGTACTATCTATGTAAACAGAGATGATGAAGTTACAAAGACGAGGTGCTAGTTTTTTTTCCCTTCCTTTTGCTATCTCCAGGATGCTATAATTAGCCAGACAGTGCTCCCCTGTTATTCAATAGGAGGATCTGCATAAATCAGAAATGTTAATCCTCATCTGGCTTAGTTTTGACAGATGAGAGGGTCTTTCTCTGAAATATATCGCAATATGAATAGTCTTCCCATAATGAGCGAGTACCTGCAGGCCTACTTGCAATATTTAGTAGTATTTTGTCCATTTGTTGGTTGCTTTCATATTTGTTCTCACTTAGTCAGTCAGTATCTAAAAATATGACACTTCCTTATAGCATGATATCAGTCTGTGTTTACATTTATAGCAACAAGATTTGTAAGGGTTTCAGCACCTGTAATGATCCCCCCAAACAGGCTCTCCTCTGGCTTAACATCTGATCCAAACCACGCTGTTATTTCTACAGCCACTGTGCCTCCCACTTCTTAGTGAAGTGGCTGCTGTACTGGTGTCAGCCCAGATCTCTGCATGTGTTCCTCTTTAGTTCAGGGTAATGAGCCTATGCGAGCTAAGAAAGAAGACCTGTAGCGGCGGCAGATGCTGATAGGAAACTGAACTGTTGAGTTATCCACAGGAGAAAGCGCAAGAAGATGGTTCTGTGTGTAGAAGGGCTGCATAGTGCACGCAATCAGACACAGGCTTATGCTAAAGAGTGTGGGCGTGCTTCCTCCTTCTTTTTTTTTTTCTTTTTGGCATATGTGCTCAGAACCATGACTTACCATTTCCTGTCTCTGAAAAAGAGGGGGCAGAAAACAGAATGGCCTCAAATGTCTTCGAGGAATTCATGTGATATTTTAGATGCTCTTCTAACCGCAAACCCACTGTACATCCTGAGAAAGCCTTTGGCGTAATAATCGACCCATCCCCCTGCTACTATAAATATAAGTAAACAAGTACCTATGCAACAGTCTCCTTCATTTCTGAACTGTGTTGATTGTGGAGATCCCGATCAACTTAAGGTATTTACTTTTGACTCTACAGCGGTTTCAGAAATGACGTTTATCATTTAAAAAAATGTACATTCTAACATTTTCAAACACTGATTTTTTGTGTGCACTATGTTAACTGTCATGATGTCCTATGCTGCGTTCCTGTTCCCTCGGAAGTCGGATGTTGGAGCTGGGAATGATGTTACAACCTAGTTGACGGCATTCCAGTAAACAAGTCAGACAACCAAGATGGACTCCTACATTTACCGGTTGTTAGTTGTTGTTTACAATTGTCAGTTGTTGTTAACCGTTGTCAACTGTTGTTAGCTATACCAGTTGTAACGGAGTATTTTACTCTTACAAACACCATAGCACCATGTTTACAGTTTGACGTTTGGCAGTACGACATAAACCACTTATTTAATTTCACAAAAACAAAACAGAAGTGCTAATACATAATACATTACGAGAGCTTTCACTGTTACTCTTGGATTATGATGTTCCGAGTACAACTGGAACGTAGCATTAATCTTTACTGATTTTGAAAACACCAGAGACCTTGCATGTCATGACAAATGACGTCAGGTTTAACCATTTTGTTCCTATAGTGTGTCTTGTGCAATGATGTTATGAGGACTCTTTTCCCTGACAGCTGGAGTCCCCAGCTGGTAACTGGAAATCTAATCAAGTTCTTGCAGTCAATCATGATTTTAGAGTAAACAAACATGGCTGAATACAGGAGCTAAAACTGCGTTCCAGTTGTACTCGGAAGACGGACTTTCCAAGCTCCGAGTTCAGAAATTCATCTGGAACACCCCACTGAAGTCAGATTTTTCGACTCGGACTGTTGGACGATCCTCACCAACCCCGACTTGATGACAAAATCATAATCCAAGATGGCAACGCAGTGCATCAACAGTAAAGAGTAACAGAGAAAGCTCTCGTAGTGTATTATTAAATAAGTGGTTTATGTTGTACTGCCCAATGTCTAACTGTGAACACGGTGCTATGGTGTTTGTAAAAGTAAAATACTGTCTTGTGCCTTGTTTACAACTGGTATCACTAACAACAACTAACAAAAGCTGACAACAGTTGACAATTGTAAACAACAGCTAACAACGGGTAACAGTAGGTGTCCATCTTGGTTTTCCGACTTGGTTACTGGAACGCCGTCAACTCTGACGTCTAGATGTGGTCTTTGACAGACCGACCCAATACTGACTTGATCTGCACGTCTCTTTGACGTCCGATGTTTGGTGGTCATTCCCAGCTCCAACATCTGACTTCCGAGGTAACTGAAACCTAGCATAAATGTTGCTATAGCTGCTTTACTTCCTTGGCTGCATTTGTTGTGCTTCTTTTTTTCAGTCAGCTTGTTGTTGTTGTTGTAAAAGGGCACAGCATTTTCGAATATCGAATATGTTTAATATTCCTGATTTTAGCTAAGGGAGGCACTGATGGTCTCAGGTCAGAGGGAAAAACACATATTTATTATTTCCATGCTCATAAAAACAGCATCTGTAATGTAATATCTATTTCCCCTCAAGATCAGCAGTATACTTTCAAGGACATTAAGGTCCCCTGTTTATTTTTTCTCCCCCTAAAATCTACTCAAGGTTTTTGAATTAGAATATGTACCAACTGGCACACACAGACAAAATGAGCCAATTTATACTGGAGTGCTGATGTGTGAAGGGAGCTGCAGGTAAACCAAGCAAAATTTAAAAACTGCATTAATGAGTGCAGGAAACTGTAATTATCCAATCATATCCATCATTTCCCAAACTGTTGGTTTTGAAATCTCTGCCAAAAAGCTGCCAGCAACAAATCTCATGTCTGCACGGAGTGTAAATGCCAGTGGGTGATATAAAGGTCTATGTGTCATCTCTCTAATGGGCTGTCAAAACCAGGAAATTAATGGGCATTCGAAACCATGAAGATTTGATCCAGACTTTTCTGTCAGTGTCCTTGACTGCTGCCTCAACAAGCCACCAGCTTCGGTCCCAGATTAGCCTCATGCATAAGTAATGCCCACAGAGGCCTGATTTGTTTGCTCTACTTTTCACAGGTACACATGCTTTCTCAGGCGTCACTTAACTTAAAGCAAATTTGAATTGACTTGCAAATTTGAACAGAAAACAACCACATTGTGTTTGTGCGGTGGGCTGACTGCTTTGTTGATAACGTGAGGCTTGTTACTCATCCAAGGGAGAGAATTTAAAATGCAAAATATATCTCTGAGAGGAATTAAATCAGACAGAGCAGAGCGAGTGGTCAACAGTTCAGTCCCATTATTTCGAACAAACAGTGAGCTGAAATGTAATAACCTGCCGGAGTTTGCTGCAGTCCTGTTCCAGAGCTTAAAACCCTCTGTGCTGTGGTGAAGATGGAGTGGCTTGTTTAAGAGTGAGAGATCCCATTGAAACAGGGAGTAAGGAGCACTCTGCAGCTCTATTTCACCACAGGGGGACACAGTCTCCCCCCCTAGGCACCAAAATAAAAAAAACCTTGTACTGAGAAACAAAAGACTCACAAACCTATCATAGTCTTGACAGATCTCTCCCACTGCGATCAGAGCCTTCAGGTACTCATTGGGCTGGTAAGGGTTGATGTAGTGCAAGGAGCAGCTGTTCCTGGGGTCTCCGTTGGACGCTGTGAAGTCAATGGCAACCTGGTGGGAAAGAGTGTACACCATAAACAACCCGAAAAAAAACAAAAAACAAATCAGTTTTCTGCTTATTAACTTTATTGCACTGACTTGTATTTGGCCGGTTATTATATCATACTGTGTGAGCGAGCCTAAAATATGCCAAATGGCAGCATAAATTATCTTATCAGCGGTAAGAATTTGTACTTTTTTACTCCCACACACACAGTAGATCGAAGCAGCTAAAGCTCCCATACACTGTAGATCCAAGCAGCCAGCTATTTCAACAAAGGAGGGATTGCAACCACCGCAGAGGTCCTCCTGTTTATTATTCACTGCTTCAGTAATAATCCAGCCACAGAGTGCAAAGGAGCAGTGAGAGCAGACCAAAGGCTATGAGTTAAAGGAGGTGAGAATTTATTCAACCCAGCTGCCACACAACAAGAAAACTGACCGTGGACGTGGGCACCATCAGGGGAGGTTTGAGGGATTAAAGATCTCATGATGTTTTCAATGGTGGAGAAAATATTCAGATTCTTCACTTGATTAAATAATGATGATAATAATAATAATAATATTAATAATAACGTTTGTTTATGTAGCACCTTAGAACATCTCGGGAGATGAACAAAGTGCTTTACATAACAACTACACAGTCAAATAAACAATTACAGGAAAAAGAAAATATCTGACGAGACAAATGTCACAGGATATCATAACAAATTCAAAGGAATGAGAATACAAAAACTATCAAATACATAGCAAATGGCAAATGTCACTGAACATTAAAAGCCTGTCTAAATAGGTGAGTTTTAAGATGGGTTTTAAAGAGTGCCAGTGAAGAGAGGGATACCGGGAACCGATGTAGAGAGGAAGGTTTAAATGTATTAAACCTCATAAACGTATGTGAAATTACCCAGGTGTAGATAAAACTAGAAACAGATTGAAAGAAAGGAACTTAATTCAGAAGTATTTACTTTAAACATTATATCATAACGTTACTCTTTTAATTTTAAAGATGGATTTTACATAGATGTGGGAGGTGGGATTATTTCTATAGGAATCTGATGAAAAACTATATTTTTGGTCAGTATAAAGTCTGATGGTTTTCTTTACTAACTGGTAAAATTCATGATTATGATATTAAAAAGAACTGCATACATTTGCAACTGAAAAATAATTTAATCAAATTCAAATGATATGAATAAAGCAGAACTACGACATGTTTGCGATTGTGACAGGAATCCTTATGTTAACCTCAACAGATATCCTTTTCTACGGTGGCCCTGAGGTGCAAAACACAACGGCAAATCAGAAAGACACAACACAAAAAAAGACAAAACATCAACAAATAAGAAAACAACACAAAAAGAGAAAACACAACAGGAAATCAGAAGACATTAACCATTTTGTTTTCTGATTTGTTTTGCACCTCAGGGCCATTGTATTTTTCTCAGGGATAATCATTAAATTCAACACGTATCATTATGGAAAAACCTCAACAGTGATTTTTAATTGCATCTTTGCCCACTCCCACACATTTAACAATGCCTGGTGATTCAGGGAGTTGTTCTCACTAACACAAAGTAAGGCTGCAGGTATTAGCAGCCTGGTGGGGAGTGCGATATTCTAAGTAGTTGACCAAAGAGTAAATCATACCTAGCTGCAGGTTCTCTCTGTGTTAGAAAGCTTTTCTCTTCATGTTTAAATATGCAGTTTGAACAATTTGATTCTTTGTCAGACACTGTTGGACTCTACAGATGTAACGGTGACTTTATGAAGTCTGTCCTTCAGTTGAGTACCCTAAAATGAAATCAGGAGACAAACTTCAGGTCTGGTTCTTTCAAGTGAGCTCTGGCACCATAGCAACCAACGACCATACTTGGTAAAATTTAATGCCGACAGTGTCCTTGATAAGTTGATTCTTTGTTTGATGAGTAAAAAGTCAGTGAGGAATAAGAGCTGCACTTTCATTTTGAAACTGAATTGAAATTATCACAAAGCCATCCTTTAAAGCCATAAATGAAACACATAGAAAAGAAACACTTAAAAACATAGTTGCTGTTGTCAATTGATTTTTCTGTCTACTGTTAATTTCAGTTACACTTTGATAGTAAAATTTGACCTATTTCCTTACCTACTTCCCCCTGTAAAATGTTGATAAACAATTGAGTAAAGAATAAGTTTTAAAAATTCTGTATTTGCTTGAAAAAAGTTTGCATGTTGTTTGTTTCACTTTGAAGAACTTTTATAACATATTGCATGCTAATGAACCAGTAAAGATAAATCCTACTTAAAGGTGGGTGAGGCAGGATTCTGTTAAAGAAGCATCTTTGTTTTGTGGTGTATATACAAAAAAGCTTTTAATATCAGTCAACAGCTATTAGTTATTGATGACATTTGGTAATATAACGATATCGCTGTGTTTTGTGATGTCTGCATAGTCAACATTTTAACATTTTTGAGCGGCCCGCAAAACATAGCTATTCTCCGCCTCCCCCAACCTGATTGGTTGTGAGGCTGACGCTGCTCCCTCATGTTGTGAGGCACGCTCCACATCCTTGATTAAGTTCACGAGACCAAACAAAGTTAGCGTGCTACGATATCTGACAGTAGAAACCAACCACAAAGTGTTGAAAATTGTCTGAATCCTCCTTTGGCCACGACTGCCAACACAAGCAAGAAAACGAAGTAAATCCCAGAAACTCTGGCGGAATAAGGGTCTCTTAAAACAGAGGTAGTCCGGGACAAGAGCTGAAAAGCTGGGTCGATGGGGAATGCTTTGGGATCTTATGGACCCTGTAAACTTTCTGCTGGACAGGCAAACCGCTTTAACAAAGTAAGCCAAGTGTCTGTAACAGAAGTGTTTCTTGTCAAACGGGACCTGCTGTAGCGTGTTGTAGCGCCGCTAAACTGTTGACCTCGGGTTCTGGACTATGTCACTTTATCCTAGTTGTAGAAGTCCTCCAACATTGTGTTTGCTGGTAGTCTGTTGGCATCTACAGTAGCACCAATGCTTTTTACTTTCACATGGACTGGGCCCCATTTGTAATTATCTGAAGTATTTATCACAGTTTTAGTTTAATCAATAATATAGGATATGTCATTCTCCTGAGGCACTTAAGATAAAATAAGATCTTTATTTATCTCTGAAGGGAAATTCAATTGTCTGTAGTCTCATTTGTCATGTCTCAAAAAGTCATCTACCATATTTATATTCACTATTTATAGAGGAGTGAAGCAATATTAAAAGCAGATGGCTAAATTTACCGTGAAGTGGATCTGGCATCCTCCCATGATGTAATCTAGGAAGGAGTAGACTCTGTGGAGCTGCAAGAAAAAAAAAATAAAACAACATCTCTATAAGGGTAAACCTCAGAGGGGATGTTTTGATGGGAGAGTGTTTATTCAGCAATGTTTATGAATGCATCTGTTCATTAAAACATCATTAACTGAACAAATCTGTTGACTATAAAGGCTTCGAAAAATGCAATACATTTTTGTCAAAGCAATGGGAGCTGAAGATGTCCCTGGTGAATCCAGCTGAGAGATGTACAGTGAAAATATCGTTACCTTTTATAGATAGACAAGATTTCTGTGGCAGATCCATACCTTAAGGTCACTGAGGATGACAACTCCTGAATTTTTATAGTTTCTCTTCTTCTGTTTGTACTTTGGATTCACACAATCCCACATCACCTGACAGAGAAGAAGTTAAAGACAAACACTTATAATTGTGATTATTGGTGATATATCTTAAGCAGTTACTCCCTTTTAGATAGATTCAAGTGAATGAATAAGAAGAACAATTGGAATGAGTTTTAACAATGATTTTCTCTGACCTTTCCACTGGAAATTTTCTGCATTTCCCTGAAAGTCGTGTAGAACTCGCCAATGAAGTCGTGCTTCCCCCTGGAGTCATAATCCCACACCAGGCACTGTTGCACACAAAGCGCTGTTTACAACCTTTTCAGTCTGCACGGGTTATTCACACAAGCTGCGTTTACATGGGCACAAATAATCGGACTAAAGGCCCGATCGGAATAAAAATTCGTCATGTAAACATGTCGATCAGAAGATTCTGATCCAATTCGGCTCGTTCGGCAAGAAATTGTATTCCGATCGAGAGGGGTGGTTTATGCCGATCGTTATTACAAAATGCATGCATGTTAACACTTATTCCGATCGAGACTCTCTGACCTGACTCAGTCTTCACTCTTTAGCTTATTTATTGGAGTCAGTACAGGAGGTTTCATTATCAACACAACTGCAAGTGCCATGTCTGCTCCTCTGATAACATAACAAGGCGTACATACAGCGTAATGATGCCACATCTGCACGCACAGTACAACTTTTGACACAACAGTAAAATAAGTACGCAAGGGCGCCATCTAGTGACACCATTTCACAGAGGGAAAACTCCTGAACTAGATGGAGTGAGCTACTACGGCGTTTGTCGGTTTGTTGACAGCACAGGCGTAAATACAACTCTTCTTCTTCAACGCTTCGCATGTCCAAATGCTTCTAATCTGAATAAAGATTAGCGCATGTATACGCATGTCATGATCGGATAAGCTGATTTTGCTCCCATATAAACAGTGGATTCAGATTATCTGATCCCTCAAATTTTTAATCGGATCAAGAAATTTTGCCCATGTAAACGTGGCTACTGTGCTTGTTGATCCCTTTATAATTCCATATATCATGTCAAAGTACACAAAATGCTTTCTTGTTAATCTGACTCCAACTGAATCAGCCAAACAAACAGTTCCTGAGTCAGTAATTTCTGTTACTTTTACAGCTGTGGACTAAATGTTACCCCTCACCTTAAGCTTCCGGTCTTCATCACAGCTGCACAACGATATGAGAGACACTTTGAAAGGCTCCCACACAGGATTCAGGTTGTTTTTAATCACCTGTTTGCAAAGGAAAACATTTTATGTGAGGCAAAGTGGTAGACACAGCTGCTATTGTTGAAAGAGAAATGAGGATGCGGTTGAATTTACCTCAGTTCTGTGCACAAGCTGTTCAGTTTCATCATCATTGATTTTGTAAATTTCCAGAAAAGGGTCTGACTTACTGAAGAGATCCTGCAGAGAAAAGCAAGATATCAAAACTGATGGTTGAAATTTCACTGTTAAACTCTGTTTGAATCTCCCTCTAAAATCTCTTTAAATCAAGTCAGGAATAATGTACAGTGTGCGAGCATTCATGCTGAATAAGATCCCAACAGGATGAGACAAGACCTCGAGCAGATGTACAAGATTTGATTTGAATGTGATGTGTGATCATATTAAATAAGGTATTTGGAAGTACTAATGATCATCACTAGGGTTTTGACCAATCAGAATCCATTATCTAATTTAACCAGGCCATTAGTTAACTAGCTAGGTAATAATGTAAATTATTCACAATGTAAAAATAGGTTAAAATACTCGTTGTAGTTTCTTTCATGGACTTACTCTTTCAAGAGGTCCTAGTGAGGACAAGATTTAATCAATGATGAGTACTTTTGAGCTGATAATTTGGATTAAGTTTGCATATTTAGCTCAGGATTATGAAGAACAGACATATTACATAAAAAAATCAGTTCTCTGTCAAATGAAATACTGACGGCCACTGACTCAGATTAATCACAGCTGATTAAAAAGGCAGAAGTAATTGTCTCTGTGATTTAAGGTCAGGAAGAAGCAGACGTAACATTTACAGCACAGCAGGGAGCTCTTTCAGAGGAGACATCATTAATGAAGTGAACAAAGAATGATTTTAAAAAACCTGCAATCGTTCATTTCTGTGTCACAGGTGAATTTGTCATTTTCCACTCTTTATCTTTTCTAACTCTTTTACTTGAGCTCTGTCTTTCTCTTAACAGACACCTGTTCTGCGCTGACGTCAGTAATATCTCGACTTGTTTAAAAGCCTGTAAAGAATATACACTTTCTCTGGTGTTGCATTACTTCCATTGTGTAGAAGGCCATCTTCAACAGCCCGGTAATGACTAGTTGTTTCTACCATTATGTATTTGAATCAGCTCAAAAGAGGCCGTGTCCATCAGTGTTGGTTAAAAGCTCTGCTTGATTGAAGTAAAACGCATGATTTCGAAAAGTTTACGGTTATTTGTGGAAGTCTTAAATGATGCTCAGGGCCTCGAGTACACGCACTGGAGAGCACAGGAGCACTGATTGTTTACGTCAATTGATTCTTCAGGGAGGAAATCAAATAATTACTGTGTGTTTGTCAGTTTGTGTGTGTCTGTGTGTGGCTAAAGACCAGGGCCAGTGTGTGTGTCGGGGGGCTTGTGTGAGACAGTTAATTCTGCATTTCCCGCCACATTAGCCTGATACATCTCCTGAGGGACGCAATCAAAAGAGCTGTAGCATCCTCTCTTTGTTGTTATGGCAACCGCTCTCCGGGGGCATCGGCAGCATTGACTGATCAGACCCGCAAACGTCAAAATTTAATCCCAGACTTACAATAACTCAAATGTTAATCATTGCCAATTATCACGATTTGAGGTATATCATCATAAATCCTCCTGTTCATTAGTGACCATACCAGGATCCTTCAATAATAACTGCAGGTTGAGAGGTGATACAGCAGACAGGAAGCTAATTACACAGAGTTTGCTGCTTCACTTATCTGCTTGGAGTGTGAAAGATAAATTATTACTCCCAAGAGATCCATCGCAGCTAATTAGCATTGTAAAGAAAATGTATGATTGTGTGTGATGAACCTGATTGCTGATGGAATCTAATTACTACGGGAAATTAGATAATTGTGTTAAACAAGTTTCGAGCACGACAGGATCTTGAAAGTTACTCTGACCTCTTGACAATTACAATGTACCTTACATATAACCTCTTCGTTGTTATGAATTAAGTAGTCGAAGATGATAACGTGTATTTGCAAACAAGAGATGAAAAAATAATATCAAAAATGGATGTATTTCTCCCTCTTTAAATGATTATTTATGATATTTCTGCAAGTTTGCTTTGAAATCACTGGTAAATGAAACGGCAGAACATTTAGCAGTGACTTTGGTAGGTGATGGAGAACAAAATTCTGGAAACAGTAGAGCAAATATTGGGTTTACATCCACCGTGGGTCCTAAAGCGTGACCCTGAATGAATCTGTGGTGAGTCTGCTGCAAGTATAGACTGGCAAAGTGAAAACATGCACACTATAGTGACCCGGTGGGTCATGTTTTTACACACCATTTCTCCACATCTTACATGTCCAAAATGTGACAGCTGTTTGTTTAACTGTAGAGAAATCCCAGTAGACGTCATGTGAGTTCAAAAAACAACCCCAGAGATGTCTATAGAAGAGCTCTGCCTCTTTCTGCAGCAGGCTGGACATGTGAAGCAAATATCACATGTAGGGGTGATGATGCATAAAAAGCACGGTTTCTTTCAGTTGCCCTTTTGTATGAAATCCATTTCCCCTTTGAAGCGAGTGCAGGTGCAAACTGCACCTTGAAAAAATTAACATGTTTGACAGAATTTAAATTGAAGAGCACATGAAATCAAGGTCATCCTGGCTGCAAGTGTGGCATCCTAAAGCGTGCTCCCAAAAACATGCGAGCGTTCAGATCATCAGTGTTGTAACTGGATGAAAGCTCCTGCTGTCTTTTTGATTGAAATACGCCTTCAGCAAACTTTGACAGTGTGAGAGCAGGAGCAGCTAAGGTCAGTGATATTCAGCCTTAAAGGGGCCGTAGAAACTCAACCACTGTAAACACTCTGGTGATTTTAAAGGTTAAATGGTCAAGTAGAGACTAGTATCTACAAATAAATCATCATTGAAAATGTATGTATAGGAAGTTAGGAACAGGAACATACAGGAACTCTCAAGCTCATGCTGTTTATTACTATATCCTTGCTTTAACATTAAATCCAATACAGATTAACTACTGAATTATGATATAATCCCTCACATATGCATCGCTACAAGGCTCCTGCTGCATTGTCGGTGACTTTGAGGCTGCTGTGTAGTATCAAAAGGATCGTATCACTTCCACTATAATCCTTGTCTGTTGCTTTCAAAACATACTGTATGTAATGATACATCATGAAATCTGTTGCTATTTCCGTCAGATCCGTGTCTTCCCCTCACCTTATCATCCAGCTTCTTGGCACAGAAGGAGAGCTCTAAATATCCGTTGTTGCCAGATATTTCTTCAGCGTGCACCTGAAAGAAAAGAAAATTTAAATTAAAACGTGATTTTTTTTTTGAAAAATTATACTTACTGATATGTTTGCCATCATGTAATATTGCTGTTTGTCCTTTTTTATTTAAAAGTCTAACATTTTGATAGTCGTCACTCTGACACATAGACTCCCTCTCCAAAGAGATAATCAGGTAAACCCTTCACACAAACATAATCTGTCATGTATCGCCGTCTAAAACACGAACTCAATGGAGGCATTTGATGAAGAAAGTATTTGTCGAGCGCACCTTTCTTCTTCCCTTGCAAAGAGCTGGTTTAACTATTATCGCTGTGGCACTTTGGCAAGCAGTTAAAGTGAGATGGCTTTTACTTAACTCAGAATTGCAACCATTAAAACCGGTCCAAGTAAAGAGCTCCATTAGCTGCTAACCACTAAGCCTCCACTATTACAGCTTATCATTTCAATTTTAACATTCAACTCCTTTCTGTTTTAATGTCTGGTGCATATTTCTGAGATTACTGGAAAAGAAAAGGTCAGAATTGTCATTTTTTTAGAAGCAGTGAACATGGTCTGCTGGGCTGTCTGGCTCTTGGAAAACAGCAGTTTGCTCTCTCTCTATATTTGAACAGACAGGAACGTATGTCAGACAGCCAGATCTGCAGCTGTAGAGTGAGCGTGGCCATCGTCTGACAAAGCTTGACAGTGATGATTGGCAAAGTAGGAAACTTGTACTTTTTATCAGTCAGCCTGCCTTGACAGGTGCCAAGTGAGCAGAGAAATCTCTATGAAAGGTGTGGGCAAAAGGTGTGCCTGTGCAATTCTCTGTCTCTGTGAGCTTGTATTTTTCTATGAGTGTGTTTTTCCATAAAATCTGATTCAATCTTGTAGATATCAATGAGATGAAAATATATACTTTCAAGAGAGATGTGTTCCTACAACACCTGTGAAGACATGTATAATAGAGACCACCAGAAAGGTTGAAATTTTAAACGATGACAGATTTAAGGGTTCAGGTCAGGGTTGAGATAATGTTGATAATGTTATAAAGGATGGTGATGATTATTTTAAGGATGATGAAGATTACTTTTGCTGTCAATTCACTGCCTGTAATTTTGTGAAGCAAAAGAAGGATAGTCGACAGGGTAAAGATAATGATGTCAATGATGATTGCAGTGATGTTGATAAAAATATTATAATGATATAAGAATGGGGGAAAAAATGAGGGATGATGGTGATGAAGAAAATAATGATTTAAGAATTAGGATAATGAATTTGTTTTAAAAAGCTAATTGTTCAATTAAAAAAAAAGACGAAAATTATGTTGGCAACAACGAAGATGCCGAGGATGGTGAAGATAACAGTAGAGAATTAAAAAAAACACGAATGGTGAAAAGGTTTAAATCGTTTAAATGATTTCAATAATGAAAATGACGTCCTCGACAAGGAAATCAAGGAAAATTTGGCAGTTTTGACCATATCAATAATGATGAGAGTGATAACAAAAATGAGGATGATATTTATGATAAAAGGGGTGAATAATAATACAATACAATAATGTTGCTGATGACGGCAGTGCTAAAAAAGCAAGATTTGTTCAAATTATTTAATAATGACAAGGCCAATAGGGAATCAATGATAATGGTGATAATGATGATGATGGTGACAAAGGTCAGGATGGTGATACTGATGATTATTGTGATGATGGTTTCACTTGTGAAAATGAGAATGATGAGGTTTATGATAATGGGGATGATAAAGGTGGGGATGACCATGATGTTGACCATGCTGCTGATTATGGTAAGAAGGATGATGATAATAATGTTATGGATGTTAATGATGATGTTGTTTATGATGATGATGAGGAGGAAGATGGTCATGACAATCATGGTGATCAATGATCATGTGAAAATAATGATCATGTGATGATGATGAATATTGCAATAGCATTGGGGATAATACTGTAATTGATGATAATCATGCTGCTGCTGCTGTAAATGATAACAAGGATAATTATAATGATGACGGTGTTTTGTCTGCTGCAAATAATGATATAATGTTAGTGATGTAATGTAATGATAAAGTAAATAATGATCATGATGTTATTGATGTAACGATAAAGTAAATAATGTTGTTAACGATGACAATGATTATAATGATAGAGGTGATGATAATATTGATGATGATTACTAAGATCATCATAATGGTGACAAAAATGATTATTAGTAGTCATAATAACAATAAACATGATGAGGATAGTAATGATTTTAATGGTGTTGATGACGATGTTGATAATAATGATGATGATGTCATTTTGATCTACTAATGATGATGATCATAACGATCATGAGGTTATTGTAATAAATGGAATAATGATGTGAAAATGATGATAATGAGAAGGAGGATGAGGATGATCATGATAGTGATAATGACGTTAATGACCAAATAGTTATTGAAGTGAAGGTCAAGAGTTCTGAGGGACTGGTTTCTGTAGCGATTAAGCTGTCTGTTTAAAACAAAAACCCAGGAACACTGCGGTGCTGAGATATTTGCTCCTTCTGGCAATAAGCAGTAAAGTCAACATAAATTGAGGGATCCACATTTATTCAGATGGAATCGACAATCTACAAGAACACAAATTGCTCTCTCAATGTGTGTACTTATGACTAGTGTTATAAAACAGAATCAACCTTTTTGCTTGTGGTGATGATATGAGTGTTTACCCAATCTTATTCAAACCTGCCACCCTAGCTCTTTCCCCCAGTTCCATAAGAACACTGAATGGCATCCATTTTTTCAATCATTTCACAGCCGAGCCTGAGGTCCTCATTATCCTTAGAACTGACCCCTGGTAGGTTTATTGTAAACACTTAGGAAATGCATCATGCCCACAAGAGTTCTCATAAATAAACACAACAAATGTCCAAATGTGTCTGTGCTTGTTTTCTCACTCACAAAAACTGGTCATCTATTCATCCCTGTACATATAGCATATTTACAGATGTATTCATGGATACAATCAAAGTATAAACACATACTGTATAAGGGTACAGTGAGCAGAGGAGAAGCAAATGGTACAGTATTTTAAATGCAGTAAAAAACAAACAAACAAACAGAGACGTTTTAGTGTCAGTGTGTGTGGGTAGCAGCTACATGCTGGATGAGGGTTTAGCATTATAAAGCTCTGAATGATGCACTGTACTCTCTATATTTGTTAAAGGAGATGGTCCGAAATCCCCCTGTGTGAATACTCAGAGTTATCTGGCAGACCTTAGAAAGGCTCTTTGCTGTGGGCTCTAGCTGGTGTAAAATCTGGCAAAAGATGAAACTATAACCATTTAAAATGGATGAGTTTGTCTTTAACTTTTCCCATGCAGCACAGAGGAGTTCAAATTTCAGGCTGGGTCGGCTCTGTTTGCAGTGATGAGGGGGAAAAGCTCCCTCCCACTTACAGTTGGTTGTGTTATAGAGTCCAAAGCCTGTTATGTCCACATCCTATACTGTATATAATTAAAAAGACAATATTGCTGCCTTTATTCTGCAGACCAGCTGGAAACCTAACACACTGAATCAATATTGTCTTGTTTCATATATAGCTCCCCCTCACACATGTTAGCTGTGGGATGGTGGTTACTGAACCAACATCTCCTCTCTTTATGTAAATTCTGATGTATGCATCATTACATACAGAGTTGTCTGCTTCCTGGGTGTACTGGTATACCTTCTAGAAATGGTTTGAAATACCACCAAAACGGGTGCTACAGGATATAAAAGGTATTCATACAGGATGATTACTTTAAATGACTGTAATTGCAACAAATGATATTTTCTGAAAGTTATTAAATCATCCTAAACTGTTTATGCTGCTGGATACTTGCTCAATTTTCCTAATCACATCAGATAAGAAAGGAAAAAAGAAAATAAGACAGCTATCAGAATCGAAGCCCAAAATGATGCCTAATAGTGAACAGATGTAGGCCTAGAAAAAATCACTGGAGACAGGTTTCTTTCTGTTATTACCCATCAATTTGACAGCCAGTACTTTACCTAGCTTTGCTGGCCATTAGTGGCCTCATCCACTTCAATTATGTCAAGCAAATCAGACAATTTCAGCCACCACAACAATACACTAATGTGCACAGTGTAGCCTACCGTGATGGTGGATTTGCCGGCATATTTCCCATACTTCAGCAACAAAGGCTTCACCATCTTCTTTTGGGCCACAATCTGCAAAGAGCAACATAAACACAATGTTGGCTTTCAGACCTCAGCAGTAAGAGGAGAGAAGAGGGATCTGAGTCATCAGCACCAGTGATAAACATCCATAGCTCACTGTGCAGTTTCACAGAGTAAATATACAGTAGGTATATTTGGAGGGAATCTTTACTACCAACACAACAGACAGAAGGGAGTGAGTTAACATGATTTATGCCGGATGAAACAAACATAAATGTTGGGTAACTGGTAAAAAGTTCCTACCTGGCCGAGAGTGCACTCCACCCCACCCAGAAAGTCGTCATCTCGGGTCCCAATGCTGTGAGTGCCATGGATGTCATAGACTTCAAATCGCAGTTTCTGGACCTCCTCGAAGTAGTAGTCCAATGAGAAAACCTTGGCAAAGACTGGGTGCAAGTTGCTCTTGATCACCTCTGTCCTGTCCAGCTGAGAAAAAAACATAACGCACAAGAGTCAAACCTTCACCTCGAACGCAAGACAAGACCTTGCAGAGGTAAGCCTTTCTTTGAGGACTGCTGCAGTAGTATCTCACAGGAAAGAGAAGCTTTTAAAACAGTTCTGTTGTATTTTAGGAGTACTCCAATATACACAGAGGAGTAAATGTTAATGTATTCTGTCAAGAGGATGATATGAGAGAAGATTGGAGGTCTCAGATGTTTAATCACAGCACCCATGCGTGTCTTTTAGTGGCTGACAGGGAAAAGCTGAGCTCACTGAGGCACCGTCAGCTCATCATGTAGGATTTAGCTCCCACACAAGATCTACGGTCATATATATAGTGCCCAATTTATCACAGGGACCAGTAATTATCAAAAATAAGTCTACATGAGTTAATTTTAGCTTTAAAGAATGATGCACTGACAATGAATTAGAGATTACATTTAAAGGAAATGGCTTTTTTCTAACAACTAAAACTGTCTTTCAACGGTCATCCAAATCATCGTCCCACGCTTAGGCACAAGTTTTTTTTCTGTCACAGTGTCCAAGCTCAAATCTATTTTTATAGGTTTTCAGCAGTCTTCAAGTAAACCCACTGAGTATTTATGTAATGGGGGAAATAATCATTGCAATAAGCATCAACAGAAATAAAAGCTTTTGCTAGCAAACAATTCAAAGAAATAGAACTAATAAAAAATATGAGCAAGTATGTTTTTGTGAGCGTATTTTCATGCAACTCATTGGCTGATCTAAAGATTTATTGAGTTTACAGGCTCCAAGTAATTACATTTATCTGATTCGTAATGAGATTTTTCTCATTTTACAAGACTTGATGGTAATATTGGAAAAGAAAGCAATATTGGAACCCCTTTTATTCCGCCTCTAGGAAACCAAATCCATTGTATGATGGTTGAACAGCACCTGCAACCCCCTCCCTGCACTTCTCATTAGAACTGGAAAGGACTTCATGCAGCAATTTCTGCAGCTTCCTCTCCACTAAGTTGTTATCCAACCACCTCTAGCTGTTCAGTCTGCTTTGTAAAAGGTAAAAAGCCGTGTTTGAATGTCTCTCCAAAGCAGCCTTTTCTTTTTCTGTGCTCTGTCGTTTCCATTTTTTAAAAGGACTGTTTCATCTCAACCTCTTTCTATGACAGCTTTTCTTAAACTTCATCTTTGACAAGTCTCCTTGCTTTATTGTAAAATGTTCTTGCTTCTAGAGGTTGTTTTGCCAAATGTCATCGTTAAAACCTGGGTACTTCTTAGCATATAGGTCTATGAACTCAGCTGGAGGAACTGACACCACTTTTCCTAGTGTATCCTTTTAGTTGCTGTTTTAGTGAGCACTCGTTAAAGACCCACTCTGATGAAAATCATGTTTTTCTTGTTGTCTACATGTCAGTATGGCATTTTTCTGATACTACAGGACATATCAAGAGAAAACTAAATGTGAAATTGCTTTTCCGAGTATTTCTGCTTTCAAATCACTGTGAATCTCTGGCAGACCCAATCAGCAGGTTCAGGAAAAGTGAGATTTCATATGTAACCAATTCAAGCTCCGCCCCCGGAGCCACGCAGTGTAGGCCAGACTCTGAGAAGTAGAGAGGACGATCGCAGAATAAGTGTGTGCGTTAGCAGATTGCAATACTCGTAAAAAAGCTAATTATGAAATTCGCTTCCATCATGTCCCTAAAGGCAATAGTGTCCAAGAGCCGAATAGCTCCTATGTTACCTGCCACTTCTACTACACCGGCAATGTTAGGCTACAAGCTAGAGTGAAGACAAGTGTACAGAACAGCGCTGTCTCCGCCCACGACTCAAAGGCAAATTGCTAATGAGCTACTGGAGCTCTGCAGAAGAAAAACCCTTGAAAACGACACAGGTAACGCATTTTTAGTTTAAAAAAACTTCATAATAACAATTTAAAGACCACTGATAACACTGTACGTAGTAAAAAACAAAACAAAAAAACAATCAGAGTGGGACTTTAAGAAGGCTGCTCCAAAAACTGCCATAGGTGTACAACAGGCATCAAATCTTGCAGGGTGAGGGGCAATAAAACATAATTAACAACATTTCATCAAACCATTCACTGACCCCTTGTTCTCTTTGAGCTGGGGCATCTTTCATCATTGTGAAAGAGAGCAGTCCTGTCACAGAAGAGACGTTTCATCACCGGATTGAAGTGATTCTATTGATCTGCAGAGAGTGCTCTGTATAATGGGACAAGTTTATCCAAACTGTGCTGAAAACACACCTCCCACCTGTATGCAAGCATCTTCATTATTTTCCACTCATATTTTATTTGCTAATGGTTTTCTTTGTTGGTTTCACCAGGAAAAGTAGCATAAAGCATCCTCCTGTTTAATGTAATTCTGAGTATTCATGCAACTGCCTGTCTCTATGCTGAGGACAGACGTCTGCCCAAAACATTCATGCATGAATAAACATTTTAATTGGGCTGCTGTCCTGCTCCTGTTGTTTTCAATTTTGCTTTTAAGCATTCAGCACAACAGGGTTGAAAGTGTTGAGCCATTATCCATTTTTTTTGGCTTTTATCAATATGCAATTCAAATTTTGGTTTGTTCAAATTAAAAAACATGTCACATTTGTATTTGCTTGAACAAAGAGATAAACATTACAGAGTTGAAAATAACCCTGTCATGGTTCTGGATAGATAAACGATCTAGTTTTTGAGCATCTGCTCCACTTTTCCTCTTTTGTAATATGCAAACAACGATAAATCTAATAATTATTTCTCTTTTGTTTTTATCTCACTAAGGCAAACATCACAAAGAAAGTAAAGAGCCTCCATCTTGGACTCATCTCCCTCAGCTCCATTCATTTCCATCTCTCGTTATTGTCTTTGCTTGCCGTCTCCTCCTCTATTTGTGCCATCTGGATGGACAGATTTGGAATGAGTCTGAAGAGTCTGTTTGTTGATGAAAGCTTATCAGAGCTATGGAGGATAGGTGGTGCTAAAGTCTACGACGCCTGTTTGTTGTTGGTGTGGGGCAAGGACTACAGAGAGTTTCCTGACATGGAAAATTAAAGCTTTCTCTCATCAGCGCTGCCAGGTATGTTGAGCTGTATCTGTCACACGGAGGCCCTCACTCAAGTAAGCTATCAACAAATAGGTATGAATAAACTCATCATCACGGAGAGTCCAGTTTATGCAAAAAGCGAAAATTGCAGTAGAAAAGAAATAATAATCCATTCATTTTCCTTCTGCATTTATCCTCGAAAGAGATCAGATGGTGAAAAAAGGCAAGAAAGACATTAAGCAGTTCAACAAATAGCAGAGGCCGTACAAGTGAGAGCTCAGAACAGAGGGAAGGGTGGCAGTGATATGAGTGGGCTCAGCCTCTTACTCAGTTATTGACGTAAGTAAACAATTTGCAGTGGTGTATCCCAGTGCTGAGGGAATTGACAGCGGAGGATTGGACAACCTGTGTACACTGTCAGCACTGTCAGATAGAGAGATACAGACAGCAGTGTAAGAAGTAAACATCTTCGACATTATTAAAAGTAGCAGTACTATATTATGCCATTTTATAACTACCACAAGAGTCTAAGCCTTCCTCAACAGCGACTGTGAATTTTCCCTGAAAGTGTACGAGTATGAAATCAGTGAAAAGAGAATCTGAGCGAGGATTCATGTTCAGGACTGTTTGAAAAGCTGGTTAAGAAACAGCTCATTTTGCCGCTCAGCCTCTTCTCAAGACTGTGTGGGCGTGGCAGACACATGTTGATTGACAGCTCCCTGCCTCTGCACACAACAACGATGCATATGACAATCAGCTTCTTGCAGCCCTAGATGATATGTTTGAGTTGTCTGTATGAGAACAAGAGGCTGAAGGAGCTCCGTCATCTGAAAATCATTAATTTACTTAAATGTTTCACCATTTCAAAATGTGAACTTTCTGGACTTGTAACTTTAGTCGAGATGCCCCTTTTAGTTTTTTTTGTTTTGAATGCAATGTGAAATGACTGACACTTCTCCTAAAAAATGCTCAACATACACCACCAAACATAAATCAACAAAACCACAGGCTAATGGTATTCAAACACAGACAACCATGGTTGACACACACAAAAAGCAGCCATTAGTATCTAAACAATCTAAGAGCTGACGTTTGGCTTTTTCTCGTGATTGGTTAGTGGAATTAATTATATAATGTCTATACTAGATATCCAAGGGTAGCCAGGCCCTATTAATACCAAATGGCATTTAAGTTTCCAGGGACTTAAATGTCAAAAAGTCAGTTTTGAAACCAATTTATTACACTGTTCAGATCAGAGGTCCCAAACTTTGCAATGACAAGTACCCCAAATGTCAAAATTTACTTCTTCAAATATTTCACATTTCAACAGCTTTTTCACAATTATTGATTTGTTTCCTCGTTCATTTGTAAACAGTCCGACACCAATTCTCTGCTACATCATAACCATTCTTAACACATACAGTATAGCTATTTTATGAATGCCAGCTCATCCCAAAAAGTTTCCAATGCCGAGGTAATATTTCATCTTTGTGGCTCTTTTGCAGCCGAGTTCTGTTCAGTCTGGATGTTCATTTTTATCTCTTTAAACAACCTTCCCTCACACCCTCTTGTGCATCCCTGAGGGTTCAGGACTCCCACTTTGGAAAAAAAAAAAAGAACAGCCTAGATGTTCAACATTGCTCCTAAATACATTTTTAAAACCTTTAAAATTTGGATTTCCAGCGCTTTTAAGGCAAATTACGCAACTATGATTACTGATTTGAACAGTAATGAGCTGGATGAGGCAGTAAAATCCCAGTGAATCAAATCTCATAAACTAGCCGTTTGTTTGATGAGCAAAACCGATATGTGCTGAGTCATTTTTAAAGAAAGAAAAATCAGAAAAAGAATTATTGCTCCATAAACCCTAATCTTTGAACTATTCTCAACATTGAACTTGATGTAAAGAAATGGATGGATGGATGGATGGATGGATGGATGGATAACTGATTGATGATTGGATGGGATGGATAACTGGATGAATTGATGGGTGGTTGGATGAATGGGATGGATGGATAGATAGAAGAATGAATGGATCTCTGGATGGATGGATGGATGGATGGATGGATGGATGGATGGATGGATGGATGGATGATGGATAACTGATTGATGATTGGATGGGATGGATAACTGAATGAATTTATGGATGGTTGGATGGATGGGATAGATGGATAAATGGAAGAATGAATGAATAACTAACTGGATGGATGGATAGATGGAGGAATAAATGAATGACATGGATGGATGGATGGATGGATGGATGGATGGATGGATGGATGGATGGTAGGTAGGTAGGTAGGTAGGTAGGTAGGAAGGTAGATAGATAGATAGATAGATAGATAGATAGATAGATAGATAGATAGATAGATAGATAGATAGATAGATAGATAGATAGATAGATAGATAGATAGATAGATAGATAGACCCTCTGACATCATTATATGCATTGGCCTCAGTAAGCAGGGCTTAAAATAGCCACTAATATATGCTACATTGAACCCAGGTCAGTCCTCTCATGTAACAACCTACTTACAACCAAGAAAAATCCATAAATGCTGTGTGCTTCACACCGTCAGCTGAGTGCTTTTATCATCACATGCCACATAATAGCGTCTGTGTTTCACGTTCATGAAGCCCAAACTCAACACTGTGCTTCCTCAACAAGCAGCTCCAATGTGGCAGTAATCGAGGACAGATGTACAGTTTCCCTCCCATAAAAAGATGGTTTTTATCGGTTGAAAGGTTTCTGGGAAATAAATCTTTATAATTAGACATTGTCCGCCAGATTTGAACAAATCCTCTACTTAATGGAGACCTGTGCTTTGGCGCTCCCTCATGAACTAAACAGCTTAATTAACAGGGAAGTGAGAGACCTGCTGCCTGTGCTCGAGATCAGCTTGGGGACCCATCCAAGAAAGTAAACATTTACTGCTGGAGCCAAAATCTACACACTTCGTTTCAGCAGCTGGGTGTTTGTCCAAGCTTGAAGACCAACAGAGTTAAATACAGTAAGACAATCAGAATCACTCAAAGCACACAGTAAAAAGTGTCAGACAGCTGTGGTTTTTAGCCCTGATCTCTTCCACGGTGATTAAAAAATTCCTTCACGTTCACTGAACCATCGACAGATTTGGTTCTTGGATTTTCATCTTGTGTGAAACCAATATAGAATACTTTGCACTGTTTAAAAGATAAATACATCATCTTATGAGTTGTTTTTCCAGATTTGAGAAAAAGGACTATGGGAGGAGGTTTGGCCAAGTGTAGATTCCCCACATCCCTGCTATGCAACCAATCACCCCAGAACACTGTAATTACAATAATTTGAACTCCTACATATATATATGACAACCCTTTGCACAGATAGGGAGATGAATAAAGGATGGTGAATTAATTTTTAAAATCTTCATGCAGCAACTCGCAGAATTCGTCCAATTAGGTCAAACTAGCATTTGTCAAATGGAAAGGAAAAAAAGGGGGGCTCACCTCTGTCCACTGCCCGTTGGTCTGTACCATGAGTATAACGCAGGGGTCTGACTTATTCAATGTGTCTCGGTCCAGAAGAGCTTTGCAAGACACTCGCAGCTCCACTTTGGAAACACAGGTAGCCGGGCCGCTGAGGCTGGTCGCAGGGGAGGTGGCCTCCTGAACGTCATTCATCCTGGCTCAGGGCAAGAGGAGCTGCCAACCAGTGGAGCAGTGGGAGCGGTGTGAGGATGGTGGAGGTGGCGGCGGCTCCAAGGGGACGTGTAAATTTAGTGATGGGTAGAGGAGGCTCAGTAAAGATGAGGCACACTCGCAGGAGGCAGGCTCTTTTGGCTTATGACACAAAAAAGAAGAGAGATTCCTGTTGAGTCCCAGGGGAGCAACGCAAACTCAAACTGCTATCACTGCCTGTCTGAGATATCCCCTGGTGAGGAGGATCATCTCACCTCGGTAATGATGAGAAGCAGGAGATGAAGAGGGGGGGTTTGTTCTTTTAGAAGTCTAGATCAGACTAGACTAATATGATACTCTCTACATCTTTGTAAATGCTCTTTATTTAACAAGGAAGGTGTAAAACCACAACTTAATCCACAGGTACAGAAACAGGGACTTGACTATCATTCTACCAACAATGATATTCTAACTCTGGATTCAGTCCTTAAATACAGGGTGGAAAAATATCCTGTTATTCAATCCAAAATAATATTTTCCTCTCTTCGTGACAGAGGTAAATAAAATTAAATGTAAGTGGTTGATAATAACAGTGATCCAGCAGACGTGGCAAATAGTCTTTGGTGACACTTATACACAATAACCACAACTTATAAATGGTAAATAGACGATTTATGAACGGTAAGCACATAGTTTATTAATGTTTAATCATCATTTATAAATAGCATATAGACCATTAATCAATTGTACATTTGACAATTTTAAAAACCTAACACTAACTTTACAATAACCAACTAGGTAATGTTTATAGATGGTTTAAAACCCAAATATTAACCATTTACAAAGTGCTTCTGACACACATTTTAATCTAGATGTTTTACAACCAATATTTAGACCCTATATAAACCTTTAATAAATAGTCCATTAATAATTAATGAAAATTATTAATCATAATTTCATTGCTATCAACTTACATTAATAAACTATCTATTTGTCATTTATAAATGGTCTATATGCTGTTTTTAAATGACGATTAAACATTGATAAACTATCCATTTAAAGTGTTACCTAATCTTTTTGATCAGGTGAGAACATAACACTAAGAGAAGGACTTAGTTGGAGCTGTTTAGGGTATCCACCCTGATAAAGTGTCCTTTAGCCAAGAGTTTCTGACCCCCTTAAGTGTTCTTGAAAGGTAAGTGAGTTTGAAGGCGGCTGGTTGGTGAGTGGGTGGTGTGTTGAATCTCTATCCCAGCTTGATTTTTTTTAACTCCAAGTGTCGCATTCTTAGGAGACAAATGAACCAGCGCGCTGTGCGTTTGGCTTTCAGCACCGCGGACAGCGCCCGCGGATTGTTCACCAGCTGGGGAACCAGGGGACCAGATGTGACCCAGAATCATCAATCTCACATGGAACCAGCTCGGTGCTGTAAATACATTCACGCTCGGAGGTTATGTTGCACGATCCGAGTAAAAGTTACACTTAAAAAAAAAAAAAAAGAAGAGAAAGAAAGAAAAATCCTCTGTGGAGAGCAACATGTCCGCGTAAGAGCGAAAAGCGCCGATTTCACACTTCCACTTAAAAAAACACGATACAGGAAATCGCCCTGCACTGTTTGTTAATATTCCAGTACAATAAATAAACTCTACTGCATATCTGTGAACACGATATTTTCCAGAATTACACGACAGGTTGAGCGTTTTTCTTTCCACTTTGATAACAGCGTCTGTCATTGAGAATTCACGCTGAATCCTCAACAAAAACAACAACAATCATCTTCACTGACAGTCAAGTTCAGAAAAGAAGAAACTCACTTCCTACCTGTGGTTGTTCCTCACTCTCAAACACACTTGTTTAATCCTCTCCCATAATAACACACTGCTTGATTCTCATTTTTTTTCCTCCACACAAACTCATTGGTTAGGCTGCTGAGGAGGGAGTAGGCTCAGCGTGTAGAAATGGAGAGAGCAGAGAGAGTCCAGCTGCTGATGTAAGGACGGAGGGGAGGTTTTAGCTGGGCTTGGATTATTGAGAGTTCGACTCAGAAATCGAGCCTGAAAGACAAACAAAGCTTAACTATTGACTTGTAACATAAGGGCAGCTATTTTAGGAATCCAAGCCAGAGGTGTGCTTGCAATGAGAATGTAAAAAGATAAACTTATACATGTGGTCGTTTATCATAGATATTCATTTGTCTTTAACTTAAAGTAATCTCTCTAGAACAAGCCAGGGTTTGTAATATGTGGTATATTTTAGTAAATATGCCAATCACAGACCAACTTTTGCCAATATCCATCTGTTTTTGTCCATCTGAGGAAGCCACTTTTGGTTTTTGCACATTTTTTTCCAACCACATCCTGATACATTCAAGTCTTTGTGTGTGCTTACTAAATGTATCATCATGCCTACTCTGATCATTTGTGTGTTTCCACTTCTTTAACCTTCACCAGATATAATACTTACAGAAAGAAATTAACTTACATCTAAGTCACAGGTAATATGTTTATGTTTGTGTCATCTTTGGCGCCCCCTGTGGACACAGCAGATATTGCTTATGTTGTCTTTTAGATGCTCAAGTCATGTCTTTTGACAAATTGTCTCGTTCTGCTGACTTTTAATGGTCAAATGTCTCATTTATCTTGACTATTTTAGGTATAAATTGTACAAACAGGGCTTTTTCTTCAGCTGCTCAGGTGACACCCAGCCCCTTGCACAGAGCCCGCCCAAGGCATAAGCGAACTAAGCGCCTGCTAAGGGCCCTGCGGCCAATAGGGGGCCCCCAAGAACATTAAAAAAAATAAAATAAAATTTGCATGCATGAGTGATGTTTTCCGTATGATCAAACATATATTATTGTAAAAACTAAAATAAAGCCCTATTGAGGCTTGGGCTGGCTCTGCCCTTAGCAATACAATTGACACAGATTGTTAATCTAATCCCTAATAGTCTTGTTTGCTGGTAGATGGCATGACAAGACATCCAAATGACTTCCAGTCTATTTTATAAATGTAAAAAAACTCCTTGTAGGAGCTTTAAATGACACTTCCAAAAGTTACACCTGAAAATGTCTCATTTGTATCAGGCTAGCCTGTAAATAGAAATATTCCCTTGGGCCAATATAAATATTTTAGGTCAGATTTTAAAGGCTTTACTGGCAGATAACAATAATGCATCCTAATGATAATGTACTGTTTAGATCTACAGGCATTATGGCCGTATTATGTAACCATTGCATACATTTGGTCTGCATTTCATACCACATACAGAATGTACCCACTTCTATATCACAATGTGACCTCTGATTGCAGTGACAGCACCTTTTCTTTCTTTTCCCAAACTTTCCGTTCAATCAGATTACAATCTAAAATGAAATACACAGGCTCCAATGCATATCTGAACATGGGAGGTGAAATTGGATAATGATCTCTATACTATGCAAATATGAACTCATAAAATATGGCAATTCATGCATGTGTTAAGGGGTCAGAGCTGGTTTTGTCTTACCTCATTAAAAAGCACATAAGATGCATGTAAGACAGGGACATAAAAGGATAGATCCTCCAGCAGCAAACCATCAGAACCAGAGCTCTATGTGGGAGCTCCAGACAGCCGTAGACATGACTCTGCTCTCTGACTGTAATTAAAAGCACAAACGCACACAAACTCACAAACACACACAAACACATACAGTACATGCACGGCGTATATGCCCATACACTTTAGCCTACTGTCACCCACATTAAAATGATCATGAGCTGATTCATCGTGTAGGTTTTCCAATCATATCACAGCGATGTATGTTATATAATGTATTTGTTTAAACACATTTCTGCTTGAATCTTTTCACAGCCCGCCCACAAATGTATTATTTTCATGAATGTATTTCCAGACATTGCATAACATTTATAGATTTTAGATTTCCCTGACTAAACAGCAGGGATAAACAGAATTTAAGGCCATTAAAGATAAAGCTGCCAAAGAGTAGACATAATTACTTGAGGAAATTTGGGTTCATCAAAACACACTTTAAATCAGGGAATAAAAGCTTTGGTTGAAAGCAGCGTGTGTGTGTGTGCGGTACGCTGTCAGTTACAGAGCACTCTGTTATAATAGAAACTTATAGACTTTTGTAACATTTTGTTCCTGAAGGCTTTTGAAATCTCAGGACTGTGAAGTGTCCTCCAGACTATGAAAATTTTTCTATTAAAGCTTTGCTGCATTACAACTTTATCTTTGAGGACATGACTGATTTGTTTGAGAGTTCGGACCCCCAGAAGCTTTTAGCAGGTAATATGATGTGCGCTGAAAACCAGCAGGTTATATTATTCTAACAGAGGGGGGAAAAAAATACTTGGCTCCCTGTTTTGTTGCTTGTTAGTGAGCTTTAAACCAAAGTGACAAACCTCTGCCTGGAAGTGCACACTCTTGTTCTGACATGAACTCTGGCTGCTTTTGACATCACCTCAAGTCAGTTCTGTGCCACATCTTCACCCCCACTGTCTCTCATTCCTCGAATATTCAGAGTCGATCTGCTTCGGGCCTCACACCTGAGCCCTTGTGCACCACAGCTTGAACAATGGCCATCTGCCACTGCTGCTGCTGAGTCTGCTTAACACCTCAGAGGATGTTAACAGCATTTACACATATATCTATCCATACTGATCTCCCCTATACACATTCACTGCTCGCCATGGTGATGATGACCACATTATATGCATGTAAAAATGGTCTGATGCACTCACATTTTAGTTAAAGTCGCTCTGGTGTTTTCATGTAATATTATCCACATCGTTCAAACCAGCAGCTCCCAGGACGAGAGGTATTTTTGAATGTAGGTAGTTTTTTTAATGCACACCATTGATCCTCCTGTCCTTCCTATTGGTGTTGGTAGCTGTATCACCTCTTTTAATGGTAATCAATCACTCTGCTTATGTTTCAGCTTTACTTCAAAGCTGAGAAGAAATGTTATCTCTGTGCATCTCTTGTAATCACTGTTTGCCTTACTGACCTACTTTTACAGACGAACACGTATCAGTTCCCCTCTTACATTGAGAACATGATACTCGCAGTAAATCATAAGGGTGAAGAGGACACTGTTAAGATTCATGCAAACAATAAGCTGCAGTCTCTAGCTGGATAGAGTTTATAGTCCCCGTTAGGATCAAGAGCCTCAGGTGAACAACTGTGACAAACAAGCTGCTCGTACATTCAGATAATTTTACACAGAAGTGAAATATTATCTGAATTATTAGTCCAATATTTACAGACGCAGACTGGTATCGGTACAAAAAATCCCACCCCACTATCCAGAGCTATGAACGGCTTTTTACCCAATCAGGGATCGTTCTTAAATACCCTGATGGTGAATCAGCACTAACCCACACAAACATCTATACAACATCCAGGTCAATATGTGGTTTATTGAGCGGAGACCTCTCGTTCAGCTGTTTTTCTGTCCCCAACCTGTGCGACAGGAAGTAGCGTACTGAAAACCAAGAAAAAGATCAGAGTTTAAAGTAAGATTTTAAGTTTGAAGGTTCCAGTTAGGTCGTTTTCGGTTCATGCCAGGTTTGTCCCTCGATGGATAAAGCGGTACCCTTTACATTTTGGGGGTTTTTGTCTTATAAAGGTATACATAGTGTTGTCTGACAAAGTAACAATCTTGTATTTTATGGGGTTGCTTTCTTTGATACTAACAAAGAGACCACCTTGTATGTTTCATAGCTCGACAAAAACTCCTCCAGTTTCAATCTTCCACAGAAATAAATCAAAAGGGGGGAAATGAAACATGTTCTTGAACTGAAGGAGCTCCCACCACAAACATGATGGACGCCTTAAATTTTAGATTCATTTCCTGTCAGTCGACTCCTCAGTCAATCGACTAATCGCCTCAGCTCTGGGTCAAACACCGATCAATACATTGACCTAATTAACATAATCCCTTCTTCCTCCTGTTATTGCTTATCACAGCTAAACAATCAAGACACCCGAATGACAAATGAAATTGACTGATGTATCATTTGGTTGCATTGTCAGATTAAGTTCTTCATTAATGTACTCAAAGAGGATTTTTGTTTGAAATCAGTGAATTTTAGAAGAACTCTTGACACATTACCTTTATTATTGTGCAGTATCCGATCATAAGAAAAATAGCACCATCTACTTGAGTTCAGATTTCAACCACATCAATCGCCTTTGGACCAAAATGACTTTACAGTCCACTCACCTCCATTAACTGAATTATTTATCTGCATTCAGGCAGCTGGAACACTAAGGGACACCTAAGGAGACACAGACAAGGACATTTAAGTCTCACCTCGTCCTGATATCCTTTAGTCTGCTGGTGCATGACAAAAGTGGACTTCACTACTATTACAAAGTTTACTCATCGAAAGCCTAGATTCTCTTTCTTAATAGTAATGTAATCCAGATTAGCTATGTGTTGCCAGCATACCCGGTAACACATAATCATCTGCATGAAAATTAAAATCTGAATTTTGCCTAAACACCTTTGGAAGAAGCTGGGAGCTCATTAAATTAAGTTTTTTCTCTCCCTAACCTGCACTACTACCCCTTTTTTGGTCTTTCATGGTTCAGGGACTCTGACTGGATTATTCTACAACTGGTTAAGACTGAATCTTGGCTAACTGCACCTGTTTAAATACATTATTTTCTGCTATGAGCATCCACTCAATGAGATGAGTAATCTGGTAACAAAATGTAAATTCTGTCCCAACCAAGACTATCACATCAGGTAAACCATACACATCTTTAAAAGTTATGTGCGCTATTCCTTAAAATCTGTTCTCAAAGTCATCTCTTACAGGCTAGTTTGTGACCACTAATGACAACACTTGAGCCTCTGGTGCCACCTACTGCTGCAACTATGCGCCAATGCATCAGGTTGTGTAATCTGAACAATTCAGCCTGAGGATAATTTTTTCTTGGCAGGTTTTGCTTTGCTGAGCCAAATCTTAGAAAAGTGCTTATGCCTCCTAAAAAAAACCCACTTGATTTTATTTAAAAAGGGGAAGAAACTGGTTATTTATCTGGAAATTCTGCAATCCAGTCAAGCTGCTTGTTTCTTGTTCCTATTGCTCTACATAATGCCTTTCATCAGTTTATAACTTACTGAATAGAGAATTTTCAGTCTGCTTTCATTTAGACCAGGGGATGTATTCCTAAAGATTCTTAGTGCAAAGAGTCGCTCCTAGAATCATTGTTTTTTTAGAATTTCCCCTAAAAGTGAAGAGTAGATCCTAGTAAAGATAAAAGCAATTGCTCAAGTATCCTAGCTCTTAAGGTGAGATCCGTTAAGAGCAGGGAAGAGGACTTTTAAGCGGCTTAGAAGCTCCCTAAGCTGAAGACAAAATAGTGTACAAAAGAGGCAGGAGAGATATTCTCCAAACACTGGATGACAGTGAATTAATGAAACGCTACAGATTAGAATGTGAAGGAATCATGTTTGTGGTTCTCATTACAGATGGACTTACTTCTCCAACCCAACGCCACAACGCAACACCACCAGAAATGAAAGACCACCAACAGTGCTTCGTCAAGGCTGTTCAGCAGTCACAAACATCGATGAAAGCTGAGCCATTTTACCCTCGCTAATAACTAATTGAGTTGAAATGTTAAAAGTTTTGCAATATAAGCAAATACATAAAACTATCACCATGTGAATACTGTGCAAGTGGGCCAAAGTTTTCACACATTTTTTTGGATAGTTTTCGTGTATGGCTTACTATTTATTTTAGACATTTTCTTTCGTTCGTTGGTTTGTTTGGAACCCCATTAGCTTCCACAGAGCGGTGGCTTGTCTTCCTTGGGACCAATATTTTCTGTTATTTGAAATATAAGATCCGATTCTATGATTTAGTTAGAAGCTCTCCGAGAGTTCTCAGAATCTTTAGGAATATGGGCCCGCTTGTTCTACGCAAGCATGACTCTGAGTTGTTTTGTTTTATTTCTTTGCAAAACTTTAAATCATTTCAGCAAAGAAAAAACAATCTCAAATAGGATTTTCTTTATTACCCAGGTATGGTAGGAGTCTATCTGACCTCTTCAGTTGCCACATGTGCCTGTGTTCATTGTTGAAGAGTACCCAGTCAACTATCTTAATTAACCCAAACCTGCCTTTACTCCAGAGAAGTTCACAATCACCACATATTCACATCGATCTTTTTAAACACTTTATTTTGCAAAGTTCCGTATTGACTATTTTCACTTCTTTTTCTCCACGTCTTGCTCAGCGGCCTCTTTAGCTCTCTTGGCACGGATGCCGAAAAGACGGGCATTGGCGCGAGCCATACGCAGGCTGGCGAAGGCCTTGAAGTTCTTCTCGTCTTCAGAGATAACCCTGGCCTTCTCCTTCTTGTGCACCTTGAAGAGAAGGAAACAATCGTCAGTACACAGAGCACCTTTGTGATTAACAAAATCGTTTCTCGCATGTCAATACAACTTTGACTTAGATGTAAATTGACATCAGGTTTTGAGGCATTAACATTTCAGAGTTGAAGTTATGACTTTAAAAAGGCAGTCAATCAGATAAAGGGTTCAAAGTATTCATCAAGGAAATACAGAGATTCCGGAGATTTGTCATCATCTGACTGCTTAGAAAAGGTTGGTGCATATTTCCATCACTATGAAATAACAGCCTGAGAGTGAACAGATTACAAAATCTTAACATTTTGATGCTTACTGAGTTAATCAGTAATAATTAGTCATCTTATATCTCATTGTAATTTACACATTTACATTCATTTTTTGATGAACTTCAAAGAAATTGCTACTTACAGTTTTGATGGGCATGACTGGACCAGCGAGCTGAGTGGCCATCTTGAGCTCCTCCTCCTGTGAGATTTATAATGGTTCATTATTCTCTGAGTGGAGTTTACAACATCAGGTATTACATGTACCTGGTTCCTTCAGAAACAGGAATGTAACTAGTATCAGCGTCATCAGACTACCCTATGTACTGACTCCGAACTGCAAATTGTGATCATTCTATTACAGCCAAAGATTTCAGCTCATCAAACAATGCAGAGTGCACAGAGAAAAATCCACTTCTGTGCTGCATTTATCAAACTTAAGAGTGTGGAAATGCACAAGATACAGTTTCATGTAAGGGCCCCTCTAACAAATCCATGTCTTTCATTGTATGAGCGCACATTCAATTCTTCTGTAAGATGTACATTTTTTACAAGAGCCGTTCCTTGAAGCTGCTGAATTAATTTGTTGAAGAGGAACACTTGTGAGCGCTCTAAAATTATACTTGTTCAATATCCTTTTTATCGAGCCAATTTCAAGAGGCGACTCCCTCCTACTAACCACATGTCTTTGTGAAATTCTTTAACACTTCTCTATTTAGGAAAAGGAAAATCAAAAACAGGAAATGAGTTATTTAAAGCTACTACAGTCTATCTCGGATGATTTCAAAGTTAAAAGCAGAGGCCTGTTTCAAGTCTTTGATTAAACTTACAGTGCTGTCTCCTTTCTTGGGAGCAGAAGCCTTCCTGGGGAACAGGATGAGTTTGGAGCGGTACTCCTTCAAGCGCTGCACGTTGGCCTGAAGAGATTCTGTTGATCGGTTACGTCTGCGAGGGTCAACAGAGATGCCGATAGTGCGGGCTGTCTTTTTGTGGATGCCAGCAGCCTGCAGGGGCCAAGAAAAATCACAAAGGGGGTCAAGTAAAAACTGCAAGTATGGATTAGTTTTGATTGATTACATGTGGAGTTAATGATTGAAATCAGTTTGAATTTTTTTCAATCTATTTTTATTTGCATAAGAGAAAGCAGTCATCAGATAAAGGGTTCAAAGTATTCATCAAGGAAATACAGAGATTCCGGAGATTTGTCATCATCTGACTGCTGCGACAAAATACATTATGACCTGTAGGCATGTGTGTTTGCTTCAACCTTGAAAAAGTGGGTAACAATTTAAAGCCTTGACAGATTTTGGAGTCGACCTACAAAAGGAGCAGACAGGTATTTCTGTCTCACCAGTGCAAACCTCATTCATTCACTCATTTTACTTTCTAGCCTGACCCCAGTTTGTATTCAAGTGCTCATGCTCACCATCTTTCCTACATTGAATTAAAACTGAAAACTTGAAATAAATAAATCAATCTGTCTCAATTATTTTATCAAAAATGTCTAAAAATAAAAATGATAAGCCACTTGTCACTCTACGCACACTGAAAATTGTATTTGTCCCTTATTGTGACTCATCAAGTCAAAGAGTCTCAGTATGTATTTATATGTGTAACAAACATTTCAAACAGTGTAAAGCTGAGCTCTCAGTGCCACTTCAGTCGAATTATAGTGAATAAAAACAACAATAAAAGGTCAGCTTGGTCTGGGTTGATGCACATCAACACTCACTTAGCCTTCCTCCCACTACAGGAAAGAATATGGGAAGGAACACGAGGTACATTTTGCCAAGAACTTCACGTCTTTGAGCGGTGCTTCATGTTCCACATCTATTGTGCTTTTTTTGGGGTGGGATGCATGATTCATCACACACAAAAAATTGACTTTGTTTAGCCTTACGTCCACTGTAGTTGTAGATAGCATCTTTGACGTGGAGATCCTGATGTTAAATACTGGGTTTAAGAGTCTAATATCAATATCCCAATAAATCAATCACCTGTCACCGTCAGTTTGCTGACTCCTTTGTTCACTGTGTTATCATCTGCTTCATTTCACAGGACAGTTTCAAACACCGTTGATTCTTTTGGAACCAAACTGAGATATTAAATCAACAGAAGTCTGACCCTGCATGTGGAACAACCATTTTTACTAAGGACTTGAGTATTACCTTGAGCTCCTCCAGGGTGAAGCCACGTCCGGCACGGACCTTAGTGTGGTACCTGATTGTGGGACACCTGACCTGTGGCCTCAGTGGTCCAGCAACAGGGCGGGGTGCAACACGACGGGCCTTGGCCACACGAGCCTTACGCCTAGTAACAGATATTTGTCAATTTTAGTTAAAAATGCCTTTTTTAGCCTCAAGAACTAAAGACCTCAACACTATCCCTGCCTACTTGTTTTTTTTTTTTAATTTCACTTCTACTACATGCCAGCCTCACTGAAAACTTTCTGTACTTGTACTGTGGTAAGAGAGGCTGCAAAACATACCAACCCAATATACCAAAATTCACCCGTCTGCAAATGTCTGACTCTCGGTATAACCAAAGAGCAACACTGCATTTCTCCAACACAACATTCTGCAAAGCTTACTCTACTTTGTTAGTTTAGAGGACTTTTATGCCAGTATAACAGCTCACCTATACTGTAAATGTTTCAGAGGACTAGCAAACAGATGCGGTTGTTCCCATAATAAGAACAGAGGGATCCAGAACAGGGTCCAGACAAAATAATTGTGGAACAGTGCAGAGTTTGTGACTGTATGAAACATGGATACAACCTCGGAGGCATCTTGCTGGTTTCTAAAGCAAAGTTGTTGTTTTTTACCAGGCAGTAAATTTGCCTATTTTTGCCTCAAAAAGCCTGTCTTTGAGCAAAAATGGGCATATTTACAGCCTGGTAGAAAACCTGATTTTAGTCTGAACAGCTCATTTTTTTTATCCCCACTCCCTGAAAAACCAGTGGTTCTGAAGATATTGGAAGTTTTGGCATTAGTTTCTTTGCTCTGACAGCATGTCTGCATATAATATTGGCAGCCTGAGCTGGTAGGTCCACAACACTGAAATGAAGCTACACTGTCAAAGTCCCGGTTAGTGGTTCTATTTATTGAGTTGCAGAAAGCAGAATGGCCAGTGTGAGTTAATAGCAGGAGCTTCCAACACACTCAGACATGCACAGCGGCAGCACAGTTGGGTCTATCAGTGATGTGGATGCTCGCAGTTTCTGCGTATCCACTTAAGGCTGGCTTCATAAGCAGTGGGAGCCACATACACACACATTCAGAAAAGCCTGTCTTTGAACAAAACAACTCAACAAAAAGAACCACTAAATGGGATTTTGACTATTATGCTGCAACAGAACCGAACACTTGTTACAGAGTAGCTTCAATTCAGTGTTGTGGACCTACCAGCTCAGGCCGCGGACATCAAAACCTAATTGTTTGAATTTTACACAGACTTTTATGTAATTTATCTGTGAACTTTAAGTCTGATCAAAAACAAAGCGGCTGCACATCTGTTACTCTTGCATGTTTGATACAACACAGTAAGTTCTTTCTTGGACACATGTGGAGCGCTCAGAGGTTCTATGCTGCCTGACCACCTACAAACCAGTCTAACCAACAGTGAGGTAAACACTGACAGGCCTGCTGACCAACTTCACTGTAACTGCAGACGTCAGAAATAAACAAGAGGACTGACTGGGTAGAATGACAGCACTTTAAAGACATAAACAAGGGAAGTTGACATGTATACAAATATTTTTCTTGTTATCTAGACTACTGTTGCTCATTCAGGATTCATGACCTGGACGCCTGTTAGCATCCCTGATCGTGTTTCTCACCTGCGGGTCTTCCTGGCTGGCTGGTTGAACCAGGTACGCACTCTTTTCTGCCAGTCTTTGTGGAAGTGCGGGTTCAGGATCATTCCATTCCGGCTGGGGGCCATGGTTGCCTACTTCCCTGAGGAGACAGAACGACACGCGGGCATTAGCTGACTGTCATGCCGGCACACGAGCACTATCCACACGGCGACGTGTGGGATGCTAAGCTAAACAGCTAACCAGATTACCGGCTGATTTGAACTGCTATTCGCGAAAATTACATATCCATTTAATGAGTTACAATAACTGATGTTAAAGCATTTGCAAAAAAGCAATTCATAAAAAGGACCGACATTAACTCATGGAGTTATGAAGGTTAGCCGTGTCGGTGATGCTAACAGTCCCACATATACAGAGCTTCACTCGGGGACTATGAATCACTCATCATAACAGCATGTTAGTTTGATCAATATAGACAATAAACACCTTGTTACAAAGGTGAAGAAGCGCACTATTCGAGATTGTAATTAGAATTCACAAATGATAGAAAACTACCAGGGATTGAGATAGATTCAGTAGAAAACTGTAGAGGATAATTTCTCATACCTACACGGGAGGAAAATGGCCGATAGGAAAAAGGAAGTTGTGACGCGGTGCATTGTGGGATATGAGTCTTCCAGCCAATCGTCAAACGGAAGAGAAGAAGCAGGAATCCCAAAAACACAAATAAACCCTCAGAACCAGAATATAAATCAGTGTTTTAGTAAATTTTAAAAAGAGAAGGTAACTTTGAGACGATTTTTGAGAAGTTTACAACAATATTCATGTTGCAAGAAAATGAAGCCATAGCATTTGGAGGTTAAAATCATAATATTGAAAGGATAAAGTCGTTATAGTGAGTATTTTATTTGTAAAACTTTTATGTTGAAATCTCATTTTTGTTGCCCTAATACTCACTCGACACAAACAAAACTTGTATAAATACTCTTTCTTTTTATTATTATCACTACTGTAATTACTACTACTATTATTAATATTGCTGTTGTTATTTTATTTTTATGTACATTTCACCAACTTGTTTCAGTATTATTTTGCAGGATGATGCTCTATGGACCCTCTTTTTTCTTTGCTTACAAATTACTGTTTTTAATTTAAGACCAAGTTTTTACATCAGCCACTAGATGTAGCTCCTGCACCTTTGTCAATGATCAGTCCAACCAGTGAGTCTACAGACAGACTGCTGAGCAGGCAGGAAGGATGACACTTCCCACACCTTAACAAATCACGTTTTCTCCTTCATTTCTGACAGCAAATACATGGTATGTTACAAACAAGAACAGTAGCCTAAGATAATCCTTGTGGGCATCATATAAAATACAAAGCTCCATGTACAACAACTTTGGTGGATAAACTTAGATAAGAAAAATATGAACTTATCTTCTTTGAGTTGGTTTACCAGCACTTTATTATGTGTGGGTAAGAGTGTTCTCTATGATCACAATGACAGGGCTATAAAGACATTCAACAAGGCCATTGTCAGTTTGATTTGATCAAATCTAACAGCTTCTCACAACTGTTTTGTGGGATTTAGCAACATTTGATTTAAAAAAACTGACAATGTCTCTTCATCTAGAAATCCTTGATGCTACTGATCAAAAGGGGGTTTCTTGTTTAGCAGAAAAACAATAAATACAGGCTTATTTACTCTCTGGTGAGCATACTGAAATTATTGTATCCTTGATCTATCAAAGACATTTAAAAAGATTATGCAAAAAGCAGATACAGGTTTTGTATTTGAAGCAGAAAATCAAATGAAAACATCAACAGTAAAAAGGTATTGGTACCTAATAAAAAATTGGGGTGGGTTAAGATAGGTGGCTAGGTGGTTCAAGTTAGTGTATTGCCCTTGTTCTCTCTTCCCCATTATCAGTCTGGAAGTTCAGATTTTTGTTCAGCTGCTGATTCTAAAAACACTGGCTCATTAATCATTGATCAACCAGTTACTGCAATCGCTGCCTATCTTCACCTGAAGGCAAAGGTCAAGGTGTGTGGAACAATAATGAACAAATGAAAGCGGCATGCAGCACATCAGCACATGTACAGCAACACGACGTGAACATATCTGCAACTAGAAACAGGACATGAATGGAACAAAAACCATGTTTTATCATAACTCTTGGTTTGAGTTTCAGCAACACCAGTGTAAAGTTTCATACATTAGTTAAAATAACAGAAAAATCACAGGGGTGTTAGAAGACCAAATTTTATTGAATGAATATGATACAATCACTTTCCAGTCCTTTACTACATCTGTGTTCATTTGAAATGTGAAGCAGAGCACCAGAAGTAGACCTGATATTCATGACAGATCGTAAGATTAGGAGCTTCTTAAATTGGCTGTTGGTACAAAAAACACTAAACTCCTAAAATGAAGGTGTTAGAGAAAATTTTAAATTATTTTGATAGCAAAATTTCAGTATCAAAATAAATACCACAGATAAGAAAAGGGGTCGCACCAGATGTTAGTAACCTCCCCTACAAAACCTTGAGTGAAATTACATTACAAAACAGTACAGTAGAGGGTTTATTGATTTATTCAAGTGACTTCAGAAATTTATCATACGCAGCTTGATCCATGAGGCCACTAAGTTCTTCAGGCTTTTCAATCTTCATTTTAATTAGCCACCCTGAAAAATAAGGAATAATGTAAAAAGCTAACATTTTACACATTCTCATAGACACTTCCAGATGTTATGTTTTGGCAATTTATCTGACAGGGCATTAAATCTGCTGGCAGAAATTCCTGAAAATAACAAACGCGCTGCAAAAAACAACAGTGGTTTAGATGAGCTTACCATCTGCATAGCAGGCTTTATTCACAAGTCCCGGATTTTCTGCCAGCTCTGTGTTTATCTCAGTCACCTCTCCTGTCAGTGGTGAGTAAAGCTCGCTGGCAGCCTTTACGCTTTCCAAGGCCCCAAACTCCTCTATAACACACACACACACACACACACACACACACACACATAATGGATATTTGCCATCACGCCACACCACTTAGTAACTAACAAAACGTGCAAAGTATTCAAGGGTCTTACCCATTTGTTCAAGTCTTTGGCCAACTTCAGGGAGTCCACAATATACCACATCACCTAATGCTTCCTGAAATCAAATTCATAAAAATACAACATTATTATTAAATGTCTTTCACAGAATTAATCAAATTACATCTACAATTGTGTACAAACTATCTACCACTCAGAGTACTCAGTTTTCACAGATCAAATCAATTTATGAAAGCCATTCTTTAAACTTTCTCAAGCAAATATTTATTTTCTTTTTAAGGAATGCCCTGTTTTTGAAAAAGCTAGGAATATTAGTTAAAAAATATATATATCACTCTTACAAATCATCCAGTAAAGTCTATTTGCAGCTGTGTATAAATATACATTTGGTGCGCAAGGTAATAGTTGAGCACCAAGCAGCAGGATGATGTAACTACCACTTATTTTGAAAAACATTACAGTTGCCTTTGATCATTGCAATAGACAACATCCAGTGTAATGGTAAGGCTCAATGACAGAGGTCTATTACACCTAAAGTAACATTATTATCGTTTTTTATTATTATTCTAGCTTCATAATCCAAGATTTGTTTATGGAGTAGCATTGATGAACCTCAGCATTCATAAAGATACTTATACGGTCTAACTTTACTGTAGTCGCTCAAATGTCAGTGATCACAGTCAGCCTTATCAGTTCTTTTGAAGTATGGACATACAACTCAAACTTCTACAGTCAACTAGATGTCATACTGCAATTTTGCAGTGCAATTGAAAAATAAGACAATTTGTTATTGTAGAAACTGAACACAACTTGCTGAATAAAATACTTGACATTTGTTGCAATCGTATTTTGTGCTGCTTTACAACTTTGATCAAAGTGAAATTCAGCTGTAAATCTGTTCATTGAGATCATAAACTGTACATGTACAGTTCATGGTTTGTACCTGAACTAAGTGAGGGGTGTTGCCGATTAAAAACTGGACCAGCACAAAGGCAGTAATATAGAAGAAGCTTTGTGTCTCTCAGCATTATTCAACTATGTTTCTGCATTAATGCAACATTTGCAAAGCCACAGCTTGTAATAAGTGACCTGCAAATCAATTTTGCAAGATGCTTAGATGTCTTTGCTGTAGCCTTCTTTGTGATCTCATCAGTGTCTCAACATAAGAGACAAAAACAAACATAGGGGTCTGACTTTGTTTAGTACATTTGACTCCTTAGTTGTGAAGAACTTCTAGCCTGTCAGTAAGTGAGATTAAATATTCAGTGATTCGAGTGGAAAACATGGCGATGCTAATTAACTGTCATGTTCAACATGTGGACACAGTATGTCTTAGTGTTTCTTCTACAGCAACAATCATCATGCCATGATTCAAAGTTTTCAGTACCTTTGAAACAAGTTCTTGCCCTTGAGATTTTCTGCACACCACAGCAGTTTGCCTGCCATCAATTGTCCCAAACCATTGTCATAAAACAGTAAATTAGCCTGTTATAGTATAGTACCTGCAGTTTGGGACAAAGTGCAGATACTGAACTGCACACATTAGCATATCACCTTTTCTAGCCTGCCATTATAAAAACCTCTGAACTAAGTGTGCCATAAATCAAGATTAGTTAAGAGGACATAGCAACGACCCACCTGAGCATAACTGCTGATACCAACTGTGCCAATGTCTCCGTCCACCTGCACCCACTCATGCTTATCTGTGAACTTCAGGGCTGCAGGAAAAACAAGGAAATCAGTCAGCTTCAACGAGAATCACTAGTGTGTTACAGAACTAAATTACATACAGTATGAGCCCTGTGATGGGAAAATAAACCTCATTGCTATGGTGTAAATCATGTCAAGAAGACTGGATGTCCAAAGAGTACTTTACTGTACTATGGACCAAAGCTGAAAAGTGAACTTATGCAATCATTTTTAACTTATTTGCTGAAATGACTTAACTTAAAAAAGCTATTTGAACATTATACAGGTATAGGACAGGTCATAGCTGTCAAATATTTGGAAGAAAATGTGCAAAAAACGTATTTGGTTAAATCAGATCTGTAATTACAAAGGAGAAAGAGTGTTTTGACATCATGCTTTCTTTACAACTCCCTAGGGGAAGCAGTGCCTCAGCAGCTTCCAGTGTTGCTGTTAGACCATGCAGAAAAATACAGGAATGGACTAGATTGTTAACTTTGCAGGAAGCCGGTGTATGGACAGCAGAGTCTGTCCAGAGAGGTGAAAATGCAAGAGAATCGTCTAAATAGTATGATGCACAATGTTCAAAAGCCCTTTTAAAGAGCTCTTTTACTCCTGAAATGAAGATGTCTGTGAAGAAAATGAATAAAGTGTTTGTAAATAGGTAGGAGGAGATTATCAGTTGACATTTTAGAGATTTACCAGTGTAAATGCACATATTCACAGCAGTTAGAGGCACATATCAGTGATCATGAGCATTTAATATGCAACCACTTGGTTCACGAGACATGGATAATTTGTCATTTAAGGACATCAATTAAATCAGAATTTGAAGCTCGTGCTCTTTCAATGACAGCTAATGGAGAGATAAAGCCTCGCATACTTTGAACACAGTAAATGTGACTTTTTCTTTCATAAATACCACAACTTCAATGTTAAAGACAACTTTAGAGAGACAGCATTCCCCTCCTCGCTGTGGGAAAGTGACACAGACAGCGTGGAACAGACAGGAATGTGTGGCCAGCCGCATGTAGTAAAGTCCAAACACAGCTACTTTGAGCAGCTGTTATTCGGGTGTCTTGTTTTATTTTGTTACCTGAGGACAGGGCCGAGGTCGTGCTCAGAGTCCGCGGGGAACCTCCCCTCCACAGCAGCCGGGCTGCTGAGACCTGCGAGACCGGCGAGAGCTGCGGGAGTCTCGGGGAAAAGTTTGCAGAGAGGCACCGCAACGCTGTTCTCATCGCCATCTTCACTCCGTGTGTGTGGACTCTTTAATCGACTGGTGCACATACACTTGTGAGCGGGAGCGCGCACCATCCCCCTGTGACGGGCTCGAGCGAGGAGAGAGAAAAGGAAAGAGGGCACGGGTTCAACCCATAGACTGTGGTTCAAACCAAGTAGCAACCAAGCCTACAGCGTCCTGCAATACCGTCCATGGTTTTTGTTAATTTAGAAAATGTTGAAGGAATAAGATCTCACAGCCACACCCGAGTGAAAGTATTCAAACAGGTTAAGTACTTTGTTACAGATAAAAGTGCTGCGGTGGCCGAGAACCGCCACTGAAAAAAAGAGAGAAACCACAACAGAAGTTACTGATGCAAAAAAAGAAAAAAAAGAAAAAGAAAACAAACCCAAGCCTGCAGCAAATATAAAAAGAAACGGTGCAGACAAAAAAAAAAACAAAAACAAAAAAAAAAGTGGTGATGCAAAAAAAAAAAAAAAAAAAGTTACTTACTGGGAAAATAAAAGGATGCAAAAAAAAAAAAAAAAAAAAAAAGAAGTGATTGCCAGGAACCAATCATCATCATCATTGGTCCCTGGAAGCTGACTTCCAAGGTGGCTTTTTTTTCTTTTTTTGCATCCTTTTATTTTCCCAGTAAGTAACTTTTTTTTTGCATCACCAATTTTTTTGTGTGTCGTTAACTTGTGTTGTGGCTTTTTTATCTAATTTTTTTTTTGCAGCAGTGGCTGTTCCCGGCCGCCGTAAAGTCCAGCATTCACAGCACCAAAAATATAATTGCTTTATACATGACATAAAGGTGTCGAAACGCAAAGAAACACTCTTCAATTTTTCTTTAACCATAACATTAGGATAATGTTATTAATGTGGAAAGCTAAAGTACATTTAAATGACAATATTTTTTGGTGCTATGGTTTGGTCGTTAAGGCTCCACAAATGCTCTAGTAGTGAATGTTTCCTTGGATTATGGCGAAGAGCGAATTAAAAGTAGCAAAACATTATAAGTGCAATATTTGACGACAAAATAACTTAAAAAAATAGTTATCATTTTGCTTCTGGTGTGTAATATATCGCCTTTTGGGGGCCGCTGATATCCTACTATACCTAAATTTGCCTGTCAAGAGCAAAACTACACATATAGAACAGTTATAAGGGTTAATTGATGCAAATGAAACATTTGTAATGTCTGGTCCGTACACGTGTTTACATATTAAAAGCTGTCCAAGCCAAACCGACAAGTTCTGACCCGGGTCAACAGAGAATCAGAGTTGATCTGACATTCACCTTTACGGCCTTTGAATCCCCGAACCCAGATAGAGATTTTTGCGGATAGAAAAAGGTTCAGCTAAATTCTCAAAATACTCATGAGCCCCCAAAATATACTGAATTTTATTCCAAAATTAGACCACACATTCATCACAAAGAAATGATTCATATGCACTTTATTCAGACTCTTATTCACCTTTTACTCACTGTCAGAGAAATACTTTTTTGTGGAGAGCGTCTTGAAAAATGTCAGACAAAGATACAGACCTGGTAAAAACAGATAAATATTTTGAGAGTACTTAAAATTAGAAAGATGCTTGAGCTCTGTTAGTATGTGGTGTATCTGCTCTGTATTTGGTAGCTAGAATCCTGCACCTCTGAAGTATCTCAAAAATATATTCAACAGCATTTCAACCAGGTACGCAAACAACAATATCACACATATATTGTCTGTGTAATGCCTGGATGCCTCCTTAAAGTCAAACAAGCAAATATAAAAGTACAAGTTTGAGAGATACAAAATAAAGAGTAATGATGTTATTGTTTAGGAGTCAACCGTTTAACTTAAACCAGATGATTTCCCTTCAGAAACAGAAAAAAAAAACAAAAACAGACAGACCAACAATGACAACACTCAAACCCCGCAAGCTGCACTGATGACCACAGTGAGATAAAGGCTCATACGCCTACAGACTCCTACACAGATCTGATAGCAGGAGAGGTCAGAGATCATTTCATCAGACAGAGGTGCCCTCTGTAGGCGCTGCCGGTTTATTGTCCTCAGGCTTCATGGCAGGGAAGAGCAGCACCTCCTGTGAAAGTGTAAGAGAATGAAATCTATCAGCTGAGGAGCAAACAATGAAGACATCAGCTTACTTGATTATATTATCTCTACAAACATTAACTCTTTATATCTTCAATCAGGGGCTCTGCTGTCAAATGTTTGGGTAAAACAGGTTGGGGATTTGAAAAGGACAATGCTTAAAGTGAAGGTATCATGGGATGACAATAAAAACATGATCCTCAACAATCTGGTTTTGTTTCGGTCCCTATTTTAGAGGATTGTTCTGAAAAAGTCCTCTGAAAAGTCTCTTGATTATACTTTAAATTAATCTCCAGGGGCCTGTTCTACGAAGCAGGATTACTGCTTAGCGAGGTAACTTCGAGGGTAAGTTCGGGGTTTCCTGTTCTACGACGCGGGTTTACTTCTTAGCGAGGCGAGTCTCCATGGCAACGTACGCTGAACGGCTTACCTGCGCCGGGGCAGGTTAGGTTCCAGATTGATCTCACAGAGTATAAAAACCCCGCCCACTGACCAATGAGCTCTCTCGAAAAATGGCTTGTCCGTTCTTGGAGGATCCTATAGACCTCGGTGCTCGCATTGTCCGAGGAGCACTCTGGCGTGCAAGAGTTTTCAGGGACCACACGGACCCACTTACTCTTCCGGATTTATGAAAGGCTCAAAGAAAAATTGTATGTGTATGCTATCACGTGTATTTTATCATTATATAAGTGTGTTAATCATCATTTACTGAAAATCACTTGGTGTGAATGCTTGCAGAGTCATATCTGTGTCTTTTTAATGAGCATGGGAAAGGAGAAGTATGGCCTTGGAGCTGGGACTGATACTTTTCCGCTGAAGCCATGCAACTAGATGAATGCTGTAATTTCACTCACAGGTTGTTTTCCCAACAGTGTGACATTGAACTGATAAGCAGGAACCTGATGATGAACTAAGCTGTCTTTGTTCTCCCAGTACAGACCACAGCTGCAACCTGTACCCTATTTGGATACTGTTGTAATGTCACGCCACTTGTGAGGTGATGTTAAGTGGGTGGGGGTGTCTGTTTCTTGACTGCATAAAGGATGTGTAAAAATCTGAATTCCTCAGTCAGAAGAAGCTGCCTTTGTCGTAAGCTGCTGACTCCTGGCAAGTAAAAGATATCGAAGAAAAACAAGTCCACTATCTCTGTCGTTCTTCTCAGCTGGCTGCAAGTCAGATGCAATATTATTTTTCTCATCCCTACATCCCTCATTACATCCCTCATGAACACTGCTCTGACTTTGTTTTAAGTAAGAAAGTTCTCTATTTTCTACGTTGATTGATTCTTATCATGCCCCTGGGACAGCCTCCGTAAAAACTCTTACAAGCATCTTTGTAGTGTTGCTACATGAACTATTTATTCAGTTGTTATCTGACTGTGTCCTTAGTTAAAGAAACACCAAATTTCCCACAAGCCTTTTGTTTTAACTCCACCTGTGATAAAAATGAGTGACATATTTCTTATAACAGCTTTACCTTGATGTTGTTCGAGTCAGTGAGGAACATGGTGAGACGGTCGATACCCATCCCCCAGCCAGCGGTCGGTGGGAGTCCGTACTCTAGTGCTGTGCAGAATGTCTCATCGATGAACATGGCTTCATCATCACCCTCAGCTTTGGCCTGAAAAGGAGATTAAACACAGTTTATCATGCACTCAAATACACAGCCACAGGGGCCACAGTAGAGAGTCGGAAACTTTTGATGATGTCCAAATCGTACACACACCTTGGCTTGCTGCTCAAAGAGCTCCCTTTGTCTAATGGGATCGTTCAACTCAGTGTAGGCATTACAGACTTCCTTCTTCATCACAAAGAGCTCAAAACGCTCCGTCAGGCCTTTCTCCACTCTGTGCCTGAAATCATAATGTAAGAGTCAGAAAAAACCTTAACATAAGAGTTAAACGACATATATGAGGCAGAATTACAGAGCCGCTCACCATTTTGCCAAGGGGCTCATGATTTGAGGGTGATCACAGATGAATGTGGGGTTGATACAGGTGACCTCAAGGAAATCTCCAACCAGCTATGGACAGAAAAGGCTTCTGTCAAGAACTTGAGCTCAGTCAATATGAAATAATAAGTATGAAAAGAGGTGACGTGGACCTTGTCAAGGAGACGGGCGGTGGTTCTGGGTGGAGGACACTCAACTCCTTTCTGTGCACACAGGTCATCGAAGAATTTACGCGTCTCTGCAGGAGAAACACGAATAGGAAATGTGTCGAGAAATCAAAACTGATGAAGTCATCAAAGATCTAAACTATGAGGATATACAAGAAGTTATACTTGGACTTTAGATGAGAACCTACCATCTGAGTCATAGCTGTCAGTGGGGGGGAATTTGACTCCCAGGATCTTCTCCAGGTCGTGTGTCATGCTCACTCTTTTAAATGGTGGAGTGAAGTCGATCTCGTAGGCCTGTCCCTCTGGACCATCTGGGTGATATTTCACCTTGTATCCTCCAGTGATGTGCTTCACCATACCTGGAGCAAAACAGAAGAGAGGAGAAGATAAAACCAACGTGTAAGAAGGACATAACTAATGCTGTCACACAGATGCTAACAGCTTTGCTCTTGTTGCCCCATCTTCTGTTTCAGCCTGATGTGACAGCTCATCTCGGCTGCAGACATCACTGTGACGTTGTTTGCATTGGTTGAACATTTGGTCTTTCAAAATGGGTCTTGGAGGAAACCCAAAATATGTAATTCGAAATATCAACAGTGTATATAGAGGAGTGGTCTCAGCTGAGAGAGGACCATTGCCTTGCTTCAGTTTGTAATTTCACTCACCTGAGAGTAGTTTCTCTGTGATCTCCATCAAGTCGTGGTAATCTGCATAGGCCATGTAGAATTCACAGGTGGTGAACTCTGGGTTATGAGTGAGATCAATGCCTTCATTCCTGAACTGACGACCAATCTCATAAACTCGGTCTATTCCACCAACCACAAGCATCTGCAGGAAAGATATAACGAGGAAAGGTGGAAAGAAGGATGAGGTCAACAATAGGCACATTGGAACTATGTGTTAAATGACTATTTAATAAGAACAACAGTTTTTGAAGGAGAGGGATTACCTTGTGGTAAAGTTCAGGTGCAATCCTCATGAACAGGTTCATATCCAGCTCATTGTGGTATGTAACGAACGGACGGGCCACCGCTCCTCCAGGAATTATGTTCATCATTGGTGTCTCAATCTATTTAAAAAAACAAAAAAAAACAATTTAAAAAAAACATTCTACTAAAACCATTGTTTTGTGAAAACTTGGACATAGATTTATCCGTATGAAATGTTCCCACTCAAGCAAATAAAACTGAAGAAATAGTATTAGATTGTCCAGGTGTATGAACTGACAACCTGACACACAAAACACACCAGTTCTTACCTCCAAGAATCCCAGCTGGTCCAGGAAACTTCGTAGATATGTGATGATTTTGGAGCGAGTTATAAACTTCTGCCTCACGTAGTCGTTCAGGATCAGATCCAAGTAGCGCTGGCGGAAACGTGTTTCCTTTCAGAACAAAAAAAGAGAATTTTATTTAGGGTTACTGTTGAAATGGCTCCATTTTCATCACAGAGTAAACGGTATGAACACAAAATTCACAATAAGCCAACATCTCTTTATATCTTTCTTTGTCTGAAACACCAGAGAAAGATGATGCGTCCTTCCTCTAAAAGAGCACACATCTTCACAGCATCACTGTACCTGAAAAACTGGAATCTCCAACTCAGCCAACACAGTAACACTACCCGTAGACTTATGTAACATGGATTCCCCCAAAGGTTTTAAGCTTAAACTGGAATATTAGCTGTTCTTTAGTCTGTTTTGCCTCCATGTGATGGTGAGGATGTAATTATGCGTTCTCAAATCACAATTACTAGGGCAAATTTTGAAGGGAAAAAAGAGTGGGGGGTGTCTTCAAACTAGCCAGAGGACCTAAATGGAGACGTCAGTACCTTGTCCTTGAGGCCAAAGTGAAGGTGAGGCAGCATGTGCAGACAAGGTGACAGAAGGGTCATCTCAATGGGAATGATGCTCAACTCCCCTTTTTTGGTCTTCCCGGGGTTACCACGGACACCTATGATATCCCCACGACGCAGTTTGTCGTTGATAGCTGCAAAATCTTCCTCAGACTTGTAGTTCCTAGAAGAATAGAAGAATTATATACATAAGATAAGAGTAGTTGAGACCAAAAAAATCAAATCCTCAATGCTTTTTCTAGAGTGAAATGTTTAATTGGTAATGAACAGCCCCCTTAAATTGTGTTTGCACCCAAAACAGCAATGATGCCTAATTAAGGACAGCATATGATAAATTTATCTGAAATATTTTGTGTGGCTGTTACTTTGTACCTTGAGTTTGCCATGACTTGCAGCTTCACGCCTTCACCTCGCAGGTCATAGAACAGCAGCTTGGCACCAGACGCCCTCTTGGCATGAACACGGCCTGCCAATTACACATGGAGTTTTAAAGAGGATCATACATCATTACATACAAACTGTAAATATATCTCAGATCATAAAACCTCCCTTATTACCTGTAACATTGAGAACAACATCAGTCAGCTGGTCTCCAGGCTGTAGATGACTGTATCTCTCAATGAACTCTGTGAGTGACAGGTCTACATGATACTTGTGTGGGTACGGGTCTTCCGCTGTGCCCTTCAGCTCATGAATGGCCTGGGAGCGGATCTTGAAGTATTGCTATGTTGGAAAGAAACAGATGATTTCATTTTTAATCAATAAGAACAAATTTCAGGTCAAATAACTGGGATTATGGTAATCAAAGAAAAATCTTACATTTGGGTCAAGTGTCTCCTCGTCCAAGGCACTGGCATTTTGTGCTCCCTGGTTATTGGATTCTCTCTTCTGCTCCACCTGCTCTTTGACCTTGGCTTCTTTCTCTGCCGCCTTCTTCTCCGCCTTCATTCGTCTCTTCAGCTCACTGATAGGAAATAAGAGGAATCAAAGATGAGTCATTGACCAGGCACTTTGGTATTCTGTTAATGATACTCCCAGAACTCACATATAATGATGATTCAAGAGTTAGCAACTGCACTACAACACTACACTGAGAGTTTTGCTCCATTTTGACGTGTTATTTCAGAAGCCACCACATAATCTTCAGGTAACAGACGAGCACAACAATCACTCAATCATGCAGCAAAGGAAAGGGGACCATAGTTTTGTTTTGATGACAAAAGGTTGGTTGTTTTTCTCATGGATATGGAAAAGCCACCAACCTCTTGTCACCTCTCCAGCGGTTCCCACAAAATTGAGTTGGGACTGCAGCTGTACATGGGGGGCCACATTTTAACCACTGTCCCCTCACCACAAAGGCTTGGCACAACTGCTGCCTGGCTGCCCTGACCAGACACAGCATACTGATCTAGCAGTCAGCAGACAGACCTGGGAAAATAGACATATACAAAGAGAGTGGACAGTATATACAGCAATTGCTGTCTTGTATGACCAAAGTATGTCTTTTTTCACACATCTATACGAGCTTGTACCAAGACCCCGGCTTCAAGGCAGTGAGGTGAAAGTGAAAGAGTTAAAACAGGAACAGTAGTGATGTCGTGAAGTATTAGACATTAAGGTCGTAGGTACAATAGCTGTGAATCGTAGTTCCTCATCCAAACGGATGTGTCAGGTCAAACATAACACAGTTAGCAAGTACCGTTCAAAGGAGTCACGAAGGACAGCGCAATAAACTGAATGCAGACGCTTCATTATGGCGAGAGTGTGGCTAAAATCCGACAAAACATGTTACTCTACAAAAAAAAGAAACAGACCGATAAACTGCGCGATAATACAAAGTGAAAGTCTGACACAAGAAACGAAACGATTGCACGATCAAATGCTAGAGACATGTTCTTGAATGGATGGTCGGGTGTTGTAGTTTTACTGGTTCGTAAGCGAGACGAAACGTAACGTTCGCATGTTGTGTTCAGGACTACAATTACCAAGACGAAAGCGAACTGAATCATGGGATGTGTAGGCTTGCTGTGCGGCTCCATATGGAGCTTTCGCTTCCCTCACATCTCCGGACCTGAGGCATCAATAAATACACTCGGCAGAGACAAACGGTCGTAACTGCTGCAACAACAAACTTATTCGAGCCAAATAATACAACGATCTGCTTAACGCTGCTGAAATGGTTTCTAGTAAAAGATTAGCTTACTTTTTGCTGAGTTTGTCTCCGTCCACCGCTGTCACGTCAGCCATGTTGTTGCCGCTGCGCTCAGAAAGATCAAATTACGCGCACGCGCTCAACAAATGCAAAAGCCGCGAGAACTCAAAGGAGTGTTCACGATAACTACCGAAAACTATTGAAGTGAAGTAGTAGGATTATAAAGTACCTCTCACGTCTCAAAATTGATGGTCTCAATTAATTGGCGACCGCATGTACCAGAAAACTCCTTATTTGTACTAAAGACCAAAGGTCGTTTGGAGTTTTATGAAGCTAGACGTTGAAACATTGTTAAATTAACGGGTATTGAAAGAAGTACAAAAAACAGTTACATCCAGAGTGAACTGCAGTGAATTACTGTTTTTTTGTTTGTTTTTGTTTTTGTTGTTTTTTTAAGATAATTGAGGTGAAGCTATAAACATGTTTGAAAATTATGTACTCTAAAATTTATTTTTTAGTTTCAAAGGTAAAGCAAAAATTAATTATGATAATTTTGTGTATTTGTTGAATTCATAATTTTATCAATTCAATTTTTATTTATATAGCGCCAATTCAACCTTTAGTATTTAGATTTTCTGCTCCATCTATACATCTTTGAAGTTTTTGATATCAGAAAACTTAAGTACAAAAATGAGGTTACTTCTTAAGTGATAGTAATAAGGTAAAGTAATAAATATCTCAGTATTTTTTTTTTCTTTTGGACCTTTTCTGGAGTAAATTACTATATATATATTTTTTAAGATTATTGAGGTGAAACTGTTAACATGTTTGAAAATTATGTACTCTGGAATGTATATTTTTTGTGTGTTTTAGAACCAAACCAAGCGGTATTTGTTGAATTCATGCAGATCTTTTATTTTATCAAATTTAAATTTTATTTATATAGCACCAATTCACAATAGTCGTCATCCTAAGACACTTTCAAAAGAAAAAGAGCAGGTCTAGACCACGCTCATTGTTTTAAGAATTATCAAGACCCAACCTTTAGATGAGACAGATTTAACCCATCTCATCTAACATGAGTGACAGTGGGAAGGAAAAACTTCCTTTTAACAGGAAGAAGCCTTGGGAATTTGAAGTAGTATTGTGCAGTGAAGTAAACCAAAACATGATGAAAAGCTCTGAGAGTCAACAATTAAGGTTTGTATTTTTTTATTACAGATAGCAGCAAGTTTACAGAAATATTACTGCAAGAGAATAAAAACATCCCAACAAAAGCCAAATATATATAAAAGGAAAATTTCCCCTAGGGGTAATAATTTGACAGCGGTTAAAATGGATAGACAAAGGTAAACATTTCCTCTTTCTCTTTTCTGGAGCAAATGTTATCAGTTGAGAAGAAGAGTGGTACATTTGTCTAAAAAATGATGAGGAAGTGTGAAGGTAGCAAAATTATCATCACCAGCACTGATGTTTTACGGAATTTGTAGTTTACATTGTTCCAATACAGGACAAAACAAAAATTTCAGAGGCCCTGAAAGAGGTCAGAAAGATAAGGAACCACTGTACCAGTAAAAAGTAAACCTTGACACAACAAAGAGAAAATCAAAGGACTGAAAAATCATGTGTGACCTTTGTCTCACCACCAAGAAATCTAATTTAGAGATGAATGTTGAGATGATTTAGACTTTAAAAAAATCAGTAAAGGCGGCACTCAAAGCATCGGAAAATATTTCAACAAGCATCAACATAAATAATGAAAAGGATATCTACTTTGATTTTTTTACTTTAGAGAGGCTACTTAGAAAAATATATATTCAAAAACTAACACATCTACATTTACAGTATATTAGCTGCATAGCAGTTCCAGAAAATTTGCCTGCATCCACGTTGTAGAACATAAATGCAATGGATACTTCAATACAAACAAGTTAGACATATGACAGAAATTGCACACATTACCAACCAAAGCCATGTTCCTCTGGTTATTTTAGTGGAGCATTTAAAGTACATGGTAGAGTTTTATGGCTTAAAACTTTCAAATGAATGTGGACTACTAATCCCTGTGGGGCATTTAACAGGCAACAGTGCTAAGGCATCAATCTGCTGTACTTTTACAGCACTACTACAGTCTTCTTAAGGCACAAGGACAAAATCCACTGGTGTATTTAAAGTGACATTTGGGAAAAATTCACTGTTTTAATGGGAAATTTGACTGAATTTGTTGATATGTATGTAACTGTCAATGTTAAAGGTTTTGTTACAACAGACATTTTTGGAATACGTGAGAACTTTATATCGACATAAGTCATATCAGCGACTGTATCATGAATCACATTTTTATGTTTTTTTCAATCTGGTTACATCATGAACACACACGAGGAAACCATAACTTCAAAAAAGAAGTTACCTTCCCAGTATGTACGTAAAAGAACATTCAGTTTCTACACAGGCACTTATGGCCATGCTGTGTCATCACATTCAGCACAAATGTAAAACAAACAAAAAAAAAAACACTGACATTTTATGTTTTGGTTTAGACAGGAAAAACTAGTTGGTTCCACTTTACCTCGCTGTCTGCTCTTTGTGAATTGCAGGTTTAAACTGTATCTACATGACATTCAGGTGTATTTTAATACACCTGAGCCTTTCAGGAATGTATTCACTTTAACGGTTATTTGTGGCAAACAAGGCACAAAACTTTAACATGCAAAAGCATCGTCCCTATTTGCCACTAACAGCATGTCTTTCCGCCACTGAATAAGGTTGGAAAACATATGAGTAGAACTGTGATCGTGGGGAACAGTTTTGAAAAAAAAAAAAGGCACCCAAATAAATAAGATATAAATGTCTGAAAAGAGCCGAGGGAACCCTATTAAAATACAAATGGTGAATAAGAGATATTGGGTGTAATGTTAAGGAAACAAATCAAATCATAAATACTAGACATTTAGGTTCTTCTATTTCACAAGTTGAAGAAAGCTTATCACAGATTGGTCTTTTCTCCAAAGCCAGGTTTCCTTCAGGAGTAGGGTCCCTTTAAAAACCACTCACACTGCTCAAACAAATACACTGAAGTGTTTGGCATAGTTCAACAAATAACATCAGCCAAGTTCACACGATCTCCAAAAAACAGCCGTTTCTGATTTGATTTAAAAGTGTATAAAATGTAACAGTGTTGATATGTTTCTAACAAACTGTACAAAGACAAAAAGACAACAGATGAGGCATAAAACTCAGCAAATCCTGTCATCATCAGAGACCAGCCCCTTGTTCATGCACACACTGACAGTGAAACGAAACATGACAAACGTACGTTTAAAACAATACAACAGACAAACGGAAAGAAAACTGTGACATCATGCCTGATATGGAAATACGTAATTTAGGAGTCAAAAGTTAGGCTAAAATTTTAACTCCTTAAGAAAAGAAAATTAAAAGCCATAAAACTGGCCTGTCATCAGGAGTTATACAAAGCAAGATTCATGTCAAACTTTGGTCCTGAGGCCAATGGCCAACTGCAGACAAAGACTTTCGACTTTAATCTATAAAACTTGTAAAGTTTACTTAAGAAAGAGGCGTAAAAAGAGCTCTGTTCCTGCATGTTAATACCTTAAGTTGGGTGAGATGTAGCCAACAAACTCTTGCTTCTTCTCCTCTAGATTCCCCAAACCCATCACATTCATAAAACAGGTTAAAAAAGGCTCGTTTCTAGCTTGTGAAAGAACACTATTCCAGTTCATGCGTGCCTGACGCAGAATGATGGCATCACACTGTCTCTAAAACCCAGATTGATCTAACTTCTATGACAAAAACAATAATACGCTTCATTACACTCCCTCTACTGTAGATGCATGTACATAAATAAGAGTTTCCTGCTATCACATTATTTGAATGTCTTGATCCACATGTGTGTCTCAGCTGGTTTTCAGGAATAAATAATGATTGTTTTGTTTTGGGAATGGATGGTTCCACCTTGGCTGACGATAAAATGCAGAGAAAGACTGAAGATTATTTCTGCATGATTGCAAAGATATTGCTATGCTAACACAGAACGGCAATGATTATGATGTGCGCACACAAGAAATGAATCTTCTATGCTGTAAACGAGGGGATCTCCACTGCTTGCGAGACTGAGCTGAACCCTCAGTGAGTGAAGTGATCACACAAAACAGAAAAAAGCCAACATTTATCGTAATTTTCTGCCCCCAAGCTTTTGTGAAACCATCATCTCTTCGTCACGTACAAAAAGGAGAATCTGTTTCCACGAAGCCACAAACTGACACAGTTTGGATTAAACAAATAGAGACTAAACATTAGCCTGAACACGTTTGCTTGCCTTAAACTCAAAGTGCTATCTGTACACTATGGTGGAGGTGCGTGTGTTGTCATAATGAAAGATTTCATCACAGCTGAAGGTGGCAATCTCAACTGCACAGCCGTTGCTTAACGGCACATGTTCTTCTTCAGGTAATACTGTGCTGAACAGATCTAAAAAAAACAGATCTAATTCAGCATTTTATGGAAAAAATACTCACATTCCTTAAGTTATCCAAGCAGCCTCTGTCTGAATGAAAAAGCCACTTTGTAGGATAAACAATGACAAAACAAGCACCTACATTCTGTATAAGATTGTCTCTTGCTTGTGACAACATATTAAACTACGTCAATTCCTGAAATCCTTCTCACTCTTATTTCCCCATCTCCATTAAACTTCTCTGACCTTCTTCAGATAAACTTTCTGCACCGTCGAACGACATGAGAGTTCTTTTAAAACTCATCAACAGCGGCTACTTTCAACCAAACATACCACATCCTGCTCAGTCATTTCTGCAAAACCTCACACAAAACCCTCAACGCAACAACAACAACAAAAAAAAGACATTAAATGAGTTAAAGGGGAACACTATTCACGAAAACTACTCAACACTTTGGAGAACGTCACAATACCTGAAAGATGCTGCTGCTAACGTATCAGACTATCTACAGATAAACACAAAACTGCACAAGTTCTCTGGGTAAAAAGGCTCCAGTTTTAGCGTGGGTCTCTCTCACTTTGCATTTTTTAACAATTGTGAGTCAGTCATGAAGTCACTTTTCACTTTTCTTGGCTGTCCGCACAGCTAAGAAATCCAAAACCAAATTCCCACTAAGATTTCTGGACATGAATTCATCAACTTTTTGCTAGTTAGTGATATAAAGTCTATAATTCAGTCTGGGATATAACTGTGGGAGGGTGGGGGGCTAAAAGAAGAAGAGAAAATGGAAAAGACATATGATCTGATATCTGATCTCATAATGCCACATCATGTACATTTTGTCTCAAACTTCATGATGCAGGACGAGTTCTTAAACCTTAGACTTCTAGTCAGGATACACTAATTGATTATTATGTCAACTTTCAAGAATTATACTGATATCACTGATAAATACGAGGAAAATCTGAGAACCTGCCACAGAGGTTAGTATGAGCGAGTTAAGTTGCTGCCAGACTCCTGCAGGCTGACGAGCAGGTCGTCAATCTTCTCCATGTTCTGAGAGGCGGTCATACTGGAAGTCTGCACGGGTCCAGACTGAGACAGAGACTGGCTGAGCAGAGACTGGATGTGAGCTTCACTCTCTCTTTGGTTCTGACCCGACTGGCTGATAGCTATGATCTGATCCGACAGCGTGTTTCCGGGAGAGTTCATCAGCTGACCACACTCTGCAGGGAGGGAGGGGGGAAAAAGCTGGTCAGAACCAAACATCTACGAGAGCACAAACAGACAGAAAGTTACTTCTTTAACAAGCATGTATTTCATTTACATATGTGTTGCTGCAAATTTCACGATCTGTTGGTCGAACTGCGACTCGTGAATAGACACAAAATGTTTATCTGTAGCTCAGTTGATAAAAATACATACACTAAGGATGGTGACCTTCATCAGAGGGATTCAAAAACGCATCTACAAAACAGTAATTGCCTGTAAATTCACTGTGAAAAGAAATTAATCTTTATTTTCCTTGAGGCTTTATTCCTATTTGATAAACACATTTGTCTTGATCATTAGTTCTAAGGATGGTTTGCATAGATAGATGTTAAAATACCTTTGTAGCTTAATGTTGTGTGAAACAAGTATAAAATGAGGTATAAAAGTATAAATTTACTGTATTATTATTACTATTATTACTAAATCATCTACCTAACTTTTTATTATATTCATAAAAAAAAATAAAAAATAATAATAATAATAATAATTATTATTATTATCATTATTATCATTATTACTATCAATAGTTATCTCTCTTTATATATATAAATATATATATTTATATATATTTATGTGTATATATATTGCAAACTATATTTCCCTTTTTTCACTATTTATACAATTAAATCAACTCGACATTGTATTATTGCCATTATTTGTGTATGTACATGTCCTGTATTTCTTTTCCCTTTATTTTGATGATACCTCAGTTTGTACTCTCATACAGTCATATCTATGATGACTCTGATTTTATCATTTTTATATTTATTTTTATTATTTGTATCTGTTCCAGCACTTCTGGTTGTGTAAAAATTGAGCAAAAAGTATTTACCTTATTTGCACTCTTTAATTTAAATTTGAAAAATATCATTAATGATAAAAAAATATATATATAAAAAAAAAACAAGTATAAAAACATTGCAGTCCATTGCCAGGTAAGGGTGTGCATCTGTGTATTCAAGTGTGCTTACCATTCTGAATCCCAAACAGGAAGAGCCCAGGTTGTGGACGCTGGCTGGGCTGATTTATGTTTCCACTGACAGATGTCTGAAACAGAGAACCTGGCTGTTGCACAGGAGAGGAGGTGGTTGTCTGGAGGTTTGCCACACCATTCTGAGAGCCAAACATGGCTGACTGTGAGAGCTCTTGAGCAGCCAGTCCCCCCTGCAAGGGGGGCATGTTTGACTGAGGCATAAAGACACCCACAGGCTGCTCCTGCTGGCTGTTTGCGTTGGTGCCCAGCTGCATTGGCTGTTGCTCCTGAAACATGACTTGCTGTCGAGGATCTGCCGGGTTCCCCAAGGCCATGGGCTCAGAGCGATCTTGCTGGCTGACTGTTACCATGCTGGCCTGGGAAAAGAGCAGAGACGGGTTCTGGGCCTCCTGGGAAACTATACTGCTGCTGGTTAGCGGTGGCATCTGGCCCTGGCTGCTGAATATGAGGCTGGAGGCCTGATCTGGAGAAGAGAGGCGGTTGTTGCAGAAGAGGAGACCAGCTTGCTGCTGCTGCTGCTGCTGGCTCGGGCTGAGAGTGTTTGCTGCTGGATGTTGGGAGATGTTCTGAAACAGGGGGGGCTGCTGGGCCGTCTGTGTGTGGGGCTGTGGCTGGGTGGGCTGCTGCTGCTCCATGGGGCCTCTCTGTTGGATAGGGGAAAGCTGGGTCTGAGCCTGAAATACTGACTGTGGTTCAGCAGCAGGAGTTTGAAGGGCACTAAGAAATGCCATCTGCTGCTGTTGTTGTTGTTGTTGTTGGGTACTGCTGCTCTGAGGAAGAAAAAGCCCTGGGGTCGAGGGCTGCTGGTCTGGAGACTGCAGGACTGTCATGGTGCTTTGGAAAAGAGCGGCCTGGACCTGCTCCTGGGAGGCTTTCTGAAACAGTCCCCTCTGAGGATCTTGTGTTTCAGCCAGAGCGGAGGGATTGTGGAACATGGGTGGAGAAGGGTGTGAAGGTGTCTGCTGGAGGAAGTTGGTCTGAATGGAGAGGAGGTCACTCGCCTGCTGAAAAAGAGCTGCCTGCTGCTGTTGTTGTTGTTGTTGTTGCTGCTGCTGGGCCTGTTGGAAAAGTGTCCCCTGGTTCGGCACCACTCCTTGTGGTGAGCCCTGCTGCTCTGTGCTCTTGCCTTGAGAAGCATCCTGAAACATGCCGCACTGCATCTGAATCTGTGACTGAAACAGCTGCTGCTGTAGATTCTCCAAAACTTGCTGCTGTTGCTGCTGCTGAAGCTGCTGCTGCTGCTGCTGAATTTGTTGCTGCTGCTGCTGCTGCTGAAGCTGTTGCTGTTGCTGAAGCTGCTGCTGCTGAATTTGTTGTTGCTGAATTTGCTGCTTCTGGATCTGTTGTTGGTGCTGGATGTGCTGTTGCTGCTGTTTGGCCGTGGAGTCATCAGACTGGAGTGGTAAGTTACAGAACCCCTTTGCTTTGAGCTGTCTGACAGCTTCCTCCAGCTGGGCCACTTCATCTGGGGGAAACATGGGCATCTGCTGCTGCTGAGGTGTCGGTTCTCCGCACAGCCTCCCGACAGCCCCAGAGCCGCTGCCAGGCCTCTCCTGACCTAGGCCCTCTCTCTCCAGGAGGAACTGCTGTGAGCTCTGCTGCAGCAGAGAGTCAGCAGACACTGAAAATGAGCTGGGGGCTGCAATGTCCTGTGTCTGGATCGTGCTCAAGGGCTCTGTGTTGGTAAAAACAGGAGGCTGGCCTTTGTCAGGGTCACCTGCAGGCTGAGTTAGGCTGTTGGAGAATGGTCTGTTTTTATTTAGATGGCCTACAGTCATGGCTGAGTTCTGCTGGGCTGTGCACAAATCCTCAGTCTGCTGAGAAGAAAAAAATCTATTTAGTGTAAATGAAAATTTTCTACATACAAGAACAACAGGAGAGCAAGACATGAGCTGACCGATTAAAAAAAAGAAAACTTCAAAGTTATCTACAATTCAAGAAGGTGACAATTGAAGGGATATTCCGGCATAAAATTAATTCAGGGTCAAACACATCGTAACACCGAGTTAGACTCTCCCTCGAGAGATGAATTTTGCCAACTGGGGTAAACTTAAATTTACGTCGGAATATCCCTTTAAGGTCATGACCTCACAGATCACCTTAAATACACCCGAGGATTGTAGGTTGCTGGTGACCTCCATCGGAGTGACATCTTCTCTCTTCACTAACGGCAACAATGAAGGCATCAAGGCACCATCTAGTGCTGCCAAAGAAAAAAGAAAACAATCAGGCAATGTTTAATTTAGGATTATTTGCGTTCAAAGATTCAAATATGCGGGCACAATTCATCATCGCTCATGGTTTTGTAGAAGAGTTCATGAAGGAAAACAAACCTTTGATTTGTTCATCAAAAGGGCAAGTCTTCACTGGAGATGGAGCCTCTGTCTTCACAGGAAGATCATTTTTCGCTAAAAGGGAAATCATTTGTAGATTTTTTTTTGCTTTGAGTCTGATATTTTGGACAATTGATGTAAATATACAGTATTGCAATAATGTTATGAGTGTAGAGGCTAAAGGCGCTGCACAGGACAGGAAATCACATTGTTTATTGTTTTACTTGAGTTAATCCCATCAACAGATCTTTGGGGGTTTTGTGGCTTAGGTATTCAAAATACTGCCTGCTGAGGATAACCGTGGATTCCTTTCAAGTTTTGTTTTGGGGCCCTTGAAAGATTTGACCACCAATGTTAATGCTTGCTTTACTCCCACTGAACTGTAGGTGGCGGTGTTATCAAGATTTGAAGGGAAGTGAGTCAGCCCAGTGCCAGCAGACAAGTCAAAAAAGTACTTTGCAAATAATAAATCACCTACTCAAGTATAGAAAGCTGATCCTCCAATCAGTTGAATTAAAAAAAGAGCTACACAAATAAACTTTATGTTATTATAGTGACATGAACTAACCTGTATCAGGCGTGTAGGTAAACGGCTGAACATCATGAGATCTCCCAGCATTTGTCACCACATAGATCCCCACACACACAGAGGAGGTGATGGCGTGGTTCTGGTAGGGAGGAACCTTCACTATCAAGTGATTCTGAAAGGCAATCATTAAAAACGGTCAGTAACAGTGCATGAAAACTTGTGCACTTCTCTGATCAACTCAATTCATTGAGTTTAAGTGGACTTCTGGCAAAACTCAGACTTAATTTTAATCTATTTAATTGTATTCCGTTTTTAAAACACTGTGTTTGATGTTTATGTATGTTAGTGTTCATTTTTATCATCCCTGCTGCTTTCAGTCTGTTCAGCACTTTGGTCGACCCCGGTTGTTTTCAAGTGCTCTATAAACGAAGTTTGAGTTGAGTTGAATTACTGAGGTGAAAAACTTGTGAGTAAATGTACAACAGGAGTGTTTATTTTGTGTATATCAGGGATTTTTTTAGCATGAACATTCGGAAATCAGTGGCATATTTACCAAAGAGGATTAGAGCCACAAGATGAGAAAAAAAAATAATTACAGGAGGGAGATTGTTTTAATTTCCATTTTGAGATTAAAGTCGAAATTTTAAAGTCGAAATGAAAAAAATCGAAATTTCAAGATTAAAAAAAATGTAAATTATGTGAATAAAGCCAAAATTTCAAGATGAATAAATTCATAATAAAGTAATTACAAGAATAAAGTTGTAATAAAATCCTTACGTACGAGAATAAATTTGTTACCAAGTTATTACTTACAAGAATAAAGTCAGAATAAAGTCCTAAAGTCTTAATTTTTTTTCTTAATATGCCCTTACTTTCCGTCATACATATTACACATTTTCTTACAGAAAGGGGTTGTTATGTAATTATGTGCTGTGAATAAGAAAAAAAAAATACAATCTTCGTAGTGATGTTTCTGCATTGACGGAAATGACTCGTCATGTATTGTTTGAGTAAATAATGTGCTGTGCATTAGTATGGAAACAATGTTTTCTGTTTCCCTCATTGTTATATTCACAACTAACTGATTGACATGAAAACAATCACAAAGACAAACCTCCTCTATTAGCTGCACATTCATCCATTCATCTTAAGATTGTAACTGGACTGAGTGCAGCCTTTGAGACTGAGTGTAATTAGGTCAGAGCACAAAGAGACTACTCAGACCTTTGATTCAGCAGCAGCAGTTTAAGATGATTACATCTCAATCCCCATACAAATCTGAAATGGCTGCTTCTGTCTACTTAGCTCATTAGTAATTAGCATTAATCATTTGTTACAATTATAACACAAGAACAAATCACATGTGTACCTGGTGGAAAAGCTCCATGTCAATTTCAGCCTCAGCCTTCCATGAATTCTCATCTGGAACCAACAGAATATGAAGCAGGTTTAGTTTGATGAAAAAGCATGAAGAGAAAAGACATCAAATCATTTAAACTGCCTGAGTCTCACTTCTTACCTGAAACGTTTTCTTGAAATATGACTTTGGTGTCTTTAAGGAAGTTTTTGCCGATAATAAAAACCTCTTCTCCGCCTCTCACTGAACAACTGTGCAGTGATTTCTTCAGGATCTCCGGACAACCTGCAGGCTGGGCTGGAATATGATGGAAACAGTGTTAGGTCATCAATAGGATTAATTTTACTGGCAATCTTAATCCAACTCAATCCAAACTGCATCTCCTGCTGTCCTAAGACACTATTCACAGTTATTAACCAGGATCAGACGGCTCTCCTTATGAGGCTAATTGGTCAAGTGAGACTGACATCAGTGTTTTAAAATTCAAGGTTAATAAAGGTTTACAGATACATTTTTACAGGTTTCCTACACAGCTGGAATGTCCATATTTTTCCATACCCTACTTTTTAGAATTATTTTTGGAAATACCTAATTTTCTATTTTAGAACACAGTCTTTTATAACTGTATAACTTTATAACTTCATTTTTCATTTACCATACATTCTAAGACCTGGAAATTGATCAAATTACTTCCATACTTGCGTAGAAACCCTGTTTTTAAGGTCAGTCCTTTAATATTGAATACTATCTCAAGAACTTTCCTGCATTACAAGAAGTAATAACTTTGAATTTTATACATGAACATAAGTGGAAGAAATTAACGAAAGGATCCACCATTTAAAAACATCGACTCAAGTTTAGCTGAAACTGATTTTTCCCGATTCATGACAGACTAAGTAAACAAGTAGCTTCTTTTAAAGTGAGTAGAAGTACCTGCTTTGGCTCGAACAATGCTCAACAAATAGGTCACACACTTTATTGCTTAACACTCTGACTGATGTATCCTGGAAACCTGCCATCTGCAACAACATAATTCCTAACTGACTATCGAGGACTTATTACGCAATTTTTCTACATCTTAAAAAAAATCTTTAAGGACCCATCTTCTTAGGAGAAATAAATCTGACGCTTTCAAAAAGCTGCCGATACTTTAAACACACAGGTGTGGTATGGTCGTCTAACTCAAATACAGGTCACTTCTCACCGACCTCCAAAAAGAACTTCGAGCAACCTGTGGCTCAAACCACTCCCCTTCGCCTCTCAAACATATCACAAAGCTTTCTCACTGGTCTGCACACCCACACACACACACACTCGCACACACTCATGCACAGATGCCAATGGGGGATTACTTTTTTTTTCCTCCTTTGCTTTGGTGGAAAGATATTTCCCTGGGTTGCGCTCTGGCTCTGTGTAAACAATAAAGGTCCACACATCTCCATTGTTTTGTCCTTTCCTTCTCTTTCTCCCATGTCTCTCTCTCTGTCTCTCAAAGCATTTCTGCCAAATCTCCTTACTCAGAATCTTTCTTATGGCCCTAAGCGTCTTTCCTGTTTATGAAACCAACCACACCCTCATACTGTATGCATTATCAAATAACACTTGGATCTGAAGGGATCTCTGCTCATTGTCTCTGAATGCGGACATCAAAAGACAGCTGTCTTCGGACCTCGGGCAACATTAAACCTACAAACAGGACCTCTCCTGTTGAAAGGAGGAAGACACTTCTGTTTATAATGACCGAGTAGGTAACTGTTCAACGGTCTGTTTTCTCTCGATAGAACTCATATTTTGTCTTTTAGTCTTTGGACAAGACACCTCATTCATTGGATAGCATTTACACAGAAAAGCACAAGGGGAGAGACTTACTGCACAGGATCGGAGATGAGGGAGTCTGTAGTGTTAGCACTGAACCATCTGGACGGGGGATGTTGACCCGAAACACCAGCCGTGCGCGTGTGCTCTTCTTCTTTGACCCGGCCACACCGATACGAGCCTCGACATCAGCATTACGCAGCTTTAAGATCCCGACACAGTCCACCCTGCATGGAGAAACAAGGAAAGCTTGGAAAAACTCACAGTTTAAACAACAAACTTTACAGTGTTTGCTAAACCAGCAGCTCTTCACCACACTAAATACCTGAGCGTTTCATTACCACAGATTTCCCTAAGGGGAAGAATGTACTTTACACTTCACATGGATGTCTGCCATTGTGTTGTTAAGCAATGACTTTGCATTATCTGTGAGGCGCCAATGCATATTAAAGAAAGCGTTTTTTGTGGTTTGTGTATGTGGACAAAAAGATCAAATTCATTTAAAAAAAACAGTAAAATTTGACATTACGCTAGTGTCATCATCGTGCTTGGATCAAGGGACACCTCGATGACAGTTGTGCCATCAATGTCCACCTCTTTGCAGGCCGTGGTGTTTCGGCCGGTGACCCTGCAGGCCTGGTAAAATCCATGAGGCTTCACACGACCGGCATCATTGCCCACGAACACCTGCAGAACGACCGGCTCGTTGACTCCTTCCAGCTGAGGGAACACAAGAAGACGAGAAACGTACCCATCAAGAACAGATTTATTTTAGTGTGATATAGAAGATTTGGTTGAAGACTTCAGCTCCTACTGTGCCAGGAAATTAACGAATAGCGAGCTTTGTGACCGCATATGTTGGATCTTGGTCTCCACATTTTGTAACATCTTTACATTATGCAGTTGAGCTTGATGTTTCCTGCCCATTTAGAGTGATTTACTGAATTTGGGCCTAGTTTGCATATCAACACATCATCTTTCTCTCCAGCCTTAAAAAAGCCTGTGTTTGGGATCTTTTGTAGTTACTCTGTATTTGTCAGTTTCCTGGTTTTCTGCATGTGTCAGTCAGCTCTTTAAAATTGTTGTCAGTAAAAACAAGTCAACGGCTTCTCCATCAGAGCTCACACTGCTTTGTGTCAAAATTTACAGCTCAAACATTGAACTCCAAACTCATTACCTCCTCTTTCCTTTCTATATTCTCAGGAACAGGAAACCTCGATAACTAACTAAAGTTAAAACAGATAAGTAGTTGACACTATATTTGTAATTTAATTGTTAAACTGAAATAAAAAAATAACCTGACCAAGGTCTGTGTTTTTGAAAAACTGTTCACATCTGGTTCGGTCTGTTTAAGTTTTACACTGTCATTATTGCAAACGGTATAACAGACTTTACATGACGAACCTGCGTGATATCATCATCAACTATGTGCTTTGCGTGTCTCTGTAGTTTACATTGATTGGTTATTAGGCCAGCGGGCGTCTGACGTCAACACGTTGAAAAGCGCAGGTCTTGAATGGTGTAAACACGGATGAAATCATCATTCCCACCATTGTATTGTTTTTGATTTTCTACCTCCAACAGCGACAACTTAAAGCTGAACATGAGGCTGGTCTGAGAAAGTCCCATGAGTTTGATCATTAGACGACGACTTTATCGACATCGACTCTTGACAAGTTGTGAGAATAGTGAGGTATTTACAATGTTATAAAATTTCCCATTCTTGGACAATCTCCATTCAACGTAATAAAGGATACTACTACTCCTCGCTTCATTTCCTGTCTTTGGTACGAAGGTCCGAACCTTTCAAAATAATTCTTTCACACTGGGCATGAACCAGACCGTGGTTCAGTTTGATCAGGACCGAGACCACGTCTGGCTGTTTGGTCCGGACCAAGGTCCTGGGGAGGATTGACACCTATCACCTATGTCTGGACCAAACAATGTATGTGTGAAAGCTCCCTAAGACTGATTTTCATGAAAACTAGACCTGAACCACATCCATGATCTTGTCTAGCCCTTTTTAATTAGCACAACTTAAAGAGTAAAGAAGTTCAGTCATGCTGGGTATGAAGAGGGGTTGTTGAAATCTATCTTAAATCTTTTTGATACAATCTTTTGTGACACTCCCTTAATGCTAAACAATAGAAAACAATGGAAAAGTTAAAAATATATCCTAAAGGAGAGGAAACATTAAATGAGTAATAGGAGATGACATTGACAGGAAGAGTATGAACTCACTATGTAACATATTCAGTCCCTGCTTGAAAAAGACTTTCCACTTCCTCACACAGACTTTTACCCTCTCACCTTAAACATATTTGACATTGTTTGCACCACCGCTTCAGTAGCTCCAGAAATAGCAAATCCCTCACAACCCCCAGTCGGTAATCCAATCATTAACACAACCTTCAGCTACGGAAAGTTAGCAGAGTCCAAGCCGCACGTTTTGAAAGTTACCTTCACAGTTGGGAAGCTCTGCTGTGTGCGGTCCTTCACAGACCCTCTGCTGCCTTCGGTCAGATAACGAGCTCGGTGTTGGGTCTCAGGCTGGACCAGGATCTTCAGCTCCTTCCCCTCACATTTCTGTGGGTACTGCATCAGAAGAGTTCCTCCTTTCTGTTTAGTCATCTGAAGGTCATCAGAGCTGCAACAAAGACACCAACAGTTCAATTAGATCTCAAGATTTCATCTCAGTGTCATTTTACTTCATGCAAACCTGCTGGCAATTTCTCAAATTTGATAGAAAGTGACTCTGTTTTTGTTTCTTTTTAGATCCCTACGGCCCAGTGATGCTCAAAGCAATGCAAGGTTAACAGGCCCTCCATCAAGCAGGCATATTTTACCCCCAGCTCTTAAACAGAGATATCTGTTTCTTTAATCTCCTCTGCTTATCCCAGGCCTTGGAGAGCGGTTCTGTGATTCACTCTGGCTGACCATTGTTTGGACTTCAGTATCCTGCCCCTCCCTCCTCTCTGATCAAACCACTCTTCTTCAGTCAATGTGTGGTGGGAAATTCAGGGTCAAAATAAATGGTTGGAGATTTCCATCTGTTATACAATGAGTAATTTCCTATTAACAGATTTTTTAATAATTGAAATGAGTGCTGCATGACACAAGAGCAGAAGGGCCATTAACAGCAGTAATGTTAGATAAAACCTGCATAAATGCATTGATGAAATGATAACGATGCCATGTGAAAACTGCTTATCAATTTACCACTATAAGCAAAGTCACTAGCTGTGTTTATATGAGCACAAATAATCTGAATAAAAATGCGTCAGGTAAACATGTCGATCGGAGGATTCTGATCCAATTCGGTTCAATCAGAGAGAAATTGTATTTCGATCGAGAGGAGTGGTTTATGCCAATCGTTATTCCGAAGCGCGTCCAGGTAAACACTTATTCCGATCGTGACCTGACTCGATCGTCACTCTTTAGCCTTTGGTTTATTTATTGAGGTCAGTTCAGGAGGTTTCATTATTAACACTTTTGTCATAAAACACAACGACAGATGCCGCATCTGGTAACATAACAAGGCGTACATACAGTGTAATGATGTCGCATCTGCATGCATAGTGCAACCTTTGACAGAACAGTAAAATAAGTAGGCAAGAGCGCCATCTAGTGACAACATTTAACAGGGAGGATACTCCTGAACTGGATGGAGTGAGCCACTACCACGTTTGATGGTTTTTGACAGCACAGGCGTAAATACAACTCTTCTTCTGTGGTTGTTTTGGCGCATGTCCAAATGCTTCTAATCTGAATAAAGCTTGGTGCATGTATACGCACGTCATGATCGGATTATTTGATTTTGTGCTCACATAAACAGTCGATTCAGATTATCTGATCCCTCAAATTTTTAATCGGATCAAGAAATTTTGCCCATGTAAACATGGCTACTGTTTTTCTTTGTCCTTTTTACAACACTACATAGAATACATGCAGGTATATACACCCCAAAATCCTGAAAGTTGCTGAATGATTGTTGGAAATGTTTCCACAGAGCTGTGGGCAGGCTCGTTTAGGGCCTGGACTCTTCCACCGTGCAGAATATGGTTCAGCAGAAACTCTATCTTTGTCTTGCTGAAATGCGCAGATTCAGACGGCAGCATTTGTCGCTCCAAAAACCTGTATATAATGTTAAGCAATAATGGTTCCTTCCCACATATGTAAGCAATCCATGCCATGGGAACCTCTGCATCCCCATAGCAAAATGCTGGCTTTGAAAGTGTCCACTGAAAACATGGTGTGTGTTCCCTTTCCTCTTTAAAAGCAGAAGACACATCAGCCATGATTTTCTAGAAGAATGTCAAATATTAAAATGTCACTCTGCTGGATATGTTTCCACTTTGTCACAGTCCAACCAAAAACGGGCTTAATTAAACCGTTCAGTTTCAACATTTGATGGATCATCATGAATAACTACTTGAAGATGTGCAAACCGCTGATGTCTGTTTTCATCAGTGTTTACACAGCATCCCAGTGTCATTGGAATTGGAACTAGGGTTGTTTGTTTATCGAGTCTAAAGTGATGGAAGTCTGTTGGTTGGACAATCATCAGATCAGATTCTTGGTGAAAAACTGGAGATTCTTGTGCACACGTTTGACTCCACCACTGTGACTGTAATGAGGGAACATTTTGTGCTGCAGCTGGGTTTTATTGCTATGTAATCTTCTTGTTGTTTTCTTCTTTAATTCATTAATGAAGTCTAAAAATATAAAAATTATGATTAAATTCTCAAATTTAAGAGGCTAAAACCTTTTTTGAAAGATTTCTTCCAAATGGGCAAAACTGTAGTATCATAAGAAATGTTCATTTATTCATAAATGATTTCATCTCTGGAGCGTCTTTGTAGAAAAAAGTGCATTTTGTGCAGAGCTTCAGAGACACTTACAAAAGCTGGTGCAGGTCAAAGAGTTTTATTAGACCCCTAGTTTGATCATTCCTTTCTGCACATAAACACGGAGTCCGGGTCAACAGCAAAGCATCTCAACCCGGCTCAATCTTTAAGTTTTACAAACCTTCCTTTTGCTCCGGTTTTGCTGTCAGGGCCCAGCTGTGAGAGAACAAAGTGTGGAGCTTTAGCACTATCTGCGTCAAACATGTCCATGCTGCCTTCCCCTGCAGGCGCAGATTTAGGACCAGGCCTCTGGCGAGGGGTCCGTTTGCGGGACTTCCGTGGCACCTCTGTGTTGTCGTTGTAGGAGACGCTGCTCATCATGCTGAAGTTGGTGAGAGAGTCATCCATCCAGATGCTGTTACTCTGCTCAGAATCCAGGGATGTTTCACCCTGGCAGGACATCTGGCTGTCATCAAACAGATCTTGTGGAGGCGGAGAGATATTCAGTACTGTGCGGCGCTTTGACGGGGTCATCTCACCGCTTCCCCTGGCGTTACCATTCCCACCCTCCGCGCCGACCACGTCCAATCCCCCTCTACTACTCCTGATGTCGTCTGCGTCGACATTGCCGCTGTGAACCGGGTTCTGGTCACTGGCTGTAGCACTGGAATGAACAGCGGAGCTGGAAGAGGTGGAAAAAGCACTGCGGGGGCCTTCCAGGGTCATAGAGGAGGACATGGCATCTACAGTGCAGATAATTATAAAGTGAATAAAGGCATCCCAACCAGCATTGGCTAGCAGTCCCATTTAAGCAGCAAAATTTGTTCATGATTTTTCTTTTTTGGCTTCTTTTTGAAACATTATTTTTGTGTTTATCCAATTAAAAATTCCCCCTTTCATTGGATCTTCTGTGCTCTGTGTGTGTGTGTCTTTGCTACTCTAAAGGTGTTTAAATGTACAGTATGTGAAGCGTAGTATATCTGTATTTATAAAGGGGCAAAACAAAAAATGATTAAATTAAAAATAAAGATAATTAAACTTCTTGTGAACAGATTTAACTTGTCAAGAAAAAAAAGTGGGTGAATCTATCATTTTGAAAAGTACTGTGTTAATGTTAGCCTGACAAAGTCGTTTGTGAAAATAATGAAATGGAGAGGGAAGTTTAGAACAGAAATATGCACAATATAATGCATGCCAGTTATTGGAGCTTTGAATTTTCAAGTTTTTCTTTTTTTTTTTCTTTTTGCTACAAAAGTTCATTTGGTTGGGACTGAGCGTAGCCACAGAAACAAAATAAACAAGCTTCTGACCTATGAAGCAGAGAACTGCAGACCATTTTATATGCAGACACTCCCTGCTTCAGAGGGAACTTCCTGGAATATAAAAATAAGACAGCGAATGAGCAATAAGAGCTGAACAGTAAAAATTATTCAGATTTCCTAATAAGTAAGAAAACACAGGGTATTTGGTTTGTCAGGTTACGTTGTTGCTCCGGCATGCTGACAATATGCTGTAAATTTCAAAAGCATTCAAATAGTCACAAAGAACTAGATGAAGAGTGGGGGAAAGTCTGGTTAAGTTGCAGACTGAAAAATGAGGTTAGGCTGCTGTTGAAAGTCTGGATTGTTTGGTGACTCATTGCTCAACACTGTAATTAAAAAGTCTGGTCATTGTGTCTGTGAGAAAACATTTCCCCAGGAATTATGAACAAGAAATCAGAAGCCAGATAATCTCATTGGCAGTTTTCAAAAAAGAAAAAAAAAAAGAAACTAACAGTTCCGTGTAAAGTGAAATACAGTATACGTCACCTGCGAGTGGCTGTAATGGAGCACTGCAGTCCAAAGGGAACAAACTCCTGGATTTACTGAAACTCAATCTAAGGAATTGGCGCTTCGATGAGGAGCAGAGCAAAACAGCAAGCACAGGCTGAATGTCACTTTTCTTCCTACAGCCATTTGAGCACTTTCAGAAGTTTATTACAAAAACAGCTCAGTTACTCTCAGTGCTTGAGATCTTCAGGCTTAACTAAGGCTGGGTTTTTTTCATCAATTTGTTATTCTTATGAGCAGACATCATTAGACCATCTTCATAGGTACGCAGGACCAACGACAAAAGTTATTATTATTTATGTCTCAGTTTTGTGCTCTTTTCTGATTAAAGAGAATAAAATTAAACTTGTTTACTCCTGTTTTAAGTGTATATTGCTCCTAACTTGTTCAGTAATTATGCAGTTTGCAAAAAAATCTCCAACTACAGCTTAAGATGATTATAAATTTGTATTTTCTAACAACCACACATCAATTAAAGCACCTGAACTTTACTAAAAAAAAAACATCTTTAACATTTGTAATTTTGTAATTTAACCTCTTCTTTTTCTGGTAGCAAGCACAAGGGCCATGCATTCATCAATTTCCCACAAATAAATAATCCAGAAAAGGGGATCCTTACAAAAATGTTGATAAGTAAATAAGTTATGCAACAAAGTTCAAAACAAGGAGATTACAGACACGCCAAGCCTGCTAACTTTATAAAAAAAGGTGGGAAACGAGCTCTTAAAACGGCGAGGTCTTTTGGGCTGAGAATGCAACACTGTGACATAACAGGCTTTGTCAGGCTCTGTTCATTAACGGCTAATTTTATACTTAAAAAAAAAATAAACCTACCGAGATCCTGCCTCAAAATATTGTTTTCATAATAATGCAGAGACCTCATGACCTACATTTACACACTTTCACACCGATGACATTTATTGACAACAGCCGCTCCTCTGACCAAAGATTTCAGGCGCAGTTAGCACCGACTACAAGACAGTTTTAGTGCTTAAATCAGGTGACATAACCTGCTTACTAAGTTGTTTTGTTTTGTTTGAGTATTAAAGGACTGATGTGGGAGGTGCAAATTAGAGAAACACAATCTAGATTTTCTTAGTTATTGATGTATCCAACATTAATAGCGAAGATTAATTCATATTTTCACAATTAAAGGTGAACACCTGTAGTTAAAGCATACCTGGAGATAAGAAAGAAAAAGAGATGGATAGTACAGACAGCTGATGAACTGTCACACGACCTCTGCAGATCGTGTGTTGAAATTCTTAATCAATTTTGGGCCCTTTTCATGCATTCCTGCTTAAACTGAAGTCTGATCTTGATCAAACTTCACTACAAATAATGACAACTGCATTTTATGTCTTAACTTTGTTATGTTGAAACAGAAATGATCGTGAAGGTGCATGTCAGACCGTAGATTCTTCTGACTTCTCCAATTCAGGACATGTAAAAATATTTTGGAGGAGACATCTGATGGCAAATGTCTTTTAATTTAAAAAAAATAAAAAAAAAAGTAAAGAAAGTTTTCATCAGAAACCTGACAATAAAAAAATTAAAGAAACATTTCAAACTGAACAGCCTGAGTAGCCCAAAAATTCTTTTACAAAATCAGATAATAATTTATCGGCTCTGATGTGCACCCCTCAGGCAGACCACAAGTTTTTTCTCTGGGGGACGTGGCAGGATCAGTCCTGCTGAAGAAGTAGAGCTAATGCAAGAGGAGGATGATCTTACCTGATGCTACAGCTGCTGATGGGGGAGGCCCAGCCTCTCCACCGCTTTTTTGACTCATGCTTTTTAGGCTCTGTCTGGTCGAGGAAGACAACTGTAGCTCTCTGGGAAGAAGACCATACGCTGATTCTGTCGAGACACGAAGGGGGAACTGATTAACCAAAGGGTTATGGCGCAAGAGAAACTCAACAAAGTCTGATGAAAAATAAGTTCAATAAGTTTAGGATTTTTGTGTCAGCTCAAAAACTCATTTGATGTTTTCAGTGATCCTCAGAAAAACCAAATCCCTATTTTTCAGATAATATAAATACAATGGCACATAGCTCTTAAAGTTACAGCCCTTATGTAATTGTTACATCTACGGCCTAGCTGGCAACAAATTTTAAAAAGTAACAAGGAAATACCCACAAATGCAAAATAAATCCTGCGCTAACAAAGCATGAGGATTCCAGCTTCGCAGGTTAACACCTCTCTGTTAGTGCCAAACTGCTGCCGGCTGCACTCAGGTAAGAATCATTGCACACAGCTGCCTAATCTGTTAATGCTAAAAGAAAAGTATCAAACAATTCAAAGTAAGACTGAAACTTACAGAAAACTGAAAATGAAAATGAATGTAGAAATCTTGTTAAAGCTCAGTCTGTAGTTCTAAATGATCCATCTCCCAGTATTGGAATAAAACTCCCCAGTTCAAAATCAAAATCCTCACACAGTTCATGAACATCCCAGCACCACACACAACCACAGACAGACCCATGACATTGTCAACTCTTTCTGGTGATTTTTTTCCTTGGTCAGATTCTGATGCCTACATTACCCACAATGCAACCCAAAGCCACGCTGTAATCTGGGTTTATTGTGCAGGTAATGGCTAAAGTTGGCTACAATATGACACAGAAAACTAAAACTAGAGCTTAAGTTGGCAACATGTCCATAAGAAAAACGAAGCTTGGAGATGTCTGACTCAGGTGACGTTCATTCACTGCATTTACATTTTTGGTAGTTCTTCAAAAAACCTTAAAAGACACCCCAAGTATACACTCAAATTGGATGTCTGGTTTGATTCACAAAGGACTAAATGACGTCAGTTATTGATGTAAATTATTGGTAAATTTTCGGTTTATCACTCAGCCCTACCTGGAGGAGCTGCTTTTTTTGATCAACTGAAAATTAAGATGTTAAAATCTTAATAATTACTTGTTTGATTTATGATTTTTTTTCCTCTGGTACAGGTTATCATACAGGTAGATTCTATTTGGTACCCTTCTATCATTTTAACTTCAGTAAATTCCGGCTCTGGACTGAGTTGGACGGACAAAACTAATCATTTAAGTCAAGTCAAGTCAATGTTTGTTGATAAAGCACCTTTAAAAGACAGCAGTCAAACAAAGTGCTGTACATGGGATAAAAAAAAGAAGCAAATAAACAGATGGATAACAATACAAAATAAATTCAAAACAGTTGAATAAAATACAGACAGTAAAAACACCCTGAAGTATAAAGCTGGAGTATAATGATACTGAAGATTAATGGCATGTTGGAAAACTGGTTACCCAAATCTTACAATTCAGTTAAAGAAAACTCATTTGCACCCCCAGGTTTCTCATTTCTGTTGGTGTTTTCCTTGAAGAGTGTGAAAAGTTTAAAACCATGATGTCCTTTCCCAAGACTGCACATTTAATTAAGGCTTAAACACAAATTCAGGGCTGTGATTACAACCAGAACCATAAGGAGGAAATTAGAACCACAAAATAACTGGACTTTTGTGGTAAAAAGCAAAAGCTAACATACAAAATAAACAGCAGGTCTCATGACAAACAGACAGCAGGATGTCGAAAAGGCTTTCTCTCTCCTCTCTGTGCCTCCCCATGGAGTCGACAGGACGTGGAGAGAAGAGAAAGCCTTGGGTCAACAGCATGACACCACTTTTACTAGCAGCCTGATTCATCATCCAAATATTATGGTTTGAACTTAGAGCGGCCATTACAGTCGCCTGACTCTCTTCTCTGCCAACTGCCAGCTTTAATTACTTGCAGCTGAGTCCCAGGGTTCGGTGTGTATATCAGATACTTAACCCTCCTATTGTTACCACTCACTGTGTACAATAGACAAACCTGGGACATACTGAAACCAGCCCATGCCTCTTCATTCCCAAAGCCCTCCGGTCTCTTACAGCTCGCTTTAGAAGACCAGGGAATGCTGGTTCCCAGAAAGGGAGCTTAAATCTGGACTCAGCAAACTCATATAACTCACAATGAACCACACATACACACAGGATTCTAGTGTGGTTTTGCTGCTTATTTGCTGAGTTCTCCAAACAAAATCATAGACACTCATGCGTGCACATGCACATAAACGCCCCCCACTGCCTCCACAAAAACACTTTCTCTGCCCCTGCATTTACACTTAAACTCTACAGTCTTCTCGGGCTCAGTGACTGACTGCACATGCAGCAACATGTGCTCAGGGTGAGCAACTCTTCCAGTAAACAGATTGCCAACCGCACAGACAGAAAATATGTACTCTTCTCTCAGAGCGGCAGACTCGAATCACTAGCTGGCCTGTTCAAAGTGTTTCCAGAGTCCCTGAAGGCTGAAAAAAAAGTATATTGCTGTAAATTTGTTTCCTCGTAAGCAGACAGGCTGCTATTCTTTATTTGAACAGGACAAAACACTGTCTCTTTCACACAGAAGAAAACGTTATAAATAATTAAAAAAGGTCAGCCTTGTTAGCTGGGAAATAAACCGTACTGACTCACCCACCACGTGATGTTTTGATTTTTACCAAGGACTGCAGACATGTTGTGCAGACCACTGACCACTGAGGAAAAACTTCATTTTCTCTGTGCCTGTGATCATCATTATAACAGATTAAAGCCTGACCTTAGAGTCCTCACCACCCACTTGCACACATACTTTGGTATACTTTGATCAGGCCCACGAATACAATCAACGCTTTAAATATTTGGATTCCTCTCTTAACGTAAACAGACAATAGATAACAAACCACAAACACTCGAATCAAAGTTTCACGTCAGAAATCCTGCACACAGTTTCACATTTTCAAATAGCTTTGTATCTCATACCGTCCCCATGCTTTGTGATCTGTTTATCTGGTAGGTAGTGCAGGCTAAAGGTGAAAAAAGAAAGCACTCACCATGTGAATGGCAGGACTTACACTCCCATTCATTTCCCTCACATTCCTGCTGCTTGCTCTTACTAGCCCTGGCACCTGGGGCGTGGCACTGGTTTTTGGCTGAGTGACTGATTTAACTCCCCTTCTGTCCCCCTCCTCCACTCCACCTACCTCTCTGCCTCCCTCTGTCTTGTTTATTGTGCTCTCAGACCCTTTTCTGTACTTCAACTTGCTCAACAGGTTGGTGGTATTGTCATGTGGAATCCTGTCAAGCAGAAATGAAGCAATCAAATAACCTACTTCTACTGAGAAAAAAATTCAACGGATAAACTAAGTGCACTGACTGGACCTCGTGGAATAGGTCTGAAAAAATAGTCATTTAGGAGATATAAGACGAGCTCACCTTGTCGGGACGTAATTCCAAACAGCATAGAAGAAAAACAGTCAAAGGGCCTGTCACCTGCAGCAAACCATGTACAACAACCCTGAAATGTTTACAGCCAAGCCTACACGAAGGCTGCCAGTGACTCCATAGCAACAAAGATCAGGGGACAAGTCTTTTGAATGTCTGCGTCTCTTGTGTGAAAAGTAGGAAATCAAAGTGCATTACCCAAATACAAATGAAGAACTGGGCATTTAAAAAGGCAGGATATTACACTGCCAGCGTTACAACAAAGTGGTGAAAAGCTGAGTGAAAGCTTTTGTGAAGTGAGAGCTCAATGTTACAAAATATCATCAGAGACATTAAAAACCATGAAACCCTTTCTATGATGGGCATATATCCAATTCAAAGATCAGACATAAATCCTCTTGATTTAGCAAACAAAGGAGGATGTGATTGATCACAACTCTGGATTCCTCTTTACATAAACTGCTGCTTTGGACGCCTGTCAAATACATCTTTCTGTGCTAACTGTGGCTGTTAGATTACATTTATAAATACTGAAGATAAAAGAGTCACTTAGAGTATACTGTTTTTCTATTTAGATAGAAAATTACAATATTGATCAAATGTTTCGAAACATGTTTATCATTTACCTACAAAAATTCCTACATCAGAGATTTCTAAAACCACACGATGACTTTTTAAAGCTCCTGTGAGGAGTTTTCAGCTGGTTTCACATCAGGCTGAAACTCACACTGTTGCTTCTGTATGGCTCAGAAAGGCAAACCAGGCTATCAGAAGAAAAATAACTACTCTTGAATAGTATTTTCAGTGCCTGAAATTGCTGCTGTAGGGTAGGCGGCAGACTAAAGTGATAATCAGCACCCTGCAGAAACAGCCTGGTTTTACTTTTTCTGAGGCAAAGATGCTCAACGAATGAAAGCCTTCATCTGCCTGTTCAAAGAAGCAGGATGGGACTTAAAAACACTACTTATGTTAGCAGACAGTGAGTTTGGCTAAGCAGAGATAAAAGGTGGTCTATCCCTTTTTTGGCCTTTTTCATCACATGATAAACAAGTTTAAAAAAAATTAAAACAGACTCAGTGTCAAAGGCAACGGTCTCATAATACCATTTAACAACAACACAACCCAAAGACAGATTAACGGCAAGTAGGGCTGAATGATTAATTGCATTTGCGTTTCGATCACGATATGACAAAACACGATTGATCTGGTCATTTGACTTGCAAGCGAAGCAGAGCAGGTAGAGAGAAGTCAACACTGCACTCTGTCGCACTACGGCCTAATTCTGCTACAGTTTGGTACCAAAGAGGGGCAACACAGCAGTTGTGTGGATTTAAAAAAGATGCTGCTGTAAAACTCTACAAACCTTAATCAACACTTAAGAAAAAAACAGCAAAGCCATGTACGATAGTTGAACGGCTTCAACGGATTAGATTATTCTCCGAAATCGTTCAGTGCAAGACTCGTGTCATAGTCAGCAAGAGTTTTTAAGCGGCTGCAAACAGAACATTCATAAGCTGGTCAAACTTGTCAGAGAAGTGAGTTAATTGTGTATGTGGTGTGTCAGTGTAATGTATGCATGAATGAACGGGGAGGAGAGGTAAAATCAAGCAGATGTTACTTCAGTTGGATCTGTGGCTGTTACCTATAACTAAGGACAAACAGAGACAGAAACTGCTTTAAGAATAAAGAGGGGAATGACACGCACCAGGACTGGGAATCGATCCTGTGACTGGTGCCACTCGAACCACAGCCTCTGTACATCTACGTTGGCACCCATACATTTTTTGTAATAAAAAGGGAAAAGCCATGGGCAAGGAAAGCCAAAATCTCTAAGCAGCAGTGATAAACAGGGAAACACTTGTCCCCTGAGACAGGCTAACTATTCATCCCCGGTCTCTTTTGATGTCTTCTTACTTAACTTCATTTATGTGGCATTTAACACACAACTTAAAGAGGAAACATGGTTATAAAATCCTCAAAAACCCCATATCATTTCATGAATTTCATCATCCTGAGTCATACATTTGGTGTTGCATTATTCAGCTTCGAGCTTATCATACCTTTGAAGTCATTAATGTAATCAACATATGCTGTTAAATGAGTCATCTGTTAAGATTACTCTTTTTACTGCAGGTCAATTAAGAACAAGAGCGGCTGCCTGCAAAGTAACACAAGCTTCATACTCCACCCAAAATTAATCACTAAAGATTAAGGTTATCAGTGACACATAGAGAAGAAGGAGTTGCGCAACATTTACTTTAACAGCAGAGGTTGTCAATCATATAATCTGATTACCGACCACGATGACTCTGAGAAAATACATCTGTTCCACTTTTTATTTTGATGAGAACTTCCTGAAATGTAGATAACCCTTGAGGTTAAAATTAGCTCTGTATTATCAGGTTGTTTTTCTTCTCCACTGTCGTTTTACTGCCAGACTGAATCTTTCGTTCACAAGAGTTCGAGGTCTGAGTTTGCTCTTTTATGCCTGCTAATCCTGAAGGAACCAGAAACAACCTCTAGGCATCGGTTTACATGACTTACTTTCAACAAACACCCACCATGATCCTCACTTCACAAAACAGTTCACCAAGACTCCTGTGAGGGCCAAACCACCCGGTGACAAGTCTGAAAACAAAGGCGGTTGGTAGCAGCGCAAAGGGAGTCACTGTTATTGTGTTTATTAGATCCTGTGTTTGTGTTATTCTTAACCCCTGTGCCTACCCTCCGACTCTGAAACACGAAAAAGGTACAGAGCTCGACATGAAAGCATGACTCCAAAAAGCAGAGGAATTCCAACTATTTACAGAGGACATCACACACACGCAAGCTCACACGCATACCCACACAAAAAAAAAGCCTCAGATACAGATACGGGAAAACACTCCAGTATTGCTCATCAGCGGTTAGGCCAAATTCTGACAAACTTCCAAGGAAAAAAAGACAAACCAGCAGCTTGTTTTCTCATACAATCATGAAAAAAAAAAACTGTTCGACAAACATTTTAGTGTGCCAACACAGGCGACTCTGTCCGTCTCACAGGAAAACTGCGCTGAAGCAACAGGAAGAGCTTTTAGCAACACCACAAGCGTACTCTCATTGAAAATGTACCACCATCAAAGCGACTTATTACAAACTGAGGCTGTACCTGGGAGAGGAATCGAAACAGAGCTGAAATTATTATTTTCACTCAGTCTGCAAAAAACTAACTATATGAGTTGTTTTTTTATCTTCAAGTCATCACAAACATTTCTATTTAACCACCTTTTTATCACCTCGAACCCCCCACAATATGTCAAAACATCACAAGATATCTGAGTTCTACACAAACAATTGATTTCATACCTTAAAGCAGGTTCAATTTGAATTGAAATTCAAGGTTTTGTGCCTAAATTCACTGAAAAACACTGAAGGGCGAAAGAAAGAAAGAAGTTAGTTTGTGCTCGGCATACGATACACTGGCAGATGCTGCAAAATCTGATACGATACGGTACGATTACATTTGTTTGGCACAAATTTTCTTTTATGGAAATATTACTAATTGAACATTTAGTGAATGCAAAGGTCTTTTTGGTCTAGACAAGGCACAAAGAAATTCAAAATGTTAAAATGTAAAACAAAGCAAGACGAGCTAAAGGTCTGCTCTGGCCACAACTCTTTCTTCTTATTTCACAACTATCATATTTTAAGGGGTTTCTACATCTACATGTGTCGCTGAAACCTTCCAATCCAGACCTAGATTGGGATTATACCTCCAGATTGTAATTATACAGGAATATTTGGTCTAAGGTCTAGTTAACAATTTGAAAGGATTCCAGATGAGTCCACACCAGACTGGGGAAAGGGGCCATAATTCAGGTAACACCAGCAAAATCAGTGCTTTAAAGTTAAGTCTGTATCAAGCATGCTGAGTTTATCTAATAATGTACAAGCTGGTGAAATAACATCGAGAAGGGAAGAGGAGAGAGAGGGAAAAAAATGTATGTCTGTTCAGCAGGTTGTGACTTGCTGAGATAGTGAGAAATGAACACTGTAATTCTGTTGATGACGTCTTATTTCACTCATCCAAGAAACTTCCTCTTTGACAAACTCTGATACACAAAGGAGTGGCGAGAAGACACATCGTGACAACACATTCTGACACAATACAATACCGTTATTACTTATACACCGACTGATGAAATGAGGATTTATAAGCACCATTATTCATGCCAAGGTTTAAGTCGACTTCAAGGGAAAGAAATTTGAATATTGACAGATAGCCAGAGTAAAAAAAAAATAAATGAGGCTAATAAGGAACAAAAATCATTGACACTAATTTATTCACAGTTATTAGCCTGGGATCCTTTTAACCTTGACTTGCCTGGACTTGTCCCCAGGTTAGAAATTCCTCTCAGTATATGGCTGCAGTAAGCAAACATGACCTTTGATGTTAAATTAAACAAAAGGACAAATTTGCATGAGGCTAAAAGGTAGAGGTGCATGATATCAGACTTTTGGAGACATCTGATATACCTTCATTTCCAAACTCAGTGCAGATATACTGTAAGCGCACTCATTTTCAATGGTAAAGAACACCAACTCATTAGGTCTGTTTTTTAGAAGTAGACACAAAACAACATGACGTATGAGTTCTAGCATCAATGAAACATGTCAGTCAATCGTGTATCTGCTGTTGGTTTTTGACACTTTTAAGTAACTCCAAACTGCTGATATGTGTAAGCTTGTTGTCGTTGCATATCAGCTGTCACTGCATGTGTATGATTGATGCATCCTCTTATTATATATGACCCCCATTCTTTAAGAGTCGGGATGCAGTGATATGTTGATAAATACAGAATATGATGGTTTTTTAAAGTCATTTAAAGCTTGTGCATATCTATAAAATTGAGAATTGTTTAAGGAGAATTAGAGCTCATTTTAAATTTGATCCGAGCAGTACGTATCAAACTAGTTGGGACAGGGACAACGAAACACAAGAAAGGTTTTATAATAATGAGGAGAAAAAAAAACACTTGGCAGAACAAGTCTAAACCATAGACTGTATACACTATAGACAACTTGGCTCCACCTTCTGTCGTTATACGAATTTGAAGCCAAATTGCTCTTGGCATTTCTGGGATTTTCTCTATTTCCTGGAACCACCACTTGCGCAATAGCATTCTACGAATGCGGCGGGAGAGTCGCTGTGATGACGCTCGGCTCAAACAGCGTATCTCCAAGGTGAGCTACGCAATCTTCGTACGCCCATAGGCTGTATCAAGTGTCAATCATAGAAAACATGAACCCTCTAATAACTTTTACAAACGGAGCTTCACAGAAAAAAGAGGACTTGAGCCTAAACCAGTCTGACAGTAACTACATGTCAACATCACAACCAGGGGGGAGAGAAATTAAAATTGTGTGTAATAAATTACTCAAGTTTGTCCACAGCTCCATAGGGATTGCTGGAGGAGGCGGGATTTATGACCTATACTGCAGTCCGCCACAAGAGGGTGCTGTTCTCGCAGTGAGCTGTCCATTCTATATACAGTCTATGGTCCAAACTGATCACATAAACAGGTTGGTAACATAACTTTGTATATACAAAGAGCACTTCAGAGAAACTGGGTCTCTCAGAAGTAAGGATGTTAAATAGCTCAGAAGTTCTAGGATAATGCTCCAGAGAATAAAACTACAAAGAATTTGAGGATTTCATCAACTACAAAACATGATATTAGCAGAAGATTCAGAAAACCTGAAGAAATCTTTGTACATGAGGAATAAGGCTGAAAACTGAGACTTGATGGCTGTGATCTAAAGTCGAGTGTTTGATGCTGCAAACACAAATGCAAGTTAATGTTGTTTAAAGCAAGAAAACAGAACATAAAATATAAAGCTGATGATCCAAAAATGCCTCTTATCTTCCATTTTGCAGGCCTGGTCTCTTGGTCTGTAAGGTTTCATCCTTTGCATAAACTTTAACACACACTCTTTAATTAATCAGTGGTGCAAAAGCCTCAACAAGAAAAATGGATTCTTGAGGAAAAGAACACGATCTCTGATTTGTGTTTGGGCTCCCTGTTAAAAACCATCTCGTGTCGACTTTTCAAACAGAAATCTTTGAGGTGTTTGTCTGCATTTATGGTGGAGAAGTGAGGTCTGATCACAAGGGGTCACCCTTGAAACATGTGGACACTAGTTCAAATAGCAGGTGTGAACTGACACATGCTGTCTGCCTGGCCGGGGCTGGATAATACAAAGTGTTTTTATTCTGGTCTTTTGTTCCCAGGTCAGATGCTAGTAGAGGGGGTCTGCATCAGTGTGTTTTTTATTCCACCACTAGGGGCGCCAGTGAGATAAATGTGTTTTTTTCCATCAACAACAACTAACACTTGGTGCTGCTCAATGTATTTTGCTCAGTTTATGTTTAGTAGATAATATACATAAATTATTTGTGGGTACATGAGAACCATAGACATAGACTATCATGGTAATGGTACACACACACACACACACACACACACACACACACACACACACAAAGGTGCTATTTCTGGCGTCTATTAGGCAGATTCCTCTATTACAATAACCTGCCATTCTTTCTCCTGGCTTTGGCTCAACCCTGAATCTTCTTAAATATCCAGACTTTTTTTCAGCACCACTTTATTATAGAAGGTAAAAAGAAAACCAACAATGACAGGATACAGGGGAAATCGCCATTTCATTCAAACCCTGCCAGTCTGCCTAGGAAGCAGCAGATGACTCAGAAAACAGAAATGAAAACACAGGATATTAAGTCCACAGCCAGAAGACTGGAGACTTGGATTGCTTGAATACTTTTCATCAACATTTCTGAAAGTCATGAAATACCTTCATGAGCCTCAGAGAGAGGAACTTTTGAAGTGACAGGTTGCGTAAAACATCTCATCCTCTACAAAAACCAACACTGTTCATAAATCTGGATCAGGTCCCTGAAACCCTGAGGCTGTTGCAGCTATTTTAAGTCCTCCACAATTCAATGAAAAGATGAGCCTCAATATTGAACACGTGACAATGTTTTTTCCCAAACTCAATGAGCATCATGGTCTTAATATGTGGTTGGAAAGACAGGAAAGGAAGCCTCTAAAACAACCGGTCAACTGATCAACTGGTTTACAGGAAATGAATGAGAAACATTTTGGAAGTAATCGCAGTTATTTCTTCATCAAAAACGTCAAACGTGAGGTTTCGAAACGTGACTTTTTTCAGCTTTTCTTGGTTTCAAAAAAGTGGATTTGATGTCTTTGAGAAACATTCAATTTCAGCTCATTAAACAAAATAGAGCATGTATGTTTTGTTTTTCAATCTACTCTTGAGAAATAAATTAGTTCAGTGATGCAACCTCACTGTTGTCAATTTCTGGTGAGATTTAGAAACTAAAAGAATCATGTTTAGAGTTAAAATACAGATTGAGGTCAGAAGAACTCTGTCATGATGGCTCTAACAATAAACATGTGGTTTAGGTTAGGCAATAATCAGGGTCTTGCAAAAACCCCAACATTGAGAGCTAGTTGGAAATGGGGAAATGAACAATAGTCTGTTGTGTCAGTCTGGTTATTTCTTGACCCATCCATGCTCTACTGAGTTTGTTACGGGAGATTCAAAGTACAGGGATAAAAGGCCAACTGGCTTTGAGATGGAGCGCAATCTTTCTGTAATCAAACAATATGCAACCACAACATTCGGCTATCAAAAAGCACAAAGAGCTGAACTAATATCTCTCTGGCATGGTGTCAACAAAAACCAACTATGATAAGGTTAACACAGGGAGAGTTTATTGTGAGGTTCCAGATTGGATTAAATGAAACTGAAGTTCTGGTTTCTGGTACTGAAGAAAAACATCTCATTTTTATGGCTTCTGTCAAAAAGTTGGGTCTTTGTTGCCGTTAACCTCCTTCTAAGTTCGTAGCACATATTGAAACCTACTGACTTGATTTTTACGACTTTGTCGAGGGTGTGCTACGGACTTAGTGTGAACTAGGACTGGGCGATTATATGATCGTGATAAATTTCAGTTCGATCACGTGATCAGCTGTGAGCATATTTACTTAATCAAACATAGCGGAAATGTGCGTCACAACAGCCAATCAGAGTCGAGCTTTTCCTGCTCACTTCTGTAAGTTGCTGGAGAAGTAAACAGAATGACTGAACGTGGGGCTAAACGCGGAGCTGAGGCAGCAAAATGGACGTCAGCCATGACTTTGAGTCATCCTCCGAAGATGTCATTGTTGAGAAAAAAATTGCTTAACATTGGTTGTGTGGCGGTGGTTCGGGTATCTCCAAAGTGACATGGAGTAATTAAGTTGATGTGCAAGGTATGTCGGCGGTTGCTGCCCTCAAAAACCGGCAATGGTTTTTATATTTTCTAAGTTTATCTTAATTAATTTGCTTTGTTATTTCCTTTGGATGTCAATAAAATGTTGAACTAATCTCTAGTTTCTATAGTTTTTAGTACAGATGCTTTAAAACTGGCAGTTTACAAAAAAATCCCCCCAAAATCAGGATAATAATCGACATCGGACGATGGGACAGTATATATCGTGATCATTACCCATAAATTTGGTCTAGCTTACTCAACACAACATAATATCAACCAAATTGAGACATTTGGGGTTCAAATGAGAGTGGATTTTAATGGCTTGGATTTATGGAATTGCAGAAAAGTTTGTTTCTTGAGATATAAAACTAGACTATCGATAGAGGCCAGAGCCCTCTATTGGTGCTTTTAAATTCCTTTTCTATCAGGAATTTTAATTTAAGCTCAATATATTTCTGAACTACATTGTCTTCCCCTTGAGCTATGAAATACCCAGGCAGAGTGTAACTCCGTTTTCAGTCTGGTTATGAGCTGCTGACACCTTAACTGTTTCTTCTCACCTGCCAATGGAAAGACCTCTGCCAGCCAAGATTCACCACACTCAATATTTAATGTCTCAGTCCAGAATCATCTTGCTCTGGAGACAGATACACACGAGCCGTGGATGTGAGATGTCACAGGTGCTTTGGGCTTTTCACAAAGGACTGTGGAAAATCACCCTCGAGATAATTTGGGGCAATGGACCATGCCTCACTGAGTAATTTTAGAATATAAAGAGACTGTCGGCTCTGAACTTTGATCTGTAAAAGGACCACTTCCCTCCTTATTTTCCCTGTGGATTCTACATCCTAAACACATTTGATGTTAGAAATAGAAGGACTAAAAACAAATCCTGTCATATTCCTCAAAATAATGACAAGAATAATCACCTCGATCCCTTTAGTATCTGATAAGTGCGCAACACTTCAAGAGGTTAGACATTTATTTGCTGCAGCCACAAAAAGTCACAAGTTAGCAGTAAATACCAGAGGAGGTGATACTGTGACCTGAGCCTGATGGGTCTATTTACTGAGGTTTGGTTGGTGTTAATGATTAATTCAAGGAGATTTAGAAGAAAGATATAGCATCATTGTGATGGTTTTGTTCACATACAATGACTTCATAAGCATGGAGTACTAAATGTATCGACAAAATATGCTTATATCTAGTTTTATGACTCTTGTTGGTTTGAAAATTCAACGTTCATCATTTCTGTAGAGGTAGAGGTAGTTTTTGAGACCAAATACACCCAAACTGCTTTACTTTAGTCTGTACAGCTAAAGGCATACTATGTAGTTACTGAAATGCTTTAGGGTATGTGTTCTTCAATTTCCTCTCTCTCTCTCCTTTGCATCATTTGTCTTATCTACACCTTCTCATGATAAGTCAAGAATCAGCAGTATCTAGCTTTGTGAAAATGCCAATAATGTTGGGAGATATTAATATATTTATGTACTGTGCTTCACTTCACTTCATACTGGGCCTTGCAGAACAAAATACACATTTAACACCAAGAACTTAACGTAGAGTAAATTACTAATACGGGCATATAGGTCAACACTAGATGTTTGGACTGGTAGTACTGTATTTGACCGATTTAACACTGATACTGTGCTGCTGTTCTTTCTGTCCTTTCCTGTTTTAGTCTAATGGAAAGGGAAAATTGTTTCTTAACACACTGATTTTAACAGAAATCAACAAATTCTGAGAGACCACAACAATGTAAAGCACGCTAATCATGTGACTGAAGTTTGCAGACCAGGTTGGAGTAGTTGCTACACCCATGAAGTCATCCTAAAGAATGTTCTCAAACACCTATACATCTGTCTCTTTGCGCTGCGGCTTGTGCTTTGAGCCACGAGTTCATAATATTGATCTACAAGTGTAACAGAAAATATGTCTTGATAATTTCTGTTCTGGGTTCAGAGTCCACCCATTAGTGTGTTTATGACACAAAAGGCAATCACCTAACGGGGCGGCCCGTTTCAGAACTCTAAATATGCTTTTCCTTATTTTTTGATGTTCTACCTCAGCGGTATTCTTTCTTTCATGATCAGATATCAACAAACTCTCAAGGCAATCAAGTATTTTTAAGTGCATGCAGCTAAGTTTGCTTAACATAGCCGAGTCAATATTAATAGAGTGCTATTTAAGCCAGGGGTTTACACACAGAGCAGCCATGGGGTTAATGATTGAACAGGTCTTGGTGGGTGTTAACTTGGCAGAAAAAAAAAAAAACTATGTCACGATCTGTGGTCTCACAGTTGTAAACTCAGTTTCATATAAGTTACCGGAAAGCCATAACACCTTTGATGTGAAACTGGGGGCTGGACTTTTTATGACGTTCAATAACCCAGAGTCATTTACAGACCACAAAAAGGTGAAAGGCATTCCTGCTCTGAGTGCCAATGTTGTTTTTCTGACTGTTTCCTGCACTGCGGACATGATAAGTGTGTGTGTGTGTACTCCTCATTATTGTTAAGGTGTCCAATGTCAATAACAAACTGATGAAAGATGATTCCTCTAAAAGTGGATCGCTCTTTTTTACTCAATTGTGGGAGATGGCTTATCAAAAATCAATAAGAAATGGAAATTCTTTTTTTTATCAACAAAGGGAAAAGTCGGCCTTGGCAGCTTGATGCAAATCTGGCATCATCTCGCTCACACAGCTGAACTTAGTGTCCCCCAAACATAAATACACTATACTCTATATAATCAGTAAACAGGGTAGGCTGAGGGTCGGGTCTCTAGGACTGTTTTAATTGATTCTTTTGTGTTTTCTGTTTTGCTTTGTGTTTGATCATTAGCTCTTTGAAATGACTGCTGACATTAACAGTGAGGGAAACCTCAGCGCTCTTTAGAGGATAAGTAATGGTTTGAAATTAAAGAAATATGTCTTGACCCACAGGTGTTTACAATGATTTAATGTGACACAGTGGAAATACTAAAACTCTGCAGAGTGATTCTTAAATGTTTAAATCAGTAAAGAATAAAAGTATAAAATAATCTTGAAAATAATAATCCCTTTCTGAGATGGTTTTTGACACTGAATGATGCACTTTCTCTTGTAGTTGGACAGTTGCCTTATTTCATATGAGGGGATTGGTGCTACTTTAACTATTTGATTTATGATTGAATATGTGTTTGTGTGTGTGTGTGTGTGTGTGTGTGTGTGTGTGTGTGTGTGTGTGTGTGTGTGTGTGTGTGTGTGTGTTTGTGTGTGTGTGTGTGTGTGTTGGCTACACATATAGGAATGATGCAAAAAATGTGACCAGAAGACTACAAACAGAACAGTGGCTGTGTGTTTGTTTTGTCTAGATTAATGTGCTCTAGATTAGCATTAGCACATCATGTGCACCACATTTTTACCTTTAATCTGTTTCAATTTTTAGCAGAGGGGAAATGCCATTTTATATCTGCTGTCAGTAAATCCCAGCAGGTGTATGACACCAGATGAAAATGAACTAATATCCCAGAGGGTTTGGGTCTTCAGACTGTTTACAAATGCTGTTATGTTGGGAACATCAACACTTTCAGCTATTCCAAACCCCTTGCATATGGCAACTTTAGTTTTTAGCATTTAATCAGTTTCTTTCTTATTAATATATCATCATTTTAATTTTCATTCTTGCAAAAGCCCTTCTGGGGATAGGTGTTGGAAATTAGCATCTACTCAGCACTGTAGTATTTGCATTTTATGGTGATTTTTAGTCATAAGTCTCAAACAAAAGACAATACATGATATATCTCTGAGAGATATGTGACATTTAAAAAGGAAAGTGAGTGCCTTTAAAATTGTTTGTACATCTTTTCTGACCATTTGTAACAGTCAGTAAGTAATGAAGTCACCTTAAATCATAAGATGCAGTCCAGCTTAGCTCTGGATGTGCATCATTAAAACTGTTTTCTATTTGAAACACAAGTGTGTATGTCTCAATGCCTCAGTCACCACTGAGAATGTGAAAGGAGTGAACCACATCACAGCACAGTTTAGTGTATTGTTACACCATAGATCTAAGAAGGATAATAAAGCAATATACAGTAGCTATCTACTCAAACTCTATATAATGGACAGTTAAGCTTCGTTACAGGATGCTGCGTTGTAATGTGGCTGAAAAGTAAAGGAGAATTCAGCTGAAATGCTGCATCCCTGTACTTTAAAAGAGAGGGTAGAGGGCCTTAAAGTGTACTACACAAAGATGTCAGTATAAATCTTAAACCTTCATGCTTGACTGAATAAAAACTGCTAGTTAAACACAACACCTTAGAAAACTTGACTACATGGAGCCAAAACTACAAGCTGGCTAACTGACTTCAGCTGGTTGCAGATGCACAGAATAAGCACAGACATTTATACTGTGTGAGTCAACTGAACACAAGAAATTTTACTATGAAGATGTAAAAGATATGCTTGCAGAAATTTAGCAAACGCTCCCTTAGTTTATTTCTAAAGAGTAAAATATCCTGCTCATATAACATTCCAACAAACCGTGTATGAACTGAAGGGGGGCTGTATTGTATCCAAATAGTAGCATGGAAATAAACATGTTATTAACTCTGCAAAATTAATAAATAGATGTAAACATTTTGAAAATTACTTTATGGTATAATGGACTGAAGTCTTCCAAACATATACCCTGATGAAGCAACATGAGGAAACTGTGTCTACGCTGGATTAAGTTTAGTTTTTAAGCCCGAGGGTAAACTCTAAAGTGATGATAACAAAGTGGATGTTTATGATGGACACACTTGCAGCACACTCAGGGGGGACCATGCATCTATGGTCTCTCAATAGAGCAGGTTTTGGAGGGGGGTCTAGTCAAACAACCCACAGACAGAAAAAAGAAAAACAGCACTGCTTTCACCAGGAGAAAGTAAACTGGTCTGACCAGTGTGCATGCAACTGGTGAGGGCTCAGTCTGATTTCAACAAAAGAAGAGAATTAAACTACTTCTGCTTTTCTCCAGGAAACCAACCTGAACGTAAAAAACTGAAGGATAACATTGGAAACTATCTGCAGAGATATTGAGGGTAACTTTCCTCTATTATCAGCGGGCATGTGACAGTGTGAGACAGATCAGAGATGAATGACACTGAGAGGGGAGGGGACACCGAGAAACACACCACATGAATACAAAAGTTGCTCCAAACACAGGTAAGTGGATAAGGTGGGGTAAAAATAGGTAGAAACTTAAGCAAGAGCGACAACAAGAGAAAATAAAACAGCTGTTACTTATACCTTTCGAGTACAAGGCTCTGGGAGGATTGAAGTCGAGGTCCCCGCTGAAAAGGGAGATAAAGTCAGAGGGCATTGCAATCCCTCAAGACTGGGAAACCGGACACCCTCAACGGCACGTAACGGGACGTTTCTCTATCTTCAGTCACTGTCAGAAAACTTAACAAAAACTATGTTTAAACCAGCGATATTACTCCGATGACCCTGTCCTCAAAGCTGGATAACTGTCTTCGCCGTGACTTGCCTTGTAGGACCCTGTCTGTCTGCCCACGACGCATGTTGTCGAGAGCAGACGAACCGTGCTGCTCCTGCTCACAGCGAGGGCTACGCCCACACGTATGACGCAATACGTAATCGATTACGTCGGCGTTTTAATATGATAATGACTTATACAGTATTCTCAGGTGACTAAGTGACCGTAAACTTTTTTATTTTAAATGTGTCACTAAAAAAATTCTGAAGAACTCTTGGCAGAGAAAATACATGTGATTCACATCCTTTCCTACATACTTTTGTATTCACACAGTTCACTTTACATTCAGAACTATCTACCGTGTGTGTTTAGTGGCACGTCTACTGTTTGTTTTTATATCGATTTGTACGGTGGCCGAGAACCGACACTGCTGCAAATAAAAAAGAGAATGCAAAAAAAGAAGCACAACGGAAGTAACTGATGCAAAGCATTATTATCATTATTATTTTATTATTATTATTATTATTATTGTTGTTGTTGTTGTCATTATTATTATTATTATTAGAAGTAGAAGTAGTAATAGTATTGTTGTTATTATTATTTTTCTAATTATTATTTTATCTTATTTTATTTCAGGTTCAATTGCTTACTATTTTTTCTACATTATTTTTTATTTTATTTTACATAACGTTTTGCCCCAAACCACATACATTGTACTCATCCACACAATGAAGAATCCACAATATTCCCTACCATACATTTTAAACAGTTGTCACTGATACTCCCTACTCCTGTCTCTTCAGTGTTTTTGCTCTGCTTGCCTTTTTTGCTGACGTACCTTATCATTTTTTTCCCTTTCTTTTTGTTGTTGTTGTTGTTTTTGATTAGTTTTTGTCCCTTGTTATTGTCTTCGTTGGTGTTGTTTTTATACATTTCTTGTTATTTCTTGTTTCTGTTATTATTCTTATTGCACTTTACTCTTTTGCATGTCTTGTTTAATGTTTGCAATAAAAAATAAATAAATAAAAAAGGAAGTTACCATTGTAAAAAAAAAAAAAGAAACTGAAGCCTGCTGCAAATAAAAAAGAAATGGTGCCGATAAAAAAAGCCACAACAGAAGGTAACAACGCCAAAAAAGTGGCTTTTTATTGTGAAAATAAAATGATGCAAAAAAAAAAAGCAATGTGTCATTTGGTTAGGCCATGTAGCGCCTGAGTCGATATGAATTCTTTTTTTTATTTGCAGCTGTGGCGGCTCTCAGCCACCGTAGTTTTGCACTTCTGTAAACTGCCTGCTTTGATATTGAGCTCGAAATGTTAATTTCTTTTTCTTATTTACTTAGTTTGGCAGATTCCTGTCCTTTTCTGTTAAATATATTGTTTTTATTTAGCCTCATATTTTGTCTTTTTAATCCTTAAGTGTCTGTTTATGTATGTTGAGTGACAGCAAGCCCAGGGAACCTAACCTAGTACCAGTGTTTCTCATTATAAGGGAACCAGTTACCATTATCATTTGACCTTAATGTTGAATTTTCTGTACTCTTTGCTATTACAGGTCATGCATTTTCATATTATAAAAGCACAGACAAAACAAAGCCCCACAAAGTATACAGGTGTGTTAAGCAGCTTCACCAAAAAGGAAACATCTAATATTGCTTCCCAGCAGTTAAAACCTAACTGTCCTATGGAAAATACATTTAAGTTTTTGTAATTGTAATTTGGTTTAAATTCAATTATATCACATCTTATTTTGTTTAATTCTTCTTAAAGCATTGTACATGACTGTAAAATGTCAAAAAGGCATGTCAGGACACCTGGTAATACATATCACATAGATTCTTATGTTTATGGTTTTCAGATCTCTAGATCTTATTACATATTGCTGTTTATTATGAAAATAAACAGATATTATGTTGATTGTGATAACATTAGGCAGTAGTTGCATCATATGCCTAAAGAGTTGTATTACTGTTGTTATTTACACCATCATCATGTGGCGTGCTGCCGTAGTTTGTATAATGAGTATTAAGTGTCATATTTAGTGAAATCTTTAACCAAAGCTCCATCTTGTTTCATAATCCATCTTTGTTTTCATTATCTCTGGAATAAGAGCTTAAGTGATTCCTCATGTCATGGCTTTTTTGGACGGCTCAGAAAGTAGTTATCACACATAAAGCTCACTGTTTTAATAAGATCAATAAGCAAAGGCAATGTTTCACAATAATAAATAATAATGATATCAACAGCATGGAATAAATTAAAATTATGAGATTGTCATAAAGTCATAATAGATACATGCATCTATTTGCTTAATAAAATATACTGTAGCCTTAATACAGTGCATTTGTACTTTACATCAGGGTCAGTCTCAATTTCTTTTTTCCCGAAGGTTTTTCTCTCGCTGTAATGAGACAGCTTTGTATTCGTAATGGAAATTGGCAATTTCTCATAGATAGGGCTAAAATCAGTGTAAGACGACCACAAAGCAAGCTATGGCAAGCAATATTTTAAACTGAATAGTTGAATAGTCTTTCAACCTTCACAAATATTTCCGGAAGAAATGGTTGAGAGTCCGTTATGTGAAACAGATGAAACACCTGGCCTCTCTGTTTGGCCTTCGCTGCCTTGCGTTTTACATTTGACTCCAAACAAACTGCAGATTTTCATCAACATCAGATCCACAATCTCCTCTTCCTCTGACGGCTGGAAAAGAATGAGTAATTTGTGTAAATCAGTTCAGGTACTGTCACATCTTTTCTAAACAATTTAAAAGACACTTGAGACTCAGGTGGAGTTACCTTGTGATGGATCTGCTCTTGACTGAATGCCACCAGAATGACAGAGATGAAGAGGTTCAGCACCACGAAGGTCATGAATACGATACAGGAGCCGATGAGGAAAGCTCCGAGCACCGGGTTATAACTGAGAACCTGAGAAATTAGAGGGCAGAAATACACCTTAAGAAAGGGCAGCTATGTTATTGTCTGGATACTTTGAGAGCCTCTGTAACACTTTACTTTACGCCTATCTCTATAACGCATTACAAATATATTTATAATGCGTTATAATCATGTTATAGCACTGTATAACTATAGTTACAAACACTCATAAATGATCATAATGCTTTATAGCAATAATCATAATACATTATAAGGCATTTTATCATGACTTACAATGTCAGGTATTATAATGTGTCATGCCTATTGTTATAAAGCCTTATGGTAATTAATGAGTGTTTCTAATGATAGTTATATGAGTTTATAAGAAAATTATAACACATCATAAATATATGTAAAATGCATTATCTATGTGGGCATTGTCAGTGAGTTGTTAACAGTTAAAACACATTATAATACCTGACCATGTAAGTCATGATAAAATGCTTTATAATGTATTATGATTATTGCTATAAAGCATTATGGTCATTTGAGTGTTTGTAACTATAGTTATATAGTTTATTTATTTATGAGTGTACTATAATGTGATTATAACGCATTATACATATATTTATAATGCGTTATAGAGATAGGCGTTAAATAAAGTGTTACCAAAGCCTCTAACGAACCTCTTCATAGTTGAAGATGCCGAGCTGCAGGCTGATCATGGTCAAACCAGCATCCAGCAGAGTCCGATAGGAGTACAGCTTCCATCCATACATCACATTAGACTGAAAAGCGAAAAGTTAGTATCTCTGTTTAACAAATTGCACTATGTTGATGATAAGTGTGGGAAACTGCTCACAGCAATAGAGTAGGCCAAGAACATGATGGTCATGACCACCAGGAAGCCTGAAATATCAGTCCACGCTCGCTGCAGTGTGGCCGTGATCATGTGCAGCTTCGGGTTCAGTCTCAGCAGGTGCCACAGTTTGACTGTAGCTAACAGCACTAAGAAGGCAATCAGATATCCCAGAACGGCATCAGCTTTGGCTGTCTCATGGAAACTGGCGTATCTGGAAATAGAGCAACAGAGGACAAGGCCTTGTTTTAACTTTCTGTTGAAAAAAGGACATAATATACTGAGAGTGAAGCTTTTAAATGTAAGAAGTTTATATTTCATCACTGCTAGATTATCTTTGTAAATATGAATCTGCTACTAATAGATAATCTCTTTGAGGTTATGTTATGACGTGCTATGACTTTTCACACTTTTTGTCATGATACATGTCCTGATATTCTGCTTTCTCCTGGTTTTGGTCATTGGACTTTATTTTCTGTGTGTTTCCTCCTCGTGTTTCTGTTCCCTATTGTTCCTGTTCCCCTGTAGTCCTGTCTTGTGAGGTTTCAGTTTGTGTCTGACCCCAGTTCCCTCATGTTCTCAGTGTTTTTTTCTTTATCAGTTTTTAGTGTTTCCCATTTTGTTTTGTAGTAGTTGATTCCTTGTGTTTCTAGTCTTGTTTTACTTCTTAAGTTTTCCCTCCTCTGTATTTGTCTGCACCTGTGTCTCAGTGTCTCACCTGCCTCTCGTTGCTCATTTCTCAGTGTATATACATAGTCCTTGTTTTGCCTTGTTTCTTTGTTGGTTCATTGTGAATTTGTGTTGTAAGTCTGCGTGTCAGTGTCTCCATGTGGTTTTTCCCCCAGTGCCTTAGTTGGATTTTGGATTTTTGGTTCATTTGGATTTAGCCTCTTGTGTTTTTTGGGGGGATTTTTGAGTTGGACATTTAAAGTAAAGTTATTTTTGCTTTTCTTTTAGTTCCTTTTATACAATCAATTTTTGTTCTGCATTTTGGGTCCTTCCCTTTTTGTTTTTACTCCAGATTGTGACAGTCATGACACTTTTAAACACAGATTTTCTTCCACCCAAGATAAGTCCTCAATCTCCTTTGTCTATCCATCCACCACTGCCTTCCACTTCACCAGGATGAGACACAAAATCAATGTTTGTCTTGCACACACTCATGTTTTAAACCAGATTTCCTAGATCTCACCGCAGCAACTGCAACTTTTCAATAGTCTTTATATTTGTCTTTTAATCTTAAAGGACATCCTGGTGGAAAATGATTGAAATTAATAAAATTGAAAGGTTAGCAGAGCAGATCTTAAAATAATGTATTCTGCATGTTGCTTACTGATCTTTGTTGTTCTGGTAGTACTCCATGTCTCTCATTCCAAGCAGAGTCCTCTTAATAAAGACTGACAATGCGCTCCAGCTGAGGATGATGATTGCCAACTCAAGCAGGTTCCACTTACTCTTAAAATAAGCCCATCTGTGCTGCTTCATCAGCTTTCCCTGACAGAAAGAGAGGATTTCTGTAAGGGAAGATTTGGGGTGCAACTCTATTTTTAACCACCAGTCAATCGTAGGAAAGTGAATACCTGGGAAAACATGTAATAGATGATGAAGAGGAAGTAGATGACTTCAGAGGCCATGACAAAGATGTGGAGGCCGCCGGTCGACTGGTAAAGACGCACATTCTGAAGCTCGCTGCGAAACTGGAAAGCTCCTGGAAGAAACGCAAAGTTAGAGACTGAAAACACGACTCTTGAAACGCTTTAAATTGTCTCTGCAGCTCGAGTACAATGACTGGAGAAGGACTGCAGACTGCACCTATGGCTGTGGTCTCCAGTATGAGAGTGGCGATGCAGAAGAGGTTGACGTTTGCGTTGTACACGGTGAACTCCACAAAGATGGCTTGGGTGTACACGTCAAACCAGGTGTTGTCATAAAGGTACTGCAGGATGCTACAAAGAGAAAAACACAGTCAATCCAAGGACTGAATTATGTTTTCATAACTGTCCTTGCAACACTTATTTAACTCTCTCATGTTCATTAATAATAAAAGGAGCACGAGCTTGGTCCGTGTAGCCGGTTGTAAGTCAGACTCGTTTCCAGTGAGAGTTGGACTCCTCCAGGGCTGCCCTTTGTCACCGGTTCTGTTCATAACCTTTATGGACAGAATTTCTGGGTGCAGCCGGGGGTTGGAGGGTGTCCAGTTAAAAGTAAAAAGAATCAGACTGGATTGCACAAGTACCCAAAAACGAAAGGAGCTTAAACCTCTGAGTGTTTCACATTCCTGTTTGATAAAATCCATCCTCTCCTGTTATTTGAGGTTGATGGAGCCTTTGCAATAACAGACTCTAACCTGTGGAACAACTTCTCGCTTCATAAGACCTGCTCTGCTCCCACTCTTGAATGCTTTAAATCATTAATGAAGACCCATCTTTTGTCATGACTTGACTCTCTGTGTCCTAAATTTCTTTTAGTACAACATTTCTCACAAAACTCACCTGCTTGAATTTTGTAAATCCGGCCCCAGATCCACCACAAACCCTCCTCCTCTGTAGAGCCTCACACTGCCCCAGACCGGCAAAGCCCTCAGTTTACCCTGAGACTGGTACGTCCAGGGGCTGTGGAGGTTCATGGAAGTGTTATCTTGCATGACGCTGCTCCAGCCTGGACTGTAGGAGCCCATATCCTCCAGTTCCCATGAGTATGGAGCATGACAGCCTTTTGTGGACTTCTGCATAGAGGGGGCAACATCGCAGGAGTCTTTCTGCACCCTCACCTGGCGAAGGCGAGCGTTACCTACCAGCTTGGAGTTTCCATCCGTGATGAATCCTAAGGGAAGGTGCATTTGGAGAGTTATTTTTCATGTGTGCTCTTAAAAGCAAATGACAAAGGATGAATAAATTCCATATGTTTTCGGGGTTTTCATTTACACAGAATAGTCATGTAGGACAGTACCTGGGTACTCTCCAAACAGGCTGCTCAGCAGAGTCGTGTTTGCCCAGTCAAACACATCCTGAATGCTCATAGTGTCTGAGACCCCTTTGCTGAAGCTCTGTCGAATGTGTTGGGTCAGAAAGTAAGCGTTGGGGTCTCTTTGACCATACGCTACCAGGAGTAGCATCCACATAAATCCCATGTAGGCTGCATCAGAAAAAAATGTATATGGGTATCTCTTATTGTGTTAAATTGCTTCCAAAATAGTTAAGTTCTGAATTGATTCCCTTACTTAGAATCTCTCTAAAGAGGGCGAAGACTTTCTGTTCTTTAATCATGTTGTTCCTCATCCTCTCAATGTCAGTGGGAGGTGGTGGCTGATAGAAACTGCATGTACTGTCTCTTCTGGCTGCACGTACTGTGTCTGGATCATCTAAGGAAGAGATGTTGAAGAGATACGCTTTGTTATTCTTTTATATACAGAGCAAAAAAAAGGGAAAGAAAGAAAGAAAGAAAGGGGGAACTTTGTGAAAACATACCAGAGTTTCTCAGACTGTCATCAATCTGAGGCTCCCCGTATTCCTCCTGGTCGACTTTCTTTAAAACGAGGGCGAAGAAAGCAGCGAAACCAAGAACCTGCAACAGGAGATTTTCACAGAAATTTATCTCTGACAAGTGCAATACATTTGGGAAGGAGCATGAAAGCCTGTCTTTTACTTATTTTAATAAAAATGCCTCTAACTGATTAGAAATGACACCTTAACAACATCTCTATTGATTTGGCCTCTGAAAAGTCTTACATGAGATTTTTATACGCGTTACTCTTGGGGGAAAAAAGTATACTGAAAAAATAATGTCCAAACTTTTTTTTTCTTTTACTCTTTCAGGCCTTGTTATGGGATGTGAAATGAGTTAAAAACTAAAAACTGATCTGGTTCATCTGTATGCATAAAATTCAGTTTTTACCATAAAGACATCAAGTCTTTGGTAAACCAAAACCTGTTCTCATAAATTTATCTGCAAAAAGAGCATTTGATTTATCCTTAAAAAGAGTTTGGACAATCTCAAACTCCCTTAATGAAATAACTGGTAACACTTGACAAAAACCATAAACTTATAAATGGTAAATAGACCATTTATAAATGGTAAACAGACAGTTTAATAATGTTTAATCATCATTTATAAATAGCGTATAGACCATTCATAAATTGTAAATTTGACAATTTTAAGAACCTGACCCTAACCTTAGCCCTAACTTTACAATAACCATCAAAGTAATGTTTATAGATGGTTTATAAACCACTAATTAATCATTTACAAAGTGCTACTGACTCACGTTTTAATCTAGATGTTTTACAACCAATATTTAAACCCTATAAAACCTTAATGGACTATTTATTAAACCTTTAATTAATAATAACATATCTATTTACCATTTGTAAATAATAGTTATTGTAAAGTGTTACCAAATAATTTTCCAAATTTGTCAGGCTGTCAGTGTTGTTTCTGTTGGACTTTATTCACCTTCAGAGGCTGAGTGACAAATAGGCTCTCAAAAAAGGAGACCATCATGGAGATGAGCCAGCTGATGGAGCGATCTTTCCCGTACGTCAGTCCATACATCATGGTGAAGTATCCCGACACACAGCTGGTTGCAATCACTAGAGTCCAGCCGACAAACACAAACCACCATGGCAGGCCTCCCTGACAGCACTTCTTGCTGGAGTTTCCATTAATACTCTCCTCTGGGCTGGGACTGCGGTCGAGCTGGTCTCCTTCCAGGCTGGACAGAGGGAGGTGGAACTCCAGGAGACCTTTCATTCCTTGAACTTGCTGCACGGCTCGGTTGTAGCTGTCTGGATTTGGAAAACGATAAGGTCCCAGCATATCCAGCTCTTTCTCAACGTGACACAGCTGCCTGTACAGGTACCTGCTGTTGGTTCTTTTCTTCTGAGCCTCGTCTGAGGTCTTCTCTGGGCTGCTCCATCCACTGTTTTCTGTCCACAAAAATCTAGTATTATGTCAAATGCATTAAACTGACATTTTAACAAAGGACTAACAGCTGGATTATCTATCAAATGACTATATTTCCACTGCATTAGATGGGGGTTTAATATTTAATTCACACCTCCTTTGTCTGTTATAAATCCGGTCCTCTGGGAAACAGGTGCCAGCAAAAAAAAAAGAAAAAGACAGAGGCACAGACTATACAGAGCGTTGTTAATGCTTTGGTTCTGCTTACCTTGGAGATTAACTGCACCCAGACTGAGGATCATGGAACGATCACTCTTGGCATTGTCAGTGTAAAAGTCTGCAGCCGCCCTGTTCTGCTTTCTGATGATGTCCTCTACCAGAGACAGCAGGGTGTTAATGTCAACCTGCTGACCAGGCTGGAGCTGCAGGTCAGGCATCGGACTCTTCATGGCTTTAGAGAGAGACTGAGCAATCCTTTTTATGTCCTATCAAAATAAAAAATTAAAAATAGATTTTATGCATGTAAAAATAAAGCTATCAAAACTTCTGAATCACTGTTCAGGATATTTGTTTCCTTACCTTGATTACAGTGTCTGGTGTGATGTCCTTCAGCTCTTTCTGAGGAGAGGAAGTCTGTGAGGGAGACACTCGACCAGTTTTGGCCTGTTTGGATGCGTCACTTTTAGTGGCTGTCTTGTCTCGAGGTCGAGTGTTTCTGAAGATGCTCACAATAAGGAGATTGATGGGAAACATGATGATCGAACTTTGAATCCCAATCATAACTTGTTGCCAGGTGAACTCTATATGGCCTGCAAAGTAAAATCAAATTCAAAGGAATGTTGGCTGATCTTGAGAGAAGAACTTGACTGAAAAAAATGTTATAGTAACATTTCATTTGACGCCTATCTCTATAACGCATTACAAATATCTGTATAATGCGTTATAATCATGTGATAGCACTGTATAACTATAGTTATAAACACTCATAAATGATCATAATGCTTTATAACAATAAGCATAACACATTATGACACCTGGCTTTTATGAGTGTTTATAACTATAGTTATACAGTGCTATAACGTGATTATAACGCATTATACAGATATTTATTATGTGTTTTAGAGATAGGCATCAAATAAAGTGTTACCAATATTAGTATGACATTACCCAGGTCCATGGTCTGCTCAGAGGGGTCAGTGGGAACGCCCCAGAACATGATGCTGGTCAGCATGGTGCACAGCAGAAGGGAAAAACAGCAGGACACTCGCTGCACACGCGTGAAAGTGCTGCAGGGAGGTCGACTAATGACCGAGAACCAGATATGTCCATCACGGAAATCTTTGGCTGTCTTCATGAAGAACAAGTTACTTGAAAATAAAAGGAAGAAGAAAAATAGAGAAATAAATAATCCTTGCTGATAGAGAAACAACTCGTATCCCTCTGTGTGCTGTTTTTGTTTTTACCTAAACCTCTTCAGATCCATCTCTGTGGCTACTGGGAAGACTTTGTCAAGAGTGCACTCTCCTACATCTACAGCCAACCAGGAGTTGCACAGGAAGTGCCATTTCTGACCGCTCTCCAGATCCTGTACCATGACTTTGTTCACATACCTGCATGGAACATCGGTAGTTATCTGCTGAGCTTATAGCAGCAATGAAAGTTATATTTTTAAAAGGCCTTTGACCTTTAACTCGTGTCCATACCACGCCGGGTGTGCTCCGGAGTTGTCATGCCACAGTCTGATGCTCTGCAAATCCCCGAGGGAGAAGTGAGTGGTCAATAGAAACATGTCCATCCCACCCCTCTCAAACACCGGTTTCTCAGGGTCTGTCAGGTGGTGGGGCTCGCTTTCTCCCTCCGTACCGTGCAGAGTTATTGCTACCTGAAACAAACAAAAAAAGTATCAGCATCATTATTATTGTGAAGTAGCAGACAGATGTGACTGCTGAGTCCTGCTAAACTTTAACATGAACCACTGACCTGAGAAGAGGTGGATGCACCATGTCGATGTCCTGTGTTCACACTCAGCATATATCGATACTCAGCCAAGGGGTCGTTATCCTCCAGCACTGTTATCTTTACCTGTGAGTGTTTGTGAAGACACGTTTTCAAAGATTTATATTCAAAATGTGTTAACGCAGAAAGTACACGGATTTCACACTTCTTGTACATTTTACTCTCAGACTGTATATAGAATGGACGCCGTCTGCCTTCTCGCTAGGTGAAGCGTCTGCGAGAACAGCACCCTGTGGTGACGGGCTGCAGTATAGGTCATAAATCCCGCCTCCTCCAGCAATCCCTATGGAGTTGTGGACAAACTTTAAAAATTTATTACACAGAATATAAAATTTTCTCCTCCCTGGTTGCGATGTTGACATGTATTTATTGTAAGACTGGTTTGTGCTCAAGTCCTCTTTTTTCTTTGCAGCTCCATTTTTAAAAGTTATTAGGGGGTTCATGTTTTCTATGATTGACACTTGATGCAGCCTATGGGCGTACGAAGATTGCGATCACAGTGACTCTCAGCAACTTTCCCGCGAAATGTGTACAACACCACTGCGCAAGTGGTAGTTCCAGGAAGTGGAGAAAATACCGAGAGCAATCAGCTTCAAATTGGTATAATGACGGGAGGTGGAGCCAAGTTGTCAATAGTATATACAGTCTATGGTAGAAATAAAAAACACAAAATGAGCTCATAAAATCTGATCCACTGACATGGGCAAAACTTCTAATAGCAAACTAAAGGTCTGCACAGTTTGTAATAAAGAGTCTGTTTATACATCAAAGATTTCATACCAGGCAACAAATTCTGATTTTCACCTCCTAAAAGAATCTGGCATTTCAAATAAACATTATAATGTGAGCTGAGTTTTCTTTGAGAATGACCTTGGTGGAGTCCTGGATGTCTTTCCTTCGTGCCCACACAACCACCAGGAGATAAGCAGCAAAGATGGCACCCACAAAACACACCACCACAGGATTGTTTGTAAATGTAGCAAACAGCTCTGCAGTGCGTGACACATCCACCAAGTTGGGCATGACGAAGAAAGAGCTACCAAAGAAGGTCAAGTGGTTACAGAGACACTGAGTGACCAGAGGCGTGGTGAGGGGCCCAACCTGAAGAGAAATGAATCAGAAAGACGGCCGGTCAAACCCCAAAGTAAGCTTTTAAAGAACATGTCTTTGCAGCAGCTGTGGATGTGTTTTTTTAAATCTCACCCTGCAGCCATCTTCACTCCAAGTAGACCCAGTTTCATTCCAGTATTTACACTGGGCAGCAATGGTGACAACACTGACTGTAGCATTGATGGATTTGACCCCTGGCTCTACGATGGGCCGTATGACGAGGTAATGAACTCCAACATCTCCTGTTCTGTCCTTCGGGCTCAGCACCCATGTATATTTCTCCTCTGTGGTAAAACCAGACTTATGTTTAGACCCAGGCTCACATCCAAGTATCAGAAAGATTTATAACTGTGAGATTATGGGATTGATTTTATATACGGCAAGCACACAAAGTGTTAGGCAGACTAATAAAAGGTGATCAATGAGATGTGGCATTTCCAAAGAGTTTATTCATTAAAGAACTCTGTGAAGTTTACCTTCTTTGGAGTTCTGTAATGGGATGTGAGTCTTGGCAACATAATTCTCCTCATCTGGATAATCTTTGTATCCCAGGAATAAGATAAAGGAAATGTCTTCTGATGGCTCCATTTTCAGCACCAGAGTTACATCTGGCGAGGGGACGTCAATTATCACTGTGCTGTAGTTGGCGAGGTCCAAGACTGTGCTGTCCTCCTGTCCAACATCAAGCCTCGGTAACAGAATCTGAAAAGCCGGAATCATTTTTTTTTTAAGATAGAAAAGTCAGCAGAATTTAAGAAACTAGAGGTTCCTTCAAAACAAATACCTCAATCTCTTCAGGTAAGTTCTCTACAGGGATGACAGAGCCGTTTGCTCTGGTGAGCGTGACAGATCCCACCGCTCCTGTGATGTTGTCCTCCTTCCAAGAATATGGGTTTGTCTCGAAACTCATCATCTAGAAGGCAACAAACGTCTTAACTGTACAGGATGTTGTTTTTACCAACATGATCTAATCCACTCCTTCATGCCTACATTAATATTGTATTTTTTTTAACGTTATTATTATTATAATTATAATTATTATTATTGTCCATATTATTATTATCATCATCCATATTATTATTATTAGTAGTAGTAGTAGTATTGTTGTTGTTGTTGTTGATGTTGTTTTTTTCCCCTAACTATTTATTTATGTATTTATTTTAATTAATTATTTATTTAATTGTTATTAACTAAAAAATATTTAATCTTTATTTATGTACCTTAATAGAGCATCCAGCAGCCGGATCCATTTTAATATTTGACAGACGTAGTCACTGTCAAATATAGTGAGTGTGCACTGTTATTTTATCGTATTTTTATTGTATTTTGTTCATTTTTCTGCTTTGTTTGTGTTTGTTTGTTTCTCTCACAGTGTATCTTAAGCACAAGACTTTATGAAGAATAGGAGAAACCATTTTTTCTGTCTCTCCTTTTCCTTTGTAATTCCATACTTAAAAACTAATAAAAAATGTTGAATATAAAAATATATATACTCTATTGCTTTCTCACCGTACAAAGACGTGCAATGCAGTAAATACAACACTTCATTTTGCTAGCCAAAGGTGTACCCACTTACTCTGACATCCACTGGCTCTGTTGGAGAGACAATATAAGAAGGTAGGGTTGGGAAGGAAAATCTTGAGGAGCTGTTCTTCTGGACGTTTATATCCTTCATCTGCATGTTTTCAGGAGACACTCTGCAGGAAGTAGAACCAGAATGATCTCAACAGAAAACTCTGTTCATTCTGGTGTAAGTTTCTGAAGTTGATGACCTCTTACCTGTTGACATACACACTGATGTGTCCAGAATCAATGATGGCAGGTTCTCCATCCAGCTTCTTATTATTCAGCAGAGCACTTTGAACATTGTTTATCCCAGTGAGAAGAAAGTCTGAGACTTTTTTCTGGGGAAATATGTCATAACTTGTTCATGTCATAGAAGAAAGACTGAGGACAAACACATGAATGAGTGACTATAGAGTGAGAATTGGTGCTTACATTAGTTGAAACATTTAAAATATTACTGGCTGCTTCAACGATTGGTGCAGCCGCTTGTGCAACTTCATCATCGCCACCATCCTGATTAACGCTGACAGAGTTCAGGGAGGAGCTGAGGTCGACCAGCAATGAGCCTGCTTCCTCCTGGAAAGAGAGAGAGAACATCGACAGAGGTGGTTAAAGTTGATCTTTGGAAAACTTTCAAAAGGAGCAGCAGAATTACTTAAAGGGATATTCCGGCATAAAATTAATTTAGGGTCAAACACACAGTCACACCGAGTTAGACACCCCCTTGAGAGATGAATGTTTCCGACTGCTTGTGTCTTGGGTGTCTAACTCGGTGTTACGGTGTGTTTGACCCTAAATTAATTTCACGCCGGGATATCACTTTATATTCTAGTCAAAAGAGACCCTGTTAAATGGTCTGGTGTTCTTCATGCTGCAGGTTGTTGCTGGGTCAAAATAAAGTAAAAACTTTACTGCAACACAAACATGTACAACAGCTCCAAAGAATTAAGCAACATCTTCAAGAGGTACTTTAAGTCATCAGGTGCTGCCAGACATACAGTATGTAAAAGTTATTCGTGCACCTCTTAACATTTGTAGATTTTAATTTAACAGTGATATTCATATACTTATATTGCTGTATTGATCTACTGTGCTGTACTTGAGCATTGGGACTCAGTTCATCTGGGCGCTGGGTGAGTCCGACCACAGCTCTGGCTGTCACTTGCACTCCCTGAGTCGTGTTGCTGGGCGAGTTGAGCAGTACTGTGTTCATTTTGGTCAACATTTGTTCTCTGAGCTAAAGGAAAGAGAAACTCAGATTATCAATGAGCAGAACAACCGTCCACAAGGTAAAAAACTCAAAAACAAAACCTCTCTAAGCGTTATTGTTTTACCTTCTTTCTTGCATCCTTCTGTTCGTTGGCGGGCTCTGTATTCAGCATGTCAGACACTGAGGTAAATATCTGTCCCAGAGCCTCACCGGAGAGCAGACCCTGCTGCTCTAACTGACTCATGGAGTCCTCCACTGCAGATGTGAGCGCCTCCACAGAGGAGCTGGAGCTGCTTTTTAGCACCTGTAGAAACAAACTCAGATACTCAATAATTCTTCAAACTCGACATGGACATCCTCTTCTTGCACTTTTGCTGTTTTTTTTATTTTGTTTTTTTTAGAAACAGGAGGATGACAAACCTGCGTCGTGATGGTTGCGGTGGCTTTCTCATGTTCATTTTGCACAGTTACAATTACAGACAAACTGTAATCATTGTTTTCATCACCAAGAGGCAGGAAGACTGACTTTACCTCATTGGTATTACTACAACGTAAATGTTTGCCTACGAGACAAAAGAGAAAATTCAGTGGACCTGCTGATAATGACCAAACTACTAATAGATGCTCATATTTTAAGCAAAACGTTATTTCACATTGCAGTCAACTTTCTCAACATCTACTGTGTGTTTTTGAATTATCTGAAAGTCTCACCTGTGTCTGTTTTAAAGCAATAAAGACAGCCCTCAGAGCAGAAAGGACTGGTTTCACAGCTAATGTCAAAAGCCTCGAGGACTGTTCCTGACAGTGGAGAGATGCTACATGAAGGGGACGTGGGGTCTGCAGGTTCAGGTGGATCAGGACCTGGTATTGGAAGGGTGAACTTTGCAAACCCTGCCTCCTTCTTGCCTGGTGAAATTACAAAAATATGGTTGATTAAAATGAGAAGTGAAAAAAACTTAATTGTGGCATGAAAACGAAATGTAGTTTTAATGAAAGCCCTGTTTTTACACTAAACACCATAAAGAGTATGGGATAAAAAACACACACCATAAACAATCACACTGATCTTCTGCATTTTGTCCCTTGAAATCTCCAGATATTTGCTCGGTACGACGTATTCCGTCTTCCCATCCTGCTCATTTATAGGCGGCCTTGTTCCTGCTTCCTGGTAACACTTTTTGAGGCCACCCTGGAAAAAAAATGATTGTATTATTATTTGACTCATGAATCTTTAAAGTCCCGATGAAAATATTGTTCCAGTCTTACCTTCAAAGGTCTAGGGTCCTCGATAAACCAAACTACATCTGGACAGGTTGTCCCACAGTTCAGTCTAAGCTTCACATGAGCCTTAATATTTATTGAAGCACAGTCGTCACAACTGTAAAAATTAAAATAGGTAAACATGAATGAAATTTTGCCTGAGTGTGTAAACTCAAGTTTATAAATATTGACTGCCAATAAGACAACAGAACTGAATCTCCTTTTTTACCTGATAGTGACATCTTTGAATTCCTGTGGGGCTACAGTGACACATGTCGAAGCTGAAGCCAGGTCCACTTCCTTCCTGAACCAGGTCGGTCTGCTTACAGTTAAAACATATTTAAAAGCTTCGAATGGATTTGGAAGGCAACTGCTTTCAATGACATGAGTTTCACCCCGTGTTCGATTTTTGCATTTGCAATTTCCTCCTGAATGGAAAAAAAGTAGAGATCAAATTCATAATTGGCTTAAAATAACACTTTTATGTCAAGACCAACATCATGAATCTCAATATGAGATATAGCATATTAACGTAAAATAGAGCTACTGGACCTCAAAGCAGCCAGTTGAACACTACCGCAAAAGTGACTACAAACTTAATCACAGTCTTATTCACTTAATTTATGCTTGACACAGTAAGTGAAACAATCTGTGTTTGTGTTAGCTAATAAACTTCATACCCAGCTTCCCACTGAGCATTTTTTGGTCTAAATGTAGCTTAGATGACTGATCTAAAATCAGGCTACCACAGGTCTAAGAATGAACGTTTTTTTAGACGTCTAAATTTAGACCAAGTTTAGACTAGCCAGCTATGCTATACTACACTGTATATTGCTCAACGGCTATCATAATTATTTTGGTTAAGTATTTAGACGGTTGAAATTAGGTTAAAAAAAAAAAAACTGGACGTCTAATAGCCATCTATTGCTCAGTGGGTTTTAAGAAACAAAAAAGCCCTTGTCTCTGTTTTGAGAGTAAAAATCTGAAAATACTAGTTGGAAACTAAACGTCTGACACTAGTGCTGCTGAAATGAAAGCGGAAATTGGACACCGCTGAGGATAAATTGTACTGTTAAGTCCATCCTTTAAGGCTATAATAGTGTCTAGACAGTGTGAGACCAAATTGGGATTATATTCAAATGCTAAGGAAACAAAGTTTGTACGGACATAAGGAGATGGCTTGAGGAGACACTTGCTGAGAAATGATTTAAAACTGGATATTGTTGAAAACCTGCAGAGAGGCCACTTTGTTGTGCTCAGTATAAAATCCACACCTTTTATATAAAATCAAAATCAGGTTTAGACAAAAGTAGGACACAGTGTGTGGATGAAAATGTTATTTCTGTCAGAAACACTGACATTTTAGACTGGCAGCTCTGAAAGAGTTACAGATTTACACTGCATTCGCTCTCTGTAATTTCTTATATATTTTCTAACCTGCTATAAACCAACTTAGACAATGCCCTGTTGTTTCACTTACTACATTTCCATTTAAATGTGAGCCCTTCACTGGGTAATGACTCAGCTCCGGATATGTTCAGTGTGACACTCTGAGTGTAATCAACCACAGTGTCTGGAGTCGCAGTTATTTTCAAGTCCACAGATTCCTCGGTACTCTCATTCTGCAAATGAAAACACAGACATTGTGCCGTAACAGGAGCAGAAACCAATCTAAAGGTCTGTACAGTATATTTCAACAATAAAGTTGGACGTAACAGCAATTAAATCTGCGACGTACTTTGTCTCCATATATGTCTGCTGAAAGGTCAGAGTAATTCTGGCAGACTTGAAGGATGTTCTCCAAGTCTACGTCCACATCCGAGGCAGAGAGAGCATTCATGGCTTGAACATTTACCCTCAGTAATCCTTCACAAAAAGAGTTTGTATTTAGGAGTATTAAACACACACTACGGGTGACTGTTTTCATTTAATTTACATCCAAGCCATGTACCTTCAAGCGGGTTAGAGAATGTAAATGCTTGCAGGCTGGAGTTAAGCATGTCTCTGATTTCAGAGATATTGTTCTTGGCTCCAGTCAGAGTGAAGAGCAGCTCTGCAGGAGGCCCTTGCTCCAGTGAAACACCAATAATGAGATCAGGAGAGTCCGGACACTCGTCTTCCTTTGCCATCACTGAGGCCTGAAGGCCTCCAACAGGCTCCAGCAGACACAGCTCCAGGTGGGAGGACACAGTGTGGGCTGTGACCTTGTTTGAGGCAGTCAGAGTCAGGTTATGGCAGCCATGTCCAAGCCTCTCTAACACACTTATGCTCAATGTCATGTTATGAGGTTCGACCCCTCTGTCCACTGACAAGTTTTCAACCACATGATCTTCATGTTTAATTGTGTAGGTAACATTTGTTCCTGTTTACAGAAAAAAACATTGAATTATTGCTTTTCAAGGTGCTTTTTAAATGTATAGATCGTCCATGTTGGGAATTTCTCACCTGCTTCTACCACCACCTGGAGATGAACAGGCCAGCCATAGAGAGCACTGCATTTAGCACCATCTGCTGACATATTTCTGCTACTGCATGTAATGACACCAAACTCTCTGACAGGCTCCTGAATGGTTATGGCTTTTTGAGCCGTGACGTGCCAGTCACTGGTGGTGCACTCCACTCCAACCATGAAAACACCAGGCCGACTGTATTTGTGCATCACAGTGCTCTCCATCCTGTCAGATATGAAAGAAAAAACTTAAACTAACAAAGCTAAGAGGAGCTCATTCATCTATCCATACATCTGTCTCTCTATCTTGATCTCTCGATGGTGTGAAGTCTTGCTCACTCTTCTGGGCTGTATGGATCAATATTGTGGCCATCTCCAGCATTTACTGTGCATGTGAGATTTCCCTCAAAAGGATGAAGGAGCCACTTCACTGTGATGGAGACATCATCGGAGACAGCTGCCAGCTTCCTCATCGTCAAGTGCAGTCCTAAGAGGGAAACAACCATCAATCTAAATCATCAACACCATGCTCGGGTATTTTTAGACTGTGAATAAATAACGCTCAAATCACTTGTGGTATAAAAAGTGAGAAAACTGACAAAAATAAACTAGATTCAAAATTAGCATGCAAGTATAGCTTAAGTAGACACAGTAAAGATGAAAGTGGAGGGACAAGAAATGTAATCAACTCTCAGGAAGAGGACCAAAAGATATAAGTGTTAGTCTAAGGTTGAAGACATCAGCTGCAGTTTAACACACACCCTCTACAGACAGAACTACATGACTAAATTTATACTCTCTGGTCCATTTAATAATAATAATCAACACATATCTGGAAGACGTTTGCAGACATTTGTCAGAAAACATTTACATGTGTTTGTTAGAAACAGAAATAAAGGATAAAATGTGTATCTGACCATCTTTGCAGCGGTACTCCACAGACAGGTAACTTCTCAGCAACGGACACGGTTCACCAAAAGAACCCAGATTCGCTGGTGCTTGGCAAGCCTGCAGCCCCTGACAATGAGCTGCAAACACATAAATCAAGGAAATCTTAGAGATTTTGTGGATAATTTTGAATCAGCAGTTTAGGCGACTGAGAAAGTACTGTTTCCAATAATCCAATAATCTTTGCTGGTGTTTCTGTCTACTTCATGAATGACTTTACAAGGATGTTAACAATAAAGATGAATGTGTGAATATTTAAAAGACAACCAAAAAAAAAAAGGGAATATCTTAACATGGTACTTTTGTTAAACAGACAGTATAATTTATGTCAAACTGAGTATTTTTGATAAGCAGTATAGTAACAAAGCCTAATGTGTTTGAACATTATATTTTTCAGCAGTTATGCTAAATAACAAGGTGGCACATCAGTTAATTATGTTTAAAGTAGATGAGCAAGGATTTCATCTGCATGAAAAAAAAAAAATTGAAAAGATTTCATAAAATGTCAAACCAATGTTTTGTTCAAATATATACTACGGGCTGGTTTTCAACACTTTACATGTTATGCTTTTGAAGAACGGCCTCATACCTGATACAGATTCTGTAACATCGATCCAGCTGCACTCCTCCACGGGGGATGTAGTCATGGCTGCGAGTTTTGACCGGCAGTAGTGAATAGTTTTTCTCCCGTAGAAGCTGTCATCTATCTCTATAACCTGACCAGAACCACACTGCACTGTTGCATTCTGGCCATCACACGCAATTGATTTCCCAGATTCTATAAAAAAAACCACAACAGTCAATAATGAGGGGCAATCAAAATATAAGTTCATAGTAACTGGTTGATTTAATGCATACCAAACTGACAAATGAAGCTCATTTCCTGACTACAGTTCCCTGTGGCTTCCCATTGGAAGCCTGAATGTCTCAGGATGTGTCCACAGGCTGCCTGTGCATCTGGCATGTTCCCCCAGTTATTATAGCTGACATCTGAGCCATCAAGCCATGCCAAGGAACCTGGGAGAGTACAAAATATCGTTTCACACTTTTAGTTCAGACATTATGTTACCACTGCAGATGCGGTGGAGTGAGAGGACCTTTTGTTATGGCTTCACTGCTTTTTCAGGTTAACATGTTGTTTTGGAGCAATTCAAGAATCATAAAATAACAAAGCAACTGTTATTAAGCTGGTGAAAAGGTGAATGGCCAATCAAGTCTTTTGTGTAAAAGGGAATAAAGACACATTTGTAAATCTAGTTGCTTGACATCATGCTCTTTATAACATTCAAATGACTGAGAAATATATCCCATTGCTCCAGCTGCTTGAGAGAGATAACCAGATGTGTCAGTCTTCTAGCAGATGTTGGTAAATGACAAATCACAGCTGTTTACAACAGGTGGGCAAGCTGCCTTTAGAGATAGCAGCTGAGAATATAATCATTGTTCAGTCCTGTACAGTTTGATCACTGATGTTTCACAGTTCTTATTCAAACATGCAGCTTAAAGAATGAGTTATATCTTTAGCAACTGGGATACAAATTTTGTCTAAATAAATCAAAAATTAAAATAAGCCCAACACAAGCCATGTAGTATGTATTCTGGTCCCCCTATTGCTTTATTCTCTCACCTTCACTTGAAGCAGTGTCGAGCGTGAGGTTTGGAGCTGCGGGTGCGAGCCCGAGCCACCAGTCCTTCTCCTGCTTCAGGTGCTTCTGAAGGAACTGCTGGATTTCATCATTCAGAATGAAGGCGAGGTGTCCCCCGCCTCGCTCACACCATCCCTGGGCACCAAGGAAGGGTCGCTCTAGACCCACAAACTCGTAGCAAGAGCCGTCAAAACCCTCCTGGTATTCTGGGCAGGAGAGACCCTTTGCATCGTCCTCAGCATAACAAGCCCAGCTGAGGGAGAGAACCAACAGAGTCAGCGTGGGGAGAGTGGTGCTTCCCATGTCTGCAACTGTTCAGGGTGTCTGCTAACATCACTTTTTAAAGGGTGGTAAAACCAGAAACCTTGACACCAGTCTGCTCTTTGGGACAAATCCTGACATAAGCATAGCCTCCTCAATGGCTGTCTAGCATTGTGTTGTGGCCATATTTCCTGAGCACAAACAAAACCCAGGCCTGTTGTGAATGGCAGTAAAGCCTACTGTCAACATCCACTAATTGCTCCTCAACCTCTGTAAATGCAGGGGTCTAAAACCTGCAGGCTGAGATAAGCCTCCCATTCAGACCCTCTTTCCATGAAAATGTCAATCAGGACTTTCAAAGGAGGTCTGTTGTTGCTTGGATTTTTGTACAATATTAAACTAGGACACAGTACGCCTTTATTCATAAATGAAGTTGACCCAAATGTAAAATGCAACTTATATATAGACCTCATAGAACTGGTTAAGTCATTGTTTTTTGAGGACATGTTGACATGTGAAATAATAAATTTTGCGTTGGGGAAAATAAATGATTGCTGAATTTTACTCAGCTGCCTCACCTGATCCAATGTCTTTCTTGTGTGAAAAGAAACATTGTTTGTGTTAACATGCTTTTTCCATTACTAATGCACCACCAAAAGGATCTTATCCACGATAAAGTCTATTTATCCTTAACATTTTTCATCCAGTTAATAAAGTATAGAAAAAAAATCTTATCTGACTATGTATTGGGGACAAATCATATTTTGTACAAAACATAAGAAAAGATTGGCCCATCAATCAATCAATCGATCAATTAGTCTTAATTTATATAGCACTTTTCATACATGACCATGTAGCACAAAGTACTTTAGTACAAAGTACTTTACTTTTTGAAGATACTTCTGTAGAAGTCATATCTGTTTTTGTGACTCAATCTTCCAGTTATTTTTTTATTTTATTTTTCTATATTATTTATCTATTTATTCTTTTTATTGTTTTTGTTTTATTTTTCTTTCTTTCTTTATATTATTTTCTTTCTTTATTTATTTTATTTTTATTTATTTATTTTATTTTGTTATATTTTAATTTATTATTTTATTTCCATTTATTTCTTATTTCCTTATTTTATTTTTGTTTTTTTAAATTATTTATTTATTTTGTTTTATTTTAATTAGTTGCTTTGTTTTATTTTATTTTATTTTAATTAGTTGTTTTATTTTATTTTATTTTATATTTTTTTCTTACCGCCATGAAGAAAACCAGTTGACCCTCGAAGTACCCGGATGTTTGATGTCATAACACTGCGCCGAAGCTGTCTGGGGACATGACATGTTGAGCGACCAGAGTGGACTTATTTAACATCTAAGGACACATAATTTTCACAATGTTTGCTTGTAAACGGAGCTTGACCAGCACTGTGATATCTGCTCTCCGTGTTTCCCTCACCAAACAAGTAAATGCAGACTACGAAGCGTTTGTGCAGCATTGTTAAAGGGTCGATCTGTGATGTCAACAGCTGTTATCTGACTCAAACTAACACAGCTCTAAGTTTTTTCGTCTCTGTCTCCTCAGGTTGTTGTTTCTGGGAATGTGCAGAGATGTATGTCCACACAAACGGACGGGGAGGTCCGAATTGCAGCGGTGTTAAAGGAGAAGTTTCCGATGGCGTCTTCGCTAAAAGTTGTGGATATTTCAGGTAAGTCCTGCTGATAGTTCAGAGGTTTGCCCTTATTACTAAAACTAAACTTGAAAGAATTTAAGGACGGGATTCTGAATAAAGAGTATCAAGTGACATCCAAACTTGCAGAGCCTCCTTTGTTGTTAAGACACCCTGAATAAGCAGGTATTTCATATCTGTTTCCTTCAAATGGACATAAAAAACTTCTTACATTTGGTTGTACATCCATCTTGACTTCATCTTGAGCGGGTCACTGAGGCGCCAGTCCAAGCAAGTCAACTCAAATGTCTCTCTCCTGCGGCCGTTAACAGCCAATCCTGGGTGATTTTTAGGTGTTCCAGGGTTCCATGTAGGGCTGGGCGAAATGGGAAAAAGTTTATCAAGATATATTTTTTTCGATATATATTGATCATATCACGATAATAAAAATGGAATTTGGTTGGCTCTTGGTTCTAATTCAGCACGATTGGTTCCCCTTTTCATTGGCTATTCATATAGTCTACCAAAACATGACAGAATGCTGGTTATCGAAAAGCATATTGACCATGTTTTATATTGATATTGAGGGAAATTAATTTTCGACATATAGCGTTATCGTTTTATCGCCCAGCCCTGGTTAAGTTCCAGGATGTGAAAAAAAAATTGTAGGGTCATAGGGGAAGGTCCCGCCCTTCTTCGCCTCTGATTGGCTAGAAGTGCTGGGCTCCGATTGGTTATTATTGGAAGGAGGTGGGACTTTCCCCTACTATCCTGCAAAACAAAATATCGCTTCCAGGATGCATGTTTCCCCTGGTAACCTCTGGGTCGACTCTAGGGTCTCCTCCTTATTATAGATGCACCTGGAACACATCCAAACTGAGATACTTTCACTGAAGATTTCTAAACAGGATCACTAACAAGGCTGACATGCACTTGAGAATGTGTTTATGTCACTGTTTAACAAATAGGATATGAAAGATCTGGTTTATTGTGACTCTTCAGTAAATACAATGTTTGCCAGATGTCCAGTGCCTCTTAATATAGACTCTCAAGTTGATATTAATCCAAATGATAACAAGTTCACACCTGATGTGTTTAGGTGGTTGTGGAGCCATGTATGAGATCCACATAGAGTCCGATGAGTTCAAAGGAAAAAGGACTGTCCAGCAACACCAACTAGTAAATCAGGTAAATGAAAATCCTAACTTGAAATCCTTGTGCCTCTGTATTTGGGCACTTATCTGTCTGTCAGCAATGCTCACGAGATTTTTGATATTTCCACATATAATGTAAAACACTCTTATACTGCTTTGATTAGCTGTTGTGTTTTGTCCTCCACAGGCTCTGAAGGATGAAATCCAAGGAATGCATGGACTACGAATATTCACTGATGTCCCACAGTAGGAGGACCAGAGAGTCCTTAACTGTTGACCCACAGTCTCTTTCCTAGTTCACCTTACCTACTATGAATGTACAGTTTTAAAGAGTATGTGTTGTACTGTGTAATCATTTTCAATGTGCCAGAGGTAAAAACACAAGGACCACGTCCCTGCTTGCTATCATTAGAGTGTGAAATAAGTGAAAACAAAATTTTAAGTTGAAGAAAGACAATATATTTTTTTTTCTAAACAGTGAGATATATGATACTCTGGGATAATATATAAATTTAGTGAAGGCTGGAATACGCACAAAACCTGGTTTAAAGGAAGTTTTCACTCTAATTTGGGGTCTTTTTAGGCAGTTTCTGCATTAGCTGAAAGTAAGAGAGACATCTATGCCCATTTTAGATACAGACCTGTGTTTGTAACTTAAAAAGAAATCTAAATGAGCATTAAATTTGCAATGTAAATGAGAGTGTAATGTAATTTCTGGAAATATCCTTTGCAAAGTGAATGATCTTTAATCAACTGCTTTTTTGATTACCTATGGACCTTGAATTTATTCTGCCTATACGCTGATTATGCAAATAGCAATAAAAAGCTACAGCTGTCTCCTTCAAAATTGAGTGGTTTGAAAAATATATATTTTAAAATCAAGTTTATCAACAAGTTGATCATTTCCTGTAAACAAACTTTATGCAAATATTCTAAAATGTAAGAACAACATGATACTTTCTTCGTATAAATTCTTTGGCTAAACTAAATCTTATTCTGCAAAATATGTAAAGCATACATAAGTAAACGATTTCCATTTTTCACGAGTTATTGCAGCTCTTAATACAATCCAGTCGTAGCGAGGGAACGCAGATATGAAGCTAACTTGTTTGAAGTTGACTCAAATCTGCAACTTGACTCACATTTTGTCGTCTGAACTATAGGGGGCAGTAATATGTGCCTGTTTATTACTTTCGAAGTTTATCTATTTTTATTTGCCATAATATATGTACTCAAGCAACTGGTCAAGGCTTTCATGTGCTGGTTAGCATGGATACTTAACTGTCCTAGAGCGAGAAGTAAAGATTGACAGTATGGATGCATTTAGTCTTGGTTATGCTTTACTTTAGCTTTCAACAATCCATTTCCTGAACTTAAGTCATGCATACTGAAATGTACAGTATCTCGAAATATCTTTCGATTTTGATTATTTCAGATAAATCAAGGGTTGTGCTGGTAAAAAAACAAACACATTGCAAAGACTATTGTGTTTCTACCTAATGTTATTTAAAATCTACAAGATGTGCACTTCAGTACACAACAGGATTTCATTGATCGAATGTCTGACACATTAACATTTTTAAACTGATTATGAAAATTGAAATCTCAGCTGAAATCTTTTTTATAAGCAGTATATCACAACATATTGAACATATTTACATAAAAAAACATCCTAGAAAAGTAGGTCCTGGGTCAACTTAGAACTTACTGACTTTTTAATAGACACTGGGCTTTCCATTTGACAAAAGTCTTTAAAGTTATGATACCTAAGAAAGCACTGGGATCTTTTGGAGACACAGAGGAACATTAGGCTCTTCACACATCTCATATGTTTTAGGTTGCACCCAGGCATTCTGCACCTTAAAAGGACTTGGACTGTTGACCATTTCAGGCCTTTTAGTGAAGACCTAATCTTGTAGAAATGATCACAGGTCATGGAATCAGCTATAACTGGGACTCTTGTTTTAGCAGCCCAATATATTCTTGGATAGCCTAGACATGCCATGTACACAGAGATTCCTATGAAGGTGTTGACAAGTCTCCCAGAATTTTTGAGGTATTATAATTTTTGAGCGCACCTGAAGGCATCACACTTGTTGAACCATTTTAATCGCCTCATTGGTTAATTAGAGAAGCATGAGTCTGCAGATTCAGAGGCAGTAGATTAGGGACTGGACACCCTTATTTTCGGCGACCCCACCCAGACCGCCGAGTATCCCCCACATATCGTATATTTGTGTTGTTTCATTTGTAGACTCTGTAAATAGTTTTGGACACATTTCACCGGCAGATGGTGCCATTCATCAGCTGAAACAAATTCAATGCAAAAGAAAAGTGGTCTACTTATTACAAATTCTTGAAATTACAAACTTTAAATTTAACTAAGCGGCATATCTGTGATGCAATAACAAAAAAAACCCTCAATATCTCGAATAAGAGTTGCGCGTTATTAGACCGAGTAAAACGGCGAGATTTCAGGCTCCACTGTGGAAAAGCATCCATCCATGCAGAGCCTGCCTGTCTGCGCACACCACCACACTGATCCCCGGGAAGAAGCAGAGGAGAGTCAGAGCTGCTGCTGCTGCTGCTGCAGGTCTCCGACATGGCGAAAGAAGGAGCACACATGACCGAGGAAACCGAGTTCATGATAGACAAAAATGTGGGCAAAGAGAGGGACAAAGTGGAATCGTCCAGCGATGCCAAAGAAATGCGAGCCATAATTCTCACAGGTTTTGGAGGTCTGAACAAACTCAGGATAACCAAGAAGGCAATGCCAGAGCTGCAAGAGGGAGAAGTGAAGATCCGCGTCAAAGCATGGTAAATATGAAAAACACCACTGATTCATTTTAACTAAAGGCCCACTTATATATTGTCTTTTCACATGTTCCCCACGCTTAGCAGATTTTTTTTTTATTATACTTGGGGTTAAAGCTGAGTAACATGGAAAATTTCGCAGTGATGAAGCTACAGGTCATTTTCAGCTGGAGCTTTGCAAATCATGTAGTAATGAAGAATCATCAGTGGCTGGATATTGTCACCATAATCAGATTTAATCTTTAAGAATGGATTGTTGTTGCTTCAGTAAGATAATATAGATTTACTCCTCATGATATTTCATTAACGCTGGACTAATGACTATCTTAGAGTTAGAAAATGTTGGTAATAGAGAATATACCAGTTAAATCTGGTCCTGTATTCACAAGGGGATAGTCAGTAAATCACTGCTGATGCTGATGACACAAGGCTCAGGCAATCACTAAATCTCAGAGAATTGAACACTAAATCTCTTATTGATTAAGCAGCCAGTTGGTAGAGACAGTCTGATTCACGATTTGAAACATCGATTTGGTCTCTACAAACCATAAGGTCCTGTTTATTTTCCGTGTTACAGTGGCTTGAATTTTCTGGATCTGATGGTGCGTCAGGGGAACATTGATAACCCCCCTAAACCTCCTCTTGTGCCTGGGTTTGAGGTCTCTGGAATAGTTGAATCAGTGGCTGAAAACATAGCAGAATTTGAGGTTAGTGAACTAAGGATCATTATAACTCGATATTGATGTGATGAATGAATTCATGTTGTCTGTATCTGAGCAACTGAGTCCATTTGTTGTGAACCTAATAAGATATACATTGCAATTTATCCTCAATCTACTTATCGGCCTCTCAAGTCTGTTTGTTTTTCACCACCATGTTTCAGATAGGGGACAGAGTTATGGCTCTTGTAAATTACAATGCCTGGGCAGAGGTTGTTTGCGCACCAGTGGATTTTGTCTACAAGATGCCGGATGACATGACTTTTTCAGAGGCTGCTGCGTTCTCCCTCAACTTTGTGGCTGCTTATATGATGCTGTTTGAAGTGGCCAACCTGCAAGAGGGGATGTCAGTGTTGGTTCACTCAGCAGGTGGGGCTGTCGTAAGTATATTTCTTCTATGATCGTTTCACAGCTGCAGAAAAAACATCTGCGACTTTTACAAATGTTACGGTCAAAACTGAAAGTGGAACATGGAGTTTGTTCTTCATGTTTATGTATAATAACTGTTGCGATGTAAAACCAGAATATTACATGTTTTAAATTAAGGAACATTAAAGGAGTATTCCAGCGTGATATTAATTTAGGGTCAAACACACCATAACACCGAGTTAGACACCCCCTCAAGAGATGAATGTTGCCGACTGCTTGCTTCCCTAGTTAAACTAACTTTAGTAACGACCGCACAATAGCAATACACCGAGGTCTGAGGAGCCATACACAAACCTCAACAAAAGCGCCGCTCTATAGCCACGAATAATGCTCAGAACAACACCTAACTTCATCAACACAGTACATATAGGGTCCCAGCCATAGTACTAGCCACCAAACATCTTTTTAACTTTGCCTAATTTCTTTAGCGAAGAGACTAAACACAACTCACCTACTCTCTTCCAGCAGCTGCTTGTTTGTAGCGAGACCTCGACCAGTCCATCATTGACTGAGGCGGGTGGATGCAGCTCAAGGAAGAACATTTATGATCATTACTTCATAGAAATAAAATCTGACCGAGACACTAAGGCAGAAGAACTACCGCGTCTGCAGTGCAAAATGATTATTATGATGATTATTACTTCAAGGAAATGATAAAGAAATGATCATAAATGTTCTTCCTTGAGCTGCGTCACCCTGCTGTATTCCGTAATGGACTGGCCTGGAGGTCTCGCTACAGACAACTGGTTGCTGGAAGAGAGTGGTTGAGTTGTGTTTAGTTTCTTTGCTAAAGAAATCAGGCAAAGTTAAAAAGATGTTTGGTGGCTTGTGCTATGGCTGGGACCCTATATGTCCTGTTGATGAAGTTGGGTGCTGTTCTGAGCATTATTTGTGGCTATAGAGTGGTGTTTTGGTTGAGGTTTGTTTATGGCTCCTCAGACTACTGTGTATTGCTATTGTGTGGTCTTTACTAAAGTTGGTACAACAAGAGAAGCAAGCGGTCGGCAACATTCAGCGGTCGGCGTCTAACTTGGTGTTACAGTGTGTTTGACCCTAAATTCATTTTATGCCGGAATATCCCTTTAATGCTCCATTTGTTCAAAAGCGGTTGCTATAACGTTCATGAATCTATCAGAAGCTTTAGTCTTATAGACGTGCTATCTCAAGTGATTAATCCAATGCAGATGCTCCACTGGACACCTCTCTAGATTTCTGCAGTTTCATTGTTTGTACTTTTGTATTTGTGTGATGTTGGTTTATTCAGAGTTAACTCCTGTGTTCTCATGCACTGATACATTTGTGCTACTGTTTGTTATTTTCAGGGACAAGCTGTTGCTCAACTCTGCTCCACTGTACCTAATGTCACCGTGTTTGGCGTCGCCTCAAGTTCCAAACATGCAGCCATCAGAGACTCAGTGACTCACCTCTTTGACAGAAACGCTGATATCGTGCAGGAAATCAAAAAGTACGTACAGAAAATCTTTGATTGTGAATTTATGCTTGTATTGAGTCTCTCCTCTGACTTTGAAGACATTGTCATTATTTATTAAATATTGAATACACGGCATACATATAAAGCAGTATGCCTACGTGGACCTCGCTGTCCTTAGAGGGCTGCGGAAGGATGCCAATGTTACCTGTTGCCTTATTTGGTCTTTTGTAGCCATGGTTCCCATGGCAACACACAGCTCATCTCACAGCAGCATTGTGCAGGGTGGAGGTCTGCTCTGACTATGTGGAACAACTGAGCCAATTAGTGCTGAGCATTGATACGCTCCACATTCCATTCATTGCACAGCACACTGTTAGCTTGTAAGCACAGCATAGTAAACACTTTTAATGAAACAGATGAAGATTTAATTGATTTATGAACAATTCAGAGATTCAGGCAGCTTTAATTGTGACATAATGGTGAGATACATAAACTGAATGCATATGACATAAGCTGAACGGGTCTACAGTTCAAAATGGAAAAAAAAAGGGTTTAAATAATTTGTCCCGAACACTTCATGGTTTCTGTCTACATATCTAGTTGTAGTGGATTAATACGCCTTTCATCTCTCTGGCTCACACATTCTTCTCAGGATCAAGAGCAAAGTACTCTTAAATTAGTCTTTTTACAAAAGGCAAAAACCATGGGAATCACAAGACCACCAAGCAGTTTAGCCAAGCAGGTGTCCAGGACCACAAGGCAGAAAGTAAGGACTTATGGCTGCCTCGTTCATGACATGCCTTTCATTCTTTCATATCTGTGGGCAGACTTTTTTTGTCTGGCCATGTCTGTCTGCAATAAGAACATTCTGAAACATGACTTGGAGGATATTACTGTGGAGCAGCGCCAGCCTTGTAGACCATCAGCAAGGTCTTCATAAAAAAAACAGAGGCAGGGTTTAAAAGAATGATGCAGGTTGTAAACTGTAGGGTTTCTTCAGCAAGAAAAGAAAAATAAAAGAAAATGCCCATAACTTGTGAATTTATAATTTTTCAAAAGGTGAAACTACTCTGAGGTATGGGTCATGCGTATATGATGAGGCCTATAATAAGTCCATATATGTTGTATGGACTTTTACTGTGTTTCTTACTGCTTAGAATATTTTTCACAAATGAATTTGTGAAACTATGCTTTGTAAGGTGGTTAACAAAGTCATAAATCAACCTAAAATTAATCTGAAGCTGGTTTTCTGGAGCAACTTATTTTCATTACTTATAAATCTGTTAATTAATGCAGCCTAGAAGTTGAAAAAGTGCTAATCTCTGTCTCTCAAGGCTGCAAATTCTTCCCTTTGAGAGTCAAAAACACACACAGTGAGTCAAGAATAATCAATGAAATAGTTTGATTGACTTATTGTGTGAGTAATTTGGTTTTATATCATCGCAAGCGAAAGATTTTTGGATTTTAGTCTGATATTAAAACACATATGGCTCTTTGAGAAAGCCATTAAATTTTTGTCCGGTATCTGACAAATTCATTGGAAAGAAATGCTGAGTCATTGTTTGTTGTCAAGTCTGCATCTTCACATGTATTTGTTTTGTAGTATTCTCTTTTTCATTGAAACTTTTACCTTGTTTTTGTCGTGTCAGGATTTCTCCAGAGGGAGTGGACATCGTGTTGGACAGTCTGTGTGGGGAGAACACAGGGAAAGGCTTGAGTCTGCTGAGGCCTTTAGGAACTTACATCCTCTATGGTGGGAACATAATCTGGATATTGCTGTTTGTTTATTTCCGTGTGGCTCTTCATTTAGCACTGTCAATACAGGAGTAATCACACTGGAGTGTAAAAGTTTTAGGAAAAGGAATAGTTTAGCACTCAGGGACACAAATATTTTTCTATTAACGGGCTGTAAGAACAGATCAATACCACCGTCATAACTCTCAATAAATACAAAGCTTGAGCTGAGAACTGGTAAAAGGTTGAAAAAGCCAGCGTGGAGACACAATGAGTGATGGCCCCCTGAAGAAGGAGGATTATTTTTCTGCAGATAAAGCAAACAAGAGTCTTGATTTTCAGATTTGGAGCAGCTGAAATTAAGATGTAAGGTTTGAACATTTTTAGCAAAGCTGACTTCTCTTTTTGCTAAACTCTCCCGGCCTTGACGTGAGCTGATAACAGTTTTCTCTCTGCAAAAGGGGTATAAGTATGCTTCCCAAAAGGTCCTTTAAATGAAAATTCAGAGGCTCTCTCTCTCTCTAATGAGACATCACTCCATAGACTACAAATTAAACATTTTAGCTCTCTTAGATACCGCGCTAACCTGATCTCTGTTAATTAAAGTTAGGTCTTATGAATCAATCAGCTACATTAGAAGGAGATTAATTCATTAGGTTGAGCCATACTGAATACGTGCAAAGGCATGCTTGCACAGATCTAAGGGTCTAAAGGTGCCAACAGTTCCTCCCTCCATCTCACCCTTTGTGTGTTCGTAGCTGCCTATTATTGGCCAGCCACTTCTCTCCAGCCTTTTGCACAGCATACAGCAATGCTTTTCTTTTTGTCTTTTCAGGCGCATCAAACATGGTAACCGGGGAGACAAAGAGTTTCTTCAGCTTTGCAAAATCTGTGAGTCCCCCGAGTTGAAGTCTGTCATCAGCATTTGTAGGCAACAGCAACCTGTTACTATAAGTTGAACTTTTTACGAAAAAGTGCACACACAATCAAGTTCAATGTGCCTCCTTGTGTGTTTTTTCTACAGTGGTGGCAGGTGGAGAAGGTGAACCCTATCAAACTGTATGAGGAGAACAAAGTAATGGCAGGATTTTCACTCCTCAACCTCCTTTTCAAGCATGGGAAATGTAGTCATGTGAAATCAGTGATGGACAAACTCTTGAGGCTCTATGACCAAAAGAAGATAAGACCTGTCGTGGACTCCCTGTGGGCGCTGGAGGAGGTAAGAGGGAGGATGATCAGAGGCTGTATGACAGAGAGGTCTGTGATTATCATACTTGAAATCGTCTGATCATAGTGGTAAGAAAGTAGTTTCCAGGGAGATTCTGAGGATAGCAGGGAAAAATCTTGGATAGCAAACGAGCGGTTCTTTGTCGCTCTGTCTTTCTGCGGGACATTGTCAGCTGTTCTTGGACTTAATTCTACAGATGGCGGGTAGGTTGCGTTTTCCTGTTTGACATGTAAATCGCGGCCACACAAAACCTGACCGTATGGCCAAACGTCAATCACTTAATTCTTGATTTATGTACAAATTCTTTAACTCTCCATTTAACTGCAATAAATTCATTTAATGATACAGTCTATTCACAATATTCCATACGGTATGATACAACACAAAACTATACAATACAAAACAATATTATATGATACAATATGATACAATATGATACAATACGATAAACATGGTGCAATGTGATCAAAATGCTGTCCTGTACTGTATCATAAAGTATGTATATGAGAGACGATACAACGTGATAATAAAGAAAGTGATTTGAATGGTTATGATACAATATGATGAAAATACCATACATAGGGTACAATACAGAATGGTATATTAAAACAAAATTTAACATGATGTAATTACAATAAAATATAATATGACACAATATAATAGGATACATGATATGATATGAGATGCGAGTGTGATGTGGTATTATGAGATATGATATATGATATGATATGAGAGAGTGGTGTGGTATTTTAAGATATGATATCATATGAGATGTGATATGATATGATATGAGATGAGAGTGTGATGTGGAATTATGAGATATGATACAACCTTGTGGTATATGATATGATGTGATATATCATCAACAGTTTACCATACTATACTATAAGAAATTATACAATAGGAGATGATACAAAACAAAACCCTAAAACAAAATACGCTTCTTTTTGGCAATTAAGCAAAACATTTTTGTGGTCGTACATGAGAGTACTGTCAGTGGTGTCAGTCTGTTTCTGAAGTTCACTTTTGGAGCTGAACAATGGCAGCCGCCATATTGGAAATGCTGACTCAACAGAAGTTTCCAGTCTAGCGAGAGGTAAAGAGATGGCGTTGAGACAAACTTTTAGCTTCTTCACTTAGAAATTGACGCTCCTGAACATGGTGTATCACAAACTGTTCAGACCTTAACTGTTTCTTGTAAAAAGGATGCAAATATTTTTTTTTGTTGCTCTAAATATATACTGCAATAATCTGTAGTTTTTGGCTGGAGGTTGCCGATTGTTCTTGAACTCCAGTACTACACACATTTGGCTGCCTTTATATTAGTACTGATAAATGAAATAAAAACTGAAACTATCAGTTATCCATTGGCAAACATCTGCCAAAGTCCTTCAATATATTCAGCAAATTTTTACCTGTACTTGAGTTCATCTGGAACATGCCCTGACTTAACAGGTCATATGTGACTCACACCCTAAAATCCTCCAGGATTCCAGATAAAAAGTGAGGCAGTGCAGGTAATAAATTCATTACAAGACGCTGGTCCAGTCATTCTGATCATTTTTTAATCTGCAGACATAGATTTTCATTTCTCATGGGAAACTCCCCCACTACTGTTGTCATTAAACCTTGGCAGATTGTACAGGCCATTCACTGGAACCATTGCCCATGAACAATCTGGTTAGAGGGGGAGGATGGCGTGGGATGTAGTGCCAGGGGCACAGTCGGCCTCATTTGTTTGTATGCCTGGAAGGAGAATTGTGGGGGCGTTAGATGATGTGTTGACCATGGAAACCTTTTTTTCTGGAGTGAAAAGTTGCAAATGTGCATGTCTGAAACAAATTAAAAGGACCTTGTCTGAACAACAGTAGATTAGATTTTCCGTCTTTCCTCTTTAATATTATTTGTATATAGAATACTAGGATAAAGCAGTAAACCTAGACACGGAGGGTTAGAGAACCTGGAGAGTCCAATTATGCTTAAGTAGATCTTCTCATCCCTCTCATAAACTTATAACCAAGCAGCAGCATGCTGGGAATGTTTCTGACCTAATTATGCCCTTGGCATGGTTTCTGCTGGAGTTTTTTTAAGCAAATGAATGCTTGTAATACAATGGCTGATAGACAAAGAGCCACATTCACTTGTGTCTTTGTGTCAACCATAATGAGAAAGCAAGATTTGACATCCTTAGTCATCATTTGTGGTGTCGGTGAATTTAACATTACACAATTAAGTCAAACAAGATTTAATGAGTTGTGTTTGTGCTTCATTGTTAGCATGTTTTACCAAGCCTGTCATTGGAAGTAAAAGGTTTTTTTGGATGAGGAGGAGGGGATTTTGGATGAGCACCAGATTGCAGTAGTAGCATAACTGTAGTGTCTGCGGTCATCTGTGTCCAATAGCTTTCCATAAGTCTTACTTTAAAGGTCCTTTCACCAGAAAAGCAGTGACGAGGAGCTTGTAATCTGTTAGCAGTGTTAAAAGATTCACAGATACAACTAGACTTGTCCCCCAACACTCTGCTCGTAGTGATCTCTGCAGTTGATTGATACTACATATCAAAATCTCATACTTTTATTAGTTTAGCTCGGACGAGTCAATCACCGAGTGTAGCAGTTTTGCAGCTCAAGGAGGAACATTTATAATTATTACTTCACGGAATGCAATCAGACCGAGACGCTAAGGCAGAAAAACCACCGCGTCTGCTGTGGAAAATGATTATTATGATGATTACTACTTCATGGAAATGATCAGCTGCACTTGGTGATTGACTCATCAGGGCTCCCCCACAAACAAGCAGCTGCTGGAAGAGAGTAGGTGAGTTGTGTTTAGTCTCTTTGCTAAAGAAATCAGGCAAAGCTAAAAAGATGTTTGGTGGCTAGTGCTATGACTGAGACCCTATATGTACTGATGATGAAGTTAGGTGCTGTTCTGAACATTATTTGTGGCTATAGAGTGGCGTTTTGGTTGAGGTTGGCACGTGGAGATGTGGACCGCTGTGTATTGCTATCCTGCGGTCGTTACAAAAGTTAGTATAACTAGAGATGCAAGCAGTCAGCAACATTCATGGTGAAAGTTAGAGAAATATCCGCTAATAAAACCTATTGTGGAGAAGCCCGGCCCCTTAGAGGAAGAGCTCTGCCTGTAGATCTGCGCTGCACTGTTCATTGTGAAAAGGAACCTGACACTTAATCCCCACCACCACCACCTTTTAAATTTTGTTCATGTTCAGACTGTAACCACTCTGACAAAAGTGAATCAAAAATCAGCATCTTCAGGAGCACACTCATGTTTGTGTAAACTTTTTAAAGATAGTAAATGTTCAATCACATGAGAGTGAAAGGCTGTTCTGTTGAGAGCTACAAGAGCATTTATTGTACATAGTATTTACTCCGTCTTCAGAGCTGTCATTTCCCTGCCGCCTGCTGGGTTGTCAAATCACATTTTAAAGATTCAGCCTGTATCCTCCCTGTACTCATGTTAAATGCAGAGCTGCGCTTGTGTGCTGAAGGAAACTTTCCAGGGTCATTACTACAGACAGTGACGTGTTCAGTCTGATGTCAAATGTAGCTCTGCAAAGTGAGTCATGACCATTTGTCAATTTAGATAATAGCAGCTCTAATAAAGTAATCATGTGTCTGTAATGACCAGAGAATGACTGGAAAGGGTCTTTGTGATGATTCATTTTAGAAAATGAAGGAAGTGCTTTTGGTTTTTGTAAAGCTCCACCATGAAAAAAATATTAAGCGTATACTTATGAGTAATCTCCACTCTATATACTGTATATGTTTCATTTGAATATTGCTGTGTTTTTACCCCCACAGGTGAAAGAGGCCATGCAGAGAATCCATGACAGAGTAAACATAGGAAAACTTATTCTGGATGTTGAGAAGTCTCCCACACCTCTGGTAGTAACAACATTTTCATTTTCCCTTTCTTATGTAAGTAAAGTTTTCAGAAAGTAAACAGCATAATGGAAAGCTAGGTGTGAAGAGATGTACTAGTTTCATATATGCTCAGTTTTTATTAAGACTTGCAGTACCTTTTTACCTGAAAGTGTGTGATTAGGAGGTGAATTGATTTAAAAGTAACCAAGCAAGTCTGAAGTGTAACTATCACCAGCGCAAAGAAAGAGGGGGAGTTTGCACTTTATCAGCAAGGGGAAGAATATTCTTTCAGAGGCAGATGGAAAAAGATTCAAAACATGAATTGAGATTTTTTTAAATGAGCTGGTTGAGTTGTGACTGTAAAGTTCATTCATAAAAATCTAAAATGAAAGTTGTTATTTTTGAGAAAGGGCAAGTAAATGTGACTTTTCTTTCTGTGATTTATAATGCTAACTTTTTAAAATTTGCTGTGTGGAATTTGATGTTTCTAAATAGTATGGCCATTTTAAGCGCAAATTAAGTCATAATAGTGCAGTGGAAAGGACTGTTAAACAGGTGGTTAGTGTTAACTCTGTACTAATCTCAATAAAGTTCGAAGATATAAAGACATTCTCATGATAAATGGATAAACTCTTTATATCTGTAGCTATTTGTCAGCCCAGGGCACATTTACACAGCTACTAATCAGACTGTATAATGTATAAACTTACTGATAGATGAATCGTGTTATCTCATTAGATGGCCAACGACAGCACAGAGACCAGTGAGGCAGGAGAAGAAGAAGAAGAGCCTGAGGGAGACAATGACAGCAAGGAGCGAATGCCTTTCATCCATTAAACCCAACATCACAGCAAACCCAGAGAGACTGCAGAGGTCCACCACAGGGGAACACTGCCACACACAGACACACACAGAGGTTTGTGTGTGTCTGTGTGTATGTGTATAAATGAATGAGTGAGTGCAGGTATGCATGTGTGCATGACTGTATGTATGTGCAGAAACTGTTTGTACTTTTTGTCAGTCGACTGTCAGGCAGCATTTTGGGTGAATGGAGGCTAACAACATGTTTGTCACCACGGCAACAAGTCCAAGTGCCATTGCAAACTTGTAGGGTTCTAATGTTCTTTACTCATGAAGTAATGTTATGCTAGCTAATGATGTGAATGGTTTGTGTCTGTTTTGCAGTTTATCGTCAATGAATTGGACACAGGTCAAACAAGCATTTAAACCTGCAGACTTGCTCGTACAACTTTAAAGTTAGCACTCCTAAAAAGAGAATAGAACATTAACCACAATAAATGATTTTCTAATGTCTCAGAAAGTGTGTATCTATTTTGCATAGATATCTGCATGGTATTTTAATCTTAGTTGCCAGTAATGTATTATTATGGGATCACCAGTGCCTTTTTAGCTGCAAACACGTGTTTGATACTTGAACTGCTTTCCATATGTGAAGTTTGCATCGAACATCCTACAAAAACTGTGTTTCTAACTGGAGTACGATAAAATTTTAATAGCTGCTTTCCTGTCTGAGTGTAGAGTTTGTATTGAGGTAAATCTAAAGTGCCACCACAGCTCTCTATATGAAGTAATTTAACCTACGAAGGATGTATTTTCCTACTAAACTTTATATCAGGATTTTCTCCTTAAATACAACTTATGCCAGAAAAATATTTACTTTCAGGTAAATACACCAAAGTCTCAGTTTTGTAAACACTGGGATTGACTGAGTTTTAACGGCTCAAATTTATCCAGAATCCTGCAAAATTACATCTTTATAAAAGGTAACCTACATAAATTGAATCAGTCAGATGCAGTCCAAGTTGGTGGAGTTTTTGCTCTGCAGACTCTGACCGAAGTTGTTTACATGCTGGTGCCTCACAACAGAAGTGCCGTAAGACGCTCATGTAAATCAGTTTTACAATGTGCTGTAAGCCTCTGCTTTATTCCACATGTGCAAGTTGTTTTGAAATGCACACTTGTACACACCTCCTATGGATTTCATTTTCTCTTAAAGCTCATATAAGGAGTTTCTTGACGTTTATGAAATAGACAAAAAATATAATATTTATGCATTTTCATGATACCCAAAAGCGAAGCCAGCCAGTCACAGCCAGTAAATGATCAATTTCACTGTCAAATGTCAGCAGTATGAGAGATTTTTGGTCAAAAGTCACAAGCGGGTAGAGGACAAGATAAACAAAGACTGTTTTGTCCACAAGGGCGCCAAAAATGACACAAACTGAAGGTTCCTCACAGGAGCTTTAAGAATGATGTTGTGACTAGTTATCTGAATTATTTTTTCCTCGATTCATTAAGAATGAAACCAAACTACACATCAAAATGTATTTGCACCACTGTTCAAACAACTAAACTAGTTTGTCGTTATTATCAGTAGTCCACGCTTCATGCGTTGAAGCTGATTGATACACAATGGAATCAATAAAAGGTTGTTTAGATTTAGAAGTTAATTTCTAGTATTGCAAATAGGGGTAATGATATGTAGGCGCTTTGGAAATCACATGTCAATTTTGATGCCTTTAATGTCAGGTTTGCTGTTTTTGTGTCTGATAGAGAGGGTGCAAGGAGTGAGCGTGTGAATTCATATTGACTTAAAAAAAAAGATGAAATGTCTAGCATTGTAGTAAGTTCACTCAATTCCTGAAAAATATGGTTTACCTGTGGTTGTATATTTTTGTCACATTTTTATTTGTGTACTTTTTTTGAGTACAGCTCTGTTTACTTGAATAAATTGAACTGCAAGGTACTCTTCCTCTCTGTTCACTCTTTGTTCTCTGTAATGTCTTTTACCAACTGTGTTTAATATCACAATCAATGCTTCATTATATATTTGTTGAAAATCAACACAACTAGATCTTCACAGTAATAGAAGAGTTATGTGTCGTATCCTCAGTTTATGGTCAGGTGTGGGACGTATGTTTACAAGAGATTAGACTGGAACAGAACAAGAATGTGTCAGTGAAACTCTTTAAGTCTTTGCTGTGTAAAACTAAAAATCATAAACTTACATAAAAGTTACCACAAACATTTGAATGCATTGATTTCTTTTTCAAAATGCGCTCTCTCATTGTAGCCTGGACATAACTGATTGAAAAGGATCAGTTTGACATACCATTAGGAGCTCAAAACTATGCTCTGAAAAAGTTTTGTCCCTTTTTGGTTGGATTAGTTATCCTCAAAGGTCTTTGCTAACTCTGTACAATGTGAAATTAAAGGCAGTTCTTCAACATTATGATTCACATAACACCATAAAATGTGAGATCATGCTTGAATGCTGGTTTTGAGAGCTGTACTGCTATCCTGAGCCTATATGCTCAAGTGATTTTCTTATTTAGCAACCCCCTCCCATCTTTAGACAACATCTCCCTCTAAAAATAACTCAGAGCCGGGACAGGACTAACTGTGGTGTAGTCGAAGCTTTATTTTCTTAAGATTATATAATTAGAATTCTGTTTGACGTGGAAAAATAATCTTATAAAGGCAAATCATTCACTCAGTTGTTGTTTTTTGTCATTAAAGCTAAATATTAAAGGTTAGCAGTGTAAATTAACACTAATTAGAGTATAATGCTTCCGGAGTTTTCACACACAAATACACACAGGGGTGTGTTCTCACTTTTGAAGGTGACTCAGTGTGTTAAAAACTGGCACTGGACATGGACGGGATGAAGAACACCGTGTAATAGCACAACAGTCAATGAATTTTCAGTTTGTTTGTGAAATGAAAGGGAATACTGCTCAGTTCACCTTGTCCCAAGCAAATATTTATGAAAAGCCAGACACAAGGAGATCATTATTTGCCCCCCCTCCACCCTTACACCTCTCTCACCTCTTCCTGATGTTTGCACTAAAACAAATAGAGCTGAAGCCAATGCAGAGAGAGGAACCCACAGAGGAATACAGAGGGGCCAGTATATATTGAGCAGCCTGCAGTGGCTTTGGTTCCTCACACAGCAGTACAAGGTGTGCCACCGTGTCAGTCCATTAGGATCCACTGGCCTCAGACATGGCACGTCTGGTCCTCCATGTCTTCATCCTTCTTTGCTTCTCCATGCTCCAGCTCAGCTCCGGCCGTCCATCTCGCACGAGGAAGGCTGTGTCACCTCGAGGTAAAGGTACACACACATTACGTTACATTACACAGTGGATTAACAATCTTTCGGCTCTGCTTTTGTGTCATTTGACCTGTTCTCTTGCCCTCTTCATCTGTATGCGGTTGCAGAGGAAGATGATGTGAAGTCCCAGCTTGAGAAGTTGTGGCAGGAGGTGAATTCGCTGAAAGAGATGCAGGCATTACAGACAGGTACCACATTAAAATTTAAAGATAACATTAGATTTATGAAGGAATTTTGTTTTTTCTGTCACATACAAGTAAATGAAAAAACCTGAAAAGGAAGTTAACTGATTCATACAGTTGTTGAGATGCCTGAGTGGTACTATCTTTGTGTGATGGCGCTTACTCTGAGTGAGTTGTCAGATTATAATCCAATTTTAACATTTTAGTGTACTGACTCGCCAGCAGAGGGCAGCAGCACTCTGTTAGTATCAAAGTTGTAAGGGAATGTAAAAATGTCAGCATCTTTTTATCCTTTAAGCATCCCTTTGGTGAAGCTAAAAGATAAAGCAAAGGTGGACAGTCAGATAATGAAGTATAAATATCTATTTGCCTTGTTTATGTACATTATTGTTATTTTCCAGTCAACATTAGAAAAGCGTCACCCTTTTTAATGCCATATTCTAACACTCATGAAGTAGTGCTTTTTCCTTTCAGTCTGTCTCCGTGGAATCAAAGCTCACAGGAAGTGTTATCTGACAATTGAAGAGCCCAAACATTATCATGAAGCAAATGAAGACTGCATCGCACAAGGAGGGACTCTTGCAACACCCCGAGATATGATGGAGAACAATGACCTGAGAGACTATGCAAAGAGGAGCGCTCCTGGATCCAAGGACTTCTGGATCGGTGTGGCTGACATAGTGAAAGAGGGCCAGTATGTTGATGTCAACAGCATACCAGTCAGCTACTTCAACTGGGACCGCTCTAAGAAGCAGCCCACAGGAACCAAGAGAGAAAGCTGTGTGGCTATGTCAGTGGGGGCGCAAGGAAAGTGGTACGATGAGGTGTGTCGCAGCCTCAAAAAGTACATCTGCGAATATGTCATTCCCTGAAGGAGACATGATCACTGATGAGAGTCATTCCCGAAATGGAGCCAAAATATGTTGTCTGATCTGTGCTGTAATAAAATGGAAATATAACTTCTTCATTTGCGTCAAAATTAAATTAAATGTGAGGTAATGACAGAGCAGCAATGGGGATATCCTAGAAACCAAATGGTAAAGTTATTTTGTTTAGTTATAAAAATCCAATTATATACATATACCTTTTGTTCTTCAGGTTTATGATTACCACTGAGTCCCTCGGTTATTTACTGAACAGCTTACTCCTGAGTGAGTCATTTTGGATCAGTAGATGAATGTGTTTTAAGTGGTTTATATAGTCTTCCCTGTTCATTGTTCTCAGGAGCCATGGTACAAAACTGAACTAACAAATGCCATAAAAAAGTTTTAGATTAAATTTTGGACCAAATGCACATGGGAGTTATACAGGATAATAAAATGTAATGAACACTGCTTATATATCCAACTCTGTTTGTACATTCTCTGTCGAGGAAAAAGCGTAAACAGAAGCAGATAGTGAGTGTTGGTGGGACATGTAACTTAAACCTCACCATGCAGCCTTTTCACTCTGTATTCTTTAATTAGGTGAAAAGAAAACTCTTTCTGCAACATACAAAATTAAACTACAGCTTGATTGTTTTGTATGGTATTCTCATGGTAAATTGACTTAACATTTTAGCATAAAATAAATTATTTTCCATGGTGCAGTAAGCATCTGGTAAAGGAAGTAAACTCTGTCTTTCTCACACTAATGTCTACTTTTAGATGTAACGTCTATACATCACATAACAGAATAATAACAATATATTACCCCGAAACAGACTCTTTCATTTAAACGGTTTTCTCTACCAGTCTGTTCACCTTATTTGTCTTGGAATGTGGGAGGAAACCCCATTGCCAAAAATAAACTTAAACAAACAGGGAAAGAACATGCAAACATGCAGGAAGGGACTGATATCAAACCCTGACCCTTGGGGCTGTGAGTAGACAATGTGAAGTATGTATTTCTAACTGTTTACTCTGGATTAATACTGCATTGCAGTGCAAAGCAAACTGCAGTGTAAAAGATTTTAGAGCCCAGTTACTTTAGCATTTCAGGTTACTGACTGTCATGCAGTGCTGCTGTTTGATTGTACAAAATTTCAGTTAAATGTATATTTTTATGAAAAGAATCTGAGCACTCAGCAGCTGTAGCATACAGAACCAATCTTAATTTTAAAAATAAATGTTTTTGCTCTCTTGTTCCTTAATTTCTTTTTTCTTTTTTTTCCATTTAATTAAAGGTTGGCATAACATCTTAAAATAGGTATATGATGAGTTAAGATTAAAATATCTTGCAAAAAGTTACCAATGCAAAAAAAAAGAGAAAAAAAGAAACCGAAGCCTGCTGCAAATAAAAAAGAAACGGTGCAGATAAAAAGAAAAGGCACATTTGCATTGCCACTTTTTTTTGCATCATTATCTTTTGTTGTAGCTTTTTTTTATCTGCACTGTTTCTTTTTTTATTTGCAGTGGGCTTTGGTTTCTTTCTTTCTTTCTTTCCTCATTTTTTTGCATCTTCCGTGGCTTCTTTTTTTGCATTCTTTTTTATTTGCAGCAGTGGCGGTTCTCGGCCACCGTACATAACAGCTCAAAACAGGTATGTGATGAGTTCAGATTAAAATATCTTGCTGTGCTGCTAAATGATACCACTTTGAGCCCTTACAGAACTCTTAATTTTGAAATCAGGTCAAAAACAGTTCAAACTGAAATCGTCTTCACTCAGACCCGCACCACCCTCCCACTGTGTGCAGACTAAAATCATATAAATGGGACGTGTTTATATTTTTCTGTCTCCCCTGTCCTTTTAAAAACGCAGACACGCGCTGACGTCACCCTGCCCGCACACATCACGCACGCGTGTCTGGCTGGAATGTGACGCCGAAGCTCTGTGGGTGAAGTCTCGCGGAGAGTAAAACACCGGCCATCTTTCTCCATTTATAGCAGGACACTTTGTGCGTCGGTAGTAGTGCAGCCTTCACTTTGATAAGCCTACAAGTTTGGTCAAGTTTATTTTTGTTTTCCAAGCATCGAAACTTACAACAAACAGGACACAAACCATGTTTGTGTTTACGGCTGCAAAGTTTTCTCGCTGACATCCCTCCATCCCCGGATAAATGCTGCTCTAAACTGTCGCACAAATGGAAATGGTGCCTAGCGAGGAGAACCAGTTCGTACCCAAAGAGGTGAGGCTATCACGGACCTGGTCTGAAATCACCCCCTCTGGGCTTTAGCTGTCACCCTTACAGACTTTGGTCAATAGTAATGGGGAAACTTTCGCAGCACTTGGAGAGTTTGCATTCTTTGTGTATCATTAAGAAGCTAACAGCTAAACATGACTTGGACGGCCTATCGCGATACGGCTGGCTAACTATCGTTACAACGTCAGCTAACGTTAGCGGGCAGCTAGTTGGACAAAGTGTTGTTTTTTTGTCGGAAACGTGCCGTGAAACACATCTGTCATGATGTAAGCTGGCCTGTAAACACAGTTCATCCGTTATTTAACACTCCAGGGCGTATCAAACGTTTATTTTGTTACGATAAGTTAGCTAACTGATAAGCATCATGAACCAGCGTAGTAACGATTGCTAATGTCGTTAGCATTGTAAGTCAGGGTGATGAAAACAACATTCACTCATATTTGTGTTTGAACTCGCTTAACAAAACACCAGTTGTATAGAAAAAAGTCGAATTAACTCGAACTGGGGGAGCAGTGTTCATAATGACAGGCTTAGTAGAAAAATAAAGCTTACTTTGAATCCAGGCCTAGTTTGTTTTGAATGGAAGTTAGCGGATTTGACTAGCTAACGTTACTCTAGCAGATGCGGGTGTTTGGATCTAAACTTGTGTTGCACTTGGATATTTGAATGTCTGAGATAGAAAACAAGATTCCCACCTCTAACCTACTAATTTTCCCCAACGTCGAGCTAAGTCAGTTGATCCTCTCGTGTGTTTGTTGGAAGCTAACAGTGCCGTGAACGCGCTAAGTTTCCATCGATGTACGGTCACACTGAATTGATAAAAACATTTCGACAGTTTCTGCTTCTGACTCCTCTGTAAAAAAAATAGTGTTCGGTAACCATCTCGATTTAGTTATTGGCATTGTTATTATGAAGGGGCAGATTTAAGTTGGCTATAGAAATAGGATGTAATGAGGGTTTTATCAGCAGCGACAACTTAAGGCTGCATTGACGTCAGCTGGTGTCATGCATCGAGCATGGGACGTCAACACGTTGGTTTAACGTTGGCAGCACATCTATACTAAATACATCTATACTAAATACATCTATTGAACACTGATTAGCTGCTGACTCAGCCTTTATTTTAAACAAGAAGAATGACTTGAGCTTGCACTTGACTGTCACAATAGTATGGACACCTTGGCAAACTCATGCAACTGAATACTACAGCTGCAAAAACAAAAAAACAACAACAAAAACAGAAAGCCCGTTCAGTAGGGCTGGGCAATATGGGAAAAAGTTTATCACAATATATTTTTTTCGTATCAGTTGACATCGATATGTATCACAATATAAAAAATGAAATTTAACAGGACTTATTGGTAGCATGTCTTTTGCAGCTGTTGTGCTGTTAACTGCACAAATTGGCAAAATAAACAATCTGCAAACATTACGACACTGCCACTGATATTAGGAACATCTAAAACAACGTCACAGCCTGGTAAATTGAGTTAAATTCATGGACATTTCAGCAAGTGTTTTCTGATTTTAATGCAATGAAAGACAAAGCGATTTTTCAAGAACTTGCAAACAATACGGCATCTTTATTGATATCAGTTCACTCCGAAGCAGGCTTTTGCCCCCGTTTGCGTGTGCATCTAGTATTGTTTGTATACAAGAAACCCGTCTATAAGCTACTGCATCTGTGAGGTCTTTGTGTCTCTTCAACATTTTGTCGTAAGGCGTTGCGCTAGAGAGAGGACTGAATGGTCAGCTGCACAGGCGTCATGGGCTCCTAGCTCCGACTTTGCGAGAACATGTACTCGACATAATTGGCAGTGCACATTACTCTTCTTCATGTCCGACTTCATAAAAACAAAATACCTCCACACCACCGACGTTTTCGTGCCAGTGTTGTCGACGATGTTGTCATCTGTTGAGCCTTCATTTGCATTTCTGCCGGGGGTAGCACTCATTTTCTTTTTTTCTCACCAACAGTGTTGTCGGCTTCATGTATCAAAGTGTAGCTGCAGCCTGCTACTACGCAGTTGTTTGCTACATGGTTCTAATTCAGCACATGATTGGTTCAGTGTGAAGCGGACCCAGAGAAATTCCACTTTTCATTCGCTGTTCGTATAGTCTACCAAAACATGGCAGAATGCCAGTTATGAAAAGCATATTGACCATGTTTTATATTGATATTGAGGGAAATTAATCTTTGATCATTATCGTTTTATCGCCCAGCCCTATGAGGGGAGCAACACATCGACAGTCAATCTTGTGAAGAACATATAAATAATCCTAACTTCTGTCAGCAATATAGCCCAAGAAAGGTCAACCAGATGTAAACAACAATTTACCATGTTTTCAAATGTTTTCACCTGAAACTGTCCCAAAAAAGCGAGGGAAATGTAAAATCCAGTTCTTTTAATTCTGCATGCTGAAATATATAGTTAAAGATGACTGACTCATATTGTGGAGTAACATTTGAGTTCAAGCATAGACTGGACAGTGTAGGTAACTTGAGCTGTTTGGTGTTGAAATTGGATGGTAAATCTGTTGTGGTGTTCTGAGATACTGGATGGACTCAGAGGCTTCTGTTGATGCAGAGAGCTCGAGTAAATGGATCATGTGTGTGTGGAGACATTCACTTGATACCAAAAGGTACATGAAAACAATCTCACATACAACCAAGTAACTTTAAAATAGTTGCTGTTGAAAGGCAGTTTGTTTGAGATTGTTCTGCTGTATGGACTACGATAGGCCGATTTGTTTCAGAGGTATTGCAAAATAATCTGTTTCTTTTTCCTAGTGCAAGTCACTTCAAACCAGGAACAACAGTAACCATTTGATGTTTGCCCTAGTAATAAAAATACTCAATCTTATCACTGCTTCCTCAAACTTATGATTACTTCTTTTTGCCCCTTTTTTGAACATCTGTTACACTAGCTTTGTGTTTGACTTTTTACTGCTGTCACTGAAATTAAAACTGCATTTGTCAGATACATTTGTGACTAACAGAGAGTCTACCGTTATCCAAAAGAAGATGTTTTCAAATAAGACTATTGTCTATTCTTTATTGTACGTCCATATCTCTGCTATGCCTGTCTGTTCATGTGTTTGTTGATATATTGGCATCTAAGTATCCCATCATGTCCATGCAATTAAAATCAGTTACAGCTGCAAAGAAACACATGCTGTGCTTTGGCGTGGCCGTGGGTTCATGTCAACACCATGTGATTATTCCACTGTATAAATAACCTTTAATCTCATAATATACTTGTGTATCGTCAGCTGCAGCTTCTTCATAAATCCTGGCTGTCAGTCATATCTTACCGAGATCACAAACCTAGCAGAGGTTCCAAAAACAAGAATAACTTGTGTATAGATTCCTGCAGTCATCTGCCTGCTTAACAGTGTTGGTAAATGTAGGTAATAAACTCTGCTCCACTTAGCCTAAAGATATTTTTGATATTTGTGATTTAGGCATGTTTTACAACCTGTTTGTATTGTTGTGTTTGTTTTAAGCTGGTCTTACCCCCAAATATTTGTATATTATTAGGACGTGTTTTGGAGTTGCAGACAGAGTATTTTTGATGAGATGAAGAGGATTACTCAGGTAGCTATGCCTGGTGTGCAGTGTGAGAAAAGAGATCTTGTAATGAAGCATGGAGTTGAACAGATGCATGAAGCACCTCCATTTGCAGAAGTTGGGCTGACATGTAGGGCATGCAGTGAATAACAAATCTACTCCATGAAGTACTAGAACTTATCACTTGTGTCCTATAATGCAACATTTTCTCATAAAAGCTCATAAATAGTTTGAGGTCAACTGAAGTCTAGATAGTCACACCAATAAAACATGCTGAGTAATCGTACTACATGAAGGTAGTAAAGTATTTTTTCTTTCACTTTCACTACAAAGTTTTACAAAAGTAGGCCAATCTTCTCTGTATATGATGTTGTTTGGCAAAGTATTAAAAGTAAAGTATTAAAAATGAACAATTATCCCATATGTAACCCTCTGCTCTTGGTTTAAAATATATTTAATGTGGTAGTTGTGATTGCATACTTCTCTGATCTAACTTTTAATCAATAGTATTTTAGCGATTTAAACTGCAAACAGTTAACTGTGCTCACCTTTAACCAGGGCTTAAAAAGCAGGCCTGGGATCAACTTTTGCATGTGTGGTAAATGAATGCTTGTTGAACAAGGTTTTCTGCAATTCCTGGAAGTTTTTAGTGTAAGCCTTCAGTTCGCTAATTATTACAGCTTGAACCTTTACCGCACATACCAGGTCAATCAAATAAAGAAAAAAAAAAGCAGCGGGGTGTGTTCAAATGTGAAAGTGAGCTTCAGTGTCTTGAAACCCAAGCTCGTTTAACACTGTGTTGTCAACTGAAGCATGTTTGAGCAGTTGGATGACCTGATTTTAATCATGTGTTGTTGTTTTTTATTCAGTTCTTTTTCCTTTTCGACCATTTCAGACAACAGGTGGCACACTTCTTTCACTCTCCAGTTCTCACAAAACTCCTCTGTAGATAAGCTTTGAATTCTGCAATGTTGGATTTAATCTCATCTCAAGCAACATAAAAGGAGCTTTGCTAAATGAACTTTAGCAGAGAATACATAAACAAGCTTACATATCTGCACAGTAATCTATTCCAGTTTTTTCTTCTTATTTCTGTGTGGACACATTTCACTTGGTATCCAGTAAAAATATGAGAAAGTATAAAAGTATCTAGCAGCTAGTGAGGTTATACAAGTACATTCTTTGTGTCTGATGATGACATTTGCACAGTGTTACAAATATTTCCAATGGATCACCTCTGGCAAATTTTGGCTAATTTCTCGCCTGATTTCCTTAATTTGCAGATCCAAAATGCAGCCGAAGAGCCCCGGGTGCTCTGTATAATTCAGGACATCACCAGTGCGAGGACAGTCAACGAGAGGCTCACCCTCAACCTGCCTGCCTCCACCACCCTCTCCAAACTTTACGAAGATGTTGCCCACAAAGCAGGATATGTCAACGGCACCTTTGAGCTCGCCTGGGGAAATACACCAGACATGGTAAGGATTGTCATTCATTTTGGTGTCTGCCAAAACAAATCATCAGGATTATTCTAGAAGAGCATGTAGTGCACATATTCAGGTATACATGTTGAAAAAATGAGGTTTTAAATCAGTGGGAGCTGTTGCCCTCTTAAGCATTCAAACAAAAACATGGTTGACTTCACTTTTCTTCAGCTCAGGAACAGCAGGAGTTACATTTTTGATATTTTTGTATCAGACATGGATTTTATGACTGTGCAATCAGCTCTAAGGAACAGTTAATGCTGCTTTTTTTTTGGTTTTGCATTTTGCCAAACCATGCTATCATCAACAGATTGCTTTTTTGGATGCCTGTATAAAGCCCGGGGACACACCCAAATGGGGATGTTAAGTCAAAGAGTTGGTACTGTCAGAAAGTTTCACAACAGGACATGTTGTAGAGTCCTCCTGGCCCGAGACAGTGCTGTCAATTAAGAGTCATTCATGGAGAATCGCAGGTGAAGAGTTTGCACCAACATCTCGCGCAAAACTAGTTTGGCCAACTTGGCTGCACTTAGCACTACAGCAGAGATTGTTGACAACAAGAGGGCGAGCTATAACACACCCATGTGTGTGCCACTTATTCCGAAACCACATAGCAGACTGATAAAAGGTAGAAACTTGTTTGTAAACGTAATAGACACTTTGCAACCACAGAGGCTTATCATTAGGAAAGAGATGATATCGGAGTTCTTTTGGACTTGATAAGAGGCCAGAAATACGACTCTAGGTGAATGCTCTTAGTGAATGGGGCTAATATACTTGTGCATGCGAATATTAGGTGACTGTTTGGTGACGTGCAAGGACAAAAACGCAAGATAAACGCATGTCAGTGCTGTGTCAATAGCCAACCCCCTCAGCGATCGTTTTAACGATACCATAGCCTCTGGTGAAAACAGACATTTTCTCAGAGCGACTAGTCTAACCAGCAGTTATTCAGATGAGCAACAAAAGGATTCTTGGGCCAAGAGACTTCCTTTTCCTCACATTAGTCATTGTTTACAGTAGGACTGACCACTTGAGGCAGGGAAATTGGGACAGAGTTGAGAAACAGTCTGAGAAACTATTGTTTTCTGTGCTCTTATTTCTATTTCTATTATTGGAATCAATAAGAGGAATCAATCCCTCTCAGCGCAGCAGGTTGGCACTGACTCTGTCTCGGTGCATGGTCGCATGAGGCTAATTAAATCAAGTACTTGAGAAACTTGAGTTAATTGGTTGGGGTTAATGTTGTATTTTTATTGCTGGTGAATGACGGTTGTTGGGCATGTAAGGCTGTTTCGGGCTTACGTCCAAAAATCACCTGTTGAGGTAGTGTGTGAGCTCAGGCCGTTAAAGTGTTCGTTAAAGTGCTTAACTTTCACTTTGCACATCTTAGAATAAACCGTGATGTGAGTGATGTACACACCCCTGAAGTTTGATGTGATTACACTTGTTGTTGACTGCTTCATTAAATAAAAAAGTATTTAAATTGCTTTGATATTGTAGAAATTCAAAATTCGTTATTCTGAATCTGTATTTTTTCCCCTTGTACCCCTAGTAGACTGTATGAAATGTTGGTGTACTTCTTTTTACACATCAACAATCAAACCTGCCAGCTTTAAAGTAGTTTTCAGACCTGTTGATGTCAAGCTAAGTATTTCAGGGAAGGCCTTTTTCTCATGTTAATCATCAGTCATTGAATTCCAGTCTGTCACATGTTTGTGTCTGTCCATGTTTGTGCAAATACTTCTCCCTTTTCTTAAATGAGCACAGGCTAATCCTGCTGCTGACCCAGGCCAAAGCCCAGGTGCTGTGTCCGTTGTTATCTCACTGAGTAGGTCAGTGGATTAAGCTCCTGTATGTTTCCACTGCAGCACTTTGCCTGTCTGTCCTCAGCTTGCCTCGGAGAAAGAAAGACAGAAAGTCTGATGCAGTTTTTTTCCCCCTTGTTGGCTCCAAAGTACTTTCCTCTTGCGCGTTAGTACAAATAACTCCCTGAAGATGAGTTCAGTGGGGATCTTGAGTCCGCTTGTGAGTTTCTCGCTTGTTCTGGATGTTGTGTAACCATTGTTTTTCAGCTCTCTCCCCAGGGATTGTTGTTTTCATGTGATTTTTATTGCTACTCTGTCTTCCCCTTCAGGCACCACTGGACCACAGCAGTGAGATGTCCCTCTCAGATTCTGCTTTTGAGCCCGGTGGGAAAAGGAATTTCCTCCAGCTAACAGACAAAGACGGAGAGCAGCCACAGATTGCCTCGGTAAGTCAACGCATCAAAATCACAGTTTCATAAACATTACCAGAGCACTGTTAATGTTTTCAGGTTTTCATGATAAAGACTGATTTTGGTTTTGAAATCTGAGGACATTTCCTCTCTGAATGTAAATGCCTGCAGGATGAGTCTGGGACAGCAGACAGCAGCGGACTGGATGACAGTTCCCAGGAGCGATTTATAGGACCCCTACCAAGAGACAGCACTGCAGGCTGCAGTGGTGACTACAGCAGTCCTTCGTACTCCTACTCCTCCATTCTCAGTAAATCTGAGACAGGTGAGAGTTCGTCTTCTCTTAAATATGTAGCCCTACCTTTTATTTTTTTTAATGTCAACAAACCTCTTACTTCTTGTCTCTGACCCTCACTTCAGGTTATGTGGGCTTGGTCAACCAAGCTATGACCTGCTATTTGAACAGCCTTCTACAGACGCTTTACATGACCCCAGAGTTCAGAAATGCACTGTACAAGTAAGGAAAGACACGAGTACAAGTCTTTATAAAGTTTAACTTCAGGATTACAAATTTTGATCATCTTTCCTACATTCTGTTCAACATCAGCTGGGCGTTTGAGGAGTCTGAAGAGGACCCCGTCACCAGTATCCCCTACCAGCTGCAAAGGCTGTTTGTTTTGCTGCAGACCAGCAAGAAACGGGCGATCGAGACCACAGATGTGACACGAAGCTTTGGCTGGGACAGCAGCGAGGGTGAGCAAATTCACTGATTTGTGGCTTTTCTCACATGATTTTTCTGTGGTTTGGAAAAGACAAGACCATATGACTCTGCATCTGAACACTTGTAAACTCTCTTTGTGCCTCTTTTTTATTTTTATTTTATTTTTTTAGCTTGGCAGCAGCATGATGTCCAGGAGCTGTGCAGGGTCATGTTTGATGCCCTTGAGCAGAAGTGGAAGCAAACAGAGCAGGTAAGGAGATCATAAATCAGTTTCCTGGTCTGGGGTCTCCCCTCTATAATACAGACAAACAGATCAGCGGAAGAGAAACAAGGCAGTGAGCCCTAGGGTTAGCTCTTTATCTCAATGATGAGTTTTTACCTTCAAACACTTAATCTAGTGTGCCTATGTAGGGCCATGTGGTCTGTTCACATGAGCATCTTGATGGCACATAATAAATGCATGTGATCGAGCTCTATTTAGAAATAAACGTCAGTAGGATAGAATGTGTTTTCATTTTTTGTAGTTCACCATTTGGATCTTCGCACGCAAGGAAAAAAACAGGAGATCTGTTGAATAAATAAATCACACTTTAATCTCTCTTAAAGAGACTTGAAAATGTTGCTTTCCCTCAAGCAGATTCCAGAAGTAGATTTTTAGAGTTATGGGGCATCAATCTTCTGCCTGCAGTTTTCTTGTTTGACTGAAGATAATGCACAACAGTTTTAACACTTACTTTAGAATAGGGATGCAGGTTAGCAAGGCCCCTGATGATGAAGCTTGTCGGAAAACCACAAAAGTCCTGCTGTCAAAACAGTAATATAATTCAAAACAATAAACTGGGAGTGAAAAGGTTCATAACAACATAAAAAATAATGAAAAAAAAATCAGTTTAAGTTTGTGTTATATTGAACATATTTTCATCTCTTTACCTTGCTGTCAGACTGTCCTTTTCTTCTGTTGTATTTTTCTTTCGGCCAAACATATCAAAGGAAAGTTTATACAAATCCCAGAAATTCAGAAGTATCCAGACCTCTATCATAGAAAAAAAATCACAAAAACCAAGCCAATAAATGTAACCTACTCAACGTCACACCATTCACTACTAAAAAAACCCCGACATGGACCCAAGGTTAAGCGTAACTAATATGTGGTCATGCAGATATAAAAGCCACATTTGTGAGGCTTCTATTTGTAGTAAGCAGAAAACATCTGATGTCCAAACAAATGGTTCATTGTTACAGTTAAGACATGTTAGAGAAAGCATGTGCTTCTACTTCCTTAGGCGGACCTGATCAACCAGCTGTACCAGGGGAAGCTGAAGGATTATGTCCGTTGTCTGGAGTGTGGCTATGAGAGCTGGAGGATTGATACATACCTGGACATCCCTCTTGTGATCAGACCCTTTGGAGCCAGCCAGGCCTACGGCAGTGTGGTGGGCGGAAACACTTCACTATCTTCTCAAATCTTTGACTGCATTAGTTGGAGTTTGATACTTGAAACCTTTTTTGATCATAAGAATAATTTTATATTAACTATTGAAATGTTTGTTTCTGCTACAGGAAGAGGCTTTGCAAGCATTCATCCAACCAGAAACGCTTGACGGGCCGAACCAGTACTTCTGTGAACGCTGCAAAAAGAAATGTGACGCCCGTAAGGTGAGCGCACAAACGTGGATTCACTGAAGACAGGAATCCTGCAGTTAGTTGGCAAGTGTGATTATTGATCATTTCATGTCGTCGCAGGGTCTGAGATTTCTGCACTTTCCCTACCTGCTGACACTTCAGCTGAAGCGCTTTGACTTTGATTACACCACTATGCATCGCATCAAGCTGAATGACCGCATGACGTTCCCAGAGGAGCTCGACATGAGTCCATTCATCGATGTTGAGGACGAGGTGAGTGCAGAAACGACAACATCTGATAATGCCTTTTTTGTTGTTGAAATATTACGGAGTTAAAATTGCGTTTGAATAAAATTTCTCTACATTTGCTCGAACCTTCATTATTTTCTCGTAACTGTCCCTTACCTAGAAGTCGCCTCAAACGGAGAGCTGCACCGACAGTGGAGCTGAGAATGAAGGCAGTTGCCACAGTGACCAGATGAGCAATGATTTTTCCACGGATGATTGTGTGGATGAAGGCATCTGTTTGGACAGCACCGGCAGTACAGAGAGGGTGCTGAAGCCAAAGGTGATCATCATCATTTTAACCCCTCAGTTTTTTGATATTGTTGATCATTGTTAATCTGTGAAGTTAGTTACCTGTGTGTTTAAGTGCAACCCTTAATAAAAATGCAAATACCTAGTCCATCTTTAAAACCAGTATTTACTAAAGTTGACTTTACCTGGTTTATTGAAGATAACATGTAGCCCTCTAAATTTGGCACAGTTTGATGTTTACAAGCTGCCTGATCCAAACTCATTGTGAAACACTCGCGTTATAGACTGGTAGTACACGAGCTTTCGCAAAACTCTTTGGCAAAGCAACGAGACAGATGTATCCAAAGGCAGCCAAGTTTTATTTTGGCCTGTTATCAAGTTACTCACTGAATGAATGTTAATTAGCAACAGCTGATATGACGTACTGCCAGCACAGTCTGTCGTATCAGCCACAGAGAGCGGCAGCCTACAGCGGCTCGAGATGAAACAACATTTCAGTGTTACAGTGCATAGGAAAGACCTTCAGGAATGTAATCAAATACTGACAAAGCTGAAAATGATGCCTCGCTTTATTTGTCTTGTAACATTAGAAATTTTTCATAATAACCTTGGCAACACTTTATAGGCCATGTGAGAGAAAGCTTTATCCATCCTTTGTGTGTGTATTTTTTTAAATATATATAACCAGTGTTAAATTTTGATGTGACTAAATTGCTCTTTTATTATCTTGTCGTCAGCACCAGTCAAGCTCTACATTTGAAACACCGTCAAAACAAATCTTGCTCGTCCCTTTTAACCTAACAATACAACTGGTCCCTGTGTGTTCTCAGAGTCTGCTGACTTTTGAGCTGTTCTCCGTTATGGTCCACTCCGGGAGCGCTGCAGGCGGCCACTACTACGCCTGTATCAAATCCTTCAGTGACGGCCAGTGGTACAGTTTCAACGATCAGCACGTTAGCAAGGTCAGTGTCAGGCCTTGAGTAACGTCATGTCAACCTCACAGCGCGTAAATGTCAGATTGTATCAGCACCAGTCATCAGTTTAGACTACGCTAAGGAAACAAACAACGTTAACATGTTGTTTTTCTGATTGAATAATATTGATAATGTGTTTCTTTTGGACAGATCACCCATGATGACATCAGGAAGACTTATGGGGGGTCCTCAGGGAGCAGAGGCTATTATTCCAGTGCCTTTGCAAGGTCAGTGGTCTGTCTCATCTGTTTCCTCAGTGGCTTGACAACCACTTGTTCACCATATTGGATAAGGAATAATACTGCTCCAGTGGACTAGAGCAAAAAGGAAAAGAAGGGGGTGTAGAAATATTTTCTCCATTTGTATTCTCATCCATTCATGAGACCTCTTCTTTTTTCTCCCAACAGCTCTACAAATGCATACATGCTGATTTATAGGTTGAAAGACCCCTCCAGGAATGCAAGTAAGGAATGATTACAGTTGAATTTTAATTATGATGATAATTTTTCCATCGCTCATTGCACTCAACCCAACAGCCTGAGCTCTTGCACTGTAATTTTCCCCTAGAATACCACCTCTCCTCTGCATTGCTGGGTTGTTGTTAATGTTTGTTCATTTATGACTCGGGTTTATGCCTTAGCTGCACAAATCCTTTTTTTTTTTATTTTGGTTTAACAATTTCTGAGTTTTAACACACTAACATACCTCGTTTTTGCAGCGCACAACACAGGAAAAATTTTACTCAAACGTTAAGCAACTGCTGCTTTAAGTTAATTACTGTATTTTCAGTTTCCCTACCCTCAGTTATTCAGTTATCCCACAACAACCCACCTGACCCTCCCTCGATCCCACCCATCCTTCCTCCCACCCTGTGTTCCCCTGAGGTTACACATCAATACACATCAACACATCAATATTTCTAAATTACTGCAAAAATTATTGAGTGTTGTATAATATCAGGATTGTTTAACGATTAATAAGTTATGTTCATAGTGTCCGTAAATAAATAAGTAAAAAGGTTTAAAAAGTTTCAACTGCACAAATTCTGAAATCAGTATTTGCTTTAATTGTGCACACTTCCTGTCCTGTAGAGTATTTGTCGGTGGAAGATTTCCCCGAGCACATAAAGAGTTTGGTTCAGAAGGAGAAAGAGTCTGAGGAGCAGGAAAAGCGTCAGAGGGAGATAGAGCGCAACACTTGCAAGGTAAGTCAGCTCAAGATCTGCTGTTCTGCCTTCGAATGAGGCTGTATCAGTGCGTTGCCTTTCCCTTCTGTATAATTATTCTTAATTCGGTCTTGCTGTCTTTCTTTTCACCTCCAGATAAAGCTGTTCTGCATGCATCCCGTGAAAATGATGATGGAGAGCAAGCTTGAAGTACATAAAGACAAAACTCTCGGAGAAGCGACAGAAATGGCCTACAAGGTTTGTTGTCTGATTTTCCGTTGCCTGTGTCTTCTAATTGGATCTGTCTCATCAAGGTAGGACTTGGATTTACTGTCTTGAACTTTTCTATTTTGTATTTACACATACGCAGCTGATGGAGCTGGAAGGAGTCGTTTCCCTGGACTGCTGCCGCTTGGTAAAATATGATGAGTTCCACGAGTACCTGGAGCGCTCCTACGAAGGGGAAGAGGACACGCCTATGGGTCTGCTACTCGGAGGAGTCAAGTCCTCTTATATGTTTGACTTGCTGCTTGAGACCCGCAGACCAGACCAAGTGTTTCAGCCTTACAAACCTGGAGGTCAGTGGTTTGCTGACATGTAGATTCGACTGTTTCTGCTTTATGTAAGTGCAGGTGACGAAATGATGGAGAAACAACACGCTGTGTCTCAATGTCTGTGGGTGTGTCTGTGTTTTTGTTTTGTTTCCTTGCAGAGGTGATGGTGAAAGTTCATGTTGTTGATCTGAAGACCGAGACCATCGCCTCTCCTATCAGTGTCCGGGCGTATTTGAACCAGACCATCACTGAATTCAAACAGCTTATTGCACAGGTTAGCAGCTCAGCTTCTTCGCCACAGAAGATTTTGATCTGTATTTAAACCATTAAGAGTTGTTTAAGGTCGTTGTTTCAAGCTGTTTGTTCTTTTTTAGGCTACAGGGCTATCTGCTGAGACCATGCGCGTGGTCCTGGAGCGCTGCTATAACGACCTGCGGCTTTTATACGTTCCAAACAAGACACTGAAAGCTGAGGGGTTCTTCAGAAGTAACAAGGTCCCAAATTTTTCATTATGTCTGACTTTTTTGTGTAGTTTAATGTCAGTGAACAGTCAGTAAATCTTTAACCTTTGTTTTTTTTTCCATCAGGTTTTTGTCGAGAGCTCCGAGTTGCCGGATCATCAGGCTGCTTTCACCGACTCACTCCTGTGGAAACTGTTGGATCGTCACGGGAACACAATTCGGCTCATGGTCCTACTGCCTGAGCAGTCTCCTGGTACTCTGGCCAATAGAACTCATTGCCAAAAAGTAGGCGGTGACTCTGAGGAGCCCTTTGAAGGGTCAAAGGGTAACAGGAAATCTGTGGAGGCGATCCTGGAGGAGAGCACAGAGAAGTTAAAGAATCTGTCCCTGCAGCAGCAGCAGCAGCAGCAGCAGCAGCAGCAGGGCTCTGGCACCTGTGACAGCCAGAAAAGCTCGGACGCTAGTGACTTTGAACATATTGAATCCCCGACACAGGAGGCTGACTCAAACTCTTCTCTCTGTGTGGCCGCAGACAACAGAGAGTTAGAGAACCGGATCAGGGCTGTGGCGGGGGGTGGCAGTGGCGCCTCCTCCGACCCCGAGAACCACTTTGCCTGCGAGGAGCGTTCAGACTCTGAGGTGAACAATGACCGCAGCACCAGCTCAGTGGACAGCGACATCCTGAGCTCCAGCCACAGTAGCGATACACTTTGTAATGCAGACAGTGGGCCCATACAGCTGGCCAACGGATTGGACTCGCACAGCATCACAAGTAGCCGTCGCTCCAAAGCACACGAAGGCAAAAAAGAGACCTGGGACACTGCCGAGGAGGACTCTGGAACGGACAGCGAGTATGACGACAATGGGAAGAGCAAAGCAGAGGCTCAGTACCTCTACTTCAGGGCGGAGCCTTGTTCTCAGGATGACTCCTCTTGGGATGCACAAAAATGTATGGAAATCTCTCATGTTCAGCTCTTTAGTCTGATTATCTTTAAGTAGGACAAGAGTTCACATCCGATCTTGAATGTCATTGAATTTTCATTGTCAATACTGCTCACGTGACAGAAAAACACAATTTTTTACACTTTCTTGCTGTTTCTCGTGATGTGCTTCAGGTTTAGTGGTCCACGTGGACAAGAGGATAACATTGGCGGCGTTTAAACAGAACCTGGAGCCTTATGTGGGAGTCACCTCCACACAATTCAAAGTGTTTCGGGTGTACGCCAACAACCAGGAGTTTGAGAGTGTGCGGTTAAATGAAACCCTCTCATCATTCTCCGATGACAACAAGGTCAGACTCAGATCCACTCACCGTTGTTTTGAGATCTTCTCTCATGTTGAGCCCTTTATTTTGTTCTTTTAACTTCTTCCTTGAAGCTTAACTTGGATCTTTTATTACTTCCAACAGATAACTATCCGCCTGGGCAGAGCGTTGAAAAAGGGCGAATACAGAGTCAAGGTCTATCAGCTACTGGTGAATGAACCAGAGGTAAGACGTGAAGTGTGTTTATTTAACAAACATGAAAGTGATCAGATATATTGATCATTTCTTCTTATCTCATTCGTCAGCCCTGCAAGTTCCTTGTAGACACAGTTTTTGCCAAGGGCATGACTGTTCGACAGTCCAAAGAGGAATTACTCCCTCAGTTAAAAGAACAGTGCAAGCTTGACCTCAGCATCGACAGGTATGGATTTTTTGCTCTTCATACATAAAAGGAGAATTTTTGTAAAGTGGAGGTTTTAAGCGAAATATGTGTACATCTATACGAATATGTGTACATCTATACGTTTGTGTGTGTGTGTGTTCAGGGTTCGTCTCAGGAAAAAGACATGGAAGAACCCAGGCACCGTGTTTCTGGACTATCACGTCTATGAAGAAGACATCAGCATCTCCTCTAACTGGGAGGTTTTCCTGGAGGTTCTCAATGGTACTGGTCTTATGGTTTTAAAATCTACTTCTGTGTGAAATTAGTTTTATTTTTGGCCAGCGACAGCCCTCACTGTTAAGTCTTCCCATATGTTTGTTCTATTCTTGGGAAAGCCGTGTCTCAGGAACAAAATCAGTGTTAACTCTTCACACACTCGCTCACTCTGCTGCCACAGAAAGAGTTGTTTGACAGGCAAATGCTCATCAGGGCTGTGCTGTGATCCCTCCTGGTAAATATAGACTTGTAACATTCTACATTTAAGCTTTTAGATATTTTCAATATACAAGTAAACCTCCTACTTGGGCCCTGGTTACACTGATGGATGTTACAAAACAGTTTTGTAGGGGTTTGCTAGTGTGGTAGATGAGAGAAATGATCAGCTATAATGAGTGAATATTACTGTGGTTTAGTTAAAATAGTTTTTAGAAGAATGTAACATGACCTCATCATGTTAAATGAGTAGCTGATGGTATTGTTTTATTTTTATGATCTGTTTCTCAGAACCAGAGAAGATGAAGTCCATGTCCCAGCTGGCTGTTTTGACTCGGAGATGGAGCCCATCGACGATGAAGCTCGGACCCTTCCAGGAAGTTATCTTGGAGAGCAGCAGTGTAGAAGAACTCAAGGAGAAGGTATGTCCATATTATGAATTTTACCTGTTTTTTTAACCTATTATAAATCCCCCTTCATCGTGATAAGCTAACACTTATCTCAAAATGTACAAAATATGTACCCTTAAAAAAATCACGTAGATAAAAATACACCAGAATATCTAACTTTTTAAATCACAACTGTGGTCTGAATACCATTCACTGCACTCATTTGGCTTTTGTGACTAATTTTCTTCATCTTGTTTACAGCTGAGTGAAATCAGCGACATACCTCTGGAACAGCTGGAGTTCGCAAAGGTCTGTAAGATGCAGCACAGGCTTCTGTTGTTTCCCCCTGTTTACACCGGTCTATCTTTGAGCTTGAATCAATGTGTTCTGTTCTGTGCAGGGTAGAGGAACTTTTCCTTGTGATATTTCTGTGTTGGAGATCCATCAAGATTTGGACTGGAATCCTAAAGTGTCAACACTGAACGTGTGGCCACTTTACATCTGTGACGACGGAGCTGTGGTCTTTTACAGGTAATTTTAAACAACCAGACTCCAACAGACACAGAGGACTTCGGTGTTAAAGAGTTTGTTAGAATAGGTCACAAACTTAATTATTACTTAGGTGGTGGAAATGATCTCTATGAACCTGAATGGTACGACAGTCTGTTCAAGAAAGTTTTTGGAATTTGAGATCAGCACTGCCCTCTGTTTTTCTGTACAGGGACAGCACAGAGGAGCCCATGGAGATGTCAGAGGACGAGCGTAATGAGCTGATGAAGAAAGAGAGCAGCCGTCTGCTCAAAACTGGACACCGTGTCAGCTACTCCCCACGCAAGGAGAAGGCACTCAAGATCTACCTGGATGGAGGCCCTGCCAAGGACCCAGGGCAGGACTGAGCACACGGCACCCCCGCCCCGGTCTTTTGTATCAAGCGGCTGCTGCAGCAAAGCATACAGGCTTACATGACTCAGTATGAGTCTCGAGCCTAATAGATACTTGAACACCAAGCAGCGCAGTGTGGCAAACAGGCTCTCACTTTCCACTCTGAGCCACAGGAAGGCGCAGAAATCCCATTGTGCACTATAGTGTATTGTACTGTAAAGTTTAAAGGGAAGTACGAAAGCTATTCAATACAGAAAAAGAATCAAATACTGTATAGACAAATCAATTTAATGCTCCTGAGATGGAAGCAGAGATGTTAGGACTGTGAAACTGGGCTGGAAGGAGTCCATCCTGTCTATTTAAGTCTCCTGTCTCTTTTCCCATCGGTCTCTTTTACTCCTCTACGTCGCTGCGTGTCCCTCTTCCTGTTTCAGGTATGATGTTGATTCTTCTTCTCTGACCATCTTGTAAGTCTGTGGTGTTCGCACTCTCTGAGTACTGCTCTGTTAGATAAATCATTCTTCTCTGATATTGCTCACTTTCCTTTTAATACTTAAAAAAAACCAACAGCACATAAAAATGAAAAACTACTTATCCAGCCTTTTTTCAGTCTCGCCTCTCCTCGCAAGGCAAACCTCACTCTCTCAGTGACTTTAACAAGTTGACACAATTATTCTGAGGATTTTATAAATCAAGAAAAGCAACAATTATAAATGTCGAAGTTTTGACCTCTCCTCTTCTGCTCCTGTAATGCTTAGAGTGCCACTGTCCTTAAAGGAGCCTTACCTCTGTTACATCACTTCCACAGCAGAAGGTGAGACAAAGGCACCTAGTCCTTTTTAACACCAAGTACAACAAAACAAAAACCAAGTAGACTTAGTTCAGGATCTCCTTTCCTTGTTATTTGTTTATTTTAATTTTGCTCCAGGCTTAATCATAAAGATAGGTCTCGTGAGGCACAAGGCACTCATCTGATGTCCGTATTAATCTTTGATTTAGAAAGTGTATTTTCTATGTTTATGCACCATGAGACCTGGCTGTACATCTCTACTGTCATCTGAGTAATGTGTGAGGTGTTGTACTGAGGGGAGGGAGCTCGCTCTGGGTTTTTGACAGAGAGTGTGAGGTTTGTTTTTGGCGCTTCTACTTGCTGCTGCTCTATAGACTGGCTCCAAAGGGCGGATGTAGTCCGCCGGGACAACTGGTCTGAGGAGGACTGAAGCTCAGCATCTCAGTCCTCTCTGGGCTCCCGATGCTGCCACCAGCTATTCACTGTAGAAATGCCAATATCTGAAGAAATCTTTTTTTTTTTTTTGTCAATGTTGATGTTTATTTCTTTAAGATTTAAATCCTGTGTGAAAATAGTTTAAGATGATTTTAGAAATGAATTAAAATGCTTTTTTTTTTATATAACTGCAGTTTTCTGTCATTGATAAATCAAAAAAACTTCTTTCAACCCACAAAACACTCGCCGTCTTAGGGGTTTAGTGTTTTAAAAAACCTTTATTTTCTAAAAGCAAATATGTATGAGCTACATATGTTGTTTAAGTGCATGATAACAGTGCCATGGTTGTATTATTGATCATCCAGCAAAGTTGTACTGCTTTATTTACATAGTGAAGGTATTGCTTTTATCATTACTGCACTTTAAAGTGATACTGCAGTACATAAAGAAGCAAACATAACAGGAATATGAGGTGTTACCAAAGTGGTCAACAATAGCTGGAGAGGAGGAAAACAGAAATACTTCAAACATGTCTATGTTAGTAAAAATAATTACATGGTTCCAAGAGCAATCTAGTGATGAGGCAAGAGCTGGTCAGTAAATGTATGAATCAAGGTAAAACCTAGCCTGGCTGGGCCATCCTGTTGCGTGAATCACTTGATATTCATTCCCACCACAGTCTGGACTTTGGCCCATAGAGAGCGTGTATTCCCGATCAGAAAATAACCGGGCCAATCAGAGACCGTGTTTCCACTGTTACCCGGACAACAGGGAAAGGCAGCCCCTGATTGGTACGTGTGTAGTGGTGACGTCTAACACATGCTGCGGGACTTTTCAAAGCGCTGTTCATTAGAATGCCGTTAATTCAGCAGTTGACTCTGCAAAGTCAGCAGAAATCGTTTATATCCGCAGAAGATGTCAGATATAAACGATTTCTGCCGACTTTGCAGAGTCAACTGCAGAATTAACGGCATTCTGAATGAACGGGGCTTTGAAACCCGCAGCATGTGTTAGACGTCACCATCTACACATGGACCAATCAGGGGCTGCCTTTCCCTGTTGTCCGGGTAACAGTGGAAACACGGTCTCTAATTGGCCCGGTTATTTTCTGATCGGGAATACACGCTCTCTATGGGCCGAAGTCCAGACTGTGGTGGGAAGGAACATCAAGTGATTCATGCAACAGGATGGCCAATCCAGGCTAGGTAATACCAAACACATTTGATCATTGTAGGACTGCAAAAGTTGTTTAGTTATGACATAACAATTATACTTGAAGATAGGGCTGGGCGATAAAATGATAATGATATATATCGAACATGTTCGTGTTCTTGCAAAGTCAGGGAATACCTTAAATTTTGCCTTAAGCAGAACCATGGGGCAGAACGCTCGCAATGCAAAAGGTTACAAACCTTGAGCGGAGCAAAGAGCCCATGGCGCCTGTGCAGCCGAAACAGCCGACCATTCAGTCTGCTTCCTCTAGCGCAACGCCTTACAACAAAACATCGAAGCGACACAAAGACCTCACAGAATGCTACCAATAAGCACTGTTAAATTTCATTTTTCATTTCATGACATATACCGATTTGGACTGATATGATAAAAAAAAAAAAACCATGATAAACTTTTTCCCATGTTGCCCAGCCCTATTTGAAGATCAAAACATCACATTTATGAATGAGCTGGTTTCACTCATGTTGCCCAATCAGACCATTAAAATGGTTTAGATGGTCCTGATAAACGTTAAATAAGGATCTAATTGATAACATGGAGATGCAGCATACATTTAAGATCCAAGCATTTGGTATTAGATTTTCTCAATCATAACTTTAACATCTACATGTTCAAAGACCTTTTCTTGCGGTAAATCTTGATTCCAGTTGAAGCAAGTGGAGTAAATACATTGATCTGTTTTCCATGCTGTATATCTTTACTGCTTTGGTGCTTCAACTCTTTGCAGCAAAGCTCTGGAGTCACAGGAGACTCCAGATATTTTGGTGACAAGGTGATAATTAATGCCTAAATGATATAATCTATCTCTGAATATAGAGTGTCTGTCAGGTCCTCTTCACTGGAGTCCTCCCCTTTGAGACACATGGACCCTCGTCTGTCAACAACACGCAGAAAAGCTTCAGTATTCAAGACTGAGAACAAAATTCTCCAACGAAGCTTCTAATATACATGTGCTTGAAACGCAGTGTGCTGCTCACCCTAAGTGCTGGCAGTGGAGATCTCCTGCACATGGGCAGTGTTTCCTGGGCCCCTCATCCTGAATATCCCAAGACAACAGCGCCATCAGGTGGTTAGAGGCACCAAAACAGTGTTCCCGCTCAATGGGCTTGGCAGAGCAGACAGGGAAGAGCAGAGCTGGAAAAAAAAAAACACATTTTCTCTGAGAAAGTAGAAGGTGACTGGGCAGCATTTATCATGCCTTGTGTAGTAGGCTATTTGTGTACCTTTGTGGAAAGCACAGCAGAGGTCCGGGCTGCAGTCAGTCTGGTATTTACAGGTGCAGCCAGCTTCTCCTTTGGTTGCATTTTGACTGCACTGACCCCAGACACACAGCTGCTTAGCACAGCACTCCTCATCTTTAGTGCAGGGCTAAAAAAGGAAGAAAAAAAGGTTTAATAAGCATGAAGTCTACTGGTGTTTTGTTTTGGTCATATATGAATGAGCCAGCTTATACTGTCAGGTACGTTCTTTTCCCTATGAATTAGCTCAACGAATGATAAATTTTTCAATATAAAAAAATTCTGGTTAGTTTTTCAGTGCAGCACTTGGGATCTGTCCTCTAAATATTTATCATCCTTGTACAGTGTACCCTTGTTTGGCTGACTGCCAGTATCTCTCTCTCTTTGTATTTCTTGTTACTTGGACTAAGACCCACTCATCTAACAAGGCTCTAGAGAATCAGCAGTATCAGCAGAGTCTTAAATAAAACCAAAGGCGCTCTCTGGAAAAGACCATCATCACTGGTTTTCTTTTTGATCTGGAAGTCATTGAAAAGGGCAAAAAGAAGAAGCTGATCTCTTTTTTTTTTAACCTTGACATGTTGTGACCTCTTATGTGAAGCTCAACACACTCTGGTTACACTTGTGGACACACTGCAATGCAGTCAAGAGTGAAACCCTAGCGGCCTAGATGTGAGTGCAACAGACCTCAGAATTCGCACATCTTGGGGAAAACTAAACAGTGCTTCAGCTGTGTGAGGTAACTTAGGTTCATTTACCACATCAATTGCTTTGCAAGGCAGACACTTGGAGTTTTTTGTGTCGGGAAGGCAATAGCTGCCCTTCCCACAGTCTTCATCAGTGATGCAACCCTAGAGGCAAAAAGGAGACATTATGCAAAGAGATTATATTTTAATTAACTGTGAGAGCATGCGTCATATAAAGTTTTGAACATCCAATCTGCATAAATAACTCAGGTTCCTGTCCAGATTACAAAGTATTCAAAGAAACACTAGTGTTTTGCAGCTCCGAGTGCATATTTTCATCGCGTCAGAGCCAGATAAAAAGTGCATGAGTACAGTCTAAAGATGTTTTTACTGGACTTTAAGGGCTGTATATAAGCAGAACAAACTTACATGACCAACAATGTTCCCCAGCTCACTGGACTCTTCGGCTATTGTTATGTTGTTTGTTTCCTGTATCATAAAGATATCATATTTGTGAAGTCTCCAATCACAGAGCAAAACAAACAGTGTGTCCTTTCAGAAAGGCAGCTTACCTGGTCTACTGAGGTGTGGACTGGTTCACTGTCAGTCACTTTGTCAGAGGCTGTTTCATTGTTAGGACTTGAGGGAAGGTCATTGGTATGAGGGCTGTCACTTTCATTTTTCTGGAAAGACAAGAAATTATGTAAAAAGATGAAGCATCCAAGTATTACCATCAGATTTAAGCTTCTAACTGCTGCCTCTGCTTCTGTCCAAAACAACTGAAGTGTTTTCAAAACTCTCATAAAAACAGGCATCAAACTTAAACCTAAAGCTGGTTCAGCAGTGAGCAGAGAAATAATGCCTTGTCATGTGGAAAACCAGATGCTGACTGAGAGGTGCAACTGGCTGCCTACTTGGTGGAAAGCATCCTCAGGCTTTTGCTGCGGATCCTCTGGCAGCTGCTCCACTTCCACAAACGTGCTGTCCGGCTCGTTTTGTTCAAAGGCGTAATTATTGTCCAGGATATGATTGATCCCCGAGTTCACTATCTCGGGAAGGATGCCATTGCAGACTGCCGAGAGAGACAAAATTAGCAGGGCTACTCGCATCATCATCATCATGCTGCTCCTCCTGCCGCTGCTGCTGCACTCTGAGGATAAGGGTGGGGCCGTGATGCTACAAACAGCGTCACTACAGCTGGTGCTTCTCCGTCACTCACAGGTCCTCAACTTGAACACATACAAAAGGTGAAAGTTTTAACATTTGACTTTAAAGATTATAAATTTGAATATGCTGACAAAGAAGCTTCCTAACGTCTCACAAGCTTGCTATTTCATATGGTCTACTTGACAACATTGGGACACCTTTTTCATAGTTTAGTTCAGTTTAAGCACATTTACTCAGGTGCAAATATGACTTGATCCCCCAAAAAAATCGAATAGAGGGTTTCTCAGCAGTTTTTTTTATAGTAATAGGTGTCCATAATAACATGCTAAAAGTTGACCAAAGTTTTACCTCTAGAAAGGTGCCATTTTCAAGATGGCGTCCATGATGGGTAGGAAGCCCCAGGGGAGACACTCAAGGTAAATAGGGTATAATTTTTAACCAACAGATTCGCAGGTTTATAACTTACATTAAGACATGTATTTTTTGTATTACAAGTTTTGTCAAATGTTATGTATAAATATCTAAATGAGTCAATATCATAGATACAGTCTATGGTCAATATCTAATTAAATATGCACTAATTTGCATACATTTCCAGAACCCAGAACTGTACAATGGATAAAGCCCCTCACAGACTAACTCATTCTTCTCCTCTTTTATGCTGAAATGATCAATAGAGGCATCTATTTTCATTCAGACAAGTTCTACTTTTCTTATATCTATGTTCCTACCTATCATGGACGCCATCTTGAAAGTGGCACCTTTCTGGTGGTCACACTTTGGTAAACTTTTAGCATGTTATTAAGGACACCTAATACTATTAAAAAAAAACAGCCGATAAACCTTTTGTTAGATTTTTTTTTAAGGTGTAGGTGTTTTTTTTCATATGTGCACCCGCCTAATTTGTCAATCACCACGTAAGAGAGGGCAAGTAACCATAGCAACGGATATCTTCGTCCTGCTAGGTAGCTAACAGACTTGTTAACCCAAAGCTAACTCAAGAATTGCCTACAACGAGACACAAGAGTCTCTGAAATTTGCCTAATGTGGACGAAAATGCTAAAAAAAAAATCACTTTTCTTTCTTTGATAGTAAGTGGGAAAAATAGAGTGGACCATTAGCTTGGAGATGTCCTCAAAAGCAAGCATTAGTGATCGTCCACCATTGCTTTTTTAAAATAGGCTTTGAATTTGATATACATATAAATATATGTAGCCCTTTTTTTAAATCATATTTGATACATACTTATATTATATATATATATATATATATATATATATATATATATATATATATATATATATTATATATATATTTCTATCAAATCAATATGATAAAAAAAATTGAATTTTCTGGTCATAAAAACTTTATTATTTGAGTTAAATTTGAGGTCTTAAAATTACTCGCTCTGTGCATGTAGTTTTACAGTCTGACCACAAGATGGCGACATACGTGTATGAATGGATTCTGGATGGCTTCAGTATCCGGTCTGCGGATTTGGGCTGTGTTTGAACGAAACTTTGTCCATGTGGTTCGTACGGACTACGGTTTCTGCTGACACTTTGGAAAACCTAAAACGGGTTTACTAAAACATGTGGCGCCAGGGGGTCAAACGTGAAAAAGGGATTAAACTGAGGAAGCGTCTACTTTAATTAATCGGGATAAATTTTATTACTCGTTTATGTAGAAATCCCCACTTTCATGTCCCACGCGAACTCCGAGTTTGGAAACATTACGATGCTTAATTTTGAGGGGTTTTCATCCAATCTGATCTAATCCAACTATACAAAACTATTCTTTCATGTTATTAGTGATATCCACAATGGTGGGCTTTTATAAAACAGTGGGTGGTCGGTTTAAAGCAGTAGTGCTCTTAATCTTTGGCATGACAGGGTCTGGGTCGCCTGGATTAAACTTCAGCCACAGTAGCTGTTCAGGGATGTGTCCGAGTTTAGAGCACCGCCCTCTAACAAACCCTGGACCCAGCTGTACAGAGAGAGACACACACCGCTGCCTGACTGTCAGACTGACTCAGGACCGAGACACTTCACACCACAGGACTACTGGACCTCATTTCACTGCAAGAAAGGACTCGTGTTTGGGTTGAGATATTAGGTGAGTTAATATATTTTACTCTGTGCGGTTTGTTAATTCATAACTCAGACTCATGTAGCTCAGACACCTGACTGAAGAGCTGTTTTTGAAGAGTAACCTGGGGATTGTGGTGTGAGCTCCAAACTTGAAGTAAAAGTTAAAGAGTGAAAGAGTTTGGTCTCATTGTAAAGCTGCACTGTCCTGATAGGGATATCATGCTGTCTGACTTTCTGTTAGATAACACCTTTTGAAGCGGTTTAAGGTATGTGAACACGTGCTTAATCTCGAGTTTTAATTGTTATCAAACTTTGTCCGAGCAGAGTCAGACATCTGGACTTGTCTCAGCTCATTGATAACAAATGATGTGTAGGGGAGACCGGGGTAAGTTGAGCCACCCCCAGAAATGGATCATGTGACCAAATATTTAGGAGATGGGCATCAATTCATGGAGTCTGTGAAGGTTAGAAGCTCATGGGTGAAGGGATTAGACATTTATTTCCAAAAAAAAGTCTGTCATAAGTTTTATTAGAATTGTGTTCAGACCAAAAAAGATCATTTTACATTTGTTTTATATATCTATGTGGTATCTAAGAGCTAAAACATAAAAAACCTTGCATAAAACAAACATAAAAGTCCACCATTTTAGTTTAGAGGACTAATAAAGTCACAATAGTAGATCTGGGGTAACTGAGAAAGTAAAGGAGTCTGATTAGAGGATCAGAGTTTCAGTTCAGATTGTTGAAATACACATGAATGTAAAGAAGTGACTGTTGTTTAGGGAGAGAGAAGGTGAGGGAGGGCTTACCCAACTCCTATGGTCAACCTACCCCATACACGGGGTAAGTTGACCATAGGAGACCACTTTTTTTGGCATGCTATATTATCAAGACAGTTATGTTTACACTCATTCTGTTGGTTTGCAGGGATGAACAACATCTTGAAATATATGCAGATACACTAGTTAGAGACAAAACTATGATTGCCTTGATGTAGTGACCTGAAATATGAAAAATGGCTCATCTTACCCCACTCTCCCCTATCTCTAAAAGCCTCAAAGCTATGCCATCTCATTCAGAGTGGACTATTTTTGTGTTCAAAGGAAGTAAAAAGGAGTAGAGTAAAAGTAGGGTTTACAGTCATTCCTCACCGAGGTTTTTTCTTTGTTGTTTAAATCCCATCATTATCTAAAAGTGGTCTTGTCGGTACAAGTTAATGAACTTTGCCCAGTATTTGAATTCTTTGCAGCCATGGTGAAGGCTGACTCCACCTGCTCAGCAGCTTCCAACACTGTAATAGCCCTGGGTCTGTCTTTGGGGCTGCAGGGACAGAAATTGCATAATAAAGAAAGGTGTGGTAGCAACAAGCTGTACTACCAGACTACTGAAAGCTCAGCTCCTGACAGAAACTACATACAAACCCTTTCTGCTGTGATTGATATGCAGCAAGTGCAACTGATCAAATACAGAGGTGAGACTTTGATAAACTCTTGGTTGTGGATAAAGCAGGTCAGGCAGCCAGACAAGGACTTATCAGGGAAGGAAGCTACGAGAGAATTATGTTGTGAGGCTGTGTGAACTCCTCAGCAGGAATCATCTGCTTCTCCGTCTGCTCCATTTCAACACACTCCTTGAGCCTTCTGTCTGGTGTGATTCATATGTCTTGGAGGATGATGCATGATGTGTTCAGCAACATTTTTGAGAGGGTAAACAGAGTCATACAAACAGTGGCGGTTTTACTTCCCACTGCTGTATGAGCAATCGTTTCCTGTGTGCGTTACAGCTGTTGAGGAACTAGAGTGGCCCACTCTGTTCAGTTGTAAAACCAGATTTTACGGAGGATAAAGTCTGCCGGTCAACGTGCTAACATCTAAACATTCGAGTCAGTGGTGTCTGACCTGAACACTGAGGACCTGTGGGATTTACGCCCATGGAGATTAACGTCATCAGTATGTATAAACATTCATCTTCAAACCGTCTTATCTCTGTCTCACATCTCTCAGGGATCTCCCCTCTTTAGGACTAATTTATGACGATGATGTAGTGTACAGAATATGCTAAGATGCACTGAGGAGTGTTCTGCTCCTTCTAGATGTGTTTCTTTGCTTGCAAATACTCTCTTGTATTAACAAATGGTTGGAGGCGAATACCTGGTCATGCTTATTGGTTACAGGCTAATCATTTCCGTTTAACAAATACAGCTATTCTCCAGAATGAAAAGACTAAAACATCACTTGATCACAAGGCTGAGTGAGAAACAAGAATACACAAGTGGAGCAGAGGCTTTTAACTGAATTTACATACAGACTTCCACATTTTTCTAACTGTTTCTGACTGTTGCTAAATGTTAAAAGAAACCTTTTTTGCATGATTATTTTAAACAGCACTTTGGTCACTTTAATAGAAGATCGTGCGCCAGTGTTGGCAATTCCCAGCTTTATCAGACATTGATTTAATCGGTTTGTGTAAATGACAAACAGTTCTTCCATTGCAGCCAATTTATGATCTTAATACAGATGATTCCAACCAAAATCCTTAATAGTTGATGAGTACTTTGACTTAAACGTGTCTCAGCTGTAGATGACGCACCAAAGTATTTCATGAACCTTTCAGCTTTCTGTCAACACCATCACTAAAGCCTCTGCTGGCTTAGATTGACTCGCAATTGAGTGTTACATATTCAAGTCTTGATGGGCCATACTCTGTAATAGCTTCCTTAATCTTATGCGGCTTTTACTGTCATGTACTGAGTTGATAGTCTTCGCGTTTTGAATGATATAAGATATTATACTTTAACATTGTCATTACGAGACACAAAGATGATGCAAAGATTTGGTGGAATGAATAATGAATCAATCAGTTTATATAACAATATAATTTAAACATATAAGGATGTCGTGCTTGGATTGAAAACAGTGAAAATATGTTTTATGCAGCTCTGGATGTTTGGGAGGTGGTGTAAACTTTCTCCTTCCTTTGCACGATGTTTCCTTCCTTATTCACAGCTCTAAAAACGGACACTCGTGTACAGAAGCCAGCCTCGCAAGAACATCTAGAACTTTCAGAGATAACTGTAGTTTCTCCTGGTGAGTGTACTGAAACATAAAGCTGCTTTCATAATAAAATAGAATAAAATCAGTGCATTTCTACTGGATATGATGGCACATGTTGCATGTTTACTGATCACTTACTTTAAGATGGAGCCACTGAAGGAGACCTTCCTGGTGTAAAGTCACAGCAGGATGTCATTAACACTTTCCATCTGGCTGGGACAGGGGCACACTCGAAAGAGAGCAGATCATAGTCACGCTTTGAATGACAGAGATGGAATTTTACTGAGGACGGCTCTCCTTCGAGCTTTGATCAGGACAGGAAACCAGACACACTCCACAGGAAGAGTTTGGATGGGAGGCGTCTGAAAGAGCTCACGCACTTCGCTTTCGCACTCAAAGATTCAATAAAATGGTATCTTATCTTTTTTCTCAGAGTGTCATCATGATTTAGTTTTACAACCAAAACACTGTTGTGAGTTTACAGGTTCAGAACTGGAGCTGAACTTTGAGCGCTGTTTTGTTTATTGGACACAGGCGCTTGTTTACACAGGTTTTTGTTTACACAGGTTTTTGTTTACAGGTTGTAGTCATGTTAATAACTTTTGGGGTCATGTGCTGTTTTTATCTGTAATGTGACACCTGTCTATTCTGAGCCTGGCACACACAATCGGCTATTTCTGCCAGGCAGTAATACGACCATCTAATCCACTTTCTGTGCCCCCTGTGATGTAGATGCATGAGAGACGCTCACTGCTCTTCAAACCTCAGTGCCCCAAATATCGCTGCCTGTCTTTGCCTTTTGTTTATGTGTGGTACGATCTGTACCAATTTGTAATCCTCTGAAGACTACATGACTCTTCATCTTGAAAATGTTTCTTTGATTTAGACTTTGGGACATTTTTATCGTGTCTTTATGAAATAAAACTCTAATTTACAGAATCACATGAGACCACTTGGTTAGACTCAGCAGAAGAGCTCAAATGAGTTGTTTGTGTCAGTAGCTGGCCAGGCGTACCTTTGTGCTCAGTTTGTCCGGATAAATCATTCTCTAACAGAGCCATGTGGTGAACACACATCCACATCGTGGGCCAGACGGGCCTGCAGACAGCAGCCGTGAAGCTTCACTGGCCTGCTCGTGTTAGTGTTAGCTAACAGTTTTCCCGTCTGAGGCTGACTGACATTTACTTCGTCTGACAGTGGATCTACCTTGCTCTCTCGACTGATCTTTTGTTTTGGCACAGCTGCCTGATCATGCTGCCAGATTTGAGCGAGCTGAGATAATACCGTGGATCTCTGGGGCCGGGCGAAGGGCAGAGCCGGACTGTTGAGGTCCACAGGAGTAAACTGTTTTCTGAGGCACACAGCCTGCTTATCAGACCCGCCGAGTGTTCCTTCCTGGTTTTCTTCAGTCCAGTCTGTAATTACTGTTGTAGCGTTCTGGCTGCACTACAGTATGTGCGTTTCCCAGCACTCCCAATGTTTTCCTTCTGTTGTCAGCTTCCTATTGTACTCTGATAGCCTGGAGCTATGTGCTCTGCAGAAGTGAACAGTGACGTTACATCACAGGTCTGACACATAGGTCAGTGTCTTTAAAGCTTTTCAGTGATGGAGTGGCACAATGTTCATATCAGTTTCTTGATTCATAAGCAAATCATTAGTGACAATTTTTGTATTAGCTTCAGAGGTTTCATAGAGTGTACAGGACTTTGTGTTGGCGTATAAAAGTGTTTTTGTGCACATCACGATACCCTTTCCCTTTTTTTTTCTCTTTTGCTGCCCAGGTGTAACAGGTACATTTTTCACATTCCCAACATTCCCCCTCTATCTTATGGAAACTTGTGGCTTGCCAGGTCTTTCACTCACAGAGCAGTGCTATAATTTAGACACACCCAAGTGTAAAAACCGTCCTTGTGCTGTACTAAGTTCCATTTTGTCTTTAGGAAATCTGTTTGTGTTGCAGCAAGGTAATGAACTCCAATGAGGCAAAATCAAACAATAAGTTTCAGGAGGAATAATGGTTGAATTTCAGCTTTACCAAGCACATCACTAGCTGTGTTTACATGGGCACAAATAATCAGAATATTGGCCCGATCTGAATTAAATCGGGTGGTTTATGCCTATTGTTATTCCGATACACGTCCTTGTAAACACTTATTCCAATCGTTGCTCTCTTACCTGACTCGATCTTCACTCTTTAGCCTTTGGCTTATTTATTGAGGCCAGTACAGGAGGTTTTGTTATTAACACTCTGGTATAAAACACAACCGCAGGTGCCGTGTCTGCTCTTCCGGTAACATAACAAGGCGTTTATACAGTGCAATAATGTCACATCTGCACGCACAGCGCAACCTTTGACAGAACAGTAAAATAAAGCTACGTTCGAGTTTCCTCAGAAGTCAGAAGTCCGAACTGAAAATGATGTTACACACGAGTTACCAGCATTTCAGTTACCAAGTTGGAAAACAGCAAAATCAGAGGCCTGAAACAAGATGGCTACATCTATGAAAGTTATTTTAGAGCTTTCCTTGTTTGAATATAAGGCAAGTGCTAAAATAACTTTCGTAGAACGCAGCATAAGTACACAAGGGCGCCATCTAGTGACAACATTTAACTCAGGGGAAAACTGAATTGGATGGAGTGAGCCACTACCGCGTTTGTTTGTTTGTTGACAGCACAGGCGTAAATACAACTCTTCTTCTTCTGCGGTTGTTTTAGCGAAATCAGACAACTCTGGGCATGTCCAGATGCTTCTAATCTGAATAAAGCTTGGTGCGTGTATACGCATGTCATGATCGGATTGTTGATTTTGCGCCCATATAAACAGTGGATTCAGATTATCCGATCCCTCAAATTTTTCAATCGGGTCAAGAAATTTTGCATGTGTAACCGTAAGTACTGATATCCCTGTATGACTTCTTCAGAGTCTGTATGGAGGTTTTTTATGCCTTTAACTGATCTGATAGCTGCAGTCAGTCAGACAATTTTCAACTCTGATCCTCCGTATAGTTTGGTTGCGATTTATGGTGTGGGCGTGTACATGTGTATTCTTTCCGCTTTGTCTATCATTTGCTGTTTTTTTTTTTTACAGTCTTTCTGTGGGTTTGCTCTGTCTGCCCACTAGTGACTTTCCACTCTGTCAGACTGAGATGGTGAAGTCATTGGACTCTGAGACAATGCAATCTGAGTGTTGAACACTGACGTGGCTGTGAGGACAGTAAGTAGTACCTTTTCATTAGTCCTCGCAGACCTCCGCAACAGATGGTTCCAATGATGGTGTCTTTTTTTAACCTCATTACGTGGACTGTAAAATGTGAACGCTGAGTGCAGTCTACATGTCTTTATTTTGACTTTCCTCCAAAGCATGCAAGATTATTGAGCAGCGGCCAAAGTTTAAAGTAAAATAATAAGAAAATGAAATAAGATGCGACAACAGCAGTTTGATTTTGTACAGTGATCAGGGATTTATTCTTCACGGTTGTATTTAAGAACTACATCGTTAACAGAAATCACTGCACAGAGGCGCTCCAAACCCTCATCATTCCCCCAGGGTAGAAGACGCAGCAATTTTCCCATCACAGTCTGCTGCCATGCATGAAAGATTAAAGCACCTGCATCATATAACGTTCCTGTCTCAGTCATCCCTCATCACTCTTGACAATCAGAGAGTAGATTCACCCAAAAAAATCCACTCCAGTGGTGGTCCCGCGGCCGCTCGGCTGGTGGAGCCGGTGAGAGGGCGAGCTGGGTGTCTGGCTCATGCTGATGGAGCGGTTCAAAAGCTCCTTTAGCCACGTGGCAAAGGAATGTCAGCTCACTGTGTTTGAGGCTGGATGTCTGCTTTGAAGGCCTCAGGGGGTCACAGTATTTACCAACAGGACAGGGTCTTTTTGAAGATACATAGTTATATAAAACAGACTGCATTTTCAGTCTCTCTTTCCCAGCCTGAATCTTCCTCTGAAATGTAAAACAGCAGCGACATGAAAACAGGATGCAAACAAGGATACAAACAGGATCCTGTGCAAATTCAGATGCTAATTTTAGCAAAGCTGGGAGCAACATTCAAAGTCTCACCACATTCAAAACTTTTGGGACCAATGTTGTGACTAATCTTGGCGTGCGTCGGTGCATTGTCCCGGTCTAAAGATCTCTGGGAACGGTTTCACAGCACAGTCACGTTACCACCTGAGGCCCTGGGGTGGGGTGTGACAATAACAGTGGGTTACTGTGGGGGTCTGTTAGAGCCCTACCCAGCCTGACCTCTCCTCTAACCCGGCCCATCCCGCTCCATGGGACATTAAAATATCAAAGGCAGACTTCTCCCAAAACTCACAGAGGCTGTGGTCTCCACCTGAGTGGGAGCCGGGATGCTTAATGTTGAAACTTTCCAGGTTTTGCTTTCATGTCAAGTTTTTCAGCAGATTTTCTGGCCTGATTTTCAAAATTCTTGATGGTCACCTAGAAGAAAGAAAAACATCTGCTGTATTTAACTCCACGAGCTCAACTCTGTTCTCGCCACAGACTGTACGATACAGGTTCTGACACGAGCACGTGTTTTAGTAGCGGTGTCTCTCACACTCAGGCTCATATGTAAGCACACTGAATACACATACCTCAGTAGAGGGTGGATTATTCAGCATGCATACCCAATCAAAAACCAATCCATCTCTGTTGGTGTGGGCTTTCATTTCAATACAGTATTTTCAGAGACCCCCCCCTCTCTCTCTCTGACTGCTGAAAACATTGTCTGGTTTTGAGCTGGAATGTAAAATACCACAAGACAAATACTTTTCTGCTCTACTCATCCGTGGTCAGAGCTGCACGCCAGGAATGAAAGGTGCTTAACGGAAACAAATGGGGGTTATATGAAATTCAATAGTAGGGAAAACCACGTTTTATGCACACTGCAGGTGAAATAAACAGTAAAAATGTTATTTATACAAGAACTTGACTTGAAATTCAGCTTGTAGTCTGTGAGGAACTGTATGTACATATGTGTACTGACAGCAGCAAGTATAGCATGGTCATTGTGGTTCCCTGTGGCCTTCGCAGTAGTCTCAGTTGACATCAAGAAAGTTAGATGTTAGAGGAAATATTTCACAAAAAAAAAACATGAACAAACTTCAAGTAATGTTATTTTGGTAGTAGGGCAGGGCGATAAACTGAACATTTACCGATACCGAAATTTACGACTATAACTGGCGTTATTTTGCCCATGTCAATATATTTGGTGTCAAAAAAATAAATAAATACAAGTTGGTTTTGGATGTGTGTAGGTAGGCTTTGGTCTCATGTCCATTTAAGACAGGTGAGGAGATGGAGGACGGTTCTAAAGTTGTAGCAGCTGAAGTAGACTAAGTTAATGTGGAGGTGTGAGCAGTTTGTGGAGTAGTTATCGTCCATTTACCGTTATCGAGGTGAACTGATCAATATATTGTGACTTTGATTTGAGGCCATATCACCCAGCCCTAGTATGTACATATGTGTACTGACAGCAGCAAGTGTAGCATGGTCATTGTGGTTTCCTGTGGCCTACACAGTAGTCTCAGTTGACATCAAGGGAGTTTGAATAGAGGCGTAGAAGGTAGAAAAATATTTCATTAAAAAAACCTAAACAAACTTAAATTAATGTAATTTTGGTAGTAGGGCTGGGTGATAAACAGAAAATTTACTGATACCGAAATTTAAGAGAATAACCGACGTCATTTTGCCCATGTCGGTATATTCTGTGTCAAAAAAAATAATAGTTTGTTTTGGATGTTTGTAGGTAGGCTATGGTTTCATGTCCCTTTAAGATGATATTGATCTGACGCCATATCGCCCAGCCCTATTCGGTAGCAATCCAGACTAATTTTGATTATTTGACTAGTATTTGTGCCGTTTCAAAAGCTTTGACGTAAGTGAAGCTTTTCAGTGGACCTTAAAATGTTTGAGTTGACTCAGAATCAGTCGGTACAATCTCAAACCACAAATAGCTTTTTACAGGCTCACTTGGTTCTGCCTCCTAAAGTTATAGTAGTGAATATGCTCAGCAGCTGTGTGATGTAGACAGACAAGCTCATTTGGCATTTTTTCTTCTAAGTATTCATCTCATGCCTCATATCTTCTTGGTATGTGGGTGTTAACTCACTGTGCTTCGAAATGCGTGTTGACTTTAGATAGAGATTCAAGTAGGACTGGTACAGAGTGCACTCTTGATAATCCAATCACGTTAGCTGGAGTCAAAGCGCAGATACAGTACAGCCGTGTTTCCTCAGTTTATTATTCTGTACTTTACTGTTTTTGAACTATTTGAATAAATGGAACTACTGCAATAAGACAAAAAAGACTCTTAAGAGAAATGGCGTTTGCTGAAAGCCATCTGTGAAAGACTTTTCACCCTGAGATGACATCACTCTTAATGTGTCTTGCCTCCGCAGACCGGGCATGACAGTGCGGGCCAAGTCGAGGGTGTAGCCACATCTGGCGGAGACTGCTGAAGTAAGCAGGAGTCTCGGCGCACCAGACCATTGACTGCAGCGAAGAAGATGGGAGAGACAGAAGAGGAGAGGGAAGATGTGGGGAAGCTGTTTGAGAACTTTGTCCAGGCCTCCACCTGTAAGGGGACCCTGCAAGCCTTCAATGTCCTGTGCAGACAGCTGGACCTGGACCCCGCAGACCACGGCACCTTTTACAGCGATCTAAAGGCCAATGTCACGTCCTGGAAAGCCAAAGCTCTGTGGAGTAAGCTGGACAAGAGGATGTCACATAAGGAGTACAAGAAAGGCCAGGCGTGTGCAGGCACCAAGGTAAGCTCTACCACAGTTTCTTTTACAGCTCCACTCTCTGTCATAAAAAGAGTTACATGTCATACACCTCAGCAGGTGGAGACCATGAAGTGAGAAAGGACAGAGAGCAAAGAAAGAAGTGAAGTGAAGAATGAAGTGGAGGCTTCTTTTTTCTTCTCGATCTCGAGTATTTTCCAAAAAATGAATACCAGAGATTTTTACCTTGATTTCATACTTGAGAGCTGACCATTTTACTTCCTTTCTGTGCAGACTGTCAATTTCAGCATTGTGCGAAAATATCATTCAGACCAAATTTTTCATGAATCTTCTGCGATGAAAAAGAAAATCTTTTCGATGGTCTATTTGTTTGTGTTTGCGTAAGATACCGTTATCACTCTTTAAACCGGCACACAGTGTTTTTCACAGTAACTTTATTTTACATATTAAAATACTCCTGGGTTGGATTATAAAACATTTGAATACAATGCTTTACAGCTGCCAATGAATAGCTTCCTTATATTTGTCTCTGTTCATACATGACTAAAGGTAAAGTATTCACGATGAAGGAACTATCTGTGTGGTTAAACACATGGAGTTCCTATCTGCACTTTGTTCAGAACTGTTAAAGGTAGGGTTGGTTATCACGGCAAACTAGCAAACCCTTAACGTACCTTTCCAACAGAAAATGAGCGACCATGGCGTCACTTTTAAAGCCCTTGACCTCTTTCAGCTCTCTCCATCGCTGAAAAACTGTCCCTGTCTCTGTCTTGCTTAGGCCTTCTCTGCTTCCGTTTTTCTTCTCTTGCTCTTTTTTGCAGGAGGAAAAAATCTGGGTATTAATCTGGGTATAGGTCGTTTCTCTGCCATTCTTCTCAGCTCGGCTATGCGCGTTGAATCAGGGTCAGTGCCCGCTCGCGACATGTACACGCAGGAGGCGAGCACAGGATTTGATTGGTTTAAAAATGTGGGACCCACATGATGTGATTGGTTGGTGTTTTCCCAGTTTTACTCCCGCTGTAGATGGCGGCTATGTTTCGCTCTTTTTTAAGAGCACATCATGTATCGATTGCCGTCGGAACATTAAGATCATTTTAACCAGAATAACAAAAAGTGTGTCTGAATCAGATTACCAACCCTACCTTTTAAAGCACATGGATGACCCTGTTTCTGAGCCGATGTTATGGCCAACTTCTTCCCTCCACTACACAACACAACCATTGAATTAACACTCACTCCTTCACTGTAAGGGTTTCCAATGTACAGGACAGGAAATTAAAGGGATATACACGACTTTGGCCTGACTCTTTCCCTTCGTAGCGTTGCAGTCGGTAACCCCCACTTATAGACATACATACTTAAGGATACAGAAATAAAAACTCTCCAGAAATGACCGCAGAGAAACATAGACAACTCATGAAAAAAGACACATTGGACAGAATAACACAGACACACAGAAATACTACTCGACAGCTGACTACGTCTTCATCTTATCCTGGAGCCAAATCACACAAACAAACCCACATTCAGAGAGCAAATTACAGACAGAGGAAATTCCTCAAATACATATAGTAAAAGAGCTATTGAGGAGACTTTCTGGAGGTGAAGGATGTAGGGTGAGCTACAGTGGGAACAAAGAAATCGTGTAAGGATGTGTTTTGATGGTGGTGGGGGGAGCTGCTTTGGTAGTTAAGGTGATGAGGGACAGGAGGAAAACCTGGAGGAGTGTGATTACCTTTCAGGCATCAGCTGCCCGCAGCTTGAAAGAGTGTTTTTATTACGCCGAGAAACAGACAGCATCACTCAGCAACTATGATTATTTGGCCCCAGTAATACAGAGGGTGTGCTCTGCTCTTTACAGGCTCTTCCTCAAAGGTTGGAGCCAGGCCCAGCTTGTTATTAAAATGTGTTTTAAATGCTTCAGCGTGAGCTCAGTTTTACAGGTTCTGTCTGATTGAAGCCAACACCAAAATAGGGAAAAAGTAAACGCTTAAGTGAAGTAAGTGTGACTCTGTCAAACTTTTGGCTCTTAGCCCATTTTTTTAGCAATGTCCTGGGATGTGATGGAAAAATGAAAAGTGTACACAAGCTGTAACCAGATGTACACTTACTGCGAATTTATGTTATTGCATTGTTTCAAGCTGAAGATTTAATAAAACTGCTCGTAAACTTCCACACATTTAAGAGCAGCGTGAGGACTTTCTTAATCACTCATAACGCCGACAATCTGCTTTTACTTGAAAACTGATTTTGACCCTCCCTGGAGAATCACAAAGTGTTGGTGAAGACTTGAGCTTTTATGGCGACTCGTCTCTTTAAAAGTGATGCATGTGAAATCACTCAGCACTTCATCTTCGTGTCCCCGCTGTAGCAGCAACCTTCGAGGGATGTGAAGTCATTCCCGTTTTATGGCGCCTGTCACAGATGGCGACACTGACGCTGACGCCGAACAACAGCGCCTTTGTTTCTCATCAAGTACAACTGAATTAAAAAAAGAAAACTGTGCCGTAATACTAACCTTCATGCAACAAAACTTTTGTGCCCTGTGGGGCTGAAATGATCTGTAAAGTACTTAATTGGTGGAGGATTTATCCTCAACAGTAATCTCCACAATGAAGTAATCATTTAAACTAATGTGTCAGGCAAATAAAACACTTCATTGAATCTGACAGCTGACTATTTACTTGTGGGTTGTTGATCATCATTTTGAACTTTAGTGGGAATGTAAAGAGTATTCTGAGATTTTACACTCCTGGGCCCAGTGTTTCAAAACTTATAATCTGGATCAGATGATCCGGATTTTGTAGTCCTCCTTTTTGCTATTCCAGATCAAAATGATCTTGTAGATTTGGTCCTGTTTTTTTAAAGAATTCTCATATAGGATTATTGGGATCCACATACCACAATATCAGGATTACAGAATCTAGATTTGAAGTCTGGATATAGATGTGTGTTCTACATCGCTACATCCACCTTGGATCCATGCTTGATCCACCCTTCCAGTGGGATCAGGATAATCCTGATTTTTAGCTTCAAAACTATCTTAATCTACACTTTGGGATTTTGAAATATCCAAAAACAGCATTTAATCTGGATTCTGGGTTGGATTGGATTACCAAATCCCTAGCCAATTTTACTGGTATCACATATCCTGGTTTGAAATACCCAATTTTGAGGTTTAATCCCATCCAGACCATTCTTTCCAGATTAAAAGTTTTGAAACACTGGGCCCAGATGATTTTGTTATCTACTTTAAAAATGAAGTTTTAGTTTTCTTGCATTTAAACAGAATGCAGTGATAATAGAGATCTTGGAGTGGTAGCCAAACCATTTACCGAGGTGGAAAAGTCTGTAAAGGACAGAGAGGGTTCAGTGATGAGGCAGGGGACCAATGTGACCATGGCGAGGTGGAGTCGATGAGAGTGAGGTCATAGGTGGTGAGCAGAAAGGAAGCACATGTGTCCTGACTCAGCAGATGTGGAACAAGCCATCAGGAAAAAAGCCTCGTATCTGGAATAATAGGTTAGCGAATGGAAACGGGCTAAAACAAACAGCACATCGCTTTAACACCTGATTGTCAGTTAAAAACAGGTTACGCAAGCATCTGAATAAACCATACTGCACATCTCCAACATCATCCCGTCTCTGTGAGTAAATCGTCGCCCTGACTCACCTTTCATCAAGAGAAAAATACACAGCCACCAGGCAGGCTTGTCCAGGCAGCTCTTCTACCACCTGTATGTGCTTCACACCTGAAAATACCTCATCCTCCTGATAACCCCAGGCAACGCATGATGACACACTGTTGTCCTCAGCACCCTCAACCCCTATAAAGCAGCCCAACAATGGAACCTCACACTCAGAGAATGACAAAGACCCTGATCATGGAGGGGAGGAAGAAAGCCGTTTACTCGTATGGTTTAATCTGGAATTATGGGTAATCTGTAAATAAACTCATATTGTGCAGGTACTGATTGGGTGTATGTAGGGCTGGGCTATAAAACGATAACGATATAGTTATTAGTACTATTATTAGAAATCAATTTTAGGTCAATTGGTCAGATGTAATGGAAGTTATTGAAGAAAATGTTCAAAATTTGCCTTTAAATTTAACACAAAACTTTTTAGAGGACAAAGTAGGGAAATAAAGGGGTTTGTCTTATCGTCCCACCTTAGTACTATTATTTGAAATCAATTTTAGGTCAATTGGTCACATGACATGGAAGCTATTGAAAGAAAACAGCCTTTTTTGAGAACATCAACCGGTAATTTGTTGATGGTCCCTTATGATTATTCAACACCCAATGTTGTCAGCGAGGGTGCTGAGTAGATTTAACCGCGCTGCTGTTGCTATACCCCATTATGGAGAATGAGAAGACACCGGTAGATCCGCAGTGAATGTCCATCGGATATCCAACCTAAAACTAACTTCACTGTGGTATTTACATGAAAAAACATGTCGCCTCGGATGATTTTTTTTTTTATGCGTGCATGTGCCCCTTAATACATTTTACGATTCGCACACATCTACTTTTAGTCGCAAATGCGAGTAAAATGGTCGGATAATCTTTTTTCCCTTATCTCCCAGCCCTAGGTGTAGGAATAATAAGAGTGGAAGGTAAAAGAAAGATATTTTCTGCACTAATTTGCTGAGGCCGTGGAGAAAGAGGACCGTCCACTTTGCTGAGCACAGCAGGAGCGACCTCCAGTCGTGGTCTAGTTCTGGGTTAGAAGTCACGAGAATAACGGTCCACACATCTCTACACAATGCTCCCCAGGGCCTCTTTAACATCTTTAACATGTTTCTGAGGTAAAGAAGAGTCCGTTTGCCAGCTTCGCTTCTTTCATCTTTATTCAAGAAGATGATGTCATGTTTGAGCTGCACATTCTCAGACACACGCCGTAACCTCAGCTCACTGACCTAATGCATTTTTGGGTGAGGCAGATGCATGAATAACACCTTAGATATGTTCAGGTTGTAAATTGAGGGTTTGGATGGATGGCAGAAGTTTGAAAAAACTTCCTATCAGCGCGTGTAAACTCTCTTATGCTTTCATAAACAACCGTTGTTTATCGTTGTTTAGTCATTGCACACACACTCACACAGGAGATGGTCTGAAGAGCTCATTTGGAAGATTGGAGTTATCCTCAGACTCAGCAGGTTTCGTCCTGAAGTGCCCTTGAGTTGGACACTAAAGCTCTAAATGTCCTGGTGGTGCAGTACACTGCTGATGTGTAGATGTTATAATGCTTGCCTGTGTGTTAATAAATCATTTTTCATCTCAGCTTCCTCTGCGTGAACATTGTCAGCCCTCTGTAATTACTCTGTTATTTTACAAAGATGTCAGCATGTTGAAGCCCCTCCATCATGCAGCGGTAATGAGTTCAATTTGTTTCTGTCATCAGTGCCTCGTCATCGGAGGAGGCCCCTGTGGTCTGCGGACGGCCATTGAGCTGGCTCTGATGGGCGCCAAAGTGGTGGTGATTGAAAAGAGAGACTCCTTCTCTCGGAACAACGTGCTGCACCTTTGGCCCTACACCATTCATGATTTGCGGGGCCTTGGGGCCAAAAAGTTTTATGGCAAATTCTGCGCAGGGGCCATTGACCATATCAGTGAGTATCTCAATTGGAATACAGCAAAGTATTCATGAAGAAAATAAGACACCTTTCCTTGTGTGTTGGAGTAAAATGAATAAATGTGTGTTTGTGTCTAACAGGCATCCAGCAGCTTCAGCTGATCTTACTGAAGGTGGCGCTGATTGTTGCAGTGGAGTTTCACATCAACGTAGAGTTTGACAAACTGTTGGAACCTCCAGAGAATCAGGAAAATGAAGGTATGGACTCATGCGTGTTCACTTTTGCATCACGCCAAAAACCTATACTCTCCTGGTCCGCAGTTTGATGCTCCTCTTAAAGGGATATTCTGGCATAAATTTAAGTTAGGGTCAAACACACCGTAACACCGACTTAGACACCCCTTTGAGAGATGAATGTTGCCGACCGCTTGCTTCTCTAGTTATACCAAATTTAGTAACGACCAAACGATAGCAATACACAGCGGTCTGATGAGTCATAAACAAGCCTCAACCAAAACACCACTCTATAGCCACAAATAATGCTCAGAACAGCACCTAACTTCATCAGCAGTACATATAGGGTCCCAGCCATAGTACTAGACACCAAACATCTTTTTAGCTTCGCCTGATTTCTTTACCAAAGAGACTAAACACAGCTCACCCACTCTCCTCCAGCAGCCACTCATTTGTGGGGGGAGCCCTGACGAGTCAATCACCGAGTGTAGCGGAGTTTCACAGCTCAAGGAAGAACATTTGTGATCATTACTTCATGAAAATGCAACTTAGACTGAGACGCTAAGGTAGAAGAACTACCACGTCTGCAGTGCAAAAAGATTATTATGATGATTATTACTTCAAGGAAATGCTCCGCTGCACTCCTCAGGGTTCCCCCACAAACAAGCGGCTGCTGGAGGAAAGTAGGTGAGTTGTGTTTAGTCTCTTAGCTTAAGAAAGTAGGCAAAGCTAAAAATATGTTTGGTGGCTAGTACTATGACTGGAATCCTATATGTACTGATGATGAAGTTAGGTGCTGTTCTGAGCATTATTTGTGGCTATAGAGTGGCTTTTTGGTTGAGGTTTGTTTATGGCTCCTCAGACCGCTGTGTATTGCTATCCTGTGGTCGTTACTAAAGTTGGTATAACTAGAGAAGCAAGCGGTCGGCAACATTCATCTCTCGAGGGGGTGTCTTACTCTGTGTTACAGTGTGTTTGTCTATAACTTTAATTTATGCTGTAATATCCCTTTAAGGCTCATGACGCAGCAAGGGATTTCTAGTCTGCTGTGCTTAATTTCCCTGACAGCCACTAATAAACAAGAGACAAACACTGGCTGTATCATCATATTTGCATCCAGCTCACAACATGACTGATCGTGCAGAGACTTCTGCATGCAATGCAGGCGCCTATTTATCAGATTAATACAGTGAGTCAACATTGTGGTGTAGCAAAATCTTTTACAAGCATATCATGAGACTTTCTTTCTAACATTTTGTCTCTGAAATTCAGCTTGGATTTAGTACAAACACTGCATCTGGCTGAACTTTTAATGTTCACGTAGCCTTCAGTTTTTAATATCACAGTTTCTCTCAGCACATTGACGTTTTTTAGCACGTACATAACTCTCCAGCTGACTTCTCGACCCTCTCCTCCCACATTGATTGGACTGTAAACTCTCAGGGGGAAAATAACTAGCACTCTGTTGTCAGGTGTTGCCTCCTCAGCTGTAATATCAATACACTGATAACAACAAGAGCCTTGTCTAAATTTAGACCTCGACCAGTCCCTCCGGCTCTGCTGTGACAGACTTAGTTATGCCCTTGACATCATGGAAGGCATTTTTCACATGGTGATATTACACAACAAGTGAACAAGCTCTTCCTGTGCTGGTGCCACACTCCTGCAACACCCACAACCCCTCAAAGTGCATCAAACTCAATTTTTATTCATTCTTGAACCATATTTGTTCGTCAAGTTGGCATGCTGTGCAGACATGCTTTTCTTAGCTGCTCTGTCGTTTCAAGTCTCTTGAGAAATGACACAAAAATAGCTCAACAGCATAAAAAACATGACGCAAGAATGCTTGTTATTTTTCCATTCCTCGTTTTTTTCCCTCTATGTTGGCTCATTCTTTGCAATGTCACGTTATAAAATAGGTTCCCAGCAGGTTTAGGGGAGATGTTTTACAGGAACACTGGTGGCAACAATACCAATCTTTAATAGTTTTATGTTCCCTTTATGTGCTGAAAATCAGTACAGCATAGAATGAATAAACCCGGTCTTTGTGTAATGTCTCTTGTATGCCTTCTTGCTTTATAATTGTCTTTGTCCCCATCTGTCAGGGATTGGGTGGAGAGCTGCAATCCGACCTGCTGATCACCCAGTGGCTAACTTTGACTTTGACGTGGTGGTGGGGGCCGACGGGCGCAGAAATACTCTGGAAGGTGAGAAGATGACAAACAATAGGGGTAAACATGATAGATGCCTGAAGGCTGTACTTGACCTTGCTTTGCACTATATAAAGTTACTTGTGTCAACTGCACAAAAGAACAATACCCAACTCAAATGAAGAAGATTTGCACCGTTGACCCTGAAAGCGTGGGGTAGCATGTGACCAGCACTGTTACAGGCACATATTTCTAGTCCCAAATACATTTTGTTTTCATTACAGTGGTAATCTCTGAAGCACTAGTCAGAAAAACATTATTTTATACTGTTGACTTAAGGACCCACTCCCATAAAAATCATGTTTTTCTTGTCGTCTACATGTTCATATGACATTATTCTGATGCTACAGGACATATCACGAGAAAATTGAGTGCGAAAGTGCATTTCTGAGTATTTCTGAATTCAAATCGATGTGAATCTCTAGCAGACCCAAACAGCAGGTTCAGACACAGTGAGATTTCCTATGTCACAAATCCAAGCTCCGCCCCCAGAGCCCTGCTGTGAAGGCCAGACTCAGAAAAATTGAGAGGACGATCATGGAACAAGCGTGTGCGTTAGCTAAGCAAAGCCAACTATGATATTAACTTTCATCATGTCCCCAAAGACATTGGTGTCTCAGAGCTGAATAGCTCCTATTTTACCTGCCACTTCTACTACACTGGCAATGTTAGGCTGCAAGCTAGCATGAAGAGGAGTGTGCAGAACAGCGCTGTCTCCGCCCACGACTCAGAGGTAAATTGCTAATGAGAAGAAAAGCCCTTGAATGACACAAGTAATGCGATTTTTGGCTAAAACTTTATAATCACAATTTAAAGACCACTGAGAACACTTTAAATAATAAAAAAAATACGATCAGAGTCATACAGAAACCAGTACACCTTTTATCGTCTGGATTTTCAAGCTGGCCCCACAGGACAACTCCTAGACTCTTAACGTTGAACAACCTGTTCTGCATTCTGTCTTGTGCAGCTCTAAATAAAACTCACCTTTTATAAACTTAGATGTGTCTGTAGTCATTGATCTCCCCCAGTGGGAGAGGTTGTTCTTGTAACGTTGTACAGAAATAGAGCGGGGCTGAAGCTCTCAGTGCAGCGGATGATGCATGCACTCTGGACTCTGCATCTGTTTTTCTTGCCATTTCAGCCTCTCTTTTAAAAATGCTGTCATCTAACAACCAATTCTCATCAGATGTTTATCCCTTAAAAGGAAACATTTAGTCAGAACAAGATGCTTTGCTCATTCTTCAATAATGAACAATCCCGAGGGGAATTGATTTTTCCCTCTACTCAGCCGGCCTTTGAGCCTGAGTCAGTAACTGCATGAGCGTTGAATGAAATCAGAACTGCAGAGGGGGAAAAAAAGTCTACACTGATATTTGACATAAGAGCGTGGAGAATCTGTGGTAGAAAAAGTTTGCCTCAAGAAAGTGAAGTCTCTGTCTTAGACGGGACTTTGTTCCAAGCAGCCGATCCATTTGAGTGTAGTTTTCCTCACTGAAAGCATCAGCCTTGTTGAAACATGTTGATGTTCTCGCACATTTGTAAAGATAAGTTCAAATTAAACAAGTAAAATGTTCAACTTTGATTTTTGTAGTAGTTTTTGATTTTTATTTTGGATCTGGAGATTTAATTTGAGAGCGCTTGAATTTGTTTTCTGGCTCCCTGTTTTAAAAAACTAATTTGACTAAGAATTTTGTGTGGGTTTCAGTGTTACATAGGACTTATGCTGCGTTTAAGTTACCTTGGAAGTCAAATATCGGAGCTGAAAATGACGTTACAGCCGAGTTCCCAGCGTTTCAGTTACCAAGGCGGAAAAAAGCAAAATCGGAGGCCTGAAGCAAGACTGCTACATTTACGAAAGTTACAGACTTGGTAACTGAAATGCTGGGAATTCGGGTGTGACGTCATTTTTAGCTCGGACTTCTGATTTCCGGCGTAACTCGAATGCAGCGTCAGTGAAGGTCCTCCTGGTGTAGGTAAATTGTTTGAGAGATGAAAACCAGATTTTTTTATAATAATAAAACTTAAGCAGCCTTTCAAAGTTGTGTTTTATAAGATTAGTTAAGCAACTTTACCTTTTCGAATCCATGACTTTTGACTTTTGTTCCTTTGGTCACCTGAGAACTCTCCCTGAAAAGGCGCCTCTTATCTGTAAATAACCGCCTTATAATCTTTGTTTAGGGCTGGATCTTCTCTGCTTCTAACAGTCACGCTTGATAACAGTGTTTTGCTCGATTAAATAAACACTGTCTCTGTTTCTCTGTTTCAGTTTTCTTGTCTCACTTCTTTTTTTCTCTCCCAGGTTTCAAAAGGAAGGAGTTCAGGGGGAAGCTGGCGATCGCCATCACGGCCAATTTCATCAACAGGAACACCACCGCAGAGGCCAAAGTCGAGGAGATCAGCGGCGTGGCCTTCATCTTCAACCAAAAGTTCTTTCTGGACCTAAAAGAGGAGACAGGTGAGAGAGCAGCAGGGTTAAACTGCCTCTCTGTACAAATTTAGAGGGCTACTTGGTTTGAGTCGGTCACTCCTGAAATCCTCTGCAGTAATTTCAGTCCCTGCTGGTGCTTCTCCTTCTCACACCATGTCATTTGTTGCAGGTATTGATCTGGAGAACATTGTGTACTACAGGGATAACACACATTACTTTGTCATGACTGCCAAGAAACAGAGTCTTCTGGATAAGGGAGTGGTTATTCATGTGAGTCAAACAAGGTCCACAGACATCCTTTGCCTAATTTTCATTTTTACATTTATCCTCATGGGTTTTTCATCTTTGTTTCCCTTCGACAGGACTACACCGACACCCAGATGCTGCTGAGCAGCGAAAATGTAAACCAGGAAGCTCTGCTCTGCTACGCCAGAGAGGCTGCTGACTTTGGCACCAATTACCAACTTCCCACGCTGGATTTTGCCATGAATCACTGCGGGCAGCCAGATGTGGCCATGTTTGATTTCACCAGCATGTATGCATCTGAGAACGCCGCCCTGGTCAGGGAGAGGTTTGGACACCAGCTGCTGGTCACGCTGGTCGGTGACAGTCTGCTGGAGGTGAGGAAGGACAAGAAGGATATGTAGGAAGGTGACAGGGTACGAGAGAGTCCGACTGAGTGGGACATAATCTGTCAGTCATGGATTAGATTTATTAGATAGATCTGGTTGTTCTGACACAGTTGGATAAAAACAACTGGCATGAATTGTTGATGTTCCTGCTCCACTGAGATGTGACCTGCTCCTCCACCTCCACCTGTATACAAACTCAGACTTGATAATGATGCTGCTAACACTCATTGAAAGTATGTTTTTGAACATGTTCTTAGCTGGACAGTGACACACTACACCCACTGATGAATTTTTCCACACTGTCAGATGTATCACAAACCATCTTCTGGAGCCTTTTTTTGATTGTGGCTTCATTGTTTGTATATTAAGGACTGTTTGTCCATGGTAGATCAGCTGTATTGTTTTGATTCGTCCAATCAGTTATGAGGATGAAAGTAAACAAAAGCATGTCAGCAGCACAGGCATTAAAGCATGTTGTGCTGCGTCTAGTTTTTCTAATCTAGTCTCGTCTACCAAATGGGACCTGGTGATTTCATTGTTTGCATATGTGCACTGCTGCAAAGTTTCATTCATCTGTTGGTCTTATGTTCATGTGCAGCCCTTCTGGCCAATGGGGACGGGTTGTGCCAGAGGCTTCCTGGCTGCTTTCGACACAGCCTGGATGGTGAAGAGGTGGGCGCAGGGACGGACTGTTCTGGAGGTGCTTGCTGAGAGGTACACACATGCACATATCATTCAGTACCATTAAAGTCCCGATTGTTTTTATGTTATCAAAGTGTATAAATTGTGATTATGAAGTTTCAGCCAAAATCACGTTACCTGTGTCATTTTCAAGCGCCTTTCTTCTGCAGAGCGCCAGTAGATCATTAGCAATTTGCCTCTGAGTCGTGGGCATAGACAGCGCAGTTCTGCACACTCCCCTTTGCGTTAGCTTGTAGCCTAACATTGCTGGTGTGCGAATTTTTTTCTTCGTAGGACGGTAGGGGAAGGTCCCACCTCCTTCGCCTCTGATTGGCTGTGAAACGTCATCACACGCTCAAGCCGAATGCGGGCTGTCGGCTCTGTACATCGAACAGAACATTCAAGAACATCATCGCAATTCTGAATCTCCTAACCCTAATCTTAATCCTAACCCTAACACTAGCCCGACAGATGATGACGTTTCATAGCCATAAGGAATAACCAATCGGAGCCCAGCACTTCTAGCCAATCAGAGGTGAAGGAGGGCGGGACCTTTCCCTACCATCCTATGAAAAAATATCACCTCTGGGAGTGGAGCTTGGTTTTGTTACGTAGGAAATCTCACTGTGCCTGAGCCTACCGTTTGGGTCTGCTAGAGTTCACAGTGAATTGAATGCAGAAATACTCAGAAATGCAGTTTTGCACTTATTTTTCTCATGATATATCCTGTAGCATCAGAAAAATACCATATGAACATTTAAGAAACATGATCCCTTCCATGCTCTTGTGATGTGGAGGAATTAACACCTTATGTTTTGCTCTGTGTTCTTCTCGGTTTCTGTAGGGAGAGTATTTACAGGCTTCTTCCGCAGACAACACCTGAAAACATTGCCAAAAACTTTGAACAGTACACCATAGACCCCGGGACCCGATACCCGAACCTCATCTCCTCTTGTGTCAGACCACACCAGGTGAGAGGAAATACAGCATTACATAATGTTGCTTTATATTTATCAGTCATTTGTCTGTTTGAATAAAAAATCTAATTTCTCGTATTTCTAAGCTGTTAATTATTCACCCTGTTTTAGGTGCGTCACTTGTACATCAGAGGAGAGCTGAGTTCCTGCTCTTTGGAGCGAGCTACTTCTATACGTCGCCCTGTCAATCTCAGCAGACGAGGTAAAATTAACAGGAACCAGACGATTCCTTTGTGTTATTTTTAACACAGCTTTAAGTCGCGCCGTACAGTGGAAAAAACGAGGAGGACAAGAAAGTACGCCTGTCTCTGGTTATATAAGTGGTTATCGTCTTGTGTTACTCTGAAAAGGTCTTCTCAAACAACATTTTTTTCTTATCTTTTATTGACTTTTTCGAAAAAGCAGCAAACGCAAAAGAAACAATCTTTATTTAGGGAGTTTGACAAGAGCTAAGGTTTGTTTTAAATATTGATTCACGGGAAATGGAGCGATGTTTACACATAAGATCTGCTGGGTTTGTTGAAGGAGGAGTCCAACACACATCTCCTTCTACAAGCCCAGCACTGCTCCATGTTCTTGTCTAAAAAGCAGCTGCACTTATAGTCTGAAATACACTTACTTCAGTCATTTCCCTTTGGGGATCAATAAAGTTCTTATCTTATCTTATTATAGATGTATTTTGTTTACAAAATGTAAACTCACTGTCTCCTTTTAGTCTTTATTTAATCACTGTGCTGCAGAGTTATAAATCAAATTATATATGTGTTCTGTGATCTGACATTTAAGACCGAAGCTTCACATGTTAGACTGAGCTGTGCTGTATGTTTGAGTAAGTCAAGGCATTCACCTGAGGCCTCAAGGAAGTACATGTCCGGACAAAGACAACAAAGATGTGTACATACCTGAGCTCCTGCTCCTACTATATCTGTCATCGCCTTATTTAGACAGGTTCAGGTGTTGATCCGTACTTACTGTTACATCATATCAACTTCAGTGTAAACTTCCATCTGATCTGAAGGATAATAAAACTTTGCACATGTCTTTCATAGAGTCCGAGATCAGACCGGCGAGGCTTCTCACCTGGTGCCAGAAACAGGCCGACGGCTACAAGAACGTGAAGATCACAGACTTGACATCTTCTTGGAAAAGCGGCATGGCGCTCTGCGCTTTGATCCACAGTTTCAAACCCCAGCTGATGTACGTAACATCCACCTGATGCTCTCTGTACCTCATCAGATCCCTTTACAGGATGTGAAATTTACAACCTTAATGTGAAAAAACTTTTTCACTTCTTCAACAGCCAGCGAGGGAATGCATTTTCTATGGGTGTGTTAAAAATATTTGACGAGGGAGCAACTCTTTAATCTCCTCCTCACGACATGTTAAACACTTGACCTTTATGAGTGATGATAGGTGGAAAGGTTTCATACCCGGCTGTCATTTGTCTTAAAGCAGTAAAGCAGTAAAGTATTCGCTGCAAACAGGAGTTGAAGGACTGCAGCTGCGTGCATTTCACACATTTTTAGACAGTATATACTCTCTTAAATGAATGAGGACTGGTTGTTCCAGTACCTGCATTCATTTAAATCCTGCATGAATATTTATCGTTGAATATAAATGGCTTTTTGGTCGTGCAGATCTGGAGTGGAGTAGAAAATTACTCGTACATGGTAAAATCCTAAAGCAGAAACTGTGCATTATTCCTGCTTTAAGAGTTGGACTGCCTTACACTGCATATAATCAGTCAGTGCAACTGTAGATTAGTACATTTATAAATCTAATTATATCCTCTCAACCCCCTAATTATTGCCTTCATACCTCGCCACATGCCACTATAATTTGGTGTGCTCCCGTAAGTTTCCAGGAACCGCTGGCGCTTTTCCCCCCCTTTCCCTCCTCCGTATGCGCATGCCTTTCAGCAGAGCGGACTGCAGAGGGGAGCAGGTTCATACAAAAGAAAGGAAGGAAGAAATAGTGGGCCTCTGTACTTCCAGAATAACACCAAAGTTTGTGTGTGCGGCTGCTAGGTTACTGCTCTCTTCTGTACATAATTTCTGATGGTGTCTGCTCACCGTCAGTGTAAGTGAGCACGTCGAGCTGTTTTTTTCCCTCCTTTCCTCAGTTCTTTGAAAATTTATCGTTTTTTTATCAACAAAGAATTTAGATATTTCTCTGTGATGTTTTTATATCAGTCTGGACCCTACTTTTAGTCAGCTGTTAGTCACAACACATTCATTTACTCATGAAATAATCCTTTGAACATATTCACTTCAAAACTTACCGCTTCATTTCTGTCTCATTAGTCAGAGCACCCTGTGTGGTTATATGATACTCAAAATTTCAGTTTGAAAACACTCACAAAGGGATTCAGGTGCACCAAACATTAGACAGAGGTGAAGTGTTAAACTCTGGATAAATCTCATTAGAACCTAAAGCCTGATACAGTCCCACAGTATAACTTTCTCCAGCTGCTTGTCTGGACCTTTTTTTCAACCAACTTTTTTCTGGCTCACGTCCCACTATCTTTTTCCATCAGAGATTTCGACTCACTCAATGAAGAAGACCACGCCGCAAACCTCCAGCTGGCTTTTGACATCAGTGAGCGGGAGTTTGGGATCCGACCGTTCACGTCTGCCAAGGAGCTGATTGCTGATCAGGAGCTGGATAAGACCAGGATGACCGTCTACCTGTCCAAGTTTTATGAACTCTTCCGTGGGACGCCTCTACCTGCTTCAGGTACCTCATTTTATTTTAATTATTTATTTATTGAACATGTGTGCATGCAACACAAGAAAGTAAACTGAAAACAAACAAACAAATAAAACCAATGAGAATATTCAAAACAACAGTAAAAATAATCAAAGCAAAAAAATAACAATAATAATGATAATGTGAACCCAACATGTCCGCTACTCGATTAACACTCGGTCTCCAACATATTTACATTATATTTACAAAAAATAGAAAATAAATAGAGTAAATAAACTAGAACATAAATCATTTATGAAAACACCTGATGGTTAAAGCCCTTCCTTCTCCCTGTACCTGGTGAGACCATAAACCATGGTACCTTACCCTTCTACAATGCTTTTCTGCTATTCTGTACTTTGCTTTACTGTAATTTACTCTGATCTTCCCCCCACTATTGACTTTTTCTCTCTACTGTTTTTTTTTGTTATGTGCACAGTCCTCTTTTTTACTCTGCTCCTGCTTTACGGTTCCCAACTCTACTCTACCCTTGTACTCGATTTAAAAGAGCCGCTCTTGACTCACATCACAAACATGCTACTTGACTGGAGGTCACTCAAATGTAGTTTTCTTGGTAGGACTTTATTCTGCTCTCCTCTCTTTTTTTAAGCAGATGCAATTGAAGTCTGTCGTACTGTGCAGTAGAGGTGGGCGATAAAAAATGTATCAGGATAAGATTTGCCATTCTGGTGATAAGGATAAAAGTTCCGCTAAAAATATTATAATTCCAATTTATATCTTTGACTCATTTTGTCTTGAGAACACCAGTTGGGATAGTCAAATAAGATACTTGCCCACAAGTTTTAGTGGTAGGTTTTGAGAAAACTAATGACATCAAACAAGTCTCAAATGTAAAAACATTTTCAACATTTGTTAAAAAATCTTATTGCACAGAGTGAACAGCAGCAGATCTACTGTCCGATGTCACTGCGCTTATATAAACCCCAATCTTGAAGGAAATCCCTCATGTGGAGCCTCGTTCAGTAACGAGCTGCTCAGAAACGTCTTCTTTTTCACCTTCGGCCATGTTTGTTTGTTATTCTGCTCTGTGTGGGCTATGGCTGCGAGTCCGTCACTCACACTTGCGTCATTAACTTGCGTTTATCGTATTTATCATGAGATGACAAATATTCATCATGGAGGATTTTTCCGACTATAAATCATGAACAATAATTCATCGCCCATCCCTACTCTGCAGTATGCAACTTCTTATCTCGGTTGAGGCAGTTGTCACTGGACTGCTGCTGTGTCATCTGCTGAGTATAAGTATTTTAAAGTTGTTAAAAAAGTGCAAAAGAAGGTGTTGGATTACAGTCAGTACAGTGGCATGTGAGGAATGACTATCTGAACCAGATCTGTTGACAACAAAAGCCTGACATTCTTGAGGACGACACGAGGACAGCTGCCTGTCTGTTCTCAAGTGTTTTTTCTTCAACCTCTACCGCACATTCACGTCTTTCTTTCTGACGTGCAGCTGAGTGACTAGGAAATGTTTTTTTTTAGTGTAACAGTTCTTTGTACAGACACGGCCCCTCTGCAGGTTTTTCCAGACCACTAATATGTTTTTCTAAGGTTAATGGTCTGTGGTTATGACTTTACTCTGTGAAAACTCCAATCCGGTCATGCGTTTCTCCACAGGTTCCAGGGAGGTGGATGAAAACAATGAAGATTATCCATCAAGAGAAGTCAGAAGTAATAATAATGTGCTCAATCTTGCACTACCCAGGAAACGGGTACCAAAGGTAACTCCATTCTGAAATAGTACAGCAGTTAGCGGCTCACATTTCCAGCGTATTATAAGAATGATTTACCCAGAGTTATATTTTCAGGATGAAAAGAAGTCAGACGGTACAGACCCCATTTACAAAAGGAGGCGGAAATTTTGCAGTTATTTGGAGGAGGTTTGTTCTCAATCGACTTATTTTTAAAGTAAAACTCATGGGTTGAAGGACCAAAGCTTTGTTGACGTAGAAGGTTCGTCTCTGTGGTCTTTCCCTCATCAGGCCACCAATCTGTCCAGTAATGGATCCGCGGTGCGAGAGAGCCGGGAGCCCAAGGAAAACAAAGTGCGCCTGATGGCGACTCAGTTACTGGCGAAGTTTGAAAGTTCACCCACGACTGTCAGGAGAACACAGGTGAGAACAAACCAAAGTATCTTCTTTTTCTGAGGGAGGACTTTGTTTTCATTGAGGGTTTTTGTCTGAAAGTGATGAAGTACACATTTGTGAGTGTACTGTTTCAAATGTAAAGACTTCTACTTGTCACTTTCTATTCTTCCAGATGATAAACTGGATTACTAACAGTTAATTTCAGCTAATCTAATCAGACTAAACTTCTTTTTTTGCTCACGCTACAAAGTCTTGTTTCTCCATTTATCTGTCATTTGATCCTTTCTGCTTTTTCTCTTTCTTTGTCTTTTCATTAATGATCTTTGAAACCTTTTTCCAAAGTCTCAGTCAGACTCTGAGAGGTCCTCTCCGACCCCGCTGCAGTCTCTTGACCTGACTGAGAGTCTGCACAATAAACGCAGACCTCCAGTCCCACCTAAACCTCCTCCTGAGAAACAGGTAGTCTCTGGAGCCACTGGAGCAGAATTAACACTCACATAGATTGAACAAACAGAAACCAAAAGCATCGAGACAATCCTCAACCTCAAACAGGGATATTTGTTTACTCCTTTTTCTTCACTGTGATAAGACATGTTGTTTAAACATACATCAAGCATGTAATCTCACATCACCTACTCCAGTGTACCGCTGAAAGTACGTATGTTAATATCCCTGAAAGAAGGAGTTGTTAGATTTCTGTTTTGGATATTTAAAAGAACATATTGGTGGTTTTGGAAACAAAGCGTTTACTTTGGCTAAGACTGAATGATGTCCAGACGGAAATCAGACAAAACACCTTAGGAGCTGCTGAAGTCAAAGCATTGTATTCATATTCAAAAGGCAAAGAAGCAAACACGCTAAAGATGATGAGAGGTGTGAGTGTAGCTGTTGGCTGTTGATTTGTCAGACTGAAAATGACACAGGGAACACGAACGCGATTTTGGATAAAAACTTCATCATCACAATTTAAAGACCACTGAAAACACTTTGAGTAGTAAAAACATAGGCTGTATAAACTATGGACAACTTGGTTCCGCCTCCCGTCAGTATATGGATTTGAAGCCGATAAGCTCTCGGTATTTCTGCGTTTTCTCTCCACTTCCTGAAACCAACATTGTGCAGGAGCGTTGTACCCATTTGGCGGGAGAGTCGCAGAGAGTCGCTGTGATGACGCTCGGTTTAACCAACGTATCCCCCAGGTTAGCTACGTGATACTCAAATGCCTATAGGCTGTATCAGGTGTCAATCATAGAAAACATGAACCCCCTAATAACTTTTAAAAATGGAGCTGCACAGAAAAAAAGAGGACTTCAGCACAAACCGGTCTTACAGTAACTACACGTCGATATAGCAACCAGAGGGGAGAAAGGGTTGTTGGCGGAGACTCGATTTATGACCTATACTGCAGCCTGTCACCAGAGGGTGCTGTTCTCACCCAGCGTGGAGGCAGACGGCATCAATTCTATATACAGTCTATAAGTAAAAATAAATGATCGAAGTGGGACTTTCAGTAAACCAAATATTCTTGTCAAGGGATTACGTATCAAAGATGGTTTCCATAAAAAAGAAAGAAACAGCTCCAAAAGTGTTGTTTTGCTCTGAAATGGACAGCAGCGTTGTCAAACGTGTGTGTTTAGTTAATTAGTAAAAACATTTAAAACCACCTGTATGGATCTTTTAAACTTTCCCCTCACAGAATGAAAAGTGCAGATTTACTGTCTGGTTTTCCTGGTGAGAAGTGAAATGTCGGCTCATCTCTGTATATTATACTTTCCAGTTTGAAGTCAGTTTGAGAAAAGCTGCCCAACAATTAGTCCACCCACCTCCAAAGACCCTGCCCAAACCTCAGCTCCAGCTCCAGCCTGAGTCTGAGCTTCTGTTTACTGTAGTGAAGCTCAGACATGTCGATCAAAAGCCCCCGCCTCAGCCTGAGAGCCCAGAGCCCCCTGCTCCTCCTCCTCCTCCTCCCTCCTGCCAGTCAGCAATCAATTTCATGTCAAGAGTCCTGCAGCGCCTTAGGGAGGTTGATGAGCACATCTCTGAGGTGATCTTTTCCTCTTTCTCTGAATCTTTAACTTCACTTTCCTCCTCTGTCAGCTTATTTTATACCCTGTTTATTGTTGCACGCTCTGATCCCTGAAAAGGCCCCTGAGTGGATGTTGATTATACATTTGCCGTGATTATACATTCAGGCTTTAGCAGCGTGTAGTCAGATGTTGGAGTCAGCCCTTAAATTACCCAGTCTGAGGAAAATGGCAAAAACAGGCCTACAGATCTGGCGATGAATGAGGCGGACACACAGGCGGGTTATTTGCCAGTCTGAGTCTGAGTCGAGTGGAACAGGCTGACCAGAGCCACGCTGGAGACACTGACTGACTGTTTTTTTTCACAGCCAGCAGGCATACGAGTCAATAAGTAGAAAAACAGGTTTATTTGTTGAGTAAAAACCTCTATATTTTCATTGTTGAGTTCAAGTTTATGTTCTGTATCATGACTAGTCCCACATACTTTTTTTTCTGTGTCACTGCCACGTCTGTGCGGCTCTCTCAGTTTCTGGTTTCACTGCCGTATGAGTAACCACATCTATCAGGGTGTGAAATTGGTGTTATAAAAAATCTCGGTTCTGCACAGCGCTGTAATTGTTCTCCTTCAGACAATACCCACTCAGCTGTCAAAACCCGCTTCTTATACGCTCGAACAGACAGGTCTTTCATCTTGAAATGGTGAAGTACTTATTAAAAAGCTATTACTTTGCCTTATTACCTTGTTGATGGAAGAATGTATGTCTTTGTGATGAAGTGCTGAGACTGATGGCTTGTCTGGTTGTTGCTGCGTTCGTGTCATCCCGCAGAAAAAGGCTCAGACACAGCAGGCCAGAGAGTTTCAGACAAAGAGTATAAAGGAAAAGGCTGTTCACCTTAAAGAGATGTTCACAGGGGACAGCAAGGTGACTTTCTCAAGCTTGATCTGTGTGACTCCACCCTGGCCTTGTGTTTTTGCACTGCCTGCTCTGCACAGTGTGTGTTTGATGTGTGATTTCGAAGTGATGCACGCAGTTATTTCTCTCCCTCTATTATCATCCCTCACTGAAATGATAGTCATGTCTCCTCATGGATATTGTTAGATTCAGGACTCTGTCATAGAGAGGTTCGAGGAAACGTAAGCTGAGACTGTGAAAATGGATCTAAACCCTAAAAAGATTTCTCCGAGCCAGTCCACAGCTGTTTTAAATTCAGTGAAGAGTGTCTAGTTGGGATTTGAAATGTACTTTTTTGTGGGATATTCAGCATTTAGAGAGAACCAGAGCAGGCAGAGCTACTATCCAGACAGCAGCAGCATGATTTTATTCCATCTCAACTTTTTTTGCCAACCGCTTGCTCCTCTAGTTATACCAACTTTAGTAACGAACGCACAATAGCAATACACGTTGGTCGACATCTCAACGTGCAAACCTCAACCAAAACGCCACTTCAGCTAACTTCATCATCAGTACTAAACAGAGAGACTAAACACAACTCACCCACTCTCCTCCTGCAGCCGCTTGTTTGTGAGGGAGACCTGACAATTCAATCACCAAGTGCAGCGGAGTTTCACAGCTCAAGGAAGAACAGTTATGATCATTACTTCATGGAAATGCAATCAGACCAAGAAGAACTACCGCGTCTGCAGTGCAAAATGATTAATGTGATGATTATTACTTCAAGGAAATGATGGAGAAATGATCATAAATGTTCTTCCTTGAGCTGCGTCACCCCGCTGTAGTCCGTAATGGACTGGACTGAGGTCTCGCTACAAACAAGCGGCTGCTGGAAGAGAGTGGGTGAGTTGTGTTTAGTCTCTTTGCTAAAGAAATCAGGCAAAGTCAAAAAGATGTTTGGTGGCTAGTACTATGGCTGGGACCCTGTATGTACTGTTGATGAAGTTAGGTGCTGTTCTCAGCATTATTTGTGGCTATAGAGTGGTTTTTGGTTGAGGTTTGTTGAGGTTTGTTTATGTCTCCTCAGACCTCTGTGTATTGCTATCGTGCGGTCGTCACTAAAGTTGGTATAACTAGAGAAGCAAGCGGTCGGCAACATTCATCTCTGGAGGGGGTGTCTGACTCAGTGTTACCGTATGTTTGACCCTAACTCAATTTTACGCTGGAATATCCCTTTAATTTTTGGGACATTCATCTGTTAACTCTTGTCTGTACATTTTCATTTGCGTTCATAAAGTGAACAGATCAACACATTGCAAAAAACAAAAAAGTGCAGCATTGTGTGAACATAATAAAAACCATCATCTAAGCTGTAGTTTTACAAGTGTCTCCTTAATCTCAACAGACAGATTTATGCAAAAGGACTGCTGCTTTGCATGCGAGCTCCGCTTTGAACTGCTGTTTCTGCCCCTTGTGCTTTAAAATACCAGCTGTGGCTTCAGAGGAGAAGTGTGTGTGTGCTTGCGGTGGCATTTTAGTGGGTTTCTCTGCCCCACCCATCCTACACAGCCAGCACCAACCCCACAGCCAGATGTGACAGCAGGACTTACGCTAGTTAAGCAGAAAGGCTCAACTTTTATGACATAATACATATGAATCAAATTTCAATCCCAAAAAGCAATTAGAAAACAACGATCAGCTCCCTGACTGAACCACGTGTGTTTATCTTTAACTGTGTGAACCGTGTGCAGAGGAGTTTGAGGTTGTGGGCCTGAAAGTAGAGAGGCTGGTCTCTGTAATCGACCCCAGACTCAGAACCTCTAACAGAAGAACTCAGTCACAATATCTGTTCATATCTGTGCGACTCTTTTAATCCCTCGGCCTGCTCTTTGTTTTTCAGGGTGGTTCAGTACGAAGGGCGTTCCCCCCGTCAGGTGACAGGTGTCACTTGTGTGAGAAGCGTGTTTACATGGTGGAGAGGGTCTGTGCAGAGGGGCTTTACTTCCACAAGGAGTGTTTTCTCTGTTCGACCTGTGGCTCTACTCTGAGACTGGGAGCGCATGCCTTTGACTCTGAGCAAGGTTTGTTTGTACCGTTTAATGTCCGCTGGTATTATTTCCTGATTGAAGCCCGTCACTAGACTCGCTTTGTGCTCTAACCTCACAGGTAAGCTGTACTGCCAACTTCACTTTGATCAACGCAACAGCGGGACAAACCTGAGGAGGAACTTATCGCACCGCTCGGTAAGAACTTTACATTTTTAAGAAACATCTGTCCTTTAAAGGCATGGTTGATGATCTGAGTTCTCACTTGAAGGATGACCCGATGTTTGTCGAGTTAGATTCCTGGGTGGTTCCTGTAGCTAAGCTGCTACGCTACTTTTAGCAGCTCAGAACTCCGAGGCGATAGTTTTTTTTGTTGGATGGTAGGGGAAAGTCCCGCCCCCTTCCCCTCTGGTTGGCTAGAGAAGCTGGAAACATCATCACACACTCAAGACAAATGCGGGCTGTCGGCGAACAGAACATTACAGAACATTATCACAATTCTGAATCTCCTAATCCTAACCCTAACCTGTCAGACGATGACCATTCACAGCCATTAGGAATAACCAATCGGAGCCCAGCACTTCTGGCCAATTAGAGGTGGGACCCTCCCCTACCATACTGGAAAAAAAAATTGCGGCTGGTAGAGTGGGAGGGGATGAGTCGGAAACACTGGAGAGGGGTGTGTCAGGGGTGTGAATACAGTGAGGTGATTGGATGGAGAGGCGGAGCAGGAGATTGGCCAATAGGAGCTGTCTGGGACGGATGGCTCCTATTGGTCAATGTTTTTGCAGCCCTGCACCTGCTAGGGTGAACAGATTTTTTCCATTCTTTTTCCTCTTCACTATGTGGAGATCGCACTATAGGACCATGATCGCCATAGAAACGAGGTTCATAATAATCGTCAACCATGCCTTAGAATATTTCTATACTTACTTATCTTTTATTAAACTTTGATGTTCTCTCATGGTAGATTCGTCATGGTGCTGCAGTTCAGGAACAATCTGCGAGTCACAGACACAGCTCGGAGTCCAGCAGCATAGCAGACCTGCAGAGTGAATCGTCAGCAGGTACCTTCAGCTCGTTCATAAGGAAACGCCTGAGCTGGCCCCTGAGTGTGACCCGCTCAGTGTGTAATGCCCCGTGGTATCTGTCACAGCGCGTGCGTAGCACAGCGAGGGCCCTCGCCAACCATCTGAGGGACAATGCCCAGGACTACACTTTCCTCTATGAGCTGCTGAGCATGAGTTTGCCCCTGCTGCTTGTCTTACAGGAAGTCCTGCAGCAGATGTACACAGAGGCTGTGCCTGATGAACCGGGCTCCTTACAGCCTGTGCTGCTGTGGCTCCAGGAGCAGATCGAACACAGGCTCATGTAGACTCTAGCTGTAAATATTTGACTCAAACATGCCTCCAGATGCCATTAAACATGTGGCTGAGGTGCACATTATTCTTGCCATTGCATTATTTATAGTTTTACACATGCACCTTTTTACGGTCGCCAGCCTTTTTGACGAAACAGACACTGTACTGCATGATATTGGGAACATTATAGGGATAATAAAAGCTGCACCAAATATTTTTGCAGTGGGTTTAATGTGGGTTATGAGAACTTAAATAGCTTTGGTTGTTAAAACAAAAGGGCCAAAGTCAGTGCATTAAAGACTTGAGACTGCTGAAATGTCAAATCATAATTGCTGTAAATACAACCTCCTAACTGTATTGGAAAAGGATCCTGTAGTTTTTATAGTTTAACTCAGGCTATGACTGACTGATTTCATGCACTTTATCCTTCGTGAACCGCCTGGTCGACCACATAAACTTCACGGACAGGAAGGTTTACTTTTGACTACATACGTGCCTCTGCCATGTGTTTTATCTTTTATCCATGCAGGTGTGTGTTTTACAAAGAGGCCGACAGTTTACTCTGTGTTTACTTTCAGTTTTTATTGGTATTTTTCCTCAGATTAACCAAAGAATTGTTGATGTTTTCATGCTGTGGTCTGGAGTTTCTTTCTCAGTATTTACTTTGACTTTGCTGCCATCTACTGTTCACTGACAGAATAACCACGATGACAACAAAAATACACTCCCCATTCATTGTTTTAACCTCTCCCTCATAACATTACAGACATGAGATGTTTAATGGTTGAATGCTGAAATGTTTACTGTAGACAACAGAAGCAGCCGAGCATGCTGTGATGCGTTTGGATGCGCTTGCTGCTCTCGCCTCGATGTTGCAGGTCGACTGCAAACCTCTTTCGCAGGACGCCTCATGGTTGCCTCCCTTTCAGACAAACTATGTAATGATGCTTCTGAGGCACTTTGGAGTATTTCTGAATAAATATGCAGCACATGTATTTGTTAACCTTATTCAGGCTCTATTTGAAGTGTTTACAGCATGTTGTGCTGGATATGCGACATGTTTGTCTTTTGTTCTCAGCAACCTTATATTTCATGTTGAATGACTGAATCTGCTGCTTGTGATATGAGCTAAATCTCTGCTTTACAGCGCAGGAAAATAAGTAGAAGATTTCAGTGTTTTTAAAATGCCAAAGAGCTGTTTTCACACAGACTTACTGGACTTACTGTGTAACATGTTTTTTTTTTTTTTATGTCTATATATAACAAAGCGACAATCATGCAAACTGTAACTCGGTGCCAACACAAACATTGTCCTCGTGATGAATGTCAGTATTTTGTCAAGTTTCCATCATCTCTTGTTTATGTCTAGTCTCTTAGATCATGTTTCTCTCTTCCCTTCATTCAGCTGCAGCCTTTTATGACGTGTGTGAGCCAGGAGAAATGACATTTTGAAGGTGATCACCTGCATGGTCACATGCTTGTGTGTTATTTTGATGTGATGTTGATAATAAATGACTGGCACAGAGTGTCTGATGTGACTAAACAGCTGTGCTGAGAAAAGGTTTTTCTTTGAGGCAAGACTGAACTAAACTGGAAACTAATGAATGGTTTTAGTGTGTGTGTTGTTAATCCTTGGGCTGTTTTTTGGAACGAACAAGGCCTTTTTTTTTATAAATATTTCTAAAGCATGAATTAAAAAGTGCATTAAAAGAACCAGAAAAATCAGGTCTTAATTAAACTTCCTGTCAGGAACTTTTAACTAGATTTGAAAAAATCTCTTGTTTCTGCTGATGTCTCCCCGTCACCTGCAACAGCAAATGAGCCCATCTGTGTGAAGATAAGATAAGATATTAGACATTTACAGAGTAAGTGTCCTCAAACTGCTCACAAAAAAGTTAGTTTCTGGAGCCCTGATGTGCGAGCCAGACAAGTGTCTCTACGACAGTACAGGCTAAAACACTACTGCTTTTGTCCATGGTGGTTGCCAAAATCAACAGAAAATAAAAACTCCTTTCAGCTGCTTTAAACTTCTTGGATTTTTTGTAAAAGTCTTCCTTAAAAACTGAAACAACCTTTTGAGTGATCAGAAAACAAGTTTTTCTGACATCCTTTAGTGAATAAGTTTTTAAAGGGATGATATTGTGTTGCAAAACCTTCATTAGCAGATAGAAATACCTGTTTTTTATCAGATTTCATACTATGGAACTATTGTCCTTAGAAATTTACAGTATGAACCCACTTTCTGGTACACAAGTCAAGCAGCTCCATTTAACAACGGTCGAAGAGCACACACTAAATACAAAATTTCATCAACAAAATATATCGAGGCCTTTAAAACTCATGCGAGGGACTTTCAATTTGTGTCAATGGCGCCCCCTTTGGACAAAGTTGTCTTTGCTTATCTTGTCCAAGCAGTGTCTTCTGACAAGAAAATATAACTGCTGACTTTTGATGGTCAAAGGTTTTATGAACTGTGACTATATTTATACAATATGGCTGTTTCTTTGGCTGCCTTACCCCCTTAGACTGGTTTGAGGCCTTCAAGACTAAAATATTGACATTACCAATCTTGTTGTCAATGGTCTTGTTTGCTTGACACATTTTCATAAACATTAAAAACTTCTCCCAGGAGCTTTAATTTACTTTAACCTCAGATTGAGCTCCATTGTGACTGAAAATCTCATGTGCAACTTTGCAGAGGAAGATGAGATTTTAGAACACATCAAATACATAAATTCCAACGTTGTGACTAAGCCAACTTAACTTAAATTTTTCTAAATCATACACGCAAGGAAGTTGATCTAATGGTTTGATCATGAAAGGCACTTTGAATATGAAAAGATGGGTAAAAGAGAGACTTTCGTTGCGACAGAGGAGTCGGTTAAATGAAGGGCCACAGGTGATGGGAAATGACAATATCTGCTCGATGAATCTTAGTCCGGACCTGAACATTGAGTTTCTGCTCTGACAAACTCAACTCAGACTATTTTGCTTTGAGGTGTGAAGAGCTCCACAAGGTTCTGGTCAGTTTAAAGTGGCGAGACGTTCCTTGAAAATATCCTCAAGATAAGTCTGAATGAAAAGGACGGTACTTTAAAAAGACCCTCACAGGCTCATTGAAGGCCTCTCAGACCTCCAGTTTTTTTAAGGATACACCTTGGATAAAGCAGAGTGTATCAGCAATCAGATAAATTAAGTGCTATGATATTTCATTTGCTCTTTTACATTTCTTTGATAATCAGCTTGTTTTAATGCCCCCTGAAACAGGAGACTTATGAGAGGACCTCTCTGTCTTTAACCTCTGTGACTCTATTTTATCACACAACAGGTCTGTAACCTGACTAATAAAACACATTTCTGACATTTTTGCCTCCTTTGTTGGGAACGAAAAAGCGCTTTTATGTTAATACAGGAACTGTACAGGAATGCACTTATAGCAGGAGCTTTGAAACTCCATTGACCTCAGTCGTTTTTGTGGTTCAGTCCTTGACTCAGAAACAACTCTGTTTCTATTCTGCTGAAGCTTCTGGACTTCAAAAAAGAGGCTTATTTATTTCACCATCCAAAAACGATGTCCCACTTTCAACAGATGATTAATTTTTATCTACTTAGTTAAATCAAATGTCGAGTTCATATTTTAAACACTGGAAACTGTTCCCCAGTAGTCTTGTCTTGTGAGTTTTTAGTTTGTGTTTGACCCCGCTTTCCTCATGTTTTCAGTGTTTCCTGTTTTGTTTTGTTGTAGTTTATTCCCTGTGTTTCTAGTCTTGTTTGACTTCCTCAGTTTTCCCTCCTCTGTAATTGTCCTCACCTGTGTCTCAGTGTCTCACCTGCCTCTCGTTGCTCGTTTCCCTGTGTGTGTGTATATATAGTCCCTGTCTTCCCCTGTTTCTTGTTTGGTTTGTTGTGTGTTGTATGAGTGTAGGTAGAGTTCAGTGTTTGCCTGTCTCTCTAGTGATTTTTTTTTTTGGTTCTTTTGGATTTTGTCTCTTGTGTTTTTCGCCTTTGGGATTTTTGAATTGGACATTATAAGAAAGTTTTTGTTCCTTTTTATTTAGTTAATTTTGAATAAATCATTTTTGTTCTGCATTTGGGCCCTTCCCTATTTTGTTTAACTCCAAACCGTAACACAAATTATCTGGTTTAACTGTCTTAATCTAACCCTCCTCCTGGGTTAGGGTCTGCACCAACCCGCTTTTGTTTTTAAATGCTTAAAGGAACCACTTAAATAAGCTTTTTCACATCAAGACTTTTTGACTTTGTCAGGAACCTCTATTTCAACAAAATAAAAATAAAAATTATAAAACGCTCTTACTAAAATTATGGCACTTGTAGTATTAGGGTCACTGTTGACCCGGTTAGATTAATGTCTAATAATTGGAGCATAAACTGAAGTCATAAGTGCACTGACAGTCAGATCCTCTTCCAATCATGTGAGATTTAGGAAATTCTCATTTTTTCATGTTTTTCCTGCACAACAAAAAAACATTGTGCATGTCCATACATGTGACATCAATTCAGTATAGATGTCTGTATGAGGGGTATACTGACAGAGAAAGGCCCAGAGACCCACAACAAAAAAATATTGTAAGCAATATTTTCATGAATAATGAAGCCAAACCTAGAGATGAGAGCTAAATTGGATGATAAATAATTGTTTTTAGTGTAATTTGCAGCTGATTTAAGACACGGGTTGGTTTCGACCCGTTAACATAGTGGGTGCGTAGTAAAAGCTAACACAGGAGGATGGCTAATCTGATCTAATTTTGCACATTAAAAGTCAGTTTTTTGAAGTAGAGGTCGTAATAATCAAAGTGGAGAGTGGATGTGTTCTCTGATGTTCAGGTTTCTTCATCTTCGTCTGTTTCTTCTTGTTCCTCCTGTAGAAGCTGCCCTGCAGGTGAGGTCTGACTTCACTCTGAAGAATGAGAACTTCAGAACAATGACGAGTTTTTAGATTGTAGAAAATCGATGTGAATTTTTCGAGTGTGTACGAGTTTTTTAACAATAGTTTTTTTTTTTTCACCACAAAATGTATGTTTACAACTTCTGTCTGATACTGTTAAAACTGGAGGTGATCTAGTTCTGTGAAACACACTGAGAGTGGGAGTTTTTGAGTTAGTGAAGAGAAAATAGTGGCCTGTATTTTTTTTATGTCTTGTAAACAAAACAGTTTTTTTAATAGGAAAGTGTAAAAACTCACTCATGGGGCTAAACCACTTATTTATATGGTTTTTAATCTAAATCCAGCAAGAAAATAAAAAAATACTTCCATAAAATATTTACAGAAAAGCAGGACAGTCTGAGTTTGTCCAGTAGGGGAGACCGGGGCTTGTTGTCACATGGGTAAGTTGTCACATTGTAATTATCTTTTCCACCACAGGGCGCAACAAAAAAGTGGAATACTAGTTTTCTTTGTTTACATGGTCAGGGGTCGTGTCCTGTCTGAGAAGAGAAGAGCCCAAAGTGAGCTGAGATGAGCGCCAATTAACCATTTCGCACAACCCAAAGTAAAAAAAAAATAACTTTATATATTTTAAAATAAGCTTCTTCCAGATAAAAATCCTAGCTGTGACACATGTGGACTTGTTCGAGGAGAGATTAAGACATCTTGTCATAGTTCAGTCATTGTTCTGTTTTAGGCTAACTTTAAGCTAGAGCTAGAATTAGCAAACATGGTAGTTTGGGGCCACATGTCTCAGTCATTTTGGGGTTAGTTGTCACATGTTTAAAAGGGATTAAAGTTAACACAGAGAGTCTGCGTATCAGTTGTCATATTGAAATTTTGACTTTATCTCTACAGAGAAAAGAGTGGTTTAAAGGAGAGGAGAAAGTGAGAAGATGTGGTCAGGAATTACCAAAGAAAAACTGACATGATGCTGAGGACAGTCAGGCAGGTGACCCTAGCTAATAAATCAATCTGGAAGACAATTAAGGACTTTAATGTCAACTACCATACCTTGGCTTGGTACTGCAAAAGATTCACCCCAGCCGAAATACAGAGTCAGACAGCTCTCCAAACTCCAGAGCATGTTGATAATATCTTATGTTAACGTTTGTTCAATGACTTTTTCGAGCTCAGTGATAAACATTTTCTGTGCCTGACTTTGATGTTCACTTCAAGTAAAAAAATGAGAACAACAATAATTTTGTCCTTGTTTTATTAGCTGCAAAATCCACTGACATCTTACCCCATATAGTGAGACAACTTACCCGATGGTGGGGCTACATGTCACATATTCACACTCTCTATTCGACTGCTTATAACTCTGCACTGACACAAGATATGAAAATAACACGAATACAAAATATATACCTGAGACTTTGATCTTTCTTGTGGTACACATTTTGTTTACATATGATGTATTGATTGCAAGAAATATACAAGAGTGTTAAAAGTGTGACAACAAGCCCCGGTCTCCCCTACATCTTGTCCACTCAATCCAGTATAGTCCTAATCTAGCCAGGGGGGCAAATTCAGGGGTGGCCCAGGGTGGTCTGGCCCCCTTGTAACCTGATTGGTTACCCAGGGCGCCACCTCAACACTTTAAACTATGACCCGCTTTGCAGTGACTTTTGTTAAAACCAGCTACTGTATGTGGGCTGTGTTTAAAACAGGCTGTGTAGAACTTTCTTGGCAGATGTGAGGACAGGAGATGTTGATGTTGCTGCTCTGTTGTGTTACTTGCAGGAAAATAGAGACGTAACACTTCTGAAATGATGGAGGTCAAAGTTCAAATGTGACCATTTTTGATTGATGTTCATGTGCAGACTCAAAGTGGACGAAGGAACAGGTTTTCCTGCTGAACTGTCCACGTTTAGGCATCTAATAAAGCAAATTTAGACAAACAGACTTCAAGTTTTTAAGGATGTATTGGGGTTCAACTTCATTCATTTAGCAACTATTGACTTCTGTATCTCTGAGTTTTTACTGCACAAAGATCTTGCCAATAAAGCTCATGATAAAAATTGACTTTTTTATGTGTTTCCTCCTTTTGGTGTTAAAAGTGTAAAATTTCAAAAGGAAAGCACTCTGTTGTTTTGAGGAATGCGGTCTCAGCTTGGAGCATCGGGCCTGACTTGAAAGAATGCACTCAGAGTGATTAAAGTGATGAGACCTTGACTCGACAAAGTCCTCCATTTTCCTTGAATTGGAGTGTTTATCATTGGTTTGTTAATTAAACTTTCAAGTTTTTTACGTTTCAAAGAAAAGAGAAAGAGCAGGAGTGTGATTCAGAGTGATGTCTTCACCTTTGAGAAGTGAACAAGAGATCGTTTAATTGAGCTGAAATCTTCAGTCCTTTCAACACCCTCAGTCTCTTTTATTGAACGCTGATTTTAAGTGCGCAAAAATCTCTCTACGACAATAGAGCCATTCAGAGCATGTTTAACCTCATGTTTAGTTTATGTTCAATAAGATAAAAGTGCAGCATCCATCTGGAGGTGAAGGCACACAGCAGACATTTGCTTCTTTAGTGTTTTCTATTTGCAAGGTTATTTCTCTCTCTGGAGGCTTGGGATGGATAAAAGTCCTCTTATTCAAGGGTAATCAGATAATTTGATGTGCTATTGTGATAAAACTACCCAAGATGGTTGATATCAGCAGGTCAAGCCAAGAAACACAAGACTTGAAACCCAGTATGTTTTCACTTTAGTATGCCTACAGTTATTCTAGACTGGTTGAGTCCCAGGACCCTGAATTTTTACAGTCTGTCATTGAATATCAGGTGACAGAGAGTGTCATGGTGCATTACTGCCACCTACTGTGTTTGAGAGTGAATGAACTACCCCAGGACTGCAAACTGTAACTTTGGAAACAAATACCTTTCAAAATAAAGGACTTTATTCCAGGCATTTAATTGTTGTTTTTAGCCTCTGTGAGGCACTTTGAACCACATTTTTGTCCGAAAAGTGACAAACAAATAAAGTTTAATTTGAATTTTGTAAAACGAACTGACGTTATAACAGACAACTCTGTGAATACAAAGTGTAAAACATAAAAGTCATGTAACATGAGTCAATCAGTCTTTGTTTATGAATCACAACAAGAAAGAGAAGGTGCCTGCAAAGACCCGACAAGAGGAACAAGTCTCACCTTGTGAAAAAAAAAAAAAAAGGACCTCTTTTGATCCCATCCTAACCCACCATGAGCAGCATTTAGAAAGTTACAGTGTCAAGGAAGAACTTCCGATTTAGGCAGAAACCCTGAGCAGAACCAGACTCTGCTGGACAGTCATCTGCTGAGACTAGAAAGGGAGTTAATGGGTGATTTTCAGGAACTTCACATTAAAGATTATTGATCAATAAATGCTGATCTTAATTTAAGTGAATTTAAAGTCAAGAGGTCTGATGTTAGCATCTGTAACAATTAAACAGAAGTTGGTAACAGGAGTAGAAATGAAAATATTGATTATAGCAGTTAAAGTTAAGCTGTTCTGAAAACATTCATTAACTTTGTAACAGTGATGATAAGAACGGTGAGGCTGGAATCAATATCTGATATTTGAAGCAGCTGTGTCAGGCAGGTCTGCAGCAACAAATCAGAGGAACCTGTGAGACAAGGGAGGCCAGAGACTCTCCCAAAGATAAATGTATGAGCCATTTTATCTGTATTCCTTTTTGGGTTTTGTTTTGTCACTTGCAACAATCACCACAAGGGGCACTTCAGGTGAATGGGCAGGTAAATGCTACAAAAATGACACAAGTGAAGCAGGAAACAGGAAGAGCATGTTTTTTTCTGCTAATCTCTGACACCACTCTCACCCTCATCACGAACATCACCATCAGAGTAAGTTGGATGTATCTGTCTCTTTTTGTTTTTGTTTTTCATGTAATCATTAATGGCAAAAAGATAACTCAACAACAACCTTGGATTGGACATTGGATTGTACTAGGAGCGCGCCAAAAACACCTCACTCCCGCACCCAGACAATGACTAAAATTCAGGTCAGCATAGTCACTACAATATATGTTGTATATAAATATTAAATCTTTGGTGATTCACAGAGAGGGGGAGGGGAAGGTGACCAGTGTACAAGTTCCTTTTAAAGCTGTAGCAACACAACAAAGAGCTGACTCAATCCTGAACCACCGCAGACTATAAGTTTTATATAAAAGGAAAGTTTTAATCCTGAACTCTTACTAGTCGATGAATCCAAAGGATTTATCTGATGAAATCTTCTGAGTCATGAGTGCAAAGAATTCATTCAAGAGAAAAGTAATCAAAGTTCTGCTCCACAGACCTGTGCTGAAACAACCCGAGTTAACTTACGGGTCCCTTCGCTGCGTGATGTGTGCACCTCTTGTGGAGCGCCACCTGCCCACAACCTCTTATTACTTTAATTTCCTTTTTTTTTATGACCTTTTACAAGGACAGGAATAGAAAACAAGTTATATAGTTCAATGATTAGCATTCATGCAACAGAGCAATCAGAGCCTGAAATTGCACTGAAATTACAGAAGCTGTGGAAATTAAATAAAATGAAAGCCGGAACAAGGTTAATCTAAAAATACCATGTCATTATTTTTGCACTCTCACGCAAATCAGCCTGTAAAACAGCTGAAAACAAATCTCCAAATGACAGGCCCCACTTCCTAGCTGCTAGATGAAAAATTAACTATATATTACGTTGACATATAACATTTAAGGAGAAATTTATAAGCTCTTCACAACAGAAAATAAAGATGCTGCTGTCGTTTTAGTTCAAGATTGTTTTAATACTTACAATTCTGTGCAGTCTCACCTTTGCTTGACATTGTAATGCAGTTGTGAAAACCGGGCAGGGTACGAACAACGAGCCTCTGGAAGAAAAGCAAAAGGACCGGCAAGTCTGCTCACAAGAGATGACAGGAATTTTTGATGTGATGGAAAAACTTTGGAGCTTTTTATGGATAAATTGAAGAAAAAATTCTGTAAAGCAACAAATTACATATGAGTATAACTGTAACCCCAACTATAACCCCAAGAGCAATCAAAAAAAAAAGAAATTAGAATATATATATATATTTTTTTGCATGTATGAGTGATGCTTCCTGTATGATTAAATATATATGATTGTAAAAATACAATAAAATAAAGTAAAAACATTTTAGTGCTGCTGCTGATGTAACCCTATGATTCTTTCTGCCGATATGTCAAAGCTCCACTACCGTTATGTGCCTTCTGCTGTGTAATGTGCACTGAGCATCCAAAGCTCGGGTAGTTGTGGGGCAAAACAATGTTGCAAAAAAGGACATATCCTTCAGGAGCAAAGAAAAGAAAGACGAAGAAGAGAAATACGCCAGGAAATAGGTATGTTTGCATGTCATGGAATGTTAATCAAGAGATTTGTGAAGGTGTGTGAATGATCAACAATCAATATTACTTGGGTCGGCTCTGATACTTCACTATGGCAAATACACAAAGTTGAGGTAAATTAGTAATTAATTATCCAGTGTTTCATCCAGTCACAAACATACTGCACTGATTTCTCTATCACATATTTTCAGAACTGAAGACACCTTTTGGAAGAGAGGCGAAACGTCCTCAGGAACCTCAAACAAGTCCAAGATTAAGTTTTACTGTATTTCTGTCCTTTTCCCTTAACTTAATTTATTCCATGACTTTTATTTAGTTTGCAAAGTTATTTTAATATAAAAACATAGATTATATATTAGACATAAATTGACTGTATAAAGATATTAAGACTTATCACATCATATAAAATCATCATTAAAAAAATGTAATACTAATAATAATGTAGTTCAGGTATCAATGAAATTATCAACGACACATTATGATAGTAGAATACAACCATGCAACTTTTTCAGCATTTTACTGCTTCCATGTAATACTGCAGTAAAGAAGTATTTTAAAATAAAACAAAATAACAACAAAATAGCATAAAACAAATGCAAATCTTTATGTTAATAAGAGAAATAACCTCTTTAAGAGCGCGGATGAGCTTAACAAAAATGAAACATACTTATGCTTAAAAACATAAGGCATAAGGTCAACAATAGATAAATAGGAGATGGATAAGACATTTCTCTGTGTCATGTGCTGGTGTTGGGTTTTGGGCTGGTGTTTGGTCTGATAATCATGTGCAGCCTTTTGTCAGTTCGGTTGCTCTATACCTCCCCTCTGTACTGGAATTCGGTCCCTTTCAGCAGCTATTCAAACTCCATCCCTCCAAATGTGCAGATATGCCGCAAAGTATTCAGTTATTATTTCTTAAACCAGCAGTGTATGTTTTTTAATAACTGAAAAAATGTTGTTGAAGATCCTTGAACAGATTGTGCGCAGCCTTCCTGAATTTAACTGGTGCTCTGAGCATAATACAAACACTTGTAATTGCATTTTTTAAAAGCCAAACAGAAACACTCTCAATACGAGCAAAATCCTTCAGATTTTTGCTTTTATATGAATCCTACAATTCCATCAGCGCCCTCTAATCGAGTCTCATTCATTGACATTGCGTGGTAGAGATATTTTTTAATTATTTTTTTGTACATCATGCACTCTGAAGTGTTGAATATTTATATTTGGTATAACTATGAGGTGTTTACAGTAGTTTTATTCAGGGAAGTCTTGCATTTGCCCTGATAGATGAGGATATATAGTAGCTTCTGTGATTTCAGTGAGCAGGCTCTTTAACAGGAAAACAGAGTCCACCATTCTCATTGGTTCAGTTCATACCGATAATTTCATTCACATATCTCAGAGTGACAGTGAGATGAAGCAGACCTCTGTCAGCCATCATGAAGAAAAACAGCGAGAATGTCTCTCTGGCTGTGTTTGACGATTTGAAATATGTGGAGACCAAATAAACCAGTGAATGAAAAAGAGACGAAAATGCGACCAGAAAAAAGGCAAATGAACAACCCCCCCCCCAAAAAAAAGTAAAAGCCTGTGATGCAGAGGGCAGGAAAACAGTGTTCTTGTACTGCATGTGGCATTTTTTATTTCCAGTTAAACTCGTCCGTTCGGAGGATTTCTTCCTGGAACCGGCTCTGTCTGTACGGAGCAGCTATGAAACACAATCACATCTGAAAGCTCTGATGAAATGGGTATGAGCTTAAATCACTATTTCCGTAAATCAATTGGAAATAAAAAAAAAAAACAGAAATCTATTTGGGGAAAAAATGCCAAAGACTATTACTTTAATAGAATCTCAAATACAGGCAATTTAGGCAAAATGAAACAAAATACTTATTTGGCACAAAAAAACTGCTGGCTGCTTTTCCACATTAGATTTATAAACCACCAAATATTACTATAGGGATACCGCCAGCAGCAGCAGCAATCCTTCATGACATTTAGTACTTTTTCCTTCATTTTAGATTAAATATAATGAGAGGTTTCAACGTGTAGACCACACTGCATATTGAGTAAACATTTTTGTTTGTGTTTATTATTTAGCTTATAGCAGAATTGGCAGAAAAACAAAGCTACACTCAACTTCTACTTCAATAAGAGGATACTAGTTTTTCAATTAAACACAGAAAAGCTAATCAGCTCAGCAGATAAGAGTGAGGAAGGGTTTATATTGAGAGACCACAGCATGGCTGTAAGCGTACTTCTCTCTGAGTCGGTCATATTTGACTAAAAAGACAAAATAGGTAGACCTCTCTAAATCTCTGCATCTGTCTGACCACTCCAGACATTAACCAGACCACTGTGGTCTACCAAACCAGCATCACCTATCTAAAGAGGATGAAAATAGATAATACATTTCGTTGCTTGTTTTCCTGTGTGTGTATATATAGTCCTTGTCTTCCCCTGTTTCTTGGTTGGTTCATTATGAGTGTGTGTGGTGTGTTATAATACTTCAGTGTTTCCTCGTGGTTTTTTCCCCCTCAGTGATTTTTTTTGGATTTTGGATCTTGAGTTCAACCTTTTCTAGTAAGTTTTTGTTCCTTTTAAATAAATCAATTTTTTGTTCTGCACATGGGTCCTTTCCCCTTTTGTTTCACCTTGAAAAACGTGCAAAAACCTGGATTAATATGAAATATAAAAGGTGCACTGATTTATAGTGAGCAGGTTGTTAAGCAGATTGGAATCAAGATTCTGATTCACAGCCTGCTCACCGCTCGTTAATCTTACTATCCAGCTTACTAATAAAAACAGAAGTTACCACAAATCTTGATTTTAGATGGATTTTAACATTTATCATCGTTTTGGAATCCATCTGATTCCATGATTGATAATGTTCCCATGACAACTCATCCTATTTTTTAGCAATAAGATTAAGTCATTAGCCTGTACATTAAACTGGACATTTACATTCATGTAAGTTAGATAATGGTGAACAGACCTTCTACAGCAATTTTTCAGTTTCTGTCTTCATCCAGCTCTCCTTCTGTGGTCATGCTAATACCACGACTGCTTACGGTTAAAGTTACTCAGAGATGCTCATTAATGCTGCCGTTTTTGTGGATTGCAGCCAGGATCTTTCTCTGCTTTTCCCTATCAGGGATGGTAGGGGCCCTGTATCCCCTCAGGCTGTTGTTGTTGTTACATCGGTGCCTGCTAACTGTCCTTATTTCCTGACTCTCTAGACCAGCTCGGTTCAAGGTTCAAGGTCAACTTTATTATCCCTATGAGGGCCAATTTGTTTTGCAGCCAACGGTGAGAAAAGACAATAAAAATAAAACAGAAAAACAGAAACGAACACTGCTGCTACTGTGTTTACTGATATGCCACTGAGAAATAATGTATTTGCCACATTGTCAACAAGCTAAAATACATTAGACTCCTCTCCACAGATTAATTGGATACGACTCAAGTGATCAGGTTCCAGTCAGAATCAATCATTGTGATCATCCAAACAGCGTCCACCTCTGCAGCCTGGCATCCTGTTTTCTGCCAAACTCCACCTGTTGATGGTTCACTTCACTTCAAATAGTCTTGTTCAAGTTGTCTGACCAGGATTAAGGCTGTTTTTATACCGTTTTGATGCAGTGCAGTGCTCCCTCTTACTTCTGCCTGTTTTTGGCTTCAATAGTCTCTCAGCGATAAACTGTTCAAATGAGGATGATGGCTGACAATTCAGACTGTTTTCTCCTCCAAGGCGTTAAAAGTGTTCCTCCAAGACAGACGCATACACAAGCTATTCTGTCAGACTGAATGTCTCTCTGTTACTGGTGAATGTGTAAATAAGTAACTCTTTGTTAAAGAAAAATCTAATAAAACATATCTGTCATGATATATCATATGTTGATTTAGTTTTCCCCTGGTTTTGGTTATCTGAGTTTGTTTTCTGTATTTTTCTTCTGTTTTCTGTTTCCTATCGTTCCTGTTCCCCTGTAGTCTTGTCTTGTGAGTTTTCAGTTTGTGTCTGTCCCCGTTTCCCTCATGTTCTCAGTGTTTTATTCTTTATATCAGTTCTTAGTGTTTCCTGTTTTATTTTGAAGTACTTTATCCCCTGTGTTTTTAGTCTTGTGTTACTTTTTAAGTTTTCCCTCCTCTGTGATTGTCCTCACCTGTGTCTCAGTGTCTCACCTGCCTCTCGTTGCTCGTTTCCCTGTGTGTGTGTATATATAGTCCTTGTCTTCCCCTGTTTCTTTGTTGGTTCATTGTGAATGTATATGAATGTCGACGTGTGCCTTTGCCTGTGTCCTCAGTGATTTTTGGTTCCTGTGTTTTTTGGGAATTTTTCAGTCAGACATTTTAACAATAATTATAATAATTGTGAGTGCAGCTCCGTCTAATGATTGAAGACCCTCTGAGATGACGAACCAGAGCTTGTAGTTGACGTATATTTCCATAGTCGTCGATCTTTCCTTTTTTGAAATTACTCTGAGGTTTACTTTGCATAACAAAACAATACTTTTTACAAATAATAATGACGAAATCGAGACCCGATGTAAACAGGGTCAAAAACTATTGTGCTCTCAAAAGACCTACAGCTGCACTAATTAGCCAAGAAAACCGCGCAGGTCTCACATTACATGTCTCCTCATATAGGAGCGCAGCAGTAGTAATCAGCTTCAATTAGACTTTAAAGTAAAACTATATAACTGTTCAGTCTCTCAGAATTCTAATCAGGATAAATAACAAAGATTATTTATTATCTGTCAAATTAAAAATAATAATACATTTTATTTATGACATGCTTTTACAGGCGCTCAAACAATTTACAAAGAAAAAAAAAACACAATTCAAATTACAGAAAATTTTGAGAAATAAAACCAACTAGGGCCCCGTTGGGGCACTGGCGGGCCCGAGCCGTGTCGCGCCACCCCCAGCGCGACCGCCTACCCCTCCCGATTGCGTCACACTCAAGGTCCAAAGATGGTGTGCGCACTTGTCTGTGGTCATTTACCATTATAATGAATGGGAGGCGCAGTTTCTACCAAAACGCTCGCTGCAGACAAACTCCATGTCCTTTTTGAAAAAAGTCTGGACCATGAGTGAGGGCACAAACACAGCTAGTATATATCCAAATGGCAAGTTGCTCCTCCTTTCGGTTTTGCCGAGAGAGCGATGCGTTTGAGCCATTGAGCGATGGGCAGGAAAAACTTGACTTTTTCTCCTGCCATGGGGGGGCGCTCTTTTGGGGAGTAAAAATTCCTTCACAAATGTGTTGATGGCTGGACATTGCATCATCCTAGAGAACTTGGAGGCCAGTGAGGACAAAAATAAAAAGTTATAAGACTTTTAAGACTGTGGATTTTTGGGTTATCTTTGGCGCCCCCTAGAACGTAAACCGTGGGGTGCAGCGTCATGATTTGTACAACTTTGAATGGACATGGGGTGTAGATTGACCTGAGCAAATTTGAAGCCGATGGGACAAAAGCTTTAGGAGGAGTTAGCCACATTCCAATGTGTGCGGATCGGCAAAAAATGCGAAATAACCCTTTAACCGTACATTGAACAGATACGCTTGCATTGACTTTTTTGTAGATCTTATTGAGATACATGTGTGTGTCAAATTTTGTGTCATTTTGACAAAGCGTAAAGGCGTGACAGTCAACAATGTGTATTTTCGCCTTAGGAGACAAGAAAAAATGGACTTTTTTCTCCTGCCATGGGGGGGCGCTCATTGGCGAGTAAAAATTCCTTCACAAATGTGTTGATGGCTGGACATTGCATCATCCTAGAGAACTTGGAGGCCAGTGAGGACAAAAATAAAACGTTATAAGACTTTTAAGACTGTGGATATTTGGGTTATCTTTGGTGCCCCCTAGAACGTAAACCGTGGGGTGCAGCATCATGATTTGTACAACTTTTAATGGCCATGGGGTGTAGATTGGCCTGAGCAAATTTGGTGCCGGTGGAACGAAAGCCTTCGGAGGAGTTAGCGAAATTCCAATGTGTGCGGATCGGCAAAAAATGCGAAATAACCCTTTAACCGTACATTTGACAGATACGCCCGCACTGACTTTTTTGTAGATCTTATTGAGATACATGTTTGTGTCAAATTTTGTGTCATTTTGACAAAGCGTAAAGGTGTGACAGTCAATAGTGTGAATTTTCGCCTTAGGAGACAAGAAAAAATGGACTTTTTTCTCCTGCCATGGGGGGGCGCTCTTTTGGCGAGTAAAAATTCCTTCACAAATGTGTTGATGGCTGGACATTGCATCATCCTAGAAAACTTGGAGGCCAGTGAGGACAGAAATAAAAAGTTAAGACTTGAAAGAATGTGGATTTTTGGGTTATCTTTGGCGCCCCCTACAACGTAAACCGTGGGGTGCAGCGTCATGATTTGTACAACTTTGAATGGCCATGGGGTGTAGATTGGCCTGAGCAAATTTGGTGCCGGTGGAACCAAAGCTTTAGGAGGAGTTAGCCACATTCCAATGTGTGCGAATCAACCAAAAATGCGAAATAGCCCTTTAACCGTACATTTTGCAGACACGTGCGCATTGACTTTTTCGTAGATCTTATTGAGATACACGTGATTATCAAATTTTGTTTCAATATGACAAAGCGTACAGGCGTGACACTCAACAATGTGTATTTTCACCTTATAGGACAAGAAAAAATGGCCTTTTTTCTCCTGCCATGGGGGGGCGCTCTTTTGGGGAGTAAAAATTCCTTCACAAATATGTTGATGGCTGGACATTGCATCATCCTAGAAAACTTGGAGGCCAGTGAGGACAGAAATAAAAAGTTATAAGACTTGTAAGAATGTGGATTTTTGGGTTATCTTTGGCGCCCCCTACAACGTAAACCGTGGGGTGCAGCGTCATGATTTGTACAACTTTGAATGGCCATGGGGTGTAGATTGGCCTGAGCAAATGTGGTGCCGGTGGAACGAAAGCCTTCGGAGGAGTTAGCGAAATTCCAATGTGTGCGGATCGGCAAAAAATGCGAAATAGCCCTTTAAACGTACATTTGACAGATACGCCCGCACTGACTTTTTTGTAGATCTTATTGAGATACACGTGTGTGTCAAATTTTGTGTCATTTTGACAAAGCGTACAGGCGTGACACTCAATCATGTGAATTTTTCACCTTAGGGGGCGCTATGGAGCCATTTTGCATTTGATTGTTTGGGTGACTTCAGAATATCGAATTTTTCACCAGGCCCAGTCGTCCTGCCAAATTTCATGAGTTTTCACCAGTGGGAAGTGGGCCATTTTCCAGTTCAAAGGGGCAGAAAAATAATAAGAAGACTAGGGCCCCGTTGGGGCACTGGCGGGCCCGAGCCGTGTCGCGCCGCCCCCAGCGCGACCGCCTACCCCTCTTGATCGCGTCACACTCAAGGTCCAAAGATGGTGTGCGCACTTGTCTGTGGTCATTTACCATTATAATGAATGGGAGGTGCAGTTTCTACCAAAACGCTCGCTGCAGACAAACTCCATGTCCTTTTTGAAAAAAGTCTGGACCATGAGTGAGGGCACAAACACAGCTAGTATATATCCAAATGGCAAGTTGCTCCTCCTTTCGGTTTTGCCGAGAGAGCGATGCTTTTGAGCCATTGAGCGATGGGCAGGAAAAACTTGACTTTTTCTCCTGCCATGGGGGGCGCTCTTTTGGGGAGAAAAATTCCTTCACAAATGTGTTGATGGCTGGACATTGCATCATCCTAGAAAACTTGGAGGCCAGTGAGGACAAAAATAAAAAGTTATAAGACTTTTAAAAATGTGGATATTTGGGTCCTCTTTGGCACCCCCTAGAACGTATACTGTGGGGTGCAGCGTCATGATTTGTACAACTTTGAATGGCCATGGGGTGTAGATTGACCTGAGCAAATTTGGAGCCGATGGGACAAAAGCTTTAGGAGGAGTTAGCCACATTCCAATGTGTGCGAATCGGCAAAAAATGCGAAATAGCCCTTTAACCGTACATTGAACAGATACGCTCGCGTTGACTTTTTCGTAGATCTTATTGAGATACATGTGTGTGTCAAATTTTGTGTCATTTTGACAAAGCGTAAAGGCGTGACAGTCAACAATGTGTATTTTCGCCTTAGGAGACAAGAAAAAATGGACTTTTTTCTCCTGCCATGGGGGGGCGCTCTTTTGGGGAGTAAAAATTCCTTCACAAATGTGTTGATGGCTGGACATTGCATCATCCTAGAGAACTTGGAGGCCAGTGAGGACAAAAATAAAAAGTTATAAGACTTTTAAGACTGTGGATTTTTGGGTTATCTTTGGCGCCCCCTAGAACGTAAACCGTGGGGTGCAGCGTCATGATTTGTACAACTTTTAATGGCCATGGGGTGTAGATTGGCCTGAGCAAATGTGGTGCCGTTGGAACGAAAGCCTTCGGAGGAGTTAGCGAAATTCCAATGTGTGCGGATCGGCAAAAAATGCGAAATAACCCTTTAACCGTACATTTGACAGATACGCCCGCACTGACTTTTTTGTAGATCTTATTGAGATACATGTGTGTGTCAAATTTTGTGTCATTTTGACAAAGCGTAAAGGCGTGACAGTCAACGATGTGTATTTTCGCCTTAGGAGACAAGAAAAAATGGACATTTTTCTCCTGCCATGGGGGGGCGCTCTTTTGGCGAGTAAAAATTCCTTCACAAATGTGTTGATGGCTGGACATTGCATCATCCTAGAGAACTTGGAGGCCAGTGAGGACAAAAATAAAAAGTTATAAGACTTTTAAGACTGTGGATTTTTGGGTTATCTTTGGCGCCCCCTAGAACGTAAACCGTGGGGTGCAGCGTCATGATTTGTACAACTTTTATTGGCCATGGGGTGTAGATTGGCCTGAGCAAATGTGGTGCCGGTGGAACGAAAACCTTTGGAGGAGTTAGCGAAATTCCAATGTGTGCGGATCGGCAAAAAATGCGAAATAAACCTTTAACCGTACATTTGACAGATACGCCTGCACTGACTTTTTTGTAGATCTTATTGAGATACACGTGTGTGTCAAATTTTGTGTCATTTTGACAAAGCGTACAGGCGTGACACTCAATCATGTTAATTTTTCACCTTAGGGGGCGCTATGGAGCCATTTTGCATTTGATTTTTTGGGCGACTTCAGAATATCGAATTTTTCACCAGGCCCGGTCGTCCTGCCAAATTTCATGACTTTTCACCAGTGGGAAGTGGGCCATTTTCCAGTTCAAAGGGGCAGAAAAATAATAATAAGAAGAAGAAGAAGAAAGAAGAATCCATCAGGAATAATAGGGCTCTCGCAGCTGCTTAGCAGCTACGCTCGGGCCCTAAAGACTAGGACCCCGTTGGGGCACTAGCGGGCCCGAGCCGTGTCGCGCCCCCCCCCCCAACGCGCTGCCTCCCCGTCCCATTTGTGTCCTCTGGCCATCGCCCTCTCTGGTAACGCCCATCACTGCAAAGACCCTTTTCCTTCATCGGCGTTTGCTGTTCTTCCTGCCAGTGCGTGTTGCTTTCACTTACACTTGCCACAGCCAGCCTCGTGAGTGCCTAGCCTATTGGTTATCACTGTCACCTACACAGGACAGTCATTACCTTTCTATTAATACTTTGTGTTTTAATTTCACATTAATTTCCATATTGTATAAACGACTGGAAAAAACTTGAGCCCCTGCCCCTGTATAATCATGTGCATGTCTCTGTTCTAGCTCCAAGGTGAATCTTCACTGCTCATGTTCTCCTCAGAAGCACTCACCTCACTCCCCTCAGGTTACTGTACACATGCACCAACTGCCTGCTTCAGGTTTGGATGGAGCTTCATGGTTGTCTTTTGGAGAAATGACCAGTCAAGTTGTGTTTGAAATTTGATTTTTTTCAGGGGCAAAAGGAGCCTCTGCATTCTTGTCAAATATGTAAATAGCATGTTTTTGCAGGTGCTAAAAAACAGACTCTAAGTGTGTGTGTGTGTGTGTGTGTGTGTGTGTGTGTGTGTGTGTGTGTGCGTGTGTGTGTCTGTGTGTGCGTTCAAGTCACATGACATATTTAACCGGATGTAGCTGCAAGACGGAGCCTCGTTGACTCTCCGTTTCAACTTATCTCAAAAGTGAGGACCTCAACCTATATACCAGTTTTTAAATTGTGTTGATAGGCCAAATAAAACCAGAGTTATGATAAATTATGTCCGCGATACTTTTTTTCTGCTTATTTTGATCACGTTCGGCGCTCGATCGCGCTGTATGAGACAGGAAAACATAGCATGCAGACATTAGCGACAGGTCTTACAGGCGGAAAAGGCTTGCCAAAAGAAAAAAAAAACACACCACAACATCTCTCCTATTGGTGGAAAACTTCACCACAACAACCAATCCAAAATTATATGGTGACTGATTGACAAGGGGCGGGCGCTTACGTTCTTCCTGCAACATGAGAAGCGAGGGAGGGACTCTCAGCAGGGATGCAGTCTGGGACACGTAGTTGCAAACCTAGCGACTTTGTTGTTAGATTCAATGACTTTTCAGACCCCCTAACGATATTTTTTTTAGAAAGAAAGGGACTTTTATCGACTTCTTCTGGAGTTTAGAGACTCTGACATGAAGCAGGCTTTCCTTACTGAGGAGTTAGCAACGCTGCTAAGGGTGCAGAGCCACACATGCGCTCAGAGCTCTGCATGGGAGACTGAAGCTGACAGAGCTGCAGCAGTTAGCAGGTTTCACCCTCAGAGACCACCAGGGGTTCATGTTGAGGCATTTAAATTTTTTTTTTTTGTGCCATAGACACTGTCAGCACAATCTGCAGTTACACTAACAAAAATGCTGCAAAAAACAAAGAATTATGGAAAAATTACACATGGACTGACATAGAGGAGGATCTACACAAGTTTTTTACATCATGTTTTACATCATGCATCATTTACATCATGTTTTTTTGTAGTGGCATAAATAAAAAGTGACATTTGTGAGACTATACAGTGTTTTGTAAATAATTTTACAAAGAACGCCTGGGCCATTGCCTGCATTTTGATGTAAATAGAGGTAAATCACTATGTTCTTTGTTAAAAATTTGCATATGTTTTGAAGTTTACAATTTTTATTTGAAGTTTAAGTTTTAAAAACAGTTCATCACACATATTTGTGGTTTAATTTCACATTAATTTCCATATTGTATAAATGACTGGAAAAAACTTGAGCCCCTGCCCCTGTATAATCATGTGCACGTCCCTGTTCTAGCTCCAAGGTGAATCTTCACTGCTCATGTTCTCCTCAGAAATAGTCACCTCACTCCCCTCAGGTTACTGTACACATGCACCAACTATCTGCTTCAGGTTTGAAATGGAGCTTCATGGTTGTCTTTTGGAGAAATGAACAGTCAAGTTGTGTTTGAAATTTGATTTTTTTCAGGGGCAAAAGGAAGCCTCTGCATTCTTGTCAAATATGTAAACAGCATGTTTTTGCAGGTGCTAAAAAACAGACTCTGAGTGTGTGTGTGTGTCTGTGTGTGTGTGTGTGTGTGTGTGTGTGTATGTTGGCGTGTGTGTATATGTGTGTGTATCCTGCAGTACTCTGTACTCCTGCAGTGGCCAAAAAGACTTTTAAGAATGTGGATTTTTGGGTCATCTTTGGCGCCCCCTAGAACTGCAGTACTCTGTACTCCTGCAGTGGCCAAAATGACTTTTAAGAATGTGGATTTTTGGGTCATCTTTGGCGCCCCCTAGAACGTAAACCGTGGGGTGCAGCGTCATGATTTTTACAACTTTGAATGGGCATGGGGTGTAGATTGGCCTGAGCAAATTTGGTATCGGTGGGACGAAAGCCTTAGGAGGAGATAGCCACATTCCAATGTGTGCGAATCGGCAAAAAATGCGAAATAGCCCTTTAACCGTACATTATACAGATACGCGCTTTTTGACTTTTTCGTAGATCTAATTGAGATTCACGTGATTGTCAAATTTTGGGTCAATATGACAAAGCTTATAGGCGTGACACTCAACAATGTGTATTTTCATGTTAGGGGACAAGAAAAAATGGACTTTTTTCACCTGCCATGGGGGGGCGCTCTTTTGGGGAGTAAAAATTCCTTCACAAATGTGTTGATGGCTGGACATTGCATCATCCTAGAAAACTTGGAGGCCAGTGAGGACAAAAATAAAAAGTTATAAGACTTTTAAGAATGTGGATTTTTGGGTTATCTTTGGCGCCCCCTAGAACGTAAACCGTGGGGTGCAGCGTCATGATTTGTACAACTTTTAATGGCCATGGGGTGTAGATTGGCCTGAGCAAATGTGGTGCCGGTGGAACGAAAGCCTTCGGAGGAGTTAGCGAAATTCCAATGTGTGCGGATCGGCAAAAAATGCGAAATAGCCCTTTAACCGTACATTTGACAGATACGCCCGCGCTGACTTTTTTGTAGATCTTATTGAGATACACGTGTGTGTCAAATTTTGTGTCATTTTGACAAAGCGTACAGGTGTGACACTCAATCATGTGAATTTTTCACCTTAGGGGGCGCTATGGAGCCATTTTGCATTTGATTGTTTGGGCGACTTCAGAATATCGAATTTTTCACCAGGCCCGGTCGTCCTGCCAAATTTCATGAGTTTTCACCAGTGGGAAGTGGGCCATTTTCCAGTTCAAAGGGGCAGAAAAATAACTAGGGCCCCGGTGGGGCACTGTCGGGCCCGAGCCGCGTCGCGCCGCCCCCAGCGCGACCGCCTCCCCCTCCCGATCGCGTCACACTCAAGGTCCAAAGATGGTGTGCGCACTTGTCTGTGGTCATTTCCCATTATAATGAATGGGAGGCGCAGTTTCTACCAAAACGCTCGCTGCAGACAAACTACATGTCCTATTTGAAAAAAGTCTGGACCATGAGTGAGGGCACAAACACAGCTAGTATATATCCAAATGGCAAGTTGCTCCTCCTTTCGGTTTTGCAGAGAGAGCGATGCGTTTGAGCCATTGAGCGATGGGCAGGAAAAACTTGACTTTTTCTCCTGCCATGGGGGGGCGCTCTTTTGGGGAGAAAAATTCCTTCACAAATGTGTTGATGGCTGGACATTGCATCATCCTAGAAAACTTGGAGGCCAGTGAGGACAAAAATAAAAAGTTATAAGACTTTTAAAAATGTGGATATTTGGGTCCTCTTTGGCGCCCCCTAGAACGTAAACTGTGGGGTGCAGCGTCATGATTTGTACAACTTTGAATGGCCATGGGGTGTAGATTGACCTGAGCAAATTTGAAGCCGATGGGACAAAAGATTTAGGAGGAGTTAGCGAAATTCCAATGTGTGCGGATCGGCAAAAAATGCGAAATAACCCTTTAACCGTACATTTGACAGATACGCCCGCACTGACTTTTTTGTAGATCTTATTGAGATACATGTGTGTGTCAAATTTTGTGTCATTTTGACAAAGCGTAAAGGCGTGACAGTCAACAATGTGTATTTTCGCCTTAGGAGACAAGAAAAAATGGACTTTTTTCTCCTGCCATGGGGGGGCGCTCTTTTGGCGAGTAAAAATTCCTTCACAAATGTGTTGATGGCTGGACATTGCATCATCCTAGAGAACTTGGAGGCCAGTGAGGACAAAAATAAAAAGTTATAAGACTTTTAAGACTGTGGATTTTTGGGTTATCTTTGGCGCCCCCTAGAACGTAAACCGTGGGGTGCAGCGTCATGATTTGTACAACTTTTAATGGCCATGGGGTGTAGATTGGCCTCAGCAAATGTGGTGCCTTTGGAACGAAAGCCTTCGGAGGAGTTAGCGAAATTCCAATGTGTGCGGATCGGCAAAAAATGCGAAATAGCCCTTTCACCGTACATTTGACAGATACGCCCGCACTGACTTTTTTGTAGATCTTATTGAGATACATGTGTGTGTCAATTTTTGTGTCAATATGACAAAGCGTAAAGGCGTGACAGTCAATAGTGTGAATTTTCGCCTTAGGAGACAAGAAAAAATGGACTTTTTTCTCCTGCCATGGGGGGGCGCTCTTTTGGGGAGTAAAAATTCCTTCACAAATGTGTTGATGGCTGGACATTGCATCATCCTAGAAAACTTGGAGGCCAGTGAGGACAAAAATAAAAAGTTATACGACTTTTAAGAATGTGGATTTCTGGGTTATCTTTGGCGCCCCCTAGAACGTAAACCGTGGGATGCAGCGTCATGATTTGTACAACTTTTAATGGCCATGGGGTGTAGATTGGCCTGAGCAAATTTGTTGCCGGTGGAACGAAA